AGAAGAAGAAGAAGAAGAAGAAGAAGAAGAAGAAGAAGAAGAAGAAGAAGAAGAAGAAGAAGAAGAAGAAGAAGAAGAAGAAGAAGAAGAAGAAGGGAGGAGTAGGGGTAAGAACAAGGAGGGAGGACAAACATCCTTAAGCATCTTAACCTTACTAGTCAACACGCCAACCTGCTCATCATTCTGGCTCTCCAGCTCATCCAGCACCGCGGAACTATACTGGCCGCGGGAATTCGGCGTAGCGGAACGAAACGTGTTGTCGTCTCCGTATCCTCCTCCTCCTCCGCCATTCACACCCAAACCCATGCCATATCCATTCCCATTCCCGTTCCCATTCCCGTTCCCCCGCCCACTCCCGGGATACGCGCCAAACCCCGTGTCCGCCTGCGCTGTATTCACACTCCCATTGCTGCCCCCGAATCCATAGCCCCCCACACCGTATGGCGACTTGGCTTTTTTCGACTTCGAGGGTGAGGCGCTGCGGTTGTAGGAGCTGAAGAGGTCGTCGCGCGCGTCTTGTCTGCCGAAGCTGCGGGTCTGATTAGTTCATCTTTCTTCTTTTTCTGGGGCGGGTTGCGAGGGGTCTGCGTACCGGCTTGACATTGTTGCGTGCGCTGGCGCTTTGGGGGGGCTTGTGGTTGCGCTGGTGTGGGTGTTTGGGCTCCCCGGCTGTTCCGGACTCTTGGGGGGTATGCGCGTGTGTGGAGGGCGGTATGAGATGTGGGGTACGTAGTATGTGGCGGTGATTGCGAGGACGCTTGTCGAGTGTGTATACCTCAGCGGCGTGAATTGAGATGAGACGTAAAAACGTCGGAGCTTAGGGTGTCTAAACGCCGGCGAGCCTCGTGTCCGGAACACGTTGTCGCAAGGAAGGAGGCGGCAACGCGTGGGTCAAATCAAGTGATCTGCAACGTCTATACTGTTGCCTCGCGACGAATACACATTGGAAAAGAAATAGAGTGGTAGAAGTATGACACACACACATCACATCGCATCACCCTATCAACCCCCACAAAACCACATTGGATATACGTATGCATTTCCAAAAAGCTCTCGAGTGCTACGGCCTGAGACAAACCCCCAAGACAAGCACTCAAAAGTGTCCAAACATACAGTACAGAAACGCACTCCTCCAAAAACTGCCCTTCCAGATGCGTCTTTACAAGTACAAGGCACTCTGGGGGTGCCATATATGCATCCCTGATAGCAAAGCACCACGACAGACTTTTTGCGTGAAAACCAAACATGATCGTCCAAATCTCGTAGAAGACATACCCAGTTCATGCCCGTCATCCAAGCCCCACCTCTTCTCACGTCATCTCATCTATCAAGACGCTTCGTTCAAGTGATCTAGTTCTTCAGCCCGACCTTGTTGAGTAGGCTGCCCGTTCGGCCCGCAACGTACGCCTGGCCATCGAATACCTTCAACAAGCTCTTCCACACCTGCCCCGGTTCCTGACTCGCATCGATTGGCTTCCAGATGCCCGTCTTCTGGTAGTAGCTAACGACGGGTGCTGTTTGGGCATGGTACGTCGACAGGCGCTTCGTGAGCGTCGCCTCGTTGTCGTCGGAGCGCTGGATCAGCGGCTCGCCCGTCACGTCGTCCGTCATGGAGGTCTTGGGTGGGTTGAAGATCTTGTGGTAGGAGCGGCCCGAGGCGGGGTGCACGAGACGGCCAGTGATGCGCGAGACGAGGAGGCCGTCGTCGATTTGCAGTTCGACGGCGTGCTGGAGCGGCTTTCGGGTCTTGGTGAGCATGTCGTCGAGCTTCTCAGCCTGGGTGACTGTGCGGGGGAAGCCGTCGAGGATGAAGCTGTGCAGACGAGGGTTAGCAGTGAAAGTGGCAGACGCTCATAGGGCAGATTCTGACGCACCCCTTCTTGCACTCGGCGTTGTTCTCGAGCTCCGTCTTGATCATGTTGACCATGATCTCGTCGCTGACAAGACCGCCGGCGTCCATGATCTTCTTGGCTTCGCGGCCGAGCGGTGTCTTTGCCGAGACTTGGGCGCGCAGCATGTCGCCGGTAGCCTGTTCGCATCAGCGTCCCACTCTCTCATGACGTCGCCAGGGGCAGAAAAACGTACGAGATGGCAGGCGCAGAACTTTTCCTTGATGCGCGGCGCCTGTGTACCCTTGCCTGGGGGATGTTAGCAAATCCAGCGCCGCCGAGGGGCATGTGCAGCCCACGCACCTGCACCCGGTGGCCCCATCAGGATCATCCTGACGCCCTCCTGTGCCGCGGGCGCACTTGACGCATGGCCGCTCAGCTTGTTCTCGAGCTCGCCAATGCGGTGCTCGAGGCGCGAGACGAGGCTCTTGAGGTCGTCGACGACCGATTCCGTGACTGGCGCCATTGTGTGGGGACGTCAGGTGCCGAGGTGTGCAAGCAGAAGAGGCAGAAGGGCAGGCAGAGGCAGCGGATGAAGCGGACGACGAAAGACAGGCGGAGATGACGTGCAGTGGGTGCCCGTGGGTTGCGCAATGGCCGTCGCGGAAAAGTTGCGGCGCTGGAGCTTGGATGGAGTTGTGGCCGTTGTTGGCACGGGCTCCACGACGACAAAGCTCTCGGCTGGAGGGAAAGCTCCCGAGGTCGCTGCCCATTTTGCCTGTGCGCCGGAACTCTGATGTCACGGAAGAATTCCTTCCATCCGGCAGCGCTGGAAACACGGACGAAAATAGAATATTCAAACTACTTCAAGCAGACACTGGATTGAAAGGAGGATGGTATCTATACACAAATGTACTCGTAGCAGACACATCAAACCCAAACTAATACTCCGTCCCAAGCACCTTCTTCAGCCCCTTCATCTCCCCCTCGTACTTCTCCACCTTCTGCTGGCTCACCATCATCTTGTCCAGTAGATACTGCACGCGTCCCATCGTCTGCGCAGGCTGGCTCCTCAACTGACTCAACAGCAACAGCTCATTCTCGCACTTGTCGATGGTCGCGCTCTCAATCTTCGTCAGGTTGGTGAGAATCGCAAGATCCAGACGACTCCTCAACACATTGTCCTCCGTCAACCGCTTGAACGCTGGGTAGTAAACAGGCTTGCCAGGCTTTATTGTCGATGGACGACCGTTGGCGCCAGAGACGATGGTGATGAGTTCCGCCTGCTCGAGAGCACGGAGCACGTTGTCACCGCCGCTCTTCAACGTGTCGTCGAGCATCACCTCATTGTATCGTATTGACTCCACTTTTGCGAGTTTCTTGATCAGGAACCACGCTTGCTCAGCATTCCAGTTACGGTTACCGCCCTCGTCTTCTGCGCCAAAGATGTACATCTTGAGAATCTCAGACGCTGATTGATCAATCATTTCGTGCACTGCCTTGGTAGGTGTTTCGCCAGATTTGATTCGTCGCGCGAGGAACTCAAGGTCCGTAAGTCGGCCACCCAGATAATCAATGCAAGTGTCCAGTTCGCCAAGATCAGTACGGTGTCGCGACGGCAGCTTCTTTTCTGAGCCATCCTTTGGTGCCGGTTCATCCTCAACGTCAGCATCGAGGTGCTTGACGACGAAGCGTTTGGCGACGTCAGGGCTGCAGTCTGAAAGTGAGATTTGGCGGAACACACGGTCGGGTAGTGCCTTGGAGAGCGATTTGGAGAACGAGACGTCGTTGGTCAGGAAGATCACATGTGCTACGTTGGTAGTCGTCAAGCGGGCGGCCCTAGTAGTTGTCAGAGGTTGCAATCAGTTCGAGTCACCATGCTTACCAGTCGGCAATCTTGTCGTAGACAATGCCACCCTCCTGACTCTTGTGCAAGAAGTTGTCTATAATGACTACAGGTCTGCGCTCGGGATGCGCTTCAAGCCACTCGTCGTCACCCAAGTTTGCGTCCTTGTCGTCCTTATCCCGGCTGTCTAGCGCGATTTGCCTAAGTGCCGTAGTCGTAGTATTCCAGATCTTGTTGAGTTGAGATTCGAGAGTCTCAGAGAAACCCGTCTTGACACCTGTCGCGCCTTGAGCAGCCATGTCGATCATGCCGCTGATACTGTTCATCCACGAAAACACTGGCTTGTAGCCCACAGCCATGGCCGCAGCGCTGATGGTCGCGCTGTCACCTCGAGCTTCCTGAATTGGTTTGCAGTCAATGACAGCTTTGAGCTTTACGTCCTGGAGTGCTTGATCGACCACCAATTCACGTTTCCCAGTACCACGAGGTCCTTGGACGATGATGAACGTATCAGCCGTCTCCATGAGCCAGGTCTGGATCTGCTCGATGTTGCCTTTGCGATCGTCCCATATTGCCTCCATGCCATCATCATCTTCTTGTTTCCGGCGGTGAAAGATGTCTGTCGCGTAGCCTTTGATCCATTTATACCATTTGTTGTCTTCGAAGTGGAGAGTCCTTGTGATGTGTGCCTTGACAAAGAATGTTCGGATCCTGAGTATGCATTAGTAGGTGCTACACTAGAAGATGTTTGTGCAACTGACGGATCAAAGATGGCGACGGTAATGGTAGCTACAATCGCAGCAAGAACGGGAATGACGATTCTTGGATGACTGAAGAGCCAGTCCTTGAACCAACGCGGCTTGATCTTCGCCTCGTACTTCAGCCTCACGACGGTGCCCTTCTTCCCGCCTCCAAGTGCTTCGGTAAGGACATAGCCATGCATACTGCAGACACATCAGTTGAAATATCCGAAATCCATCAGTAAGGGTGCATACCAGTTCTTCGCCATAGTAGCATTTGGCAGACCCGCAAAATCCAGATACGCAAACTTCGGCAACACCTTGGAGTCCGGGGGCTGCACAACAATATCACTCAACTTTCCATACGGCCTGAAGAGCTCAAACAGCTGTTCCTGGCTCAACTCAACCGCCTCGCTGACCCCCGCGCCTGGCTCCGCAGGGACGAATTCGACCCTCAGCCGCGGTGTAGGCAGACGCATCAGATCTTCAATCCACGGCCTCCCCTTCACGACGCTGACTTCTACCCGACGGAATGGACTCCACCAAGGCTTGACGGGATTGTCGTTCAGGTACCCCTGTAGCAGTTTCTCAACATCTGAATCCGAACTTGCTGCACCACTATCATCGACAGTGTACTTGACGAACGCTCCACCCTCTCTCATGCGTGGGAGGACTTCGGTAGCATTGATGGGCAGACTGCCTTTTGCCCTCGCTCTCTCGAGGATGACATTTGGATCCGTTCCTGAACCTGTGGGGCTGATAATCTTGTCGAGCAAACGAGGAATTGGAAGTCCTAAGATTTTCCGAATCTGGATGGGGAAGACATTGTTGAAGAAAAGGAGCCCCTCATTAGGTGCAGCACTGATATGGCCTGTTTGATCCTCGCCAGCTTGCAATGTGGTTGACGTTGTTGCATAGCGGCCTGGAACAGTCCATAATCTCTGGTTTAGTAGACTGGCCGGTCTGTTGCGAGCATACAAAATCGAGTGTGTGGTTCTGATGAGCTGTCAGTTATCTCGTGATGTTCTGCCCTATCAAAGTTTCGTCTTCTACCTTGACAATTCCGGCAGTGGCAAGCGCCGTCCAGCGGTATGCCAGACTGGTCTTGATAGCATTTTCGCTATTATAGGAGATCACCAGTGCATACTGCTGATGGTGTTGTGATGAGACTGCAGCGTCGACTTCTGTGAAGCCTGGTGCAGACCGCGTGACGTCATCCACGCTACACGAACTTGCATTTCCTGAGGTAGTTGGAAATCACGAAACGAAGTAAGCTACATTCTTTGTGGCTCCTACAAGTCGCAAAACTACACGATTGGAAGTTGTTGAAGTGCACACAAGGCGTATACAGCTCTGTATTCATGCACAAGATCCCTATACTAAACTTAGTTGTAGTTGTCCAGCTGTTGCATGATTTCGCTGCACCCTGGCTCCTAATATTTCGATAGACCGAGAGACAACCTCTTGCTGCCAAGCATTCTAAAAGACGGAGTCAGTATTTAGCACACCTCACGGGTTACATGAACTGAATGCAGTAGATATATGATTCGCATATGTACACAAATTGGATGCGGAAAGCACGCTAAACACTGCATACCGCAAATGCCGCCCAGATGACTCCGGCAAACTGGAAAAAGGTATCTTGCGAGTGATGACAGCAAATGCTCCAATGAGCCCAAACGCCTGTACAGATGATACGCCAAATTCGTGCGGAACCCAATTTTATCATAACCCTATCTTCGTAACCGTTCTTGCGTGACCCCTCTTTTTATTACCACTTCAACTCCAAGACCTTTCTATGCGGAGGCCGTGATCAGACCCTTGGAAGAGCCAATGGCCTTGTTCTGCAGCGGCGAGCGCTTGACGATGCCACCAGTGACGGGAAGCGCGGTTCCTTCGCCAGTGAGGAAAGAGTCAACATCGCGAGCGCACTGGCGACCCTCGTTGATGCCCCACACGATGAGAGATTGACCGCGACGGCAATCACCAGCGGCGAAGACACCGGGGAGGTTGGTGTTGTAGTGACCAGGAGGTGTCTTGATGTTCTTGCGACCGTCGAGCTCGACGACATCGCTCATCACACGCTGCTCGGGACCCAAGAAACCCATGGAGAGCAGGACGAGGTCAGCAGGGAAGAACTGCTCGCTGCCCTCAACGTGCTTCATGTCCCAACCGCCAGAGGCAGACTTGGTCCACTCAACACGGACGGTGTTGATGCCCTTGACTTTGCCCTCTCCGTCGTCGACGAAGTCCTTGGACATGACACAGTACTCACGCGGATCCTTGCCCATGTGAGTCTTGACCTCAGAGTGGCCGTAATCTGTGCGGAAGATACGGGGCCACTGAGGCCATGGGTTGTCGCGAGCACGTTCTGCTGGGGGCTGGGGCAGCAACTCGAAGTTGACGACCGACTTGGCACCGTGACGAACGGACGTACCAATGCAATCGTTACCGGTGTCACCACCTCCAATGACAACGACATTCTTGTCCTTGGCAGAGATGTATGCGTCATCAGCCAACTCGGAGTCCAGGAGGGACTTGGTGTTCTTGTGCAAGAACTGCATGGCGTAGTGGATGCCTTCAAGGTTGCGGTTGGGGATCGGCAGATCACGAGCGACAGTAGCACCGGTGGCGAATACAACGGCGTCAAACTCTGCGCGAAGAGTGTCGAGAGTAGGTTGTCCTTCTTCACCAACAGCGACACCGGTCTTGAAAGTGATGCCCTCAGCCGCCAAGAAATCGACACGGCGCTGGACAACCTTCTTGTCAAGCTTCATGTTGGGAATACCATACATGAGCAGCCCACCAACACGATCGGATCGCTCGAAGAGGGTGACAGTGTGGCCAGCCTTGTTGAGCTGGTCAGAGCAAGCGAGACCTGCTGGGCCACCACCGATAATGGCAACCGTCTTGCCGGTGCGGTGCTTAGGTGGCGTAGGAACCATCCAGCCCATCTCGAAACCACGGTCGATAATGGCACACTCGATCGATTTGATGCCAACTGGGTCCTCGTTGATTCCGAGAACGCAAGCACCCTCGCAAGGAGCAGGGCAGACACGACCAGTGAATTCTGGGAAATTATTGGTTTTTAACAGCCTATTTAGCGCATCGCGCCATTGACCCTGAAAGACCAGTTCGTTCCATTTCGGTATAATGTTAGAAATGGGGCAACCAGTGTCAGACTGACAAAAGGGTACACCGCAGTCCATGCAACGAGCAGTCTGGTACTTGAGTTCATCCTCGTTCAAACGCTGAGACAGCTCCGCCCAATCACGAGTTCGGGTCTTGGGGTTGCGGTATTTCTCAGAGCGGCGCTGGTATTTCATGAAGCCGCGAGTCTTGTCAAGCACAAGTGCCTTCTTCTTCTCGGCCTTCGCGTCAGTGACACTCTCCTCAATGTCGAGCAAGTCACTCTTCTTCTTTTCCTTGGCCTCGTGTTCATGCTCAGTCTTGCGAGATTGCTCGTGAGCAGAACGGACAGGATTGCCTGCGAGGATAGGAAGCGGGTACTCCTGCCTCTTCTTCTCAGCCGCCTTCGCCTTCTCCTCCAAAAGCACGCGCTTGTAGTCAACGGGCATGACCTTGACGAAGCGTGGGAGTGCGCGAGTGAAGTCAAGCAGGATGCGCGCGGCGAGCTCGGAGCCAGTGTAGTGGTGATGATCTTCAATAAGACCACGGAGGTAGGCGATCTCTTCGGGCTCCTCGATACCGGAAAGCTCAACCATCTCCTGGTTGACTTTCTGCTCGAAATCCTGGTGGATGTCGAGAACGTAGGCAATACCACCGGACATACCAGCAGCAAAGTTCCGTCCAGTAGAACCGAGAACCAGGACACGACCACCAGTCATGTACTCGCAGCCGTGGTCACCGACACCCTCAACAACCGCTGTGGCACCAGAGTTACGAACACAGAAACGCTCAGCAGCGATACCGCGGAAGTAGCAAGTACCCTTGGTGGCTCCATACAAGCAAACGTTACCAATCAGGATGTTCTCCTCGGCACGGTATACGGCAGTTCGTGGTGGGTAGACAATCAAACGGCCTCCGGAGAGACCCTTGCCGACGTAGTCGTTGGCATCACCCTCAAGCTCAAGAGTGACACCTGGCGCAAGGAAGGCACCAAAAGACTGACCAGCGGATCCACGAATGTTCACATGGATGGTGTCTTGTGGCAGACCGGCCTCGCCATAGCGCTTGCTGATGTGGTAAGAGAGGGTAGCGCCGAGAGCACGATCGGTGTTGACTACATCGCACTCAATGCGGGCTGGCAGGCCCTTCTCGAGAGCAAGCTCGGACTCAGCGATGAGCTTGTTGTCGAGACGCACGTGCAGACGGTGATCCTGCTTGCGGACGTTGAAGGTAGCCACACCAGGTCGGAGGGTGTGCGCAGGAGTCAGGATGAGAGACAGGTCAATGTTCTCCGTCTTGGGTGTGCGGAGATCGTCCCGAATGCGGAGGGTCTCGCAGTGGCCGACCATATCGTTGATGGTTCGGTAACCAAGCTTAGCCATGATGGCTCGGAGCTCATTGGCGATGTAGTAGAAGAAGTTGATCACGTGTTCGGGCGTACCGGAGAACTTCTTCCTGAGCTCGGGATCCTGGGTGGCGATGCCGACTGGGCAGGTGTTCAGACTATTACCATGGTTAGCAGATGGTCTCATAAGTGTTTTGAACGTTGGGGCGGACGACTACAAGGGGTGCTAAAGGAGGAGTAGTTGTTGTCATGAACAATGGGATGGACAACTACAAGGGGTGTTGATGGGGGAAAATGTCTTCGTAAACACTGGAGCGGGCAACGACGAAGAGTAAAATACTGACTGGCACTTCCGCATCATGATGCAGCCCATGGCGATCAGAGGAGTCGTAGCAAAGCCCCATTCTTCAGCTCCAAGCAAACAGGCGATAGCGACATCGCGTCCGGTTCGGAGCTGACCATCAGTCTGGACGATGACACGACCACGGAGATCGTTGAGGACAAGAGTCTGATGAGTCTCGGCGAGACCCAACTCCCAGGGAAGACCGGCGTACTTGATACCAGTCCATCGAGAAGCACCGGTACCACCATCGTGACCAGAGATGAGGATGTGGTCAGCCTTGGCTTTGGCGACACCCGAGGCGACAATACCAACACCAGTCTCGGATACGAGCTTGACGGAGACACGAGCGCGAGGGTTGGAGCACTTCAGATCGTAGATCAACTGCTTGAGATCTTCGATCGAGTAGATGTCGTGATGGGGAGGAGGGCTGATGAGACCCACACCAGGGGTAGAGTGGCGGGTCTTAGCGATGGAGCCAGAGACCTTGTGGCCAGGAAGCTCACCACCCTCACCGGGCTTAGCACCCTGAGCCATCTTGATCTGGAGTTCGTCGGCGTCGGCCAAGTAGTTGGAGGTGACACCGAAACGTCCAGAAGCAATCTGCTTGATGGCAGAGCGCATTGTGTCACCGTTGTCCATGCGCAAGCTGCGCTCGGGATCCTCACCACCCTCACCAGTGTTGGACTTACCGCCAAGTCGGTTCATGGCGACAGCAAGGGTTGAGTGCGACTCCATGGAGATAGAACCGTAGGACATAGCACCAGTGACGAAGCGACGCACGATGTCAGTCCATGGCTCGACCTGATCGATGGGGATCGGTGTGCGGTCGTCAAAGTTGAAGTCAAGGAGACCACGAAGCGTGCAGTCCTTGATGCGCTCGTACTCGGCGAGGGAGTAAGCCTCGTAGGACTTGTCATTCTTCGTGCGGACGGCATCCTGGATGTTGGCCATGGCGGTGGGATCGTTGACGTGGGGTTCGCCTCCGTCACGCCAGTGGTATTCTCCAGTCTCAGCCAGACCAGGAACCTCAACGATGGATCGGGATGGGAAACCGTTCTCGTGGAGGGCCAAGGCATCCTGTGCGATCAGCTCAAAGGTCATACCCTTGATACGGGAGGCAGTTCCGGTAAAGCAGCGGTCGACGACGGAGTCATCGAGACCAAGAGCTTCGAAGATCTGAGCGCCCTTGTACGAAGGAAGGGTGGAGATACCCATCTTGCTCATAACCTTCAAGATACCACCATCGCAAGAGTGCTTGTAGTTGTCAATGAGCTGATCGGGGCTGAGTTTCTTGCGAATGAGCCCTTCGCGGTGCATCTTGAGGATACACTCGATGGCGAGGTATGGGCAGATGGCATCAGCTCCGTATCCGACAAGGACAGACATGTGGTGGACTTCACGAGCCTCACCAGTCTCGACAAACAACGCAACGTTGGAACGCCACTTGTTACGAACAAGGTGGTGGTGCACCATACCAGTGGCCAAGCATGCAGAGATGGGAACTCGGTCAGCTGAAGTCGCCTTGTCAGAGAGCAGGATGATGTTGTCACCAGCCTTGACACCTTCAGCAGCGCCCTCGCAAATGCGGTCGAGAGCATTGATGTATCCCTCGACACCCTCGCTCTTGTCGAAAGTGATGTCGATGGTCTTAACCGTCCAGTCAGAGTACAGAGTGTGAGTGTTGGTTATCGCCTTGAACTCCTCAAGAGACAGAATAGGCGAAGGCAGAAGCATTCGACCGCACTGAAATTCATTCATCTCCAACAGGTTGCCCTGAGGACCAACATAGGCCTCCAAAGACATGACGATCGCCTCACGAATAGGGTCAATCGGAGGGTTTGTGACCTGAGCGAAGAGCTGACGGAAGTACTCGTAGAGTAGACGAGGCTGAGTGGCTAAGCAAGCCAGAGGGGCATCGTTACCCATAGATCCAAGAGCTTCCTTTGAATCCGCGGCCATGGGTCCGAGGAGCAAACTGATCTGCTCCAGAGAGTAGCCAAATGCTCGTAGACGAGGGTCCTCGTGAACTTTGCTCTCGGACAGTTTGCTGGAGAGCTCCATACCCTTGTCACTGACTGCTTTCACAATCTTGGGTAGGGTGAGAAGGTTCTTCTCCACCCAGTCGCGGAAGTTGTTACGCTGTGCCACCGTGTTCTTCAACTCGGCGTCGTCGACAATTCGTCCAGCGACAGTATCGACGAGCAACATCCTACCGGGCTGTAGACGACCCTTCTGCACAACTCGCTCAGGCTCAATGGAGATCGTACCGACCTCAGAAGCGCAGACAATGCGGTCGTCATCAGTGACGTAGTAACGGCAAGGGCGGAGACCGTTTCGGTCAAGGTTGGCACCGCAGTACCGTCCGTCTGCGAATGTGAAGAGAGCAGGCCCGTCCCAGGGCTCCATCATGCAGGCTGCCCACTCGTAGAAAGCCTGCTTGGCGGGGTCCATGGTGTGGTTACCCTGCCACGCTTCTGGAACCATAAGCATGACCGCTTCTGGCAGAGAGAGAACGCCGTTGATGGTGAGCAGCTCAAGAACATTGTCGAACGCTGCAGAGTCAGAACCACCATCCTCGATGATGGGGTAAAGCATGTCCAGATCATCGCCGAAAAGTTCAGACTTCATGACACCCTCACGTGCTCGCATCCAGTTCTTGTTTCCTCGGAGTGTGTTGATTTCACCGTTATGAGCGGCCCATCGCAGAGGTTGTGCACGATCCCAACTGGGGAATGTGTTTGTCGAGAACCGAGAGTGCACCAATGCGAAGTGACCCTCGTAGTCGACGGAAACGAGATCGTAGTAGTACTCGTACACTTGCACTGGAGACAGCTGACCCTTGTATACGATGTTCTTGTTGCTCAGCGAGCAGATGTAGAACCAGTTGTGCAGGCCAATTACGTGTGTGGAACGTTTGCGTAGAACGTAGAGCTGTCGCTCGAAGTATGCTGGGTCAAATTTCTCATCGAAGTCCGGCTTCGGCTCCTTGCCCTCGCCGTAGGCAGTCTTCAGCACGACAAATGGCTGCAGGATGATCGGCTCTCGTGATAGTGCCGCAGGTCCAAGAAGGGTAGAGTCGCGAGGAACCAATCGCCACCCGAGTACTCTCAGGTCCATCTGGTCTGCAACATCCTCAAACATAGTCTTGGTCTCCTCCAAGATCGCGGAGTCTGGCTTGAAGAACAAGTTACCAGTGGCATACTGGCCAAGCTTAGGCAGCTTGAAGCCCTGGTCGCGCCCGAACTCCTTGAGGAAGAATCGGTGGGGGATGGAGGTCATTACACCTGCACCGTCACCGTCTCGTGCGTCTGAGCCCACGGCACCTCGATGGGTCATGTTGCACAGCAACGAACGAGCTGTGTTTTGTTAGCATCCTGTATTAGATTCCTAGCCTTCATGTTCGCTCTTACCATCGGAGATAATCTTGTGGCTGGCCTTGCCCTTGATATGGCTACCCAAATGTCAGTGTCTCTATTCCAGTCCAAACAATCGCCGGGGTACTCACGCAGCGAAGCCGACACCGCAAGCATCCTTCTCCAACGAGGGGTCATACAGACCCTGCTTCAAGGGAAGCGCACCCGCCCAAGACTTGTTCTCGGGGCCATCTTGGTAAGGAAACACAGATGACGTTTGCTCCTCTTCGATCTGGGTATCCTGGGGCAGTTTTGTATCTTCGGCAAACGAGACCTTACCCATTATATCGGCAAAAGGCCGAATGTCTGGGTTTGTAGGTGTCGGGTACGCGTGGTGGGGTGTCGATGTGTGTGGTGGCGGGGTCGCTCGAGGATCCGACTCGGAGCTGCTGCTCTTGTGATTGATACAAGTCTAGAGGTGGTTGTTAGTCTCAAGGGTCTTGTGAGGTGTGATTGTTGTTCGTGAGGCGAAAGTCAAGGGCCGAATATATTTGTGAATAATACGATGCGCTTAAGCCTAGCTCAGAACCAAAGAAAGTGTGGGGGAATGATCGAGATCGATTGCAGGCGTCAATCACCCTCAATGGAGTTTCCAGACGTCATGACCAGCACCCATATACCCGTCTGTAGGTAAGTAATACCTGTGCCGCTGCTCACAACTCGAAAATGGCCGATAGCTGCCCTTGCGTACGCATATGCTGATAAGAGAGTCGGCGAATAGGGTGGCGCGGGGTTGTGCTCTCATAAAGGCAGGGCGCTCGCTAAGGTCTTTCGCGCAGGCAGATAGTGGTGGGGGAGCTCGTTGTATGGCCGGGGAAGTGTGGCAGGTGCAGCAGAGATGATGTGGGAGGCAAAACTAGACCTACTTACTGTGTAGCCGGTATGAACAGGCCTGGGGTCGACTCGCAGTATTCCAGCAAGCGACTATGAAGTTGAGAAGAGTGGGTAGAGAGTGAACGAGGAAAGTGCGGCAGGGTCGGTGGGAATGCTTATGAGTTGAGGGAGGGCTGGTGGGGGGGTTTTTTCCACAGTGCGCTAACATCTTCACTCCGACTTCGTCCAATTACTGGTCTAGAAGCGTGGCGAGGGAGGCGTTCACGGCATGCTCGCCAACTATCTGAGAACTGTATCCGCTTGCCTGCGCGAATGCATTCGATAATCCGGTCTTGCTACTGTTCTTGGTGACTGGTTCGCGCCGTTCTCCAGTTGCATACACCTCGAGGCGTCTGTCAACCTTGCGTCCACGCGCCGTCCAAAACCACAATAAAATCACTTTCTTCCCACTAGATGAGTACACACGACCAATTGGTCCTCAACCTTTTCCAATTGCTCTTCTGAGGCTCTCTGGCACTTCTGAGCCCCACTTAACAATGCTCCAAGATATGTTACCGTTAGAGAATTTGGCCTCTACCCCACCATTTTCTGCCAGCCCGTTACCGAAAGCAGGGCTAGGTGGACCGGGGTTGTCTCGGGCGGTGAGGCAGTGGTTCAGCGAGGTAACCAATCCTGAGCATCCGAAATCGCTCTGACATATGATCATGACCCGGACACGCAGCATGCATGTGCGCTTCCGCTCTCACGCTCCACCTCTGAGATTGCCGCTGCAGCCCACGCCACGGCATTGGAATTCGGAGCGCGTCCATTGGGTCGGCGACCACAGACGGCGGGGCCACCACGTCTTTGTTGTAATTCTAGGCGGTCATCTCTGCGATAAGGTTGGGTCCAAGAGCGGACGACGCGCTACGGAACGCGAGCGTACCACCGTCATAGGATGGGAGATCTCTTAAAGCCCCGCCCCTGCTCAGCGGAGTGCAGTGTGTGCGCGGCCATCGACATCATCGCCAGGCGGAATGCGTCGACTCACGTTCTTTGTACCTGTAGGCTCGCACCAAGCGAGCAAAAAGCAAATCATCCACCATCAGCAGCATCACACTGGTTGCTAGTAGATTGGGCGGAGCTCGCCGTGTTCCCGCCACGAAAGATGAAGGAATATGTCCCCATCATGTCGGGAAAGACCGGAATGTCGACTGCTAGCTGGCAACTCTCGACTGGACAGAGGTTTTCATGAGTCACGAGTTCATTTCCTCCACCAATGCGTCCGGGTCCACGTCCAAGGTGGTTGGACGCGCCGACATCGCGCGTTGGTGTTGAGCGGCGGATACTCCAGGCAAGTGCGCTGCAAGTCTGCACGAATTACCTACGGGGGCATGCCGGAAATATCAGCAAGCGCCCTTCTGAAGAGCATGGCGTACCATGGGGGTGGAGTCTGGGGCAAGGCAATCCGACTTGAAATTTTTGGTCGGGTGATGCGCTGAACTGCACTTTTGCCTTCGATCTGTGGGAATCGCGGGCCGCCTCAACTAATTACCTATTCGAGACGTGTTTCTCGCCTCATCCTTGCTTCTTTGCCTTGTCCACGCACCACACACTCCGGGGGTTGTGGAGCATACGCAAAACTTCCAAGCCAATTAGGGATCATCCAGTAGTCCATCTACAACGATGTTTTCTAAAGCGTACTAGGGGTAAAAAGCAATTGCGATTGGCTCCGAAGCCACAGCAGACCTTCTAACTCGCTCGAGGGTGGCAATTTGGGAAAACATGCGGGAGATACCCTAGTACACTACAAACCCAACCTCCAAAAGGCAAAGAACTCATGAAGAAAGAAGCTCGTATATCCGATTATATTCAAACCCCGATATCTCTATTTCTAGTTTGAATTTAGACGACAACAGACGTGCAAATTTCAGGACTTTGCTACCGTAGGTACACAACGACTAAGTCCTTTAAACAGTAACAACAAAACTTTTCGAATTGATGCGAGGCAGGGAATCAAGTTGACACGTGCCCTTCTCAGCACATTTCTGCACGCGTGCTCGCTGTGTAACCTTATCTGTGCATAGAGTTTCTGCTAGATGATACTACATCAAACATGAAGACCTAATCAGCTCGAATGAAAACCAACCCAATCCCAACACATGTATACAACAACACACACACACACACACCGTTTCACATTGACCACGCTCCCAGTGTAAACGCTCCCAGATCATCCTCTCAGACCATCCTCCCAACATTTCATCTACATGTCCGTCCAGTAGAAGGAATATGCAGAACCAAGGAGATTAAAGATTTCTAAACGTTAAAGAACTAAACCTCCAACCAGGAAACAAATCCCGCTGAACTATTGATCCATACCAAAGGATACCAACACCAACACCAACACCAACACCAACACTACGCAAGCAAGCAAGCAAGCAAGCAAGCAAGCAAGCAAGCAAGCAAGCAAATTAATCAAATCCCCACGTCTACACATTCCGAAACCGCAGTACCTTTACACCCCACCCCCAAGAACTCTAAAAGCATACCATGCCGTCTCAAACAGGAAATCCTTCACCTTACTACTGCCCCGCCGCGTGAGTCTACAAAGCAAAGCAGAGAAGAAAGAAGTTGCAGAATGCAAGGCACACTAAGCATGCCAGAGCACTTGACCAGCTGACTGATAGTCTACCTTGGAATTGGGGGCTGGGGAGGAGAAGAACATGTTGTCGGGGTACGGATAGATGGATGGGGAAGATGATGTTTAACTACCTAATGTGTAGATGTTGTGTTAACTGGGCAGTCATGTTACACAATACTGACATGACAATAATAAGGAGCATCAGGCCCTTGCATGTTGTACGTTGGGTCGGATCGGCCTCGCAGGGGGGAGGGCGTAGGATCGTGCGAGGAAAAAAAGCTTTGATGGGTGTATCAGTTCAATCCTGACTATCATCTAGCTGAAAGAGGGACTTGGGTGTCCGACTCGAACCAAGTCCACATCACCCAGACACACCAAGAGAGAAAGCAGGTCAAGTTTGATATCATCATGTTATTTCGTGATAATGTACTGGATCTACGCAAGCAAGCGAGGGAAAACCATGCCATGTCATGTTGCCAAACAAAGCACAACAGCCAAGTATGTCCCCTACACCGTGCCAGCAAAACAGCAGCACTCCATGCCGAGACGCCGAAGCCACGAGCAATCCCTCCATCCCATCCAATATCCCCAAAGCTTTTCGTGTCATAAAAATCCAACCCAGGCGTTTAGACGTTCATGATCGCATCGCATCGCATCGCGTCGACAGTTGCCCTACACGCACACCGTCAGCTCCCCACCCACGCCATCAAGATTTCGAAACACGCACCTTCTTCTACTTCTCCAAATCTACTCCTTCATCTGATCCTCCGGATCGACAAAGTCCTCATCATCATCCTCATCCTCATCCCCGCCAAGCTCAGCATTCGCCTTGGCAAAGTCAATGTTCTTGCCGCGCGTGCGACTGCCGATGATATTGGCGGTTTCGATTTCCTCCATGTTGTCCTCATCGGGCTCCTCAACTATGCCTTTGATCAGTATGCATATCCAGGACGTGGGTGTCAAGATGTGGTGGGTATACCTTCACCGGCCTATTGCGTTTCGTGTTAGCTGTGAGAACTCCAATGGGAAGGGTGAAAAACATACATGGTCCTCAATACCGGACTCGTCGCTGGAGTCCTCATCCATGGACTCCTCTACAGCCTGGGCCTTGCCCTTGCCCTTGTCGGCGGGGTCCTGCACACCCTCCATGTGCTGGTTGTTGTCTTGCTGGGCGGACATTTTCGCGTGTGAATTGGGTGGTTGAGTAGTTATTGAGGCGTTTGGATGCTGGAGCAGAGGGTGTCGTGTGCGATTGAGAGCGGTGGCGAGTTGTTTTGTGTTGGCGCGTGGAATGGAGGAACGTGAATCTGGAAGCGGTCAGCGTCCGTCCATTTCTCCAAGCTGCGCTAGCCTAGTTGGGGGCTGTCACCCCAGTAACGACGCCGCTGAGCAACAAATAGCAAATGTCATGAATTCATTAGTCGACGACGGTGCTTGACTACACAATTAATCGAGCAAGCATTCATTGACAGGTAACGAACGCGGATGTGAGGAGGGCAAAGGTGGCAGCACATGAACGGGAGTCCGCGGAGGAGAAGAAAAACATGTCAGAACACAAAACCTCCATTCCCAATATAATCCCATGACCTTTTCAGAGTCTTTTGATCCATCCCTCTACTATTCCGTACTAAAGCTCATAAATCATCGCACATAAACATCATAACCACCGTGTAGTAAACCTCTAATGGTGGAACAATCGAATGTGCTGCTCCACGAACGTAATCCCCAGCTTCTCGCTCGTCTCAAACACCGCGCCATCGTTCTGGCTACCCGTTGGGGCAGCAATGTATCCCGCTCCACTCCTCTTCGCGCGGAACACGTTATCGATGAAGGGGAAGAAAGCATCGCTCGACAGGGCAACACCCTCAAGCTTCTCCAGCCACTCTTTGCGCTCCTCAGCCGAGAACGGCTCAGGCACAGCACCCGACTCGAAGTGCGCTTCGAAGTCGTCACGCTCGGGACCCGACGCTGGGACGAGGCCAGAGCAGAGGAGATCGATGGCGTTTGACTTGGAGGGGCGCTTGGTGCCCTTGGCGAACTTGAGGGAGAGGGTGCGGCTGTGAAAGCGCATCCACCAGTTGTCAGCCTTGTCGCCGGCGAGACGGGTGCAGTGGATGCGAGCTAGGGGTCTGTCAGCGAGAACGCACCATCAGAGTCGAGCCAGGACTTACACTGTTGACCAGCACCAAGACCAATGATCTGGCCGTTGAGCGCGTAGCAGACGCTGTTGGACTGTGTGTACTTGAGCGCAATGGTCGCTACTGTCAGGTCGCGCTGGGCGGACTCGGGCAGGGGACCAGAGTTCTTTGGCACAACGACGGTGTTGAAGCTGTCTGACGGGACGATCTTGGCATCGTTGCGGTGCTGCTTCAGGGTGATGCCAAAGACAGTCCTTGACTCCTCTGAGCCGGGCACGTAGTCGGGATCCATCTGGAGGACCAGGTATTTGCCCGCCTTCTTCTTCTTGAGGATCTCGAGCGCCTCAGCGGTGTAGCCCGGCGCGATGACACCGTCCGAGACCTCGCGGCTGATGATCTTGGCAGTTGGCACGTCGACCTCGTGCGACAGGGCAATCATGTCGCCGAAGCTGGACATGCGGTCGGCACCACGCGCCCTGGCATACGCCTGCGCCAGACCAGACTTGTCGATGCCGTCAATGTCGTCCACCATGTAGACCTTCTTCTCGACGTCGCTGAGCGGCACACCGATGGCGGCACCGGCGGGCGAGACGTGCTTGAAGCTGGCGGCGGCCGGGTAGTTCAGCGCCTGGCTCAGCTCCTGGACCAGCGGCCACGCGTTCAGCGCATCGAGCAGGTTGATGTAGCCTGGCGCTCCGCACAGCACCTTGAACGGCAGTGGCTTGTCGGCCATGGCGACGGTCGCGGGCTTCTGGTGGGGGTTCGCGCCGTAGCGCAGCGGCAGGAACTGCTCGCCGTTGCCGGCATACTTCTTGCGGAAGAACTCGGAGATGGCGCCGTCGTAGGCGGCCGTCTGCTCAAAGGCCTTGAGGGCGTACTTCTGGCGGTTCTGCTCCGACACCTCGCCGTCCTTCTTCAGCTCCGTCAGCAGGTCGTGGTAGTCGCTGGGGTCGCTGATGATGGTGACGCGGGCGTGGTTCTTGGCGGCGGCGCGTAGCAGCGTGACGCCGCCAATGTCGATCTCCTCGACGGCCTCGGGGATGGTGACGTTGATGCGCGCGACCGTCTCGGAGAAAGGGTACAGGTTGCACACGACAAAGTCGATCTTGTCGATGCTGTTGGCCGTGAGGTCCGAGTCGTCCGAGTCGAGGTTGCGGGCGAGGATGCCTCCGTGCACGGCGGGATGCAGTGTCTTGACGCGGCCCCCGAGCATCTCGGGCGCCTTGGTGATGGCCGACACGTCCTCGACGGGGAAGTTGGCCTGGCGGATCATCTTGGCCGTGCCGCCCGACGCGAGCAGGCGCACATTGCACTCGTGGAGCCCTTTGGCGAGGTCGAGCAGGCCCGTCTTGTCGTAGACGGACAGGATCGCTACTGACGTTAGTATTTGTACTCGATCCTTCTCCCTTTTACTCTCTCGCGACTTGGACGGGATGTTGCTTACCGGTCTTTTGGCCTCCCATGTTGACAGATATACAATGGACAGTCAGCTAAGCAGTCAATTAAATTGTCAATCAAGGAAGGAGGGAAAGCAAGAGCAATGCTGGGGCGCCGTTTCACTGCAGCGTTGGGATGCCCCGCCTAAATTCCAAAAATCTGCCCCTCGTCGCCGAGTTCGGGCTGGCGGGATGCGTCTGGCGTCATTGGCCAGAGCGTCACAACACCACCCTGATGGTTGTACGCGATAGCCGTTGTATACGCGACTTCGACCTGGTAGATATTAGATCCTAGTATGTAGCCTAATCGATCCTTTGATCTGCTCCAGAGTTCCCTTGCCTCTTGCCGGCTAATCTGGATCGGGCCTCGGCGTTCCGTCTCACTCGTCTCACTTAGACAAGCAAGCCCACCACATCTTACCTCCTCCTAACCCTAGATACACCATGGCCGCCCACTCCAATACCGACCTAACAGCGCACCTGCACACCGTCCTCCAAGACCTCCACTCGACGCCCTACCCCACGATCCCCTGCCCAGAGAACCTCCCGAAACGCGCCTCCGTTGCCTTGATCCTGCGCGTGCAGCCAACATACACACACCCTGCGCCGTCTCCTACCACACCTACATCACAGAACCCAGACGCCCCCGACGCGCTTCGCGTCTTCTTCGAACAATCCTGGGTTCAGCACGGCGACCCAGAAATCCTCTTCATCAAGCGCGCGTCGCGCGTGGGAGATAAATGGACGGGCCATGTAGCATTGCCGGGTGGGAAGCGGGACAAGGAGGATGCGGATGACGGGGAGACGGCGGTGAGGGAGGCCATGGAGGAGGTGGGGATAGATTTGCGCTCCCAAGAGGACGGCGGGAAGGAGGTGATAGCGGTAGGGAACTTGCCGCAGAGGATCGTGACGACGAGTTGGGGAAAGGTGCCGTATGTTTCTCCGTTTAATACAAAGCTCGAGTTACTTTCGGTGTTGAGAAAAAAAGGTGTGAGGCGACGCTGATAATCGTCTAGATTGATGGTCCTGTGTCCTTACGTCTACCTCCTTACCTCGCCTTCCTACCCGTCCCAACGCCTCCAACCCACAGAAGTCGCCTCCACGCACTGGGTACCGATCCGCGCCCTCCTCGCACCTTCGCTCCGCACGCACGAATATGCCGACGTCAGCGCCCGCCTCGCGAAGTCAGAGTATAGCATCAAGCGTTGGTTCCTACAGGCCATGCTGAGCAAGATGATGTTCGCTGCTATCCACCTCATGCCTTCGAATTCCACGCATTGCGCCGAGATAGCAGGTTTCATCCCGCCAGAACATGTGGCCGAGAAAGGCAGGATAGTCAGCAACACAAGAGACATGTTAGTAGGAGGCTATAAAGAAGTGAAACCGCCGCTTCTGCTGTGGGGACTGACGCTGGGCGTCGTGTCGGACTTCCTGGAACACATGCCACCGCACAACGCGCTGGAGTTGTGGACATATCCTACCTTCACGTATTGGGACATACGGTTTGTGATGTGGGCCATGTCGTACTCGTTTCGACAGCAGAAATCTCTCGAGCTGTCGTCGATAACGACCACACATTCCAGCACGACGACGACGAGCAATCAGGATCTACCTGGCATGGGCAGCGAGGGCGTCGGTCCGCTCTTCGGAGACGAGAAACCTGCTGGCGAAGTCGGCATAGAGGGCTTGGGTGTTGGGCGCGGGTGGGGACAGAGCGGACGCGCGAAGATGGTCAGTCGAGGAGCAGCGGTAAACTCCATGCTCGAGGGGTACTATCCCATCGTGAGGAGAGCCGTCTTTGTAACGTTGGTGAGCAGGGTGAGCATTGTTGCGATACTAGGAGTTTGGTCGTGGAGGAAATATGCATCGAGCCGGTGAGGATGGACTGTTTGGAGCTGTGTACATCAGTAGAGACGGAACTTCTCGAACGTGTAGTCTGGAGTTGGTATGCATACAGCCGAGTGTCCTCGATGTACTTTGCGCTTACCGAATAGGAACGCAGTTGTCCGTAGTACTGGGATATGCCATGTGAGATCTAACACGAATCGTTCGTTTCGTCCCCAGGATCCACCACCGAAGCCCATTCACCGGGAGCTGCAAGCCTTCCTCCTGACTCAAAACCAACGGAGCGCCTAGAAGCTGCGCACATGCCGCCGAGATCCGACTCTTCGACACGGTCATCATCCAATGCTCTCTAAATTCTCGTACCATCTCCACCATTTTCCAATTTAAGGCCACACCCCGACGCTAACAACAGGCAGCTCCTCCTCGGCTCGACCTCAACGTCTGGGAGGACCCGTCCGACAGGTGTTAGTGGCGATCGTGGCCTGTGATCCACCGGTTTGGCAGGGTGAGGTGCTGGGGTTTGGCATGTGAAAGTCTGGAGATGAGTATTGGCAGCCCCACTTCTTCAACGTCCGCCTGTGAACACCAAACGGCTCAAGTGATGGCATGTGCAAAAGAAACAATGATGTACTTTGATGCGGGATGGACTCGTTCACCCAAAACATGGCATTCCGCCAAGGTACAGTATTCGGTATCCAAGTAGTTACGGCGACACGTTTGCATGTTGACTTTCGCCTTGATAAGACGTTTGTCGTAGTCTGAATGATGGTCTCTGAACAATAGTCTTTGGATTGTGGTCAGTCTGGCAGTCGGTAAACGTCTATCTGCACATGGTAGCTGACGGACGCTCGATATGCCTCGGAAGAAATCGGTTGAGTACGTTATCTAGAGGAAAGGCAGTCGGTGGCGTCTTCCAGCGAATTGTCTAACCGAGAGCTCATGATTGTTGAGTGCATCTCTCGCATGTGGGCAATTTCTCATCTGATAGCGATACCTATCCAGCAGGTGATGCTGCACAGTGACCTCAGACTCACCACAGCCTCACTCCACGTGCTGGCTACCAACGGGCAGACTCAACAGGTTGAGCCTCGGCGGGGGCGAACAAATAGGAATCGAGCTGAGAATTTCTGGGGCTAGCGCGAGACCCTGCAGATCGCACTACGAATTCTTGCGATCAGCATCCTGGAAGGCACTCGGTGATTGAGAGCAATTGTGCATTTCATTGCGCGTCTGTCTCCTGTTGCTGCCAACGGAGAAACTGTCTCGATCCTCGGGTATCGATAGCTGAATGTCGGTGTGCTCTGCCGAACCCGCGGGCTGTTGGATTGGGTACTTGGTACCTGGCCGTGGGCTCTAGGCGAGGCTATTCAGCCAGCGTCAGTGGGAAAAGACGCACGCTGAGAGGTGCAAACTAGCGGTCTGCTGTGCCAAGAGAGGGATCTGCTGTGAAATTTCGCGGCCCCCAGAGCGGCATGTTGGGCCAGAGAATATTGCGTGTCGCCGGTGCTGGCGCCAGCTGTTGACAAGTGGGCTCCCAAGCTGGCTCGCCTTTGTTGCGGCGCTGAATATGCTCAATGCGGTGGCAAGTCAAGGCAGCTGCTCAATGCCAGCGGTTTTTCCGAGTGGAGACATGGAGGTAAAATGTGTTAGTGTTGCGAGGTGCCGTTTATCAAACCGTAACCCCTGGAACGCTCCTTCTCGAACGCCTCTTGACGGTCTAACCTCTCCGCACTAATCAAGGGTCCACTCCAAATTCTTAGACACCGCCCTGAGGCCTTTAAAACGTCCTGCCCAATATTGTTATCTGTTCTTACCGACCTCCCACTCTTTCCCCTCTCCTTATCGAGGCCCCTCCCACCTTGCTGTCGAGGCACACAGGTCGAGCTCAACAAAAAGCGACCTGCATCTCAACAACTCTCCCACAGCTATATCGCTGTCAGTCTTTCTTTGAAGCCGTTCCCGCTTCTCAATCGCTCTTTGAGGTTGCTGTCGTTGCCGTCTGCACTCAATTCCATCACCACGATGGCCTCTACTACCGCCCGCGCTCAGCCTCACGCGCTGAAGCGCCACATCACCGCCGAGTCGACCCCGTCCACTATGGCCAACTCGCCCAACGAGTCCCCCAACGGCTCGGCCTCCAACACATCGCTTTCGTCGCTCGGCTCCGTCGACGAGGTCAAGAACACAAAGTCCAATGGTGTCCTTCTCGACACATACGGCAACGAGTTCAAGATCCCCGACTTCACCATCAAGGACATCCGCGACGCCATCCCCAAGCACTGCTTCGAGCGCTCTGCCGCCCGCAGTCTCGGCTACGTTGCACGTGATCTGGCCGTGCTCGCCACTACCTTCTACCTCTCCTACACCTACATAAGACCCGAGTACGTTCCCTCGACTGCCGTCCGTGCTGCTCTGTGGGCTGGATACACCATCATCCAGGGTCTGGTCGGTACCGGTCTCTGGGTCCTTGCCCACGAGTGCGGTCACCAGGCTTTCTCACCCTCCAAGGTGCTCAACGACACTGTCGGCTGGGTCTGCCACTCTCTTCTCCTCGTCCCCTACTTCTCATGGAAGATCTCCCACGGCAAGCACCACAAGGCCACCGGCCACATGGAACGTGACATGGTCTTCATCCCCAAGACCAGGGAGGTTTACGCTACTCGTGTCGGTAAGCTCATCCACGAGATCTCCGAGTTGGCTGAGGAGACACCCATCGTCACCTTCATCCACATGCTCGGCCAGCAGATTGGTGGATGGCAGATGTACCTCTTTGCCAACGTCACCGGCCACACTCACCACGACCGTCAATCCGAGGGCAAGGGTGTAGGAAAGCAAAACGGCATGTTCGGCGGCGTCAACCACTTCAACCCATCCAGCCCCTTGTACGAGAAGAGGGACGAGCATCTCATCCTGCTCAGCGATCTTGGCCTTGCCATTGTCATCGCTGCCCTGACCTACGTTGGCAAGATCCACGGCTTCTCGAGTGTCCTCGTCTGGTACATCATCCCCTACTTCTGGGTTCACCACTGGCTCGTCATGATCACCTTCCTCCAGCACACCGACCCGTCCCTGCCCCACTACGATGCTGAGACCTGGACCTACGCCCGTGGTGCTGGTGCCACCATCGACCGCGAGTTTGGCTTCATTGGACGCACTCTCTTCCACGGCATCATCGAGACCCACGTTCTGCACCACTACATCTCCTCCATCCCCTTCTACAACGCCGATGAGGCCTCGGAAGCCATCAAGAAGGTCATGGGCTCCCACTACCGATCTGACGTTGAGGGTGGTTCCATGGGATTCATCAAGTCTTTCTGGAAGAGCGCCCGCATGTGCCAGTTTGTTGAGCCTAGCGAGGGTGCTGAGGGAGAGGGTAAGGGTGTGCTCTTCTTCCGCAATCACAACGGTCTTGGTGTACAGCCCCGCAAGCTGGACGCGAAGCCCGTTGCTGGTAAGCGCGCCAAGATGGAGGTCGGCCCTGAGAGCGACAACGAGTAAGCTACAGGCTTGATCTTGAATGTGTGAGATGATGTCCGTTTATGTGGAGAGGCGTTATGGCTTAGCCTTGGAGTACAGTCTTGGGGCTTGCTTGGTCATGTTGTATTTTCTTGGAGTCGAGCGGTAGAGCTTAGACAGCATAAGACGATAGAGCTCGATATCCCCATTTGGAGGCAAAAGTAAGGATGCGCTTGTGTCAATGGCTGAGTACGAGGAGAGACAATAAACATATTACCGATTTCACCTGAGTGTCCTCCAGATGGTGATGAACTTCTGACCCCGCAACACATGGCTAGTAGGTATCAAGCGTGTGAACATTTCACCAATACACGGTGACTGGTTCGACTGGTTCCTGAACGGCTTGGTAATGGCGCACATGTGGTGCGTCAATGTGGCCCTCGTAATTCGTGGCCAGTTGGACGCACACACAACATCAAGATCTTAATATGGCATGAGCAGGTCAAGTCGAGCTTACAATCACTGCATGATGTCCAGTTGTGAGATGTCGAGTGACTGCAAATGGCTGCTAACAGCTAAAGATATATGTTGTCCCACGATTGAGATGATCAGGCCACGAGACGATCACAGAAGAGGTCAGGTCAGTAGAGAATATGTAGCGACGTTGGTAAGGAACAAGATATCATCAGAAAACCTCATCTGCTCCAGCTACCTCGCCCAGTGAGTCGTGCTCTGGGGCACGTAATAGAGGAAAGTGAGGTAGAGTTGCCAGACCTTCCTACAATAAATTGTGCCCGTAATGAGTTGAAGAAGAGAAGAAGTTGGGCGGGCGCGAAGATTTTGTAGGGCCGCGCTCTGGCCAATCACGGAACAGGAGATTACGAGAGGACGAGCGCCAAGCCGAATTCCTCCGTCGTCAACGTCGAGGTCGAGCTGGGCCGCAACAACACTATCGCCATCGCCAGAGCCCCCAACATGCTGCGGCAACAATTGATCCGGTCGCTGCGGAGGCCTGCCCACCGCGCAGCCCTCAATGGCAGCCGGGCCTTTACTGCCTCGGCCGTCCGGCCCGCAGAGGTCGAGCTCACCATCGGTTTGTGCCACTCCCCATTGCGGGCGGCGAGGCGTGCTAACGGCGCTTGCAGATGGAAAGAAGGTGTCGATTGAAGGTACGCACGCCCAGCATGAGGCCCCCAGCTGCACACACGTCTAACGCCCCGCACAGCCGGCGCCTCGCTCATCCAGGCCTGCGAGAAGGCCGGCAGCACTGTCCCGCGCTACTGCTACCACGAGAAGCTGATGATTGCCGGGAGTTGTCGTATGTGTCTGGTCGAGGTGGAGCGCGCCCCCAAGCCCGTGGCCTCCTGCGCCTGGCCAGTGCAGCCGGGCATGGTGGTCAAGACGGACTCGCCGCTCGTGCACAAGGCGCGAGAGGGCGTCATGGAGTTCCTGCTGGCCAACCACCCGCTCGACTGCCCCATCTGCGACCAGGGAGGCGAGTGCGATCTCCAGGACCAGTCGATGAGGTACGGCGGGGACCGCGGTCGCTTCCACGAGGTTGGCGGCAAGCGTGCCGTCGAGGACAAGAACATTGGGCCTTTGATCAAGGTGGGCGACCTGTTGCACGTGCGGCCAGGGACTATGCTTACGCGCGGTAGACATCCATGAACAGGTGCATCCACTGCACACGCTGCGTCCGCTTCTCCAACGACATCGCCGGTGCTCCTGAGATGGGCTCGTTTGGCCGCGGCAACAACCTGGAAATCGGCACCTACCTCGAGACTGCTCTCGACTCTGAGCTGTCCGGAAACGTCATCGATCTTTGCCCCGTCGGTGCCCTGACCTCCAAGCCCTACGCCTTCAAGGCAAGGCCATGGGAGCTATACAAGACCGAGACCATCGACGTGCTGGACGGCTTGGGCTCCAACATCCGTGTCGACTCCCGCGGTATCCAAGTCATGAGGGTCATCCCACGCCTGAACGACGACATCAACGAGGAATGGATCAACGACAAGACTCGCTTCGCCTGCGACGCCCTCAGCACACAGCGTCTGGTCAACCCGCTCATCCGTGTCAACGACCAGTTCCAGCCTGCATCATGGGAGCAAGCCCTCGTTGAGATCGGAAACGCCTACAAGAAGATTGCACCCAAGGGCAACGAATTCAAGGCTGTCGCTGGTCACCTGGTGGAGACTGAGACCCTTGTTGCCATGAAGGACCTCGCCAACAAGCTCGGTTCGGACAACTTGGCTCTTGACCAGCCCGGCGGTAGCGAGCCCATTGCCCATGGTGTCGACGTTCGATCCAACTACGCCTTCAACTCCAAGATCTACGGTGTCGAGGAGGCTGATGTCATCCTTCTTGTTGGTACCAACCCGCGACACGAAGCTGCCGTACTCAATGCACGAATTCGGAAGCAGTGGCTGAGGTCAGACTTGGAAATTGGTCTTGTTGGTGAGGATTTTGAGAGCACTTTCGAATACTCGAACCTTGGAGCCAGTGCCAACGACCTGAAGAGCGCCTTCTCTGGAGAGTTCGGCAAGAAGCTGCAGTCTGCCAAGAAGCCTATGATCATTGTTGGCAGTGCTGTCGCTGAGCACTCAGACGCCAAGTCCTTCTTTGAGCAGGTCGGCAGCTTCATCGAGAAGAACAAGTCCAGCTTCCAGACTCCTGAGTGGAACGGCTACAACATCCTTCAGCGAGCTGCTTCGCGAACCGGTGCATATGAGATTGGCTTCACTGTCCCATCAACCGAGGTCGCAAACACCAAGGCTAAGTTCATCTGGTTGCTTGGAGCCGACGAAATCAACGAGGCCGAACTGCCCAAGGATGCTTTCATTGTCTACCAGGGCCACCACGGTGACCGAGGTGCACAGCTAGCCGATGTTGTCCTGCCTGGTGCCGCCTACACCGAGAAGTCGGGCACATACGTCAACACCGAGGGTCGTGTACAAATGTCCCGCGCTGCTGTTGGTCTTCCCGGTGCCTCAAGGGAAGACTGGAAGATTGTTCGTGCAGCATCAGAGTACCTTGGCGCTGAGCTGCCGTATGATGATGTTGAGCAGCTCCGAGACCGCATGGAGGAGATCTCGCCTGCTTTGAGGAGATATGATGTTGTTGAGGCTGTGTCACAACCTGGATTGAGCAAGGTTCAGCTCGTGGATCAGAACAAGGGAGCACAAGCATCAGGCAAACCTTTGACAAGGGCTATTGAGAACTTCTTCTTCACAGATGCGATTTCCAGAAAGTACGTCAACGCCCCCTTCCATCATCCACTACTGCGGTTTGACATGATTACTAACATACGCCACAGTTCACCCACAATGGCCCGTTGCTCAGCGGCAAAGGCAGAGAAGAACCCAGAGACTAACTTTATGGCGCCTGGCGACCCGCATCCGCAGATTGCTTATGGGCCTGGTCAACCAGCGGCAGCGGCAAACGTATGAGGGTGTGCATAGAAGGGAAAGGAGTGGAAAGAAGCAAGCTTTGGAGTTTGTTGGAATTGTATATAGGCTTATATTTTCCCAGTGGGTTCTGGCATGCGAAACTCACAAACATGTAGAGTGAATGAGAATACCAGCGCGATTGTTCAGACTCATTTCTTTGCCTTTGTGCTCGATGTGAAGATTAGGAGACGTGAGTTGTGCATTTTATTTATTTGTTCATCGTCTGTCGACATGCCCGTGGATCATGTTCTTCTCGCGTTTTTGCGTCTATGTCTTGCCAAAAATGACTAATGAAGAAGAGATTTGCTAACTCAGGTACTCGGCGCAGCCGCCACTCGCTCATCGGGAAACCGGATCGCCCTCGTTGTACCACCAGCCGCCACCTCATCCTGTCCATCCCCATCCTGAGCAAGTGTCGCAGTCGCAGTCATCGGCACCGGAGCCTGAGACCCGGCCCGCGACTGACGAGCAGAGTTCTCCCCCGAGCGCATCACCGAGCGCCCAATGCGGACGACCCGCTGCGGAAGCAAGTCTGCTGCGCCTCCTCGGCGGCGGCGAAGCTGATCGCTGTTTGCAGTGGCGGCGCGGTCCTGGACGTGGAAGGGCACGGGGTCGTCGCTGTCTGTGTCTCTGGAGAAGGCGTTGGAGAAGGTGCGGGGGATCGAGAGGCCGACTTTGGCCATGGGGATGCATAGCCCGTGGACGACCTGTGTAGAGCGTGTTAACTGGACATGTAGTTGGACTGGGTTCGGGGGGAGGACACTCACAATCGAGCATATACACAGGAACCAAATCACCACATTCATCACCTCCCCGAGGAACTTTGCGTCCTCCCTTACCTCCCCGTCGACTTTGATCTGGTTCAGAAACTCCAGGCTCACGTATAGGTAGAAGATGGCGCTCACACCGATGGGGCCGAAGAAGCCGACGAATAGCGCCTGGCGTTTCTGCTCGATCTGCGGGATGTGCGTGTGCATGGCGTAGATGATGGGGAGGCGGCGCAGGATCAGGACGAGGATGCCCAAGGGGATTAGCCGCCAGATGGGAATCACGCTGTTGTGGTAGAATTCTGCCCAGGGACATACCGCGCCGAACCAGATGAAGATGGAGACGTTGAGGAGCATGTCGATTGTGGATTGGAACGAGTCGTCTTTTGTTTCGATGCGGAACCAGTCACTGTGGCGGTCTGTCAGCTTGGACTTGTTCACAGCGAGGAGAGGAGAAGGGACTTACTCCCAAGTAAACGTGTTACCAGCAATGAAGCAAGCAAGCACATCGTCACTCCCAATCATGCCCACAGTCCCCACGATGAAAAGCTAGCATCCGTTAGCAAAAAACATCCCCCTCCCAAGCACGGTATTCAACTCACCGCCAGCGTAATAGCAAACACCAAAAAGCTCTCCCGATCAACATAATTCCGCTCCTCAGCCCAATGCAGCAACTCCTTCGCTATCCACCCCACCACCGCCCCATAAACCACACTCAGCAAAATCGTATACCCCCACGTCTCACCAAACCACAACCCCACCGCCATCCGCGCACCGCCATGCTGCCCCAGCCCGCCAAACCCCACATGCCGCACCAAATACAGCGGGAGGAACAAAAACGGGTATCCCAGCCCATCATTCGCACCCGACTCGGCAACAACAATCTTCTGCAAGTCGCGCGGAATATTCTTATCCGCAAACTTGCCCTTGACGATGGAATTCGACAGCACGGGGTCCGTGGGCGTCACGCATGCCCCGACGGCCAGGGCGTGTAGGAAGGGTATATGCGGCACGAAGGCGAAGACGAGAAGGCTGGTTACGATCCACATTCCTACCATGCCGGGGCCGAGGAGCAGCGCAAGACTGCGCCATTCGGTTCGTAGGTACTTTGACGGGAGCTGTACGCCGGCTAGCACGAGCTGCACGCCGAGGACTAGGCGCGTGAAGTACAGCGTGATGGTGTCGAGGGTTTCGACAGAGTGGAGCGCGTATTCCTCCGGGCGGACTAGGTTTGTTGCGTGGGGCGAGAAGATGAGGCCTGCGAGGAGGGAGATTACTGGGTTGTTTGGTGAGTATGTTGTCGTGATGGGAGAGAGTCCGGGTTTTTTTTTTTAACTTACAAGCCTCCGAGAGGTAGAATTTCTCTTTGAACAGGTAGGATACTAGGCCGAAGACTGTTATGAAACCTCCCAGTGCTGCACACACGATGTTGAAGTTTGTGAGTACTAGGGTCGGCATAGTTGTTTCTCTCTCTCGCTTGGTAGATGGCGATGGTGGAGATGTGTGTATGTATCTTTCGCCAGTGTGCTTATTCGCACGACCAGAGTGTTCGGGCCTCAGATATGTTTTTGTGATTGCAATGTTGCTATTACATCATTGTTGTTATGCTGATAATTGGTACAACAATAACGTAGGACGATGCAAAGTTATGGACACTATTCTGTCAACGTATTGTTAAAGCGAGGCAAATTTTTCAAAGTGAATTTGACAGTATGTCAGTGAGAGTACGATGATACCAGAATGTGTCATATTCAAAATACACCTTGGACACGGGTAGATATAAGATGTACGGCATTTAAAGCCGCGGTGATAGTACCTTGGCATGACGCTACATGGAACCGAGATCCCTTGGCCGTAAATGGTTTCATGCTTCGTTTTGAGGTGGCATGATTTTGTTTCAGAGAACCTTTGAAAAGCATACTATTGCATGCAACTTGAGGGCCACACATCTCGAAAATTGCCGTACAGCTCCTCGTCGGTGATTGAGATAAATGGGAGCATCTTAAAAATTCAAGCATCGAGCGTCAATCATTTAAAAGGGCAACCATCGTAAGACGTGTAGATGGTGTGTTAGTATTCATTTATGAACTGCCATACTATCTCAGGCAACTCGCTCGTAAAGACACTTGAGCTCCACCCAATCACTTGCTCTGGGTAGCATGACCAGCAGTGTCTTGATAGGGCTTGATTGTCACATTTACCGCTTCTTCGTCTGTCCAGCAGGGCTCTGACCACTGGCACTCACGCTCCCCGAATCCGTCGTCTTTCCAGCCATCCACGACGCAAGATCGAAATTCTGAATCTGTTGCGCGGTATTCGTCGTCCCAGATCCCATCACACCGTTCTTCTGCATCTCCTCAAACTCTTCCTTCATCTCAGGATCCACTGTGCACGTGTTAGTGTCCCACCAACGATGAGGAAGGGCATATATAGACGTACTGTTCTCCATCAACATCGGCATGCCGAAGATCATCGCCATCGAGAAGATCGCCATGAGGATCATAGGGCTCTTGAGGAATGATAGTGGCGAGACTGCCCTTGTTAGCATCCGTCGCGACCACGTTCTTTACATGAACACTTACAGCCAGTACGCTCCTGATAAAACCACTTCTGCCCTACGGGCTTCACTTCCACTACTAACCCGTTTCCACCCTCACCTCTCGACTCCCCCTTGTTGTCCCACTCGTTTCCGAAGAAAGTCTGCCACGCTCGAACCATGTCCTTCTTCTCCCCGCTCCCCTCTACGGCCTCCTCGACGCTGACGTCTATGCGGAGGGGCTCAAACGCGAAGTCTCGGGAATGCACGATCGCAAGGTAACTTCCAGCGCTGACATTGTTGAAGTTGAAGGTGTTGGAGCGCGTGAGGTAGGCGTCTAGCGGGGGCCCGGAGGACTGGAGTGTTGCATGGGTTGTGGATGGTAGGGTAGAGGGATTTACGAGATTTGTTGTGGGAATTTGTAGGAGGAAGCGGGCTGCGGAGGAGAGAGAGACCAAAGAGGTCAGAGTTGCAAGTGAGGTTCGCATGGTTATTTGTTGGGTCGTTGAGTGGTGGTGATGATGTCGCGATTGAGGCGTGAACTGCGACCTCCTTCGGGGGTTCGGAGGAATGTTGATCCGTATCCTCTATCTTAATTCACTGTCGACGATCACATCTCTAGATATCAAGGTTTGTCTTACATTGGATATGGAACACCGATCGTTTGGTTATACGCTTTGATTGAAAACATCTTGTCTAAGAAATTTTGGCTGAAAATGTCTTGTATCCAAACCTTCCCCATGAAACTTGTTTTGAATGTAACCCAAAGTCTAATGCCTTCTAGTTTTTAACTCTCTATCTCTAGCAATATCATGTGCCATAGTTTGAAACACCCTTACTCTAAACATGATCAAAGACAACTATTACGCGTCTCTGGTGAACACAGATCGCTGGCGCCACACCTCCCCATACCGTAGTATCAAAACAGGAATCACCGCAATGCTCAGACTCAGAGCACTCAGACACATGAAACCCCACCCATATCCAAGATGTTCAGCCAAAGGACCAGATGTCAGTGGCAAGAATGTTCCCATCAGACACCTTGTCACAATGACTCCGGTCATGGCAGACGCGCTGTAAAGTCCACTCGCATCGACGACATACGCAGACATCGGCACACCAGCCAGGATGAGAGTAAATCCCATGAGCCCTACGGAAACCAATAGCAGAGGCACAGGAAGCCGCAATTGTGCAATCCAGCCGTACGCAGCTATCGAAAATGGCATAGCAAAGCCACCAATGATGCTGAGTGGGAGGCGGTACTCAGGTTTGCCGTTGTCGCCATGGGATCCGCGAAGCTTGACATAAATCCTGTCTAAGCCGAAGTTGCAAACCATGACACTAAGGAAGGAACCAACGCCTATGACACATGTCAGTGGTGATCCATAGGTATCTGAGGATACCATCTATTAAAGGTAGAGTACTTACTGAATGATATAAACGCTGCTCCAGTTTGTGCTGGCGTGAAGTCGTACACCTCCTGTAGAATAACTGGCAGCGAAACAGACATCACGTAAAAGAAACTGAACACCACTGCCCCGTACAGCGAAAGAAGCATCAGTACCGAAGACCCGAACAGCACCGCTGCCGGCCGGGTGATTGATTGCCACAGCTTCAGAACGTTCTCATGTTTGCTCTTTCTTTTGGAAGGAATCCCAAATTCTCTGCTTTCCGGTTGTAGTTTTGCGACTTGCTTTCGGAGGATCGCCATCTTGTACGTCTCCTTGAAGCACATGAGAAACAGAATCTCACACACGACAGCTAGACCAGCAGCAATGAAAAGGACTTCCCGCCAGCCCAAGGTCTGCGCAATTGCGCCACTGATGGTAGGTCCGATGGCACTTCCAATAAGGGGAGCGAGTATGAGGAAGCTCATCGCCGAACCTCGCTTCTCAGACTCGAACATGTCGCCGACGATCGCAGGGTTGAGCACATTGGATGCTACAGTAAGACCCGTGAGCATCCTAGCAGCAATGAAAAGCTTGGTGCTCTGACTGCTGGCTGCGAGCAACGTAGCTGCAATGAACAAGATGTTGCAGACGTTAATGACAGGGTAGCGACCAAACAGTTCGGACAATGGAGCAATGAGTAGTGGGCCGGCCGCTTCACCGAGCTCCCAAATGGTAACGAGTAGGGCACTGGTTGATGAGCTTGCATGTTTTCCATCGAGATCTTCCACGATTGAGCTGGCTACTGGAACGACGCCTATGCATGTGAATGTTCTGGGTATGTTGTTAGCAATTGTGCAAGATAGCTCGATTTACCCATTATTCTTACACTGTGAACGCCTGTAATGCGAGTACAAACACAATAAACCATTTGTACACTACAGTCCACTCCATGGGATTCCGCGAGTCGCCGTCCTCGAAGTCAAGGATAGTTTCGTCGTGCTTGCCATTGCTTATAACTTCCTCCAGAATTGGTCTGAGCAAAGGCTGCTCTTCACCTGCGTCGGCCATATTAAGTGTCTTCCAGAAAATTGTTGTCAACGATAAGACTCTTGACTAGAGGGTCCTCTTTTAAAGTAGTGGATATGATTCATAGGGCGGCTTACAAGGGTAAATTTGTAAGTGCATTAGCGTGACGGATATGGCGACATCGCTTGGATTCTAGGACTACTTCTCCACACCTGTCAGATCGCATTCTACATTTATCTCTCGCCAGAACGAAGTTGTGGTATTGTGCAGATGCCTTTGGGGGAGACAAGAGTTCTGCGACCTTGCCCTGAAAATAGTCTCACTGTTTTTGCGATATGTACCCTTGCCTCGCATGTAGATAATTTTTCAAGATACAACGCACAACCTAGAAGTATCCATGGAATGCACAAGTTCATCTTTGGAAAGGATTGGACGTCAAACAACTACCCACGCGAGGTTTCCTTTACCACGTTCAAGACTCAAGACAAAATCCCAGCCACAGAACACCCAACGTTTCTCTGATGTTCTGATTACATCCACCGAATGAAAAAAACGCAACGAACGATCTTCATAAACAACGATATGACAACATCCGTGTATCTTTTTGACAGTGACGTCGACCCTGTGAAAAGTTGGATTACGAGCATGAGTTTCTCCTGAGCACGTTTATGAATGCGACGCCGAGGCCAGATCCTCCCACCCATGTAGACACTCTGCATAGATTTTGAAATCCTTTTTCGATCCGAGAAGTCTATCATATAGCATGTAACGACATTCTTTTTGACACGAGAAGTAATGGGGTTGACATACGGCAGAAAATTGGACGTTCTGCCATATGGGGTGGGAAAGAAACTTTCTAGAACGCTCAATGGTTCGCATGTATCCAGTCTTGGCCCTGTCGCGTTGCACATATCACTTACTGCATGTCAATATTTAGATGGGATGTTTTTTATTTCATTTCATGACGGTATCTGGACTGCCTTTCAGCAGCCATGACCAGGCGTTTTATATCCCAGTCCACGAACCCAACCCTACTTCCTCATCGGGCAGGTACCTGTCATCGTCGAAAAGAGGGCCTGGAGCATGAGGTAGCTGCTACCTGCATCCTTGCCTGGACGCTTGGAAGCGCCAGAACTGAGCAGATGGAATAAATTCGAGGAATGTGCCGTTCAATTTCGAGGAGAACGATCGTACCATGGTAGTGATGACATCAGACGGAGATATAACGAAGTCGGGTATGGTCATGTTGGACAGCGGTTCCACAGGTTGACTCGAGAGCAACTATTGTTCATCTAGGTCCTCGGGTTGGTCAAAGAGGAAATTGGCGGCCAGTTCCTCGTTCTTGTCACATGCGAAATAAGCCTGGATGACAAGGTCGCGCTCGAAACCAAGGCGACATAGGCGCTCAATAGCCTCGCGCTCTTCTTCGGTGACGGAGATGGCCTGTGCACCAGGTGGCAGCGGCTGGTCATCATCGGCATCCTCGGCAAGCAACTGCAAGAACTGCTCAGGGTTTCCAGCGATCATCTGGGCCAACTGAGGATTCCCGGCGCCAACTTGCTGCAGGATAGGCTCAAGCATCTGCGGTTGCTGTTGTACAACCTGTCGTAGCTGCTGAAATTGTGGGTTGTTGCGCAGGAAGTCCAAGCTGTTAGCGTTGAGCGCACCCGTAGCACCAGCTCCTGTGCTACCTGAGCGAGCGCCAGCAGCCGCTCCTCCACGTCCCTGGCCAGCCTGAGCAGCGGCCTCGAACAGATTTATTGGCTCATCTCCTCCGGTGGGGGCGGCGGTCGCACCTGCGTTGCCTCCGGCAGCAGGCTGGGGGGAAGTCGGAGCACGTGCCTGGGGTTGTTGTGCTTGTTCTTGCTGTGCGTTCTCAGGAATACCCTGGCTTGTCATTAGCACATGGCTGGTGTAGATGGAGCGCCGCGTCTCACCGTCAGGAGATACTCGACCGCGCGGTCGGGGTTGAAGAAGGCGGCGCGCATAGCTCGGTCAATGTCTGCCCTCGCGAAACCCATGCTCTCCATGTTGGCGACTGCAGCCTCGCGCTCGTTACCCATGGTCAGGGCTGAGGGGTCGTTGAAACGGGTGCCGTCCGACGCCGCCTGCTGAGCTGGCGCAGGCGAGGGTGTAGCTGGCGCATTCTGCGTGCTGGCGGATGGCGCTGATGCAATGGGTGCTGATGGAGCTGCGGGGGTCTGGGGTACCGCTTTGGCGGGTGTGGAGGGGGCTTTACTTGATGAGGCGGCGGGCTGCTTAGGCTGTGCGAGCTGTTAGTGAACTCCTGCTGCAGTGGCGAACCGCTGCACTGACCTTTGAGACCATGCACACAATGAAGCCCTTCTCCTCGATGCTGTACGACTCGATGGTGTTGGCGTCCTGAAGAATCTTGCCTGTAAATCGTCGTCAGCAACCGTGGCCGCGAGGGCGATAGCCTGGTGGGAGCTGGGGGAGCAAGCGCACCAGAATAGATCAGCTTCTGCTGGGGCACCTCCCAGCCCTTGTCTGCCTGAATCTTGGCCTTGAGCTGGCCGATCTGTCGCGGTGTTAGCCAAGCGTTACAGTACACGTCTGGAATCATGGCTGGTCCGCGTACCGTCTCCGATGGCTCAGCTTCAATGACAAACTTGTTCTGCTTGAGGTCCTGCACAGACGTGAGCTGGAGCTTTGTTTCTGTCGCGTGACATGGTGTTACCTTGAACGTGATCTTCATGTTGGCGGTTGCTCTGTGGAGTGGGTTGAGGATAGTGTTGGATGGGGTGGAGGTGAGGCGGGGGATGCAGGTGGCTCGGGGCCAGAAGCTCGATTAATATGAGAGTGGCAGTCAAGCGCTAGAAGAGGCGGTTATGGAGTAAACGGGCGCTGAGCGTTTGCGTGGGAACGGGCAAGAAGGCGATGGAAACAATAGCTCCAGGCAGAATCACCTCTCGTCCACCCAGCCGCCCAACCGCCCCTCACGAGCACGGAGGGCGGCAGAAGTATTGATCCGGCCTGGCGGCGAACACTGGCGAACGCTGACGCAACGTCTTCCACCATCATCTCCTGCATCATTTCCACCCCAGCATTAGCGCGTTCACTTGTTGTTGGCTGCTGACACGCATGTGAGCTCCCGCGACAACAGTACCGACGTCGCGTCTGCGCCGTCGCCTCACCCGCACGGCCGCTAGGTCCAGGTCTGGTTCTTTGCTTTTTGCCTTTCTTCCTATTTGACTCGAAACCGTGAGTCGCCTGTTCACTGCTAAACGTGGGGAGACGGGTGCGTGTTTCATCGCCCTCTCAGAGGTCCGTTGCATCTCTGGGCGAAGACTGTGCAACCCAACTCATGATACATGTCGTGATCTCCATCCACTGCAGCCGACAACACTATCGTCTGGTCCCACCGTCCCGTCGCGAACTCTGTCAGCAAAGTCGCTTCAGCGTCCTCTCCACCTCGGCCGAGCCCGAGATTTGTTTGTTATGCTTCGTCCAAAAGCAATGCAAAACAACGCGTGCGGAAATGAGAAGCTAACGTTGCAGCAGCTCCACACGCGAAACTTGACAGGAGTCCCTTACAAAGGCTATGACGACCATGGGCCAGGCACGTCTTCCCGCAATTGGCCGTGTTTTCTTTGTTTCCACGCGTAATGTTGCTTTTTGCCTTCTCCCCGTGTCTATTTTCGTGTAGAGTCAGCACACCTAGCCATGGTCTTGCGAGTTTGTTTCCAGCTGCCCGACCACTTAATACGTTTTGAGACGCCAATGTTTCTCTACTGGTGCCTCAAACCAGGTGCGACTCGGCAAAGCATGCGTCCTGTGGGCGGTGCACTGGTCGATTTTCCATCTTACTTCCGACAATGCCTGCGCGCATCCAGGATTAGCCTGGGGTTCCCTAGTCGACTCCATGTCGCCCGATGCGTTCTGCAAGCCCCAGTGCACAGAACGATGACACAAATCAACCTGCACTTTGCTAAATTCATTAAACACCTCTTGGATCCCCACATGTCTTCCCTCCTCATGGTTCTGTCCTGTCCTTCGTTTAATACCTCACTCTCTTTCCCACCGCCGCACAACATACGCTTCCCTAGTTTGTTGTAACGATTACAAGTACTCTTTATCGAAAACGACCATCCCGTCCACACCTCAACGGCTCCACACGCCTTCGAATACACTAGTTACGCGCAAACACCCGTTCGTCATTGCTTTAATCTATACGGACGCGTTCGCGACTCTCCACAGCAACGTTGACTACTATCTCGTTCCTTTTTACATACACCATCTTCATCTAATCGATATACACGCTCGTTATCTTGCCTTGAACGATATCAACACCACCCACTGGACATCTTCCTTACACTCTTTTACGCAACCAAGGAGACGGCATTGGGTTGATTCACACCCAATAGTGCTCTCTCTCCTTCGTCCAACGTAAGTGCTATTGCGGGCAACAGCATGTCTCCATCTCGCACACTCTACGTTTCCATCCTCGGATCTGTGGCATGGTCGGCAACAGTTACAAACGCTGTCTTGTCTATTCTTGAGGCAACTTCGTTTTCGGTTGCGCGGATTTCTCTTTCCAATGTCGCCATCATAGCAGGAACATTGAACCTTCTTTCGCTATGTTGCATCGGTTACTTTGTCGTTCAACATATACGGCCTAGAGATGGCTACTTCATGCGATCAGCGTGGACAGGACGAGTCCTGACCGGATTCAGTGTCTTGCTATCCTTGGCTGCGTTAACAATCACACTTGTTCTGATCGTCATGATCAAGTCAAGATGGCACGAGGTCTCTACCACCTCGTCCAAAGTCGCTGTCACCAACTGGAACGGGCACGTTGCCGCTCACATAGCGGTTTGGTCGATTTCCTGCTTTAGTCAGTTCGCATTGTACTCTCTGTGTTTCTTGATCCGGCACACTCCGGAGGCTCAGGCAGTCTCCGGCTCTGGTCCCCGAGACTCAGTCATGTCAGAGTTCCCAAACAGACGTACAAGCAGAGATATGTTCGGGATAGAAGCAACGCGACCATCATCACCGCTTGCAGGACTCCCTTCTCCAACGTTCTCTCATCGGTCTTCAAAATCGCTCAACTCTTTCCGGGAATCAATTCGCCATGTTGTGCGCCCCGCCACGTCACGCACAACTTTGATCAGCCGTCCTTCTTTCTCACGGAGTGTCTACTCCGACAACCAATCCTGCCATAGTGTCGCCCACCCTGATGGCTTCGACAGCTGGGACACCAGCAGCGTGAGCCCTTGTGCTCGCGATGCAGTGATGCAATTCACACCGTCTTTAGCCACAACACTTGAAACCATTCCTGGCAGTCGACCAGCCACACCGGCTCGCGTCCTGGACAGTCCTCTCCTTTCTGACCTTCCCGAAGCCGATGAGGACCTGGTTCCTCCCCCCAAAATGATGCCCGACACATCGCGCCCACCAAGTCCCAGTCTCGGCAATGAAGGACACATCCACCCTTTGTTCAGGAGCGAGAGTCCCACCCCAGCTCCTTCCGCTACGCCCGGGACGAGTATACTTGCGAGTCCCTTGGCTAACCAGGCGATCGTTGCCCCTTCTCGCTCGTATTCTCGAATGCGGTCGAACAGTCGCACAGCGACCTCAAGTCCGCTGGTTCCTGCGCGAAGTATTCGCGACCGGCGCGCAAACAGCATGCGCTCGCTTTCGAGGAGTCCCTCGCCGCCGAGCCGAGAGATGACTCCCCCAATTCCAGATTTTGTTCTCAACTCCTCGCCGAGGAGTAGTTGGAGTGGATCGCGGAGAATGCAACTCCAGTTCTCTCCAGATCGGTGATAGTTCTACCCAAGGTTCTGGACGTTCCTGCTTGCGTTTTTCTGGATGAGTTTCACCCGCGATTACGCACATAATGTTGATGGACCTAATGCTATACGATTTTCCTTGTAGATACTGATTCCCCTACGGTTCTGGCTTTCCTTTCATTTTGTTCGCTCGATCTACGGCTAGAGCTTGGCGTTGTATACCACAGTACGAGGAAAAGATCATATAGTTTTAGTCTTATTATGTTGTCATGTATCTAAGTATAAGGAGTAGGTTGGGATCTTCCATATGGAGAAGACGGATGGATTAGAGGCTCAGGACGACACGACCAATGAATTATATATTTAGACTTTACACATTGCTTGCAAGAATATTGGCATGTTCCACGCTCTATCTCACCTATACATCCTCCACTTTCCAGCTCCCAGTTTCTCAACTCCTCACCCGGCCTCTTGATCCGTTGATCCGAATCGTCATTACACAAATTTTTCAGCCCTGCACGATCGCAAGCCGTTTGTAAACCCAGCCCAATGGATGCCCAGCCGTTGCATGGATACCACCATGCGGCCCTTGAGTCGCGCAGCCTGGACACCCCAACGAACAGCGACGTGAGGTGTAGATGCTTCATTTTCTGCATTACCACGCCAACGCTGCGAATACGAGCATAAAAGGCGTAATATGAGATGGTGGGCGAATACTATCACACGTGCATGGACGTCATAATGAGAGAGCAAATGACTTATACACCTCGGGGTCGAACATGAGACCTACTGTGTAGGGTTGAAAGGATCATATGGGCTGCGGATAACGAGGAGCAGTAAGGTCCTCGGTTCATAGTTCGTGACAGGGAAGATGCAGAGAACGATTGAGTACGCAGTGCATTTGCTTGTTCCCACATGAAGTGGCTGGACATGTTCACTCAAGTCTGTCATGTAATCACCGCTTGGCACCCTTCATTTCGGCATTACTGAACGTGGCAGCCCCCTACGGGAGAGGCCTTGCGCTGCATTTCATAAGTCCCCGGTTCGTGGATTGCGGGAGAAGCCTCGCAGAACAAACTTTGAACGTCCTGGATCTGAAACACGGCAGACGCCAGAAAGAATGTTTCGCAATGTTCGTTTGCGGAGGTGTGGTGTCCTGCGAAAGGAGATCCGAGTAGTAATTATGGCCCGTGCGCGATGCACCAACAACCATCCGCCTCAATCAAGAAGACAACCCTTCGAACAAGACGAGACAAGCTTCAACAACCCTTTGCATATCCTCTAGCTCAAGAGACAAACCTAAAGCTTTGCGGTGCATGCGAGTCACACTCGTGATGATTTGTTGCATGAACAGATTGCTTGTTTGATCAGTGACGGATGATCTGATCATCCCGTAGCGCCCGGGCTAATGACGTGCGACTTGGGGCGAGTGAGGGCGAAACTCGGATGAGGCACAAGCGGATAACCGGCTTGGTCAGGGTCTGCGAGCATGTGTGTTTGTAGTGTTTATATTTTGTATTTAAGGATGAAGAGACAGAACTTCCTGTGCTTCTGTTCGTGAGGTGGGTGGGCTTGAGTTGGATGGTGTTGCTGACGAAAGCATGCTGGTTGCCCCTGATTGGTTCTTGTATTGATTGCATCGTGAGACTTTCATGATTATTTGCAAGAGCGTGCTGTAGATGTCATGCAGAGTACATCATTCAGATTTGTACTGAAATTTACATGTTTTATCAATTACTCACCGTCATCGTGCAGAGAAAAGTGTTGTTCGCAATGCTGTTGTTGCAGAACTTTGCAGGACAACTCTCGTTTGTGGCTGGCTAATCCCTACCGTGCTACCAATTAGGACTAGCACCGACCAGGGCTTCTGGAGGATCTCAGCAGCATCTTCACCATTAACGAACATTTACGACCTGCAGTACCCCGACAACTCTCGAGGCTTGACTATCTGATACTTCTATACCATCTTTTCAACTTTTGACCCCCGGCGCCCGCTACGAGCATAAGCGCTTCTGCTCACCCGTGCCACGCAGGAGCATTTGCTTGACAGGGTTCCAAGGTTGCTTCTTGAGAAGGACAACTCTCTTGACCTCAACTAGCAGACCTGGGTTCAAAAGCACTCGGAACATATCTGGTTTGACTCGAAGAATAGGTGATGATTTTTTAGGTGGACGGCTCCTGTTCTTTGTCGTTTCATTGGGTAATCCTGTTTTGCTACAGTGTGGCTTCACTGGTCACGCATGGTGAGTTGCGCTCATATTCACATTCAACTCTAACAAAACCCCTCTTCCTTCTGTTTGTTGTAGCGCTACATGAGGTACTCTAGTGCTTGCCGATTACTTCGAATTGCTCTTGACTTATCACGCTCAGTTGCTGACACGACTTGCTCACAGCTCCAGCAACTCACGAGACATAGCCCAACCCAGGCAAGCCTCACCCAACCTGCATATTTTCAAGCGCGTAAGTGATTCCTCCGCTTCTCCAAGCAACTGCAACATTCGATACTTGGGAGCATTTCCTGAGACAAGACAAGGGCTAATCGCAGGTAGTGTGTCCACAGGCCAGCTCTCAGCGACAATGCCACCAAAACGCAAGAACAAAGCGGTCAAGATTGCATCAACCAAGGCTCTCAAGACCACAAGTACGTTTACTCCAGCTTTTGCCTCTGCTCATCTGGCCCCGTTAGCCATGCTAATCTTGGCGGCAGCCACTAGCTTGGTACCTAAGCGAAGAAGGCATAGTCTTGAAGGAAGAAACAACATGTCGACGCGACTTGCACCCTCAGAACCTCTCCACATGACCACACGACGCGCTGCAAAGACGGCTTCTAACCATTCAAGCTCTGCTGCATCATCAAGCGCCGCTTCAGGCAGTCGTCGTAGTTCTCTGAACGACATTGTGCAGTACGAGGATGCGCAATCCGACATTGATCAAGAGCGACCAGCCAAGCGGAGCCGAACGTCGACCCATTCTGGTTCGCCGCAAATGTCCAATGGCTCCTTCGACAACAACACTCCCATGAATGGAACGCAGACGCCAGAAGTGCAGAAGCCTGCATCTGGTGCGACTTTGAGTGCGCCAAAGCCAGCAGGCAAGAAAAGGCGCGCATCAGACGACTCGGCGCAATCTAGCAAAACACGCCCAAACGGTGTTCTGACCCGTACTCAGAGCGATGTCTCCGAACAACACCCGCGCAAGAAGAAGCGCAAAACAACAGACACCCCTGCAGATTCCGCCGACCAGCCTCCAGAATTGACTGACGCTAGTACGTCGCCCAATTCACCTGAGCAAATTCCGGATGTTGCAAGCAGCCAAAATCTCCAAAATGTTCTACCCACCAATGGCGAGGTACCCGCAAAACCCGGGAGGCGCTTGCCAGGTCGACGGCGCCAACCGCATGCGGACGTCCATGTCGAGGCCGATCTGCGCCGACAACTAAATGTCAAGATGAACTATCGCAGTCTTGCCAAAGTGCAGAAGATTTTGCTTGAGGAGTTGTCAAATCGTACGCTTAAGAATCTGCAAAATGATCCTGACTATCACGAGCGAGTTCCAGGGTATGCGCCGCTCATGGCGCAACTGGACCAGCGCCGCGATGCCCGTCTAGACCAAGTCAACGCCGTGCGCACTTATAAGCTTGAGCAATTGGAACGCGTGCGCATAGCTGAAGAGCACATCCAGAAAGAGCAATACACTGTAAGTCATTATACTGATGTCAGATACACCAGGGCTCACCAGATGTAGAACCGGTTCCAAGAGCTACAGGATGATTTTCTACTTCAATGTTATTTCCGTATGAAGCGATTAGAGCGTGAGATGAACGGCGAGAAGGCAGACGCTACAGATGATGAGGTAGGATCTACGCCACTCCTTAACTTTGTTTCGCCTAACTCTTCTAGGATAATGTTTTCCCACCCACCTACAGCCATGAGCCAGGCCATGACTATGAGGGCCGAATAGGCTCCAAATATGCCTCACGCAGTAGGGCTTACGTCGAGGCTGACAATGAGCTTGAAAATGACTCCCGACGACGACGGCTCAATCTAGCCCGAACAGCCTTTGTAGTTGAAAACGAAGATGCGGACGACTCCATCGATGAACTTGCCGGCGGGTATGCCACATTTGTTGGCCCTGATCGTACCAAGTCCACTGCGCATTACAACCTCGTCAGCCTCGCCGATGCTGCGGAAGAGATTGAAAGGACGCCAACGCCGCAACCTCCACCACCAGTAATGCAGATAATACCGAACGAGCACGCTGTGCAGCTCATGATGCTTGCAGAGCTGTCAACAGCGCAGGCACAAGCTGTCATCCCGCAAAACCTGGCATATCCATACCAGCAACCTCAAATGCAACCACAGATGCAATCGCAACCGCAACCGCCACAGACGCAACCGCCACTGACGCAACCGCCACAGACGCAACCACAGATTCAATCACCTCAACCGCAACAGCAAGTGCAGCAACATCAACCTACCATGCAGCATCCTCAGTTCGATGTCCCCGCTGTCGCAGAAGAGTTGGCGAGGCAATTGGCGCTCATGGAAGCTCTTCCAGTGACTTCAGTAGCCCTTCCAGCTCGAGCTGCGCATAATAGTCCTGCCAAAACATCACAATCAACAGTGGAACCTGCACAAGACGTTCTTCGTTCAGAACCTAACGGTATCAATAATGCGAGCGAGTCTGAAACACAGAAAAAGGCGATACCAGCCAGAGTCTCGACGCACCGCATAATGGATATGCTCAACAACGATTCAGATGTTCCAGTATACAGACCGCGAGAGCCTCAGCCTCAGCCTCAGCCACAGGTGCAGGAGCCGAGCACTCCGTCAAGACGAGAGGCTGTCAGTCAGCACAACACTCCATCTCACAACAATGCTCTTCGACAAGATACTAATGTTCAGAGGCGGGAATCGGTCACTGAGCAGTCCAGGGTGGATGATTCAGGGGATTACGACTATGCACCTAATAACCCTCCATCGTCGCCACATGCGAATGCCCAAGTACCGCATATCAATCCTCAGCCATTACAATCTAATCCTCATGCTTCACATTCGGATTATCAAGCACCAGCTCCGGCACCTTGGTCGGACCGAACGCTTGAGCAAAGGTTGCGCGAAAGGGACCCTTTACGCAAGATCAGAGAATTACTCGACAAGAAGGCACGCAGAGCGCCTCCTGACCGACCCCATTACTCCCCCGGCAATCCATTCGCTTACCTGACCCCGAAAGACGAGTATGATCCACAGAATCCGTCAGTCGGGATATATAGTGGATCTTCAAGCACAGCACCAACACATTCTTCTGCAGGTCGTCGTGAATCTCAGGATCGACGCTCGTCGCACTGGGAGAGCGACAGACGGCCGAGCGGGTCTCAAGCACCTCAGCAGCCAGGGGCTTCACCATACCAGGGCAGTCCTCCTCAACCATATCGAGGAGACTCCAGTAGACCTGCGCCGGCACCATCTACGCATCAGAGTCCATATGCTCCGCCTCCCGGTTCAATGCCCCTTCCACCAAAGCCGCCTGGCCCACCACCGTCGGTTCCTGTCACTAACTTTCGCTTCGCCCACTACGATCACCCTGCACCGTCAATGAGGCCCTCGTTTCCACTTGGTCCATTACGTCCGGAGTATCAACAGCTAGCTTCAGCTTTGACGCAAATTGCGCCGCCGCCGCCATCACCGCACTATCCTCCGCAGTACGGAGGCCCACAACACTATCAAAGCGGATACGTTCCACCACCAGGATCGTTCCAGGCTCCTCCGCCTCCCGGACCCAGCATGCAGTCGTATCCGCCGCTCAAAATCCACCAGTATGGTGGTCAACCTATTCTTCCTGCCAGCATGGCTCCTCCACCACCGCAATCAGGACCCCCGGTACAGTTTGTGGGTCAGTCGGTTCTTCCACCGGTTGCACGGGCGTACTCTCCAACGCAAGGCCAGCCGCCTCGAGTACACTACGACCAGCGCGAGGGTCATGGTGATCGTCAACCTGAACCCCAGTCGAGGCCTCGACGACAGTACAGGAGCTATCATGCGCCTGGCACACAGTTCAGGAGTTATCAAGGACCTGGGGAGCAACGACGGAGAGGCGGTTAGGAAACGTTAACTCCATACTCAGACCCTACCCATTGGGCGGTACATTGTGCGAGTCATTCCAAGTTTGCACAATCTCTTGTTCCCCCAGACTCAACTGGGAATCGCAAAACTCAGAGCGCAACACCATCTCTGAGTTCGACGCCTCCACGGCTCGCGAGAAACAACGATAGATGGCCGTCTTTTGTACAAACACGGCCTGAAGCCTTGCGACGTACAAACGCGTAAGAAGCCGCCAACCACGAGAAGCACCTCCATATTTCCACCACCCTCGACGATGCCCAAATCCTTGAGGAGCGTAACCTCCTTCCAGCCCAGTGTGCAAACCCCAAGCAACCAACTGCTGCCAAGAACAGTCTTCGCAGTTTCGAAGAAAGAGAGCAAAGCAGCACACCTCACCACCTTTACCATATTAGAATACTCCCCCCCAATATTTTCTGCGTTGGATAACGCGTTCCCACCCGCGGCTTGGGATTTGTGCCTTTCTACGTTCACCTATCTTATCGCCGCCCCTCGACGCTTTGGCGTTACGTTACTTTACGTTGCTTTGGCTCGATATAGTTTGCTTTTGGTTTGTGCTTTGTAATTCTTACGCTTTTTGCCCTTTGCTTGACTTGTATATACGTGATTGGATTCCATCGACGGGGGGGTCGCATTGTAGTGTGTCTTTGGATAGGAGTTGGTTACTTTCTTCAGTGTGTGTACGTTGCTTTGCGTCTTTTTTCTGCTTCTTCTTCTCTTCTTCTCGGGGGTTGAATTCGAATGCGTTGGTTCGTGCGGGAGATACCACGGGGTGGTTGGTTGGTTTGCACACCGATACTGCAGTTACAATGAGTGAGTGGGTGGGTGAGTGAGGTAGTGTTGTCAGTAGAACGATAGTTTATTAATACGAGTCTAATGATGATATCTCTGTCGTGTTTCGTCGTGCTGGATCAAGACCTGCTCGAGCACTTCGCGCAGGCCTGTTCATGTATCCCACTCCCACTCCCACTCCCTCTCATCCTTCAAGCCTTCCGCGAACCCGGCGTCCACTCGGCCCCCAACCGACTCGCCCCGCCAAACCCACCAGCCCGCGTCCCCCTCGGCGTCCCCCCACCCACGCGTTCAAACAACCTCTGCGCAGCAGGCGTCAAATCCGCCTTCGCCCTCCTCGGGGTCTGCGCGCCCCCAAGTCTCGCCGCAGGCGTAGGCGCAGACAAGAACCTGGGCGTGTCGCCCTTGAAGATGCCCAACCCGGCACCTACACCGACACCGATACTGCTACCCTTTGCATTTGCATTCCCACCACCGCTGGAGCGCTGCGCACCGATCCTGTCCACCATCTTAAAGTGCATTTTTTCGCGGGCCGAGGACTCGGCCATGCTGAAGGGCGTGGCTGTGCTTCGGCCCACGCCGTACCGCTCGAGGAGATCTTCTGGCGCGTCGTCGTCGTCGTCGTCTTCTGGGTCGGGGGCCACGGCGTCGACGAAGGCGTAACCATTTACGCGCGGGGTTTCGCTGCCGGTGTATGCTGCTTCGCTGGGATTCAGTCTTGGGCGACCTGCAACGGCGTCGCGGATCGCGGAGAGGGTTGGGCTGGACGGACGCGGAGGGTCGGCGGCCGGGGCGGGGAGGCGTGTGTTTGCGTGTAAGACTTGTTTTGGGGGCGCGAGGGAGGCGGCTTCGGCGCGTTGGGCGCGGGTGGCGGTCCAGGACTCGACGCTTTCGGGGGCGAACATGAGGGTGTTGAAGGGGACATGTTTGTGTGTTGTGGGGGCTGCGGGGCGGTCGTCTAGGTTCTGGCTTGGGCGGGCGACGACGACATCTTTCGATGTGGAAGTAGTGGCTGAGGCTGCGGCGAGGAGTTTCTGCTGCGCGAGCCGCTGCTTGCTCGCGTACATGTTCCCTTCTCTCAGCCAGACATTCTTCTCAAACTTCTTCTTATTGTGCTTGTCGATGATCTGCGAGAAGCTCTCCTGGTCCTCGGACGTGTACTTTGCCTGGAAAGCCCCCAGACTCATGTCCATGTCCACGTCGTCCAGTTTGCCCGATCCTTCCTCATCCTCCTCGAATTCCGTGGCAGCGACAGTGAGCGGTGTGTCCGCGCCCCAAACACTCGGCGTCTTGTCGCCTGCCCCAACACCTCCCCTGGCGAATCGCGTCCTCTCGGCAGCCTTTCTCCGCCCACCGGACACGGGCGTCATGGCCACGGTCAGTTTCTTCCCCGCGTCTCTGATCCATGACTTGTCTCGGCTTTCGACGGCGTTGAGGTACTCGCGTTGCGCGTCTGCTTCGGCGAGCCCGGGGAAGAAGTCGCGGCGGATGATGTGTGATATGGCCGACGTGTATGTGTCCTCGTCCAGGACTACAGAGGGCCGCTTTATGCGCTTCGGTGCGAGAGGAGGCGGCATGAGCGCGGTAGAGGCGCTGCGCTTGGTGAGCGCTGAAGAGTTTGTGGATGTCATTGTTGGTGGGTGTGCTATGTGACTGCTGTGGCAAGGAGCACGACTTGCTGTCGGGGTGGAAAAAGACCCCAGACAAGCGCTATGCAAGCACACGCATCTACCCTTTGTGCGAGTGTGAGGGCGCGCAACGAATGCAAAAGTGTGGAGAGGAATGAGTGTTGGCGCAAAGCAATGCTCGAGGCACACAACTTCACATGACGTTGCCAAGCAGGGCAGATGGCTCTCACCGCCTTTCAGCCCTACACACAAAATGTGGGATGCATCACTGTCGCAAAATCTAGAACACGACTCTTGGTATCGTTCATTTTCTGCACCAGAAAAGCTGGTGGGTATTGATATGCAGTTGCTCCCTTTCTCCAGACGCCATCCACAGAGTCTTTCCAGCTGCCGCAATCACATGCTGTGTATAGCGCGCGTAGACCGTGTACCCAAGTACTGACACCTGCATCTGATCTAGTAGAACGACTCGACCATAGCATCCTTGTGTGTCGTGTTGATGGCGCCAGGGCCGTTGCCCTCGCCGAGTCTGAAGACCGACTCGACAACGGAAAGCTCAGTCGCTGTTGTGTCCAGACCTGCAAATACTCATTAGCTGCCATGCGCTCAAACCACGCGTTCAACGTAAAGACATACCAGTAACAGCCATCCAGTCATTGACAACCATCCCCGCGCCCACAACCGCACTTCCGCGATTCACACTGCCCGCCACGAGCGGGACCTGCAACAAACTCGACAACTCGTCCTGGTCCTGAATGCTCGTCTTGGGATGCACAATACCACCCTGGTTGCTCAGCGCCATGTAACTCCCCGTAAGCACGTTGTCCGCGATCGTCTGCCTGAACACCTCCACGCCCAGCACATCGGCTATTATCTCCTCCGTCTCGCGCTCAATATCCGGGTGTACGAGCGCAACATGATCGTTGCAGCATATGACGTTACCGAGCGCAGATAACCGCTCTTCTATGCGCTGAATCTTGACCGCATCGGGTATCGAATTGCGCAGGTGCTGGAGCTCTTGGTCGGTGGTGGTGGTGGGGACGAGGAGACCGTTCTTGTTGCCTGCCGTGAGGCGCCCGATTATGCGTGTTCCGGCGATTGTGGCGTGGCAGATGGGGATTACGTCTTGGAGTTCGGCTTCAAAGACACTGTGCGCGCATGTTAGGAGACCCGCCCGCCATGAAGCTTCGAATGATACTGTCATACCTGTAGAAGTTCTCGGAAGCTCCGACTGCGACAATCGCATACGCATTTGTAAGTGTAGCAAAGACACCGACTCTGCGACATACAGTATTAGTAGCTATCCCCATTACATCCATACATTCTTGCACAGTGGGGGCAAACTCACTCATTCGAGTTCTCAAACTGAGCGCGGACAGCCATGATTGCGTTGTTTCCGTTGTACTGACAAGAAACTCTGTTAAGAAGAGGATGGTTATGTAAGAACGAGGTGTAGTAGTAGCAGTAGTGAGGTGATTATCGAGCTGTTCAGTTTGCGATGTGCAGAAAACCAAGAGAGGCGGCGGACTTCCATTTTTTGTAAAGACCGACATCACTTTCTGCCCCGCTATCCCGATCTAGCTAATGCGCTTGGCAACTTCGACTCATCGTGAGTTCACTTCCATCCATCCAAGCAGATTGGCCATTGCTAGATATGGGGGCGTGTATGACTGTTTGTCGCTCAGTCACACCTAGGTGGCGATATGAAGGCGAATTGTCGGTGTTACGCCATGTACCCGTGTAAATGGAAGGTCAATGCTAGGACACACTAAAGTGACAGTCTGCGCAACGCATCACCATCATCTCCTCCCTCAGGCAAATCCCCGTCCCATCGTCGCGCCACATGAAGGAACGAGCCACCGAGCCTTCGTCCCTGGTATTTACGCTTTGCTTTGCGCCTTGCGCCTCGCGGCACTGGTGCGGGTCCAGCCCTAAGCCACCGGCAGAAGCAAGACATAATCTCGGAGAATTACATAGAAGCAAGTTCACACAAGTCCAAGCTGGAAATGACAGTCTAAGTTGTTTTGGTCTTGTTGCATGTAAGGCGGTGACCACGACAATGGTTCTGCGAAATAGCCTGAAACTACAATTATCAAGTCAAGGGTCAAGCACGGCCTCTGTCGCCTCCAGATCTTGACCATTATCCAAGCGTGCTTGTAGACCCCTGATCTTTTCGTGCGCGAACACCCAAAAAAGCAACGCTGGTACTAAGAAAAAGCCTTCGGCCAGCTGTAGTCAAATGACGACAATGGCGCTGCAGAAGTAAAAGAATGCTCGCTGTGCAATGAATGCGCCGAATAGATGATTGTATATAGATCGCTACTCCAAATCAGAAACTCGCCGTATTCCAACTTGTGAGGGTATAGCGCCGCGAAAACATAAAACAGGGCGTAGATGGCATGATTAGTCGTAAGTGATTCATTATGAGAGCTCCGGTAGGAGCCGTGTGTCGCGGTACGATGCGGCGCGTTTGGATTCGAGGTTGATATTTTGTAAGAAGACGTAGGCAGACGGAGATGGTTCGATGATGGGTGGTAAGCCTTCGCAGCGGTGAAACATGGTATTCAAGATGGCTAATTCATTCGGGTAATGAGGATTGCCAATGCGATCTGCATCTTGTTAGAGAAGAACACCGGCTCAAGCATTAGACATGAACTCACGATCACTCCAATGAGGAGCGTCCCAACACCAGACATGACACGGTTGAGATTGCGCCACCACCTCGCCTTCTGGAAAGCCTTATCGTCAACATGCCTGAATTGCTGGGCGAACTGTTGCTCGAGGTCCAATTGACTGGGCATGTCTACCAGAGCGGGATCGACAGGTAGAGGCAAGAAAGCTGCGATAATCCACGCTGATGTTTGCATTAGCACTCTCGTTCAAACGCGCCCTTCGATTACAGGAAAATACGTACCCAGAGGAAAGATAAATCCTAGGCAGAAGAATAGTATCTGCCTGTTTTGACGACTGAAGAGTGTTTTCCCCAGATCGGCATCGAGGGAGGGAGCTTTCCACATGCTATAAAGCTGGCCTCTGTTATCTGATCGCAAGTGCGGTGTCGAAAAGCGGCTCAAGCGTGTCAATTGGCCATCTGGTCCGAGGACATAGTAATCCCCTTCCATGGGCTGCGCGTCCTCGGGAAAAGACACGGAGTCAGTCCGTGAACTTCGATCGCGGGGTCGGTTGCGTGGTCGATGGATATTTGATGCAAAGTTGCTTTCCGAAGGCGTACGCGTCCGCCCGCTGTGCGATGTCCCTAATCGTATGCTGCCTGAAGACTCAGATTCGGGACCAGCTATGGAAATTCGTTCTCCTCGTTGGTAGTATGCCCTGTTTGGTTGTTAGTTGTGTCACGATCGGAACTCGGCTCAAACGTACTTTGCCCACGCTGGAATGTTGTTGGCAATGAAACCCGACATATCAGATTGCGACGAGCCTGGCCGGGACGAGCTCGTAGACCCAGCGTCACTGTTTTGTCTTCGCAAATATCCCGATGTCTTCATCCGGAGCGGAGCGGACGGTGGCAATGGGGAGATGGTGTCGAGATGCTCATTGTTGTAATCCTTCTCTTCACTAGGGTGACGATGCATTGGAGATGTGGGCGAGAACAACGGCAGGGGAACTGGCGAAAACTCCGAGCTGTCCGAGGAGACGTAATCTGAAGATGTGTTTGTGCTTCCAACCGTCTGACCCCTTCTCCGCATGACAACAGTCCGACCGTTCCCAGCAATGCTGTCTTGGGACTGCGATCTTGCGCCAAACGACCGCGAGGCTCTTGCAATGGATCGCGAGTCACGCTCGGACAGGGAGGGTATCGTGGAAAGCGTAGAGCTCCATTGGTGTCCATATCCGCGATCGGTCATTCGGGGAATGATATCGGGTGTGTTCTGATCGGCTAGCAAGTTGGTGCTTGACGGTGAGCTGATCACGGAATTGTTGAATCGGACTCCACTAGTAAAGGTAGCCGTCTGTGCTTCATGAAGAGATGGTGATGCGGTAATGGTCGATAGCGATGGTTCGATGCTAGTAGATGAAATATCAGAAAATGCAAACGACTCGACGGACGGCTTGTATACAGGTTGTCGATGGTGAATGTCACTAGAGTACGCAGGCTCCCCTGTTTCGGATCCAGAAGATGGGGTTTGTCTGTGGCCTTGCGATAACGGTCGACTGACAGGCGTCGAGTCACCGTCATTACTGAATCGGGTTGGCGAGGCAAGAGGAGTGCTTGAGGCAAACGATGCGTCAGATGCCGCTTGTGATGATGCGCGTGTACGACTGGCAACTGACTCTCCACCTGACAATGAAGGCGGCACTGCACGAATAGTGGGCTTTGGAGGAGCAGAAGAGTCTTCTTCTTGAAGTACCTCCAGGCCCTTCTCAAAGTCGCTTAATTCAGGTGGAGGAGATGAAGGGAGTGTGCTCGTGCTCGCTTGGGAAAACCTCTCACGAGAGAAGCGGAATGAGGGGGGCGTGAAGGAGGATGCGACAAGGGTATCAGCCTCCGAGTTGCTAGTCGACGCCGAATGTCTTGAGGCTTTCTTGCGTTGTGGTAGGGGTGTCTGGGGCTCGAGGGATTTGGTGGCCTCGAACTTTGCAATGGCATTGGCGACCTTACTGCTACTTGAAACACGAGATGCCGGCTGCTCAAACGCGTACCCCGGCGCATGACGGGGAGGGGGCAGTATCTGCGAGGGTTCGCTAGGTATTGGAAATTTGGAGTACACTTCGTTGTCACCGACTATGCGAATGGTTGGGGCCGCCGCTCGATTGCTCTGCGAGTTTGAGCGCTCATGTAGTGGTTTTCGAGTGGGCGAGGCGGGTCTTGATGTGGAAGTCGGCAGAGAGAATTTTGGAGCTTGCGCGAGTGGAGACGAAATGGAAGACTGTGATGCGGTTGCGCGACGATGTGAACCGGGCCTCGAAGACATGCTGTGGTGTGATGTGGTACCGCGTGCGACGGGATCTGAGGTGTTGAATGCGAGCGGGTAAGCTGAAACCGATCATTAAGGATAAAGATGGAGCTATGGGAAACGAAAGAATAGAACGCGCGGGGACGTTTGGTCAAAAGAGTGACAAGAAGGCTACAAAAACATATCAAAAGAGTGTCGGATACGGGCCAGCGGGCATTAGAGGGCTAAAGACTCGAGAAAAGAAGAGGTCGAGGAGTGGTCTGGGGACGGCGGTGGTTAAGCCCCCAGGAGTCGCCGGCCGGGCTGTCGGACCCAAAGAAGTTCGCTGCTGTTGCAATGCACGTTCGTGCTGCAAGGTGCGTGCTGTGTCTACTAGCCCGCCCAGATCCCGGCAGCCGAACCACGAGCCACAAATTGCTTCTTGCTGCTGGACACTTTGGGCTCTTTCGAGTCACCCTGCTGGCAATCCGTTGATGACCTGCTACGAGCCACAGGGCCGTTCCAGTGGGCTTTGGTGATGCGCTCAGGGAACCCCCCGTTGTCGCTAGTGATTCCTTGTCGAAAGGTCGGTCCAGGCTGCGACGCGCTTGTGGGCTGTCGCGAAATGAGAGGAAGCTTTAAGCAGCGCGCGGCGAGCCAGTGACGTGTAAACACGGGCCGTTGGAAGGCCTCCCCAGTTTGTCACTGGATGGAGGCGGCGTGGGCTGCAGGGATGCGCGAAACGGGAGCAGGCTGAGATGAATCGACGCGAGCCTGCGCACGTGATTGGATGCTTGTTTGCAAGCTGCAGCAGGCGGTGCGAGAGTTTATCGATAGAGACGTCAGCGCACACTGGCATATATGTCGGCAGCCGTCTATTTTTGTGCCCTGCACTCTTCAGGAGCTTGCCCGTAGTCTCCAGGAGTGCGTGTAACTTGTAACAGCCAGAGCGCGCGCAATGCCGCCGCCCACCAAAGGCTGGCGGGACGGGCTTAACGCCCTTCGTGAAATGTACAGCACACGCGGTGAGTCGCGTCCATTGGCCTGTGTCCTCCCTTGCACTTCAGACCTCTTTAAACGCCTGCTTGAGACTGCGCTTTCCATTTGCTAGCCTCCACCTTGTGTCTGACCATGAAGTCTAACCTGTCGCCAGTCGCCAAAGCGCCCGTCATCTCTACCAACACTGCGGCTCTGTTGTCGGTGCGTTTCAAGATGCTGTCCCCCCACCCCCCACCGTATACTCCTCGTCCTATCGTTCGCCACACCTTGCAACATATCAAACCCCATACTAATAATACCCGTGCCCGCAGACTGCCTATGTACTGATCTACGTGGTGCCGTTCTACTTGTCGTCTGCGACGCGACCCTCGCCCACTCTCACACGAGATGCACCCTCTGCGATACGTGCGAGGACAAACTCAGTAAAACTCTCGACCCTGGTGTGCTTCGCTCTTACCGCTTTCGTGTTGCATCGGCATGATGTATCGGTCCAAGAGATGCTCAACCTGCTCGGCTTCTGGCCGATCTCCCCTCTCGATACAGCACGAACGATGCTCCTCGTGACTATCCTCTTTGCAGGGCCCATCTTCGAGCAAGGGATCGTGGATGGAGCCATCAAGGATTGGGTGAAGTTGAAGGGAGTTCACGAGACACTGAGTAGCTGGATTGGCTATAGAGCCTTCATCGTCGTATGTCACTACTAACATGCAGACATGCGTTGGTGCTGACCACCATAGGGCCCCGTCAGTGAAGAGCTTGTCTGGCGCTCTTTCATGATTCCGCTCCACGTGCTGGCCCATTTCTCCGCAAAGCAAATCGTCTTCCTCACGCCACTGTACTTTGGAATTGCGCACGTTCATCACCTCTACGAATTCCGCATCACACATGCAGAAGTCCCATTCTTCGTCACTCTTCTGCGCTCCCTCTTCCAATTCACATACACCTCGCTGTTTGGATTCTTCGCGGCTTTTGTCTTCATTCGGACAGGGAACGTCTATACGTGCATTCTAGCTCATACCTTCTGCAACTGGATGGGGTTACCGCGATTCTATGGCCGTGTAGGCGTCGAAGCTGGCGTGCCGATTGGTCCTCCGGATGTCAATAAGAAGGATGACGGCGAGAAGGTCGTACCTAGCGTTCACGGGAAGGGTATCGCTTGGACGTTGGCCTATTATGTCATCCTTGTAGCTGGAGCTGTCGGATTTTACTACCAACTGTTCCCGCTAACAGAGAGCACGCATGCTCTGAAAGTCGTATCGTAGCGAAAGTAGCGAGATGACAATCTGCTCGACATAAAAAGCAAAAAGTTCGTCTATCGAATTTCTACACGAACAGAAGAATGAACAGACACGGGCAATATGTAAAATGTAAAAGTTATCTTTTTGCGTATTTTCAAGATGAGGGTTTCGTTCTACACTTGCTCACTTGAGTCTGGTGATCGCCCACCAATTATCCTTCTCGTACCCACACTCCACTACGATGCCCCCAGCTTCTTCAACATCCCGCTCCAATTCGCCCTTCCTATACAGATGATAGTATCTCAGATACGTCTTGTCGCCTCCTGCTTCCTTCTCCCGCTGACCTTCTCCTTGCCCTTCTCCGTCCTCTCCGCGCCCAGGCCCTTCTTCCTTCTTCCGCCTCGGTCCCTTCTCTTTCTTCCCTTTCAAAACCCACGGTACCATAACATCCTGCTCATGCCCCTCATCCCACCCCCTGCGACTATCTTTCTGCTCAAGCGCCCACACATAGATCAATGCCCTCCCCCCATCTTGCAGTAAAGGACTCGACGGCCGCAAAACTTCCAAGATACACCGCACAGCTTCTACCCGCCGTGCGGGCGTAGACAAGTGATGAATGACTGCAATTGAGATAGCAAAGTCGAACACCCCACGTGGATGTGGGAGGGACAAGTTATCCGCCACGACGCTGTCATGCGGTTCGTGCTGGCGGGCGATTTTGACGAGATTTGTTGATCTAGTGTGAGATATCAGCATGCAATCTCCTTTCTTGCGTAGTAACTATGCATGAAAAATACAAAATAAAACCCAGCGACGTAGATATAAGCAAGAACATGAACACGAACAGTTTGCAAAAAAAAAAAGACCTACCGATCACTCCCCACCAAAAACACCTTCTTATTCACCGCCAGGTACTTCCCGTTCCCACACCCCACATCTGCACCCACCGCCCCATCGGGCAGCTCTTTGAGAAACCTCTCGACTATCGGCCATGGCTATGTTGCAGCAGGAATTAGTCACTCGGTCCTTTCTTGCAACATGTCGCGTGACGCACACCTTGTAGCGCGTAGAGGAGAAGTGCGATGCGATCTCCTCGTAGACAGAGTGCACATGTTGAGCCTCGTAGGAGGCGCCGTCAGCGTCTGTAGAGGCCATAATTTGCGCCGTGTGGTGGGTGTTGGAAGGGAGTTTTTGACGTGTGTAAGCCAATGAGGGGTAGAGACTGGGTTGGCTAGTGGGGGTTGCGAGGAGAGGATTTCAAGGGGAGGCACGACGTTCTGTTTTCCATCTTGCTGTCCGAAAGATTACAACGGATTGTTTTTCTTCGCGGAGCCTTGCTGCATATATATATTTCGTATTGCCGTTGCTGTTGGCGGGGTGACGCGCTCGTGGAGAAGGGAAAGCTCACGTAGAGACACGCGACGCGTTGCGTTGCGATCATGCTTGTTCTTCAACGGGCGGGATGTATGCACAGAACTCCTTGTAGAGAGCTACGACTCGCCCGAAAAAGTGAATTGGGCGTGCTCGTGTTCGCGATGTTTCAGAGAACAAAAGGTACGCTGCGAAATGCCCCGATTGTGGACGTGCAACATCGGGCAGGAGACTTTTTCCACACAGGTATGCAGGCGACAGTGACACGGTTGCTATGGGAGAGGGGTGAATTTACTTGTTCTCATTTCTGAATAAGACTCGGGAGAGAATGCTAATATCTCCAGTCCTGGGCAGTTATTGTTGCTTGCTCATTTGCTGGCGAGATGCCATATTCGTTCTCAATCTAGGGCCATGTGATGATATTGCTGTCTTTATAGGTCCGGGGGAGAGGTATGTACACCTAGTTCTTTAGTAGTTGACTTGTGAATATTTAGTAATGATTTGATTATGTCGCCATTTATGTTCTTTTATGTGATCTAAAAAAGGCTGGATACTGAAACCGTGCGGGCAAATCTTGTATATAAAACGCATATGCGAATCATCGATCATTGAACAGACTGATAATCGTACCAGCTTTCCAGTGTCAATTACTAAGTAACCACATTCACCTATCACTTTAGCTGACACACACCTGTAAATGCGTATTCGTTCTCAGTCAGTGAGAGTTGGCCCGTCGTTAGAGATCAAGTCAGATCTGCTAGACGAGACGTTATAGAGCAATACATCTGAAGTTTCTGGTTACATTGTCAAAGCCATCTCAGTGAGTTCTGGCTTTCTCGAAATGTCACAGCAGAGATCCAGAATACTGGCAGTTAGTACTACATATGTAAAGCGTTAGTTCGTTGAACTACTTACGTTGATTTCATGAATCTTCACAAGAAGACTTTTAGAAGGAGGCAAAAGGTTCATGGCGATAAGTCTATGCGCCCCAATTCCGTCCTCCTATTCTTGTAGGATCAGATATCACATCAATAGCAATAGAAAATCCGAGGATCAAATAGACAATTGTTAGTACAGATTCTATAACCCTTCAATCACAACATTCTCAAGCACATTCGTGTGCTTTCAGATAATCTTGAATGCGGCGTAGGAATGGGTTCAATTTCCAGACTAACCGTAGAAGAAAACAACAGTTGGATGGGATTTGATAATGGTCTTCTCATGAACTCTCATCTGGACGAGAACCAGACAAAGATGAAGTGCTAGGATGATGTACCTCGGTCACAGAGCGATTATGCACATGGAGCGAGGAGAACTTGTCGAGGTAGAGATGGTACTATAGTTTGACACGGATCGGATGATGTAGGGTTATAAGTTGCTAGTGCCCATTAGAGAAGAAGGAGCAATGTGGTATAGCAGGTGCCGACGTATTTGGAAAAATATTGTTTGTTCTGTGTAACCCATATCGATTCTTTCACCTGATAAATTACACTTTGCTGGCATTCATTACTAAAAAGCCTGCAAGCTATTTTCCATGAACCCAACATGACATAGATATTTCGACCGTCGCCAACTCTCACTATGGCACATCTCCCGAACAATCCGACCTGCACGGCCTCGGCATGATCAGCGGGAGGGGGAATGCACAAGATCAGCGAATGGATAAACGTATGCAGTGCTAGGTATGACCAACGTGCAAATCTCGTGCGAACACATGTTCCGAAAAAACATGAGATCCGGGGTAACAAGTCTTGCGATAACACCCGATCGTCATACCACCTCACCTCGAATCAACCACGCATGCAGACTCACCCCCGCATTTCCCATTCATCCGGCTCGTTGGAAAGATGTAGCGAGCTGTGGAGTAGGTTACAACCGCCTTGATTCGATTTCGCGGTGCTCAAGATATATTTCAAGTGTGCTTGCATCAGTCTTTTTTTCTTGTCTTCTTGTACGGTCTTCTATTTCGACAAAATGAATACACTCAATCCCATCATCCCTGGCTTCTCGCCTGATCCTTCGCTCGTCCTGGTCGATGGGACGTATTTCCTCGTAAACTCCTCATTCCACATGTACCCTGGTCTGCCTATATACACCTCGCAGGATCTCGTGCACTGGAAACAAATCGGTAGACTCCATGCTCCAAACATCTGTACGATCTTTTGCTAACCTCAACCCCAAGGAAATGCGATCGACCGCCCCTCACAACTCAGCCTGAAAAAGTCGTCAACATTCGTTCATGTGGTTGGTGAGAGTGATGGTTTGGTCGCAACAGGCGGTCTCTACGCACCCACCCTCCGCCACAACAATGGAACTTTTTACATTGTCTGTACAAACCTGATACACCACACAAATGGTGCTCCACCAGTCATGTCCAACTTCATCATCTCGACTACAGACATCTGGGGCGGGAAATGGAGCGACCCCATCCCCTTTGATTTCTATGGAATCGATCCTAGCCTCTTCTTCGACGCCGATGGAAAGAGCTTCATCTGTGGGTCTGCGTACCCTGGCCCATCGACCAGAATCGCTCTTTTCGAGATCGATCTCGCCACAGGGAAGAAGTTGAGCAAAGAAATCGACATCTGGACTGGCACCGGTGGCATCTACCCCGAGGGACCGCATATATATTTCCACAACACGTTTTACTATGTGATGGTTGCTGAGGGAGGTACGCTTGAAGATCACATGGTGACAATGGCGAGGAGCAAAGACATATGGGGTCCGTATGAAAGTTGTCCGAGAAACCCGGTACTGACAGCGAGGGGGACGGACGAGTATGTGCAGTGTACGGGACATTGTGAGGCGTTTGAAGATCAACAGGGCGGGTGGTGGGGCTTTTGTTTGGGAATCAGAATGAAAAAGAAAGACGAAGGCAGATATGTGCTCGGTCGCGAGACATTCCTTACAAAAGGAAACTGGAGCGAAGATGGCTGGCTCGAGTTTGACCGCGTAAAGATGGACCTGAAAATCCCCGGAGTAAAAGTGAAAGAAGAGCAGAGACTGACTGCAGCGCCGGGTGTTGACTTCCTGTACATCCGCGATCCGGAACTATCGTACTACAGCATCTCAGACGACTGCAAGAACTTCGAACTCACCTCGTCGCCTTTCGATCTCGACACGCCTGAACATTCACCTACGTTCCTCGGAAAACGCCAGCGTCAGCTAAACGGCACAAGCAGTGTCACTATCACGAATCTCCAGCAAGTAGGTAGCAATCGCGATCACTGCGCTGGTCTTGCCGTCTACAAGGACGAATATCGTTTCCTTAGAATCTGCTATTCCCCATGGACGTCAACCATAGCTTTCGAAGTGCGCAACAAAGTAAGTGCTATTAATCGGTCTTTGGTGCACCGCATTCGTGGCTCTCCGAACACACTGCGCCTTGTTTTGAAGTACACGGACATGGAGTATGAAGCTTCATACAGCGTCGACGGCGCAAAGAGCATAGTATCGGGCACAGCTGATACGATGGATCTGAGCGAGATGGACTTTGTGGGGCCGATCATTGGGCTTTTCGTGACAGGAGAGGGTGGCGAGGTGTGTTTCAAAGACTTTGAGGTCGCCTAGGTGTCGATGTGGTGTGATGGGATTCGGGTGGTTGGAGATGGGGCTGGGGAAAGGTGTTGTGAGGGGTAAATATCTAGCGTGATCCTTAGTCATGCACGCGTCTGGGGAATGCGGAGAACCTTTTGCGTCTTCACACCACCGCACACAACGTAATCTGGCCTTAACGGCGTATACAACACGAGATCATGCGATTTGTGGATGATGGATATCTTAGCTTTAGTGAGCTTGCGACAGCAATATGATCAACTTGGCAAGATTGCGTGAACAAGTCGTCATGTTCGCCGACCAGGATCGACCGCTTTCATCATCATCATCATCATCCCATCCTCGTGCATATGTATGCCACTGTTCACCTCCCGCTTTCGTCCACTTCTCCGCATTCTCATACTACCTAGCATACAAGAACCAACGGTGTAATGATAAGAAACAAGGAAGTATGATAATAACGACGTGCGGAACATATCAGGCTGAACAGACATTTCGACGTTCATGGTCTCAAAAAGTACAACGTTAACGACAATGCCTCTTGGGAGTAGGTACCAGACAAGGCTCAGTTTTGAATCACACCAGCACAAGGGAGATACATGTAAAATATGACACCACGGAACAAACATATATTTTCGTAACCATGCCAGGTACTTTGATTCGATGTTCGAAGAGCTCTTCACTACGTTTTCTGTGCTCACCCGTCCTTACACAGAGATGTTCTGCCTGGCGCCATCGATTCGTAGTCAAAACACTGAAGCCTGAAACATCTTCACAGTGTCTTGATCATCCTGTTCTACTCTGCTAATGACATACTTCGATAACTCCTGCAAACCTTGAAATGCCTAACCATCAATTTCTAGAACCTTGCAACGTGATATCCACCGTACTCCTTCACCAGATCACAGAGGGTACGGAACTCGCGAAGCGGACCGTTAGGGTTGGTGAGGCCAACGGTAGGGACAGGGTCAGAGTCAGCTAACTTAGTGGTTAGTGAAGCTCCACAGCGAAAAAACAGCGGTTGAATCAAATGGCTCAAAAACGGACTTACCTTTACGCCCATCACCATGTCCGATGAAAATGACGTTGGGTTTCACTTCTTCCTCCTCAGTCTCATCAATCTGCGCGACGGATTTCACAAGACCGAAGTCTCCAGAGATGCCACTAGGCTCTTCGTACATCTTGAAGAAAGGTAGACCGTTTTCCTTGTACGTCTCGGCGTTGGGAGGCTTCGAAGGAGGAGCGTCGCCAGTCACAGCTTTATAGACGGCGGCGTTGAGAATTTGTACGTTAAAGACTGTAGTACGATCTGACAGCCAGCCCTCGCCGTTCTTGTCAGCTTTTATCACCTGTTGGATCTTTCCCCCAGCTGCAACCGTCATCTCGTATCCGCCGCCGCCTTGGAGGCGAAATACCAAGTGCATCATGGATTCCTATTGGAAACATGAGAAAAGTCAAGTGTAACAAAAGCATAAAAGACTCAACATACCGAACCGATATTATAATCAGCGAGTGTCCTGTAATCTTATGTAAATCAGTAGAATTCGGTCAGGGACTCAACCCAGACTTACCTTCTAGCTGCTTGCCTGCAAAGATGAGTCGTTGCTCGTCTGGCGGATGGCCTTCCTGGTGGCAGATCATGGCTTTCAGAGTGTTTATTGACGCATCCTTGCGGGTTTTCAACGTAATGACATCGCCATAGATCGACTTGACATAGATAATGTGTCCGTATTCTGGCCTGGACAGCACAACTGGCCTCTGATACGGCTTGTACGGCGTGACTTCGATTTGAATACCACCTGCAGCGTCCCTACCCGTCACCTGATGCTCGACAGAGTGTCTACTGCCGAATGGCATGCTGACAAATTGACGGACAGTACCGTCGGAAGCTGCGATACCATCAAGCCAGCGCTGTCCGGGGACGACGATGTAGTCCTGGAGACTTGACTGGTTGGCTTGTTTCTGCTGGCGACGAAGTCGCGTACTCGCATCCTCGACTGCAGACTCACCCGAAATCGCGTTGACACCACCGACGTAGATCTTAATCAGGTAGGCTTGTCGCTTGTCGACTGTGAAGTCGATCCACATAGCTTCTGACTCTAAGTAGCGTTATTATCGCTTGTTCTTATGGTGAAGTTGTATTACTTACGGTGCATGGGGAAGAACACCCCTCCCTTCGCACTCATCGCAGCAGGGAGCTTGTTAACGTGTTGAGAAACAGGCTTGATAGGAAATGCGCCCAGGTTTGGTGGCAGGAAGGACGTTTGATTGTTGTCCGGGACGCGGATCGTGCGTTGGAAAGAGATCTTAAGGTCGTTGTTGACGATAACGCAGTCGTTCTTCAGCTCCATGCTAAGTGCGTTGGCCATGATGACGACTGAGCAAGGCGTGTAGTGGAGTGAGGAAGTATGGCGAGGGACGGAGACAAAGGGTTGGAAAGAGTAAGGCGGTACAAGAACGAACTCAAGCTCGCTTCAGAACGGGAGAATGAGAGTACGAGAAAAGTCAGGAGTGAGAGAGAAGTGAGATGGATCGAGTCTAAGCGAGAATAGAGTAGAGTAAAAGTGACAGCAAGCATGCCATCCGTGGAAGGCACGATCACGACTCCGCAGAGACGACCTCAGTACCCATACAAGCAGCAAGAGCCCCACGACAAAGGTAAACATCCGCGACTTGACATTCATCATCCGATGCATCTCTCAAGCGAAACGACACGCATGTTACAAATCTTTTAGGCCATCCAACTAACCACGAGGAAGAAAGTTCAATCGTGATGTAACGATATAAACACTCTCAACACGCACTCACGCCTCCACAGCACCAGCCTTCCTCTTACGACTCCTCTTCTTCTTCTTCTTATCCCCCTCGACGACATTCTCCTCACCCTTCCCACTCTGCGCAACCTCCTCGCCAAGCAAGTTCTCAAAGCCGCCCTTGGGCCCATCCGCATCGCCAAACGTATCCTGTCTCCACTGCCTCAGCCTCGCCTTCTTGCTCAAGTGTTTCTTGTCCTTCTTCTTCTTCTCTGGATCTCTAAACGCGGCCAATTTCTTCAAGCCGGCAAAGTCGTTCAGCTGCTTGTCATCCGCAAGTAAGATGTCGCGAGCCGTGAGGCCAAAAGTCGTGGGTGATGTTTCGCGGTAGCGGAACCTGGCGGGGGCTTTTGCTTTCGCGGCGAGCGAGGCTTCGTACTCGAGGGTGGAGTCGACGAGGTTCTCGATGAGGCGGCGATCGCGGCGGGCGGAGGATTTGGCTTCGGCGCGCTCTTGCTTGCGTTTCTTGGTGGATTTAGCGGCTGGGGCATCGGCCTCGTCTTCTTGATCGTCTGCAGCGTCTTCGTTGTCTGATGAAAGTGTAAATGCGGGCTCCTTTTTTTCTTCTTCTTCCTCCTCTTCTTCTTCGTCGTCGTCGTCCTTGAAATCTGGAACAAGATCCTTGATGTCGATGTCGTCGTCAAACTTGGGCTTCTTGGGCTTCTTCTTGTTCTTGATCTTCTCGTCCTCGCTTTCTGCCGCGGCGTCGCCCTCGTCGTAGTATGCGTCACCGAAGCGCTTCTGCATCTCAGCGTCCCATCGCTCGTCTGACCAGTCCCCCTCCAACACTTCCTTCCACTCGTCTATCTGGAAGTCCCTGCCGCTCAAGCCGCCGATCTTGCGTATCTGCTGGACTTTTTGCTCCATGTCGTCGATCTTGAGCTTACGCAGACGCGCCAAGCCTGCTTCTTTTTCCTGTCGCTCTGCTTCTCGCTTGGCTCTAGCAGCATCGCGGGCCTTGCGACGACCGTTTACGTCATCGCGACGGACAGTGGTGGTGGCTACGACGTCACGGGCGTAGGTGGTGATCTTCTCGTTAGCGCCAGCTGTGTTCTCGAAATACAGATTGTATGAGTTCTCCCACTCGTCAGCGGCAGCCTCCTCTTCCTCGTCGTCGGACTGCAGCGGTTGGAAGCGGGAAGCTCCACTTGGAACCCAGGCGCGCGAGGCCATGAAATTGGAGAGGAACGTCTCAGGGTCGTGTTCGGCCTTCTCAACGTCTTCGACGGTGATCTTGACGCGGTCCTTCTTGCTCGCAGCAGGTTTTGGTTTGGCGACCAGGAAGTCGTCGTCCTCCTCGTCGGCAGCGGCGTGCATCTCCTTGACCAGGTTTCGTCTGACCTCCTCCTGCTCCTGCGCGTACGTCTGGGGCGGCGCATCCTCTTCGTCCTCGCCGGGAATCTTGCCCTCCAGTAGGTTCTTGGTGTGGTATTGCCTCAGCGTCATCGACTCGTTCTTCTCCGTGCCCTCTGCTTGGCCCTCATCCTCGGCGGGGTCGCGGTAGAACTTGACGTCTTTGTTGTAGATGCGGGGGTCCTTGGAGCGCAGGGCTTGCAGGGTAGCAGTGACTTCGTCGTCGAGAGCCTCGTCGAGCAGCTCGGCCGCGTCGTCCTCCTCCACGCCTTCCTCGGAATCTTCCGAGTCGTCGTCGCCATTTTGGGGTGCCTTGCCTTTGCCGTACTTCTCCTCCACTGTGAAGGGTTAGCTACGCTCATCGAGGGCGATTAGCGGTCTACATACGCCTATGCTGCTCTGCGCGCTTGTTGTTGTGTTCGAATCGACGCGCAAACTCCTCGTTGACCTTCAATGTCACGCCGCCCGCATCTCCATCCGAGCCCTCATCGTCTGTGTTATCGAGCAGCTTTGCCTTCTTGGCGGGTCGTTTGTCGTGTGTTTTGGAGTGCGCAGACTCGTCGTTCAATTCGCGCTTGGCGCCGTTCTTCTCTTTGGTCCTGGCCATGTTTGTTGGAGTCGTGGGTGAGAGTGATTGATAGGCAGGTCTGGCTTCCACAAAAATTTCGGCAGCCAGGCACGCTAAAGTGGACCCTGGCCTCCCTGACGTCGACCCACCGGCGGACCACCGAAAGCACCGCAAGTCGTGTCTCCCGCCATGTGTTGATAGTCTCAGTCTTAATCTTAATGTCTGCTTCTCTTTGGCCTTTGTTATAGATACCCCCTTTGCTAGACCATCCATAGCCATTTGCAGTTTGAGCGAACGGCAGCATGGCCGAGGAGACGGCGCAACAGCCCGTCCTGGAGCCCGTATCGAAGCCACTGACGCTGATGTATGTCGACACAAGCCCCGTACACGCCGTCCGAGACTCACCAGCGCATACAGTCCCGTCGTGATCAAGGAAGCCGCCCTCGACTCGCCCACGTTCCGCGCGACCGCCGTGCACTTTGGCGACCAGATCGACCTCATAGAGCGCTGGCTCGACTCGTACATCCGCGCCACGTCGAAGCTCGCCGCCGAAGTCAACACGCTGCAGACGCTCGTCGACGCATACATCCAGACATCGCATCCGCCGCTGCAGCTGTCCGAGGCCGTCCTCGACCATGATTACACCGTCTTGGCGCTAAAGCGCTTCGGGGAGGGAGCACGCGAATTTTGGAACAGCACTCTGCGCAGCACCAAGCGAGCAGAGGCGACCGTCTGCGAGCCCCTGAGAGCGTTCCTGCAGACGGACCTGCGCATACTCAAGGAAGCGCGCAAGAACCTGCTCGAGTCACAACGATTGTTCGATGGCGCCATCTCGCGCTATGCAGGCCAGGTCAAGACGAAAGAGCCGTCGTCGCTCAGAGAAGACGCCTTCCAGCTGCACGAGGCGCGGCGGGCCTATCTGACGGCGAGCATGAACTTCTGCATGCTGGCGCCTCAGGTGCGCTTGACCCTGGACAAGCTGCTGGTCAAGGTCATTAGCGAGCAATGGCGCGATATGAAGGCTGCAGGGGAGGCCTCGAACAAGGGCTTGGCGCAGGGGACGGCTGATGTAGAACGCGTGCGGGGGTGGAGCAAGGAGATGGAGAATGGCGAGCGCGTCTTCAAGAGGGAGCTGCACTTGGCGAGGCAGCAGATCGAGGGTGCTGCAGAGGTGAGCGCACGCCCATCACGCGACCTGGACTCGTATGCAGCCTCGACTGTCCCCTATCTGGGCACACAGCCTTCTTCAGCGAACGCCCCAGCCCCTGCACCGCCGGACCCTGCCAACGAGAAGGCCGAGAAGCAAGGTTGGCTTTTCCAGCGCACAATCACGGGGAAGCCCGCTCGAACCTACTGGGTCAGGAGGTGGTTTTTCGTTAAGAACGGAATCTTTGGCTGGCTTACACAAGGCACCCGGTCTGGCGCCGTCGAAGAATCCGAGAAAATTGGCGTGCTACTCTGCGGCATCCGTCCAGCTGTCAGCGAAGAACGACGCTTCTGCTTCGAAGTCAAGACGAAAGACACCACCATCTCTCTTCAAGCCGAGACCCAAAACGACATCACGGAATGGATCGCTTCGTTCGAGGTGGCGAAACGCAAGGCCTTGGAGAACACAACTAGGGATATCAGCGCCCAGGATTCAAATGATGCTGCTTTTTCAATCAGTCCTCCCGTCGCCCCCGAATTTGCTGCCAAGACATCCGAAGGCCATATCACTAACCCTAGCGACGACGTTGGCCACCCCGACCGTGCAGAGGCCTCGCTCGCCGTTCATGGGGGTGACAGCTTGGCCGTGCGAGGTAGTGTAGACGTCCCTCGACGAAACACTACAGTCGACAGAGAGGGTGATGGTGGTCGACGAGATCACACTACCAGGATTATGGAGAAACTTGACCTGACAAGGAAGTCTACAGTCGTGCCCCAGCTAAGCGCAAGCAATCCTTCCTCCGCTGCCGGCGGCATAGCTAGTCTCATATCCGCAAGTCTCGCTTCTGCCAGCCATAACATTGTACAGGTCGGACAGATCTCAGCTCCTGCACATGGGCTTCCCGATACAAAACTTGTGTTGGGACAGACCCTTCCATATACTAGCCTCGCCCCATCAACTCTTGCAAATCCACCTGCACCAACAAACCTTAGTAAAGCCGCTGTGGCCGTCAGTGGAGAGCATGGCCTCGGTATTGGTCGCTCTGGCAACATGCCTGGCGGACTCATGGCCAATCTGTGGGGATCAGTAAACTGGGGATATGTCAACCATTTAGGAGGTGCAGAAGAACCCACAAGCCATGACCGCAGTCATTCTGGCCCTCCTACCCCGATAGAACGCCCATCAGCTGTTGAACCTTTCGACGAAAAGGCAGAGAAGGAAGCACCGTCTACTGCTTCTGAGAGTACCGTCCCACATGTCGCCGCTCATCGAAAGACGATAAGCTTGAGCGGTCCCATCCCATTGCAGAGCCAGAGACTGCCTGCACCCACAGAAGACTTTCCTAGCTATTATCCACTTGCTCTACGCATGCAAGATGCGCAGTTCCGCATTCTGTTCCCTACTGTACCGCGTTCAGAAAGAGTTGTATTGGTCTTCCGCGCCGTCTGGAATCCAACCGAGCAGCAGGAATTCCCTGGCCGTGTATACGTCACGGTGAAGAGAATCTACTTCTACAGCAATCACCTGGGCCTTGTCCTTGTCACGGACCTCAATATGGAGTCTATCGATGAGGTGACTGCTGCACCTGGAAAGGATTGTGACTTCCTCTTCCTCCATTTCAAGTCTGGCTCGAGAAGCGATGGAGCTACCAGAGTCACAATCAAGACTTTCCTCGAACCTCTAAAGCTGCTACAACGACGTCTCAACTTTCTTGTTCAGAATGCCACGCTGGAAGAATTTACTCTGAACGACGTGGTGAAGAAATTGATTAAGATGGAATCCGACGATACCCAGTATACAGCGGGCGAAGAGGGCTGGGAGGAAGTCTCTCCCGACACGCCTGTGGATGGAAGCTACGGCGGAAAGAACATCAAGACCAGTCTCCGAATCGATGGCAACTTATTCGGGCCGCCCAATGCTAACCTCTTGAGATCAGCTACCAAGTTCAAGTTGCCGGCACAGCCTGTTGTATTTGCTCCAACGGGAATGACACAAGTCGCCGTGGAGAAAGAATACGAAATCAGCGCAAAAGCACTCTTCCACATCCTCTTCGGCGACAAGAGCGCAGTATTCCAGCTGCTATACCGAGAACGATGGGCGTCGCGCGTAGTGCAGGGACCATGGGTAGCCGCAGACCAAAACCACCAACGCAGAGATTTTGAATATGAGGTTGCACAGCCCGCCAAAAACGGAGCCGTCATCATCAATGACTACCAGATCATCGAGGTCCTAAACGACCACCTTTGCTATGTCGTATCAGACAGGAAGACGCCATGGTACCTGCCCGGCCACGAGCGATTCGTGCTCCTCAGCAAGATCGTCATCACGCATGTCTCCAAGGCAAGGTGCAAACTGGCCATCCACATCAAAGTTGACTGGAAGCAAAACCCCCGGTTCGTGAAGAAACTCATAGAACGACAGGGCCTGCAGGACATGGAGCTCGAAGCCCAGGATCTCGTCGATGTCGTCAACGACCAGGTCGCGCGACTCGGGCACAACAAGAGCACGGGGAAAGTCACAAACGTCTTCGGACAAATCGGTATACAAACACAAGCCGTGCAGCTCACCACGCAAGACATACCGCCGCCTAACCGTCCGCGGAAATTCAAACTAAGACCCCAAACCACCACGTCCTTCATCCTGCAATACATCGGCAACATCGTCATCAGCATCCTGTCCACAGTCATGAGCTGGATACTCGCCATGATCGCCGGCCTGGGCAACATCATCTCAGCACACAAGCTACTCATCATCCTCCTGCTCGCCAGCGGGGGAGCAAACTTCTTCCTCACATCGAAGGACAGCTGGGCGTGGTGGAACGAGCGCAACGCCGCGAAATACATGTCGCGCCTCGGCGTCGGCCCAGGCACAAGTCTAACGCGCTCCGTCTACCTCCGCGACATAGAAGAATCCTTCCTTACGCCGAACGCAACAACGGGAATCGAGCTATCCATCCCGCTGGAGCACAATAAATGGTACGTCCCTCCCCACCTCACACCTCACACCTCACAAACGTATGCATGCAAGCATGTATAATCTAACCCCTACTCACAGCCACCAAACTTTCACAACACTCCTCCACAACCCTTCTGCCCACCCGTCTTCCTCCTCCCACGCAACACGCCGTCTCCATCGCACGCGCCAGAACCTCGGCACCCACCGCCACGATCTGCTCGTCGCGCTGCGTGTCGTGAACCGCATCGAGAAAGAGGTCGTGGAAGCAGAGTATGAGAACTGGCTGCGAGACGAGACCAAGAAGTGTGGGCGCGTTGGCGCGTTGCTTGAGGAGGGGAAGAAGGCGGATGGACATGTCGGCGAGTGGGTTAGGGGGTATTGCGGGGATTGCGAGAAGAGCTTGGAGGGCGTCGTGGGGCGGGGGTTGATGTGAGGTTTTGGGTGCAAGGCTGGGTAGAGATGGGAGATATGTATGTGTGTAGTTGGGTAATGGGATTGTTACACTTTGTGTTTGAGGAAATGTGAATCTAGCGAGGGGTAGTTGGGCACTGGTTCTTGAATCTACGCGACCGATTGGCCCGTATCACTTCGACACTCCTGTCAAAAACGGGTTGGACGCATGAAGTAGCCATCGCTACCAGCTCAGCTGCTGAACCGTGCCCGGCTCCCCAGCCATCATAGCTCTCGCATTGCGAAACTCAACCTTCGCCTTCCTATCATCGTCCTTCGAATACGACAAAGCAACGACCACGATCCTCAAATGGTCCGGCACAACCAAATCGACATCTTCCATATATGGCAGCCCCAGCTCCGCACGCGTACTTTCCTGCTCAAGCCTCAGCACTTCCCGTGCGATTTGGCCGGCCACCAGACCATCCCAGTACCCTTCTCTCCTGGGGTAGCTCAGCATGAGTGCAACGGCTCGTCTGCGCAACGCGATGCACGTAGATGGCGCAGACGTTGCGACGAGCCACAACGCCGCCAAGGGACCCACAGCTGTCGTGAACACAGGCGTGAGATCCGAAGGATCTGGGAGCAGATGAGTGATGAGAGCCATCATTTTGGTGAAGTGCGCCGGGAGATCGAAAGGCATGTTGTTCGACTCGTGCATGAAACCCAACTCTTCTATCAGATCGCCTCTTGGCGAGCGGATGAGGTATTCGATCTGGCAGTGTAGGAGGCGGAGTGAGGACAAGGGTTGTGCAAAGGCGGCTTGAGTGGAAGAGGTGTTATTGCACAGCCTGTCAAGAGCGATGGAGCCTATTTTGAAGCGCTCCATCAAGTCCTGATATCCGAGCAGAACTAGATGTTTTTCTTTTGGCAGACGTTCATTCGTCCCCTGTAAGAAGTTGAGGACGTGGTTCTGAAGAGACTCAAGGTACTGCAGCATTGCGAGTAGCGAAGAGTCACTCAATTCGGCCCTGGGAAGGGCGGGCATGTCTTTCGTTGCAGGCGGAGGCTCCCAGTGGAGAAAATCTGACTGGCTCATTATGCTGCGAGCTTGCATGTCAAGGCCGACGAATATAGATCGCAATGACTCGATATCAATCGGGTGGGGCTCGTCTCTCGCAGCTTCAGCTTCATCCGCCTCTTTCAGCATACGCAATCCGCTCCGGAGATGTTGTAGCGCCTCCCGTTGGTGACCCTGGAGACAGGCCATGCTGTTGAACAGTATACAACACGTCATCAGTGTCCGCTTATCCGCCACGACAGTATCACCACGTGGTCCTTGATTCTTAACCAATCCCTGAATCGCTCGGTTAGAGTGCTGCAAGGCGAAGTGCAAATGCTTATCCAAGGCCCCCTTTTCAATATGCGAAGTAGAGCCTTGTTGATACCGTCTGTGCATAGCACCTAAAGCAATGATACCGTACTGAATCGATGGGTGTTGATGAGCAGCCTGGAGAATCTCCCGTTGCCAGAACGGGGAGCTGAGAACCCCACGGAGCGATGGCATTGCATGTGTGATGAAAAACTCGAAACTTTCACGTTCTTGTACACTGTCCAGCTGGAGAGATGGAGCCAACAACACCGGTATGCGAGTGCGAACGAGCTCAGAGCTTGGAGATGCGTGATCTCGGCTTCGGCTTTGGGTTGCTTTGAAAGTTGATGTGGTCCAGGTTGAGTCGTAGCCATCGCATATGCGGCCTGTGGATGTGCAACGATTACAGTATGGCTTCTCCTCGTCGCATTTTGTCCTGCGTATTCTGTCATAGTCAGAATCATGAACTAGATTGTATTTAGGTTTGGCAGTCTATCGAATGATGGGTGTAGGGTTGAAGACTGCAAACCCTGTACATACTTGCAAGTCTTGCAGCCATTGCGGGTTTTGGGACTGAACTGCCTTTGACGTTTGCGTCCTTGGGTTGTGATGGCAGGTGCAGTTGCGATAACAGGAGACAGTTGTGGCATCATCAGACAGTTGCAACGACAGCACACAGCAACAAGATCCGGGCCGAGCAGAAAATAAGACAAACGGATAACTGATGATGGTGTACATTGCGTTGATGTAAAGATTTGTGGTTAGACGAGGTCTCATGCCCGATGGGACGTTCCGTGCACGGACCAGAGTGAACGCTAGCCAATGAAACAGCAGCTGCTATGTACGAGTTCATCCTGAAATCAACCTCTAGTGTCCAAAATGGTTATTCACATCAGAACTTCTGTAAACAACAGGTTTGGAGTGGGGTTTCAAGTTTCACTCATAGGCAAGTGAGACTTCACAATTCAGTACATTGAATCTGGAGTCTCAATCTGGCGATCCCAAAGCACAGTGCCAGGTAAAATATGATTTAGCCTAGAAATGCCTCAACAGTCTCTTCCCGAAACTCTGCTTCACCTGCGGTTCGCCTTGTGCAAGTTCATCCTTGGTGTCCAAGTCTTCCCTCATTCCGGCATCCAGATCAATCTCGGGGCTCCTCCACCATCGTGTCTTGAACCAGAACTTATACCCTACAAACATGATGACGAATAGTGGAAGGAGAACATACGCGTCCACAAATGTTCCAGCGTCGAATGGACTAAAAGTCGTCCATCCTTGCACGAAAGCAAGGAACACATTGGCAGAAACTCCAAAATACGCATTCCATGGGTAGAGGAAGGATTTGAAGGGAAGCTCGTTGGGAGATCGTCCTTGAGCACTCCAGGCTTGTCGAAATCGGATGTGTGTGAAGGAGATTGCGGCCCAGACAAGGAAGGTTGACACACCGCTTAAGTTAATGATGTATCCGTATGCCGTTCCGCCACCAGTGCTTAGGTTCATCAGAGAGAGACAACCGAAAAGGTTCGTGAAGAGCATGGCAGGCACGGGCACACCGCGGCCGTTGGTTTTGCCCAGAAAACGAGGTGCCATTCCTTCCTGAGCCATGAAGAGAAGTGTCCGAGATCCAATGTATATGGAGCTATTTGCTGCTGAGAGAACGGTGACGAAGATGAAAGCGTTAATCAAGTGAACTCCGCCTTCCCATCCTGCGTTCTGGATAGCGATCGTCATAGGACTTTTCAGTGCACGACTCGACCCGTTGATCAAATCGTCCGCATCAGCTGGACATGTGAGGCCGAAGAAGAATGCCACGCCCATGTATACGAAGAGGATACGCCAGATGACTTGTCGGATAGCCAGGGGAACGGCCACGCTTGGGTTTCTCGTCTCGGTTGCCGCAACAGCAACTGCTTCGACACCGGCATAGAACGTTGAGGCAAATACAAACACCTGTGCAACGCCGCGAAAGCCGTTCGTCAATGCGCCTGGATCATGCCAGTATCGAAAGCCAATCGCTTCCTGTTGGCCAATGAGGCCACCCGAAGCGTAAACGATGGAGAAGACGAAGTAGGCGCAGAGTCCTGCGATCTTGACCAATGCAAGCCAAAACTCTGCTTCGCCAAATGACTCAACACCAATCATCTGGAAACCGGCGAATGTGAACCAAAAGATCAAAAAGTAGCCCCAGGAAGGTACCCTGTCGCTCCAGAAAACCATGAGCGATGATATGACGTTGTATTCATTGGCCAATACACATGCCCAAACCAACCAATACTGCCATCCGACTGCGAATCCAAATGCTTTATCGACGAATCTAACAGAGAGTGTAGTGAATGCGCCGCCGGTTGGGTACAAGGTAGTCATCTCCCCCAAAGATTGTGTAATGCTGAAAGCGATGATACCGATTATCCCAAAGCCGATAAGCAGAGCAGCAGGACCGCCGTTGGACAACGCGCCTCCAGTTCCGACCAAGATGCCAGGGCCGATAATTCCTGCAAGAGCCATCATGGAAAGATGCCGTGTTTTAAGGCCTCGCTTGACGCCGGTGTCAGGGTCGATACGCTGAAAGTCCTCATGGTTGTTATAGCTCGCCGTGGGCGATGCGTTGCTCGGAGCGGCCTTTGGGTTTTCAAAGAGCACCATGGTGGACAATCTGATGCGGGATACGATGGGTACAGGGATGCAGGAGAGATGCCATAGTTATATCTACCCACCGGTATTGGGTTATTGGTCAATATGCCCAAACCGTTCTCATCCTGAGTCTGGACCCTATATACGCGATGATGCCATTAAAGTGGCATATGTCGTCACAAAAGCCCAGAGAAGAAAGCTTAGCTCGGCACTCCCAAAAAGCTATTATCACTGTTAGATGAGTGACTGCGAGCGATGCTGAGAAACGCGATAAGCTTCCCCACACTGCAATCGCCTAGACACGTGGTGACGCGTCTCCGAAACCACCTCTCCATACATGCCTTCGCCATAGTATTTGTTGACTTCTTGGCTAGTTGCCAAGCGTCTGGGCGATCGCAAAATTTTCTTATCTTTGTCAAAAACAACTCTTCATGCTGACAATGGGATATGGCTGTCTGACACCTTGCGGATATGAACAGACGCATAATCTCATGTCGCAACCAAGATCACGAATAGCTCCAAGGGAGCCATATATCGGAGGAGTTGCATAGTTGCTTGCTAAATATCGCAGATATGGCATCTGTGACACGGCCTCTCGTACATACCTAGAGCATCAGGTTTTGTCTCGAAACAATGGATTGAGAAATATGTATCTGGGCATCGTGTGTACCAGGTCTTCTAGTATATTACCGCATACTCTTTCATCGAATTGGCGGATTGTACGTCTTTCGTTCACGAGCTCTCCGGTAGTTGAAAGACTTACGGTACTTTTGTTCTATCCATCAGCCCTCTGACTCAGTGTCCCATGATATAAGATGCGTGTTCAATAGGCACCCTGCCTCTCCTCCCAACTGGACATAGGTGCCATGGCCACTTCCCCATATCCAGTCTTGACCGGTGTACCAACCACCAGCTCGAAGCCTTCCGGAGTTGCACCACCCGCTTCCAATGCCCAGATACTGACTGATATTTGATTGTCCCCGCTGTAGTCAAAGATACCCTCGGGCACAGGAAACCTCCTCTGCGGTCCAACCCCGTTTAGGAACTTGCCAAATTGATATCCATTGACCCAGAGCTGCGCACGCCAACCTTTGCCCTTTCCGTTAAACGCATCACCGTGGAAAATGAATGATAGGGGAATATCCCAGCCCGTGGGCAAATCGAGCTTGAATGATGTGGTGTAAAACGCTACACCAGGTTTGGAGAGCGCGGTCGTTGGCCCAGCGCTGTCATCCCACGAGGAAGTGGGTGCAGCGGGTAGGTGGAAGCCGTTGCGTTCGGGATACAGGGCACCTTCATTAAGAGGCCCTCGTACACCACCATGGTAGTCTTCACCGCCCAGATTACCGGAGATCTTCCATCTAATGCCGTCGTTCGTACGAGTGCTATTAGACGAGGAGATTGTGTGGCCAGGAAAATCATAGCCGATGATGCCACGAGGCGTTTTCTGTTCATTGAAGCCAACAAACCACTGTTACTTCAATTAGACTCGCTATTACTGAACTCATATCATAGGTACTTACATTGCCGTTATGGCCCATGTGATCCATCAAAACCGTCAAGACGTAGTCATCCCCGCGTGTCAGTGTGGGTGCTGATAGTGTCTCGTTCGCAATTGCAGCCTCACTGTTACCAGACCAAGAACCAATGAATGTTTGATTGATCCAGGCAGAGAATGCGAACGCTGAACCGCCTGAGACATTGAGGTGGATCACATCTTCGGTCCCAGTGGCCACGAAATGGCCGCGCAGTATCAAGGAGCCAGTGTTATAGCCATACTCTGCACCCCAGAGGACAGTCGGGGTTGTGAGAGGCCAGTATGTGTTGTTTGTCTCCGTATGGTCGGCGTCGGTCCAGGCAGAGTCGTCGTAGGAAGATTGCAACTCCGGAAGTGCATCGATGTATTTCCACGAAAGCGACTTCACGTCTGGTGCTCTGATCTCAGGAGCTGAGAAAGCGACGGTACCCTTAAGGAAGCCGTTACGATCGTGTGTCGCGTGCAAGTCTTCGCCATTGAACGTGAGTCCGACGATATTTTCATGTGCCCCTCCAACAATCTCGATGGTGGTAGTTGCATTAATATCTCCTATGAGATGTATTTTGCTCTCAGAAATTGAAGCACTACGAATGAGATATCCAGCACTGACAATCAGATCTGAGGATGGGGTAGCATCGTGCGTGTAACTTTCTCCTGACAAGGTACTGACTGTCCAGTAGTTGTATGCTGAGTTGCGATCCAGGATAACGATGTACAGATCTTTCCCAATACGCACGACTCGGCGGCTTGGAGCCGATTGCCAATTCAAGATGGTGTGACCGTTGCGGTTCGAGAATTTCACTCCAGACCCCTCAACAGACGTCGCTTCGCTGGTCTTAGAAACAGCTAATTCATGAACCTCATTTGGACCTCCATGCACCACGAGAACACGGCGCATACCATATTGTTTCCACGTGAAGATCTCGGCAGTAGAGTAGAGAAGGTTGAAACCTCCAACATCGTAGTCGGTCACATGGATCTTGGTATCGCGACCATTCATCGAAAGCGATCCACCGAGCTGCGGGATGGTGATGTTGCCAACGCTTGTTTGCAATCTGAGTTTATACGTCGTCGAGTCGAAAGTGTTATACCTAGTGTGACGAGTTACGTAGAATTTGGTCTTCTCTCCCAGCACCGGTGTTACTGTAATGAGAGAGGTGTTAGTGTAGATGCCAGTGGTGTTGTATCCCGGCACTGCGGACGCCAAAGCCGGGGAGGCATGAACAAAGTTTGCGATCAGTTTTGCCTCGCTGTACTTCTCGCGAGATACTAGGCGTTCTTCGGTGATAGCAGCACCATAGTCGTAGGATGTGTACCCTCCAGCGTGACCCAGATTGCCCCAATTTGTACCACCGAAAGTCTACCACAATCAGCAGACTATACAAATATAGCGGTGGCTTCTCATACCATGTAGACATTAAAGATAGTGGCTCCGGCCGCAACATTGTTCTTGTAGAAGACGCGCTCAAACTCATGATTGATGAACTCAGAACACTTCTCGAACCCATCACCACCCCAAGGCTGGTATGCGCCTCCCTGGTACTCCACAAGCATATAAGGAGTGCTGGGACTCTGCTCTAGATGTGTCTTTCTCCAGTCCGTAGGGAGTGCATCGTCAGTCCAAAACGTTGGGTCAGTGCAATTCATACCCAGCGGATATGAATCATGTCCGTATATGTCGACGGGAGCTTCGGTCCCAGGCGCATTTATCCCGCTAGGCCAAGCAACATTATTGATCAGAGGCACCACAATTCCGAGGTCCCTGAACTGCTTCATAAGATTATTCATGTAATCGGCGTCGGGAAACGTCACATTGTTCAAGCCCGCAGAGTACTCATTTTCGGGTTGGAAAAGTATGACGGGTCCGCCATTTGTAATCTGTGCTTTAGCAATGATCGGTGTGATCGATTCGATGTAGTGTTTCGATGCTTGTTGAAAGTCCTCGTCTGGTGTGCGTAGATTTCCCGAAATTCGTTGCAGCCAACCAGGAAAGCCACCACCCGATACCTCTGCGTTGATGTAAGGACCAGGACGCTAGAAGCATTAGCCTAGTTACTTAGTGGCATTGAGAATCTTTACAGCGACTAGGTAGACACCAGCTTTCTTCGCGGCCTCGAAGTAAGGTTCCCAATCAAACACTCCCTCTGCTTGGAAATGTCCAGGCTTTGGTTCATGCAGAACCCAAGCGGAGTAGAAGGACGCGCCGTTGTATCCCATGGCTTTGATCTTCTGGAAGATATCTAACCACAGGCTTGGTACAGGGAGACTTATATCAAGTTAGTGTGATGCTGGGCGGAGAACTCGTACAGACAATCGAAAATATAGATGGAGCGCATATACCGGAATGGATGGAACTCGCCGCCCCAGAAGATGATACGTTCGCCATGCACGAAAAGAGAGTGCTCATCCCATGTTACCTGTATCTGATGTCAGACATCGTTCAATGCTATAGGGAAACGCCCGCACAATGTCCTGAAGAGGTGCACGCTTCTCTGGCAAGATAAAGTCGCTTGGCTTGCCGCCCAACGCTCGAGCCGCAGTCTGGAGAGGTAACAATGCGAAGGCGAGCCTCGCCAGAATATGGGTTGGCTTCATCTCGTTGATTCAGTCGGCGAAACAATCAGTAGGTAGAAGCATTCATTCAGAAACATGGATGAGGGTATTGCTTGGGGTATGCATCATATATAATTCTTGTCAAGGGTATTACCCGGTACACCGTACCACCTGAATAATCATACCGGGTCGGTACTTTTGATGGACTATTATAAAGTTTTGACCGACCAAATTTCCGCACCTCCACTTATTGTCGTGATAGACGTTGGCGGCCGAATGACTGAATACAGTATGGAGGCGGATAAATGCCCTCCGCCGAGAGCGGGGTGCATGCAATTTAGGGTATACCCCTCGAGCAGGGATAACTGCCTAATGGTCTGCGGGCCGTTGAGCCGCAAGGTAGGTGACGGTAGCAGTGTCACTCAATCCACAAAGCTCTATACTCGTCTGCTTCCTTGCGGTGGGAAACGCGAGAAGAGTAAAACTCCAAATCCAAGCAACGCAACAGCGGCATTGCACACAAACACATATCGACTCTTCCCAACTTCCGCAAGCGCAGCGAAGACGAGACCGAAGACTGCTGTAGTCGAGAGTCTCGCCATGTTTTCGACCAACGTGATGCCACCTAACGCATCCACCCGATCGCCACTGGGGAGCATCTGTAGTATCGAGCCTTTGGATGCTGCGCCTGTGCCACCTGAAAAGGGAAGAAGAAAAGCAAGAAGATAGAGCTGCCAACCGCGAGAAATGAAGACTGCAAGAAGTGTGAGCACGCCATCGAGAAGAAGAGAGATGCGGGTATAAAGTAGGTCGAATGCAAAGGTTTGGTCTTCCTGCTCCTGCGGAGGATTGATCGGCTCGACGTCATTTTCCATTGAATCAATGGGTCCAATCTCGTTTGGGGAAGTTGGAATATCGTGCATCAACGGTTGCTCTTCCTGCGATTCTCTTTGCACCGCTTGGTCGTCTGGCTGCAACCATTTTCGTCCAGCGGCAATGATGCGTGGGAACACAAGCGAGAGAAAAGCGCCTCTGAGTGAGGAGTAGATAAAGATGAGGTATCCATTAGCCTTTGTGCCAAAATCCAACTCGTAGGCTGCATAAAGTTGTAGCAGCGTAGGAATATAGCCTGTAGCTAGAATGCCGAGGTATACACCAACGCCAAGAGTCAATGCCCCGAATTGAGTGCTTGTACGGCCATCAGCCAGCGTCCATTTTTGTGGAGCAAAGATCCGTAAGGGGCCGAAGAATCGCACAATGCCTGGGGCCTGGCTGGACAGCGCGTCTTCTTGTCTTTGTGGTGGAGTAGTCGTAGGAAGCGACACTGCGACGTACACGCAGCACAATAGGAATAGAACCAGGGTTATACGGAACGGAGCAGCAATTCCATATGCATCACCAACGAGACCTCCGACCAAAAACCCAATGGCGGCTCCGAAATACATGCATCCTTGGAGGCGGCCAAGAGAGCCAGTACGTTCCTCGTGCCTAACAACGTCTGCAACGAACGAATTCAAACAAAGCACATAACCGTTTGGTCCACCAACGATGGTGATAATTTGTGACGATTGCATGATCAGGACGCCAGCATTACTGCCTTTGACGATTCCAATATTCTGAATCGTGAGGCGGACGGCAGGCCAAAAGATTTGAACGATCAAAGCGCGCTTCACTCCGAGCCGCTTGATGGTCCATCCCGTTACTATCAAATTAAGAAGACCAAAGACGGTTGTGGAAACCGCCATGAGGGCGATAGCTCGCGCGGTACCTGCTTCAACTTCGTGATTTGCGCAGATGTCCCCGGCCTCAGGGTCTGGCATGTGATCTTCATAATAGGCCTCGCAAACCATTTTGCGGAAGACGTAGAGCATTGGTACTTGCGTAATACCAAATGTCAAGGAGACCAAGAAAGCGCATAGCATGAGGAACACAACCACTGGTTTGCCGCGCTTCCCATCTCTTTCTGTCGCTGTTTCACGAGCTAATAGTGGTGTCGTTTCTTCGACCCGCGGGCCATTGTTGTTTTTCGAGATGTCGGCCATAGTGACTTCTCACGTCCTGAGAGAGTCTCTGTCGTCGATGTTGTTGAGCAAGAAACGCGTTATCTTCGACCAGGACGCGAGATTTTTCGTAATGCTGGTCAAGCTGACTCATCCTGCATCCTGCATATGGGCGCTTTCAGAATTACCTTGCCATAACATGACTTAGCGGTCAACGACGAACCAATCAATAGTTGGCACATCATTAGTGCTTACAGCCTTCGAAAGGTTCAAATTTAATGCTAAGCTTTCGAAATATCATCACAAAGTCACAAAACCTGGATTTTCTCGACAACAACAAGAGATATCGGGTGTTCATTTGAGGTAATAGCTATTACCGTATATCATAAATTCTGGGTAAATATTAGAGAAATCTGTCTAGGCTTTTAACAATTTGTTCATTGATGTTCTAAGGTCACGTAATGGCAAGGTCTGGAGGCACGATAAACGATTGCGACATCGCAGCTAGAGATAGCGTTGCAGTCAGGAGGTCAGATCAAACTCAATTAATACCTGAATATTCTACCCCGTTGTGCTCACGTTTACAGGCGATATTGAGAAGTGTAAGAGATGGGACAAATGTTAACGCCTGGACTTTTGTAATGACGTCATCGACAGTCATTCTCTCAGAGTCCTTCAACGGACGCTCTTCAGTCAACGCCTCATGCCATTATTTCTGGCCATCTTTCTCCAACACTCTTCTTCTTCGGATTATACGACATACGAGCAGCGCTCTGTCTGATATGTTAATATTGGGATGTCTCCGGATGCTTTGTCTTCTACCTCCAACGAGCTACCTTCTAAATACATAACATCCCTACCGAATCTTTCCTTCCCAAGCCCGGCAGCCAACATTAAGAAGTACTCCTCAGGATCTATCTAAAACTTGCTCTCATTCCGCGTTTTCTAGAACCGCGTTCGTCAGACAAAGATCTCTTCCTCTTCCTATTGAAGATTTCGCTATATCGCCGCCCTTTCACGCTGGAAGCGGCGAAACCATCCGCAAAAACGGGTTATGCTACATCTTAAAGCAAGAATGATGATTTAGTAGGAAATATATCGGGTTGAATGTTTCTCTCCGATACGAGGTGTCCAGCACAGAGTTTCGAGCTCCAATCAAACCGAACACTCCGGCACCGATAGGTCTGATTTAGATCAAATCACTGGACACACGTTGGCCTCACTGGCAATACTGTCGTCTATACTAGGGGTTGACGTGACGTGAATGTTTGGTGATGCTTTAGCCAACCACGGTAGGGTCTGTGTAATCGGATCGCTGATGTATCTACATTCCCTGAGCTAAAAGGCTACAGTGATAACCAGAATGTGTAGAGACGATGAAACGAGTCGACTCGAAATATTCATGAGCAAGAGCTGATGTGGTATAACTAGAGAACAGATTCACGAGTAGTTTTTCTTGATACTGCAAGTGACGTTTGGTATATAAGCTGGTTCGACCTCTTTTGTAAGCGAAACAAGAGACAAGCATGGATGATTTGTTCATAGTGTTTATCTGAAGTCATTTTCTCCGGCACAAAGTCGAAGGTGGAGCGACACATAACAAAGATTGCGCTAGGAAATGAATATTGGTACTGGATAGAAGCCGGAAGGAGCTTGGGAGGGGGATAAATGCACAACGCCAACGCTGTCATGACCCCGATTGCCATAGCCTCCTCCTTGCTGAGTACTATACTGTCCATTCATCTGAATCGATCAGGAATGTTTTTAGATAAGCAAAAAGCTATAAAAGAATTAAGTACCAAGTCCCAAGTATTGGCCAAAATAACTCCATCTCATATACTTCCCAAAACTCCCAATTGTACTAACCACTTCTCACACATCCCCGGCCATTCAGTCACTGGTAAACCCTTGGTATCCAATGCAAACCCATGCGGCGCATCCCCGAAAATATGCAACTCAACCTTCGCCCCTTTCCGCATCACCCCCTCCGCAAGTCTCCATGCATTAGCAACCGGCACCACAGGATCATTCCCTGCATAGACAATGAACATCGGCGGCATGGCATCCACCAACTGCACATCCGGCTGCACAGCATCATAGAATGCCTGTTTCTCCGGCGGTTCGAGCGCCTGTTTATTCTCCACCACAGTCCGCCCTTTGGCATTTGTGCTAATCGGCGCATACCCCACGATGGCAAACTCCAGCTCCGGAAGCGGTCGTGCGTCTTTTTCTGTCCAGATGGTCGGGTAATGCGAGAGCAGAGACGCAGCGAGATGCCCGCCAGATGACAAGCCGCAGATGCTTGTTTTGAAGCCTTTCTCGGCGATCAAGCGTAGTGCGCGCCGGGCGTCGTCGAGCGGGGCTTGCGGCGAGATCTTTGCATTGGGGAACCTGTGGACTAGGACGTAGGCGTGGAAGCCAAGGGAAGTAAGCCAGCGCGCGACGGCAACGCCTTCGCGGCCCGCCATCAGCTCTATGTAGCCACCGCCGCCAAGGATGAGGATTGCGCGGGGCTGGCTGCTGGTACTGGATGATGATGAGGTAGGCTTGTATCCGAAGAGCCATGGCCGTTCGACGCTGGCGACCACTGCGTTCTCGGGCTTGTTTAGCGCATCGTCGAATTGAAATGCACCTTCTATGGGCTCATCGTCCCAAAGGGGGATAGCGGAATCGGCGGCGAGGAGAGTCGAGGGTTCCATTTGGTAATGCGAGATGTTGCGCTAGTTGTTGTATGTGCCGTGGATTTGCTGAAGTTAAATATACAAGCTATTCGCTGGCTCGCTGGATGTTAGCCCGAGGCATAGCGGGGGAAGAGTGGAGCCTCAGTGTTATGATTCTTGTAGAGAGATAGTCTAGGAAAGAATACTTCGTGACTACATAAATATGCATGTCTTTCGTTACATACTGCAAGATCGTCACGACACCAAATATACGCGTCAGAAACATACGCTGATTTTCAAATGCGAAACTTAACACTCCGATACGCCTTGCGCCCAACCAAACCAGTATTTTCTGTTTAAAAGAGCGATCTGCGCTTCAGTTTGGTTCTGTGTACATGTTAGATATACCACTTTTGACATCCTCTCGAGAGGGACACTGAGTGTGACTTCAAACTTACGAAGTACCCCGACCAGCCCGACTCGACGGCCTCTCTGACTCATCTTTGACCACTGCCTTCAAATCCCCAGCCGGAGTTTGCGGCCTCAAAATGTTGTCTGCCAAAATATTGTCTGTGGATTGCGTCGCATAGTACCGTGACGTAATCCTCCTCGTCATATCCGGCTTCACGTTCTTCGGCAGCGCAGATGTTGTTGGCCTCCGCATCTCAACGTCAGGCTGCTTATTAGATAGGAGGGGTGTTGTGGAGGCAAGTTCGGAGGCTGCAGTTTTTGGTCGTAACATAGCGTTCCTATTCTTGTCCGCGGTTACGTGCCTCTGTCGTTCTCGCTCTTTCTCTTCGCTTACGAGCTTGTTGGGTTGCTCTTGCACGTCGGTGTCTTTCTCCTTCTTCACCATTCGCTTCATCAGGTCCATAAGGCCCATACTTTTTCGCTTAGAGACCTTCAATGCAGAAGGTGCTCTCAGCTCTGCTGGAGGAGTATCATTTGATATCATACTTGGCTGCTCTCGAGGTGTAGGGGTCTGCTTCCGGAGACATTGCTCTGGAGTTTGTTGAATGCTGTTCTGTCGCTCTTTCTCGACGAAAGCTGGAATCACTGGCACCGGCTCCTGATGCGCTTCAACAGGGGCAGAATCTGATGAATTAGTTGGCGAAGTCGAATCGAAGGGAATGAGCGTCGCACCGCTAGATCGCGCAGATATGTGTTCGGCAGATATGACCCGATGGCGGGCCCGATGCGAAGCCAATCTTTCATGGTCACGCATAAGCTTCTCGTTCGCAATACGTATCTCGGAAAGGGAAAGTTTGAGCTGCTCTATTTCGTCTTGATCCTGGGTATGAAACTTGGCTGCTGCATCGAGTTCGATTTGTTGGTCCTTGAGTTCCTGGTCCTTTTCAGCGGCTGTGAATTTCAATGCTCCAATCTCTTTTTCCTTTGCCGCGAGTGCGCTCTGGCAATCCTTGAGTTGGCCCTCCATGCGCTGAAAGTGCACGCGGTGCACCATGCTCGGTCGGGCTGCCTCCATATCTTGGTTGATCGCTTGCTCGAGTCGGACTTGCTCTTTCAAGGTTTCGGCGTCTTTCTCAGCCGCAAACATCCTCGCGTTGGCATCGCGAAGCCTCTTGTCAAGCGACTCTACTTCTGTGTAAAGTCGAAGATTGTCTTGCTGCGCGGTGTCGAACATGGACTCCAGTTCGTTCTGATCGTGCTCCTCGATTGTTGGTAATCGGCCCGAAGAATCGGCTTGAGCACTTGCATGTGCATCGTCTTCTGTCTCTGTTGCTGCTGTCTGCAGTTGGGTCTTGGTCTGCGCATGGTTTCCTCGTTCCTCGTTGAGGGCAGCCTGAATCTTTTTGGCCATATCCCACGCTCGTTGCAGCTCAGCCTGCTGGTCGACGATTTTCTCGGCGGTCTTGCTAGCAGCAGCAAGATCTTCTTGTAGTTTCGCGATGATCATATCCTTCTCGTCTTCTGCGGTTGGAGACTTCCTGCCCTTCCTCACACGTAAGAGTCGAACCTCGAGCGCATGGTCGCCATCGGAGGAGCTGTCTTCGAATTTCATGTCGTTGCCGAACTTTGGATCTGCTTGGCGTTCCATAATTGCAAGTCTTTCGTATAGCATCCTGAGTTGCGTGTCCTTTGCCTGCAGCGTGGCCCTTTGTTCACGTGCTACGATTTCGAGTCTCGTATCGCGCTCCGCAATGTTCCTTTCTTTCTGTTCGTTCCCTTTGCGTAGGGCAAATAATTCGATGTCTTTTCGGTAGATGATAGATTGATGTTCCCTTGCCATCGTTTTCCTGACGGATTTTATCTCATCGCGTAACCTGGAGTATTCTACAAATTTCTCGCTGAGCGCGTGTCGTGCATTATCAAGTTCACCCTTTGTCGCGCGTAGCTGAAGTTCCCTAGCTTGGTGGGCGGTTTTCAGTTCAGTGAGGGAGTGTTGGAGTCGCACGATCTCCTGGTTCTTGCAGTCTACCGCCCCCAGAATAGATGCGGGGGCCTTTGCTCTAGGCCGTGTGGTCGAATGGGTTGAATCCAAGGTTGTATTCGATTTGGCCAGAGTCTGCCCCAGGAGAGTTTCAACAGCCGACGGTCCCTGTATTGTATGCTGCGATTCGCTGGCAACACTAGCGTCCGCATCATCGCCGCCTGCATTATCGCCTGCATCCATAGCGCGCTGAAACACGTCGAAGATCGCCATGACTAGCGCAGCGACCACCCAATCAAAGTTGTTAACCTCCTGAGTCGTAAGTGCTACTGCAAGGACAGCAAGGTCCAGGCAAATGGTAAGACGTGTTTGGTGACTTGTCGTTCCAGAGTGGTACCACAAGAAAAGCAACAAGGCGCTGAGCGGTGTTATGACGATCGCTACAAAACGGTTGAACGGTGAACGATTCAGGCAACGGTCCTCCTGTGCGCGAATAATCTGCCGAGGTGAACTGACGTTATTGCTTGAGCTTTGATCAATCTGGTCTGTCGCTGGCACTGCAATTCGATCGATTAGCGAAACCAAACGCGTGCCGAAAACCGAGTCCAGAGAATTACAGCCTGGGAGAGCGATGGTAGCGATTTGAACGGGTGACTGGATAGACACTGATGTGTGCTCCGATTTCGACTTGAATCCGGCTGCGATATAGATATATGCCCACGAAAGGACGATTATTAGAATTGCGCCGAAAGACAGCGGATGGCTTTGCGCGTGTACTATAATCCTGTCGAATACTGCTAGCATTACAGGCCAAGGTTAGAGAATAGCCGTGAAATGAATTCAGATCATGGACGTGTCAACGAGTTGGTTCGAATGAGTGTAGTTCGACTCAGCTGCCGCTTGCATCGAAGGATCGTTCGAACATGGGCTCGCGAAATAGAAGGTAAGTGCTGATGTTCGTTGCCATTAAAGTATGGGTATGCATTCGCTCGCAGTGCTACAGAGATGTGTAAAGTTCAAATACTAGTAACAAAGGCGCCCAGAAAGAACCGGAACAGACAAGGGGCAGAACAAACTGAACTGTACACCTTCGAGAAAAGGAGATTGATGCATTAATAACGAATTCATGCATAGAAAAGCAGATGATCTGACGCCATGATGGTATGCATGCGAGAGGGATATCGCAGCACACGCAAATGAGTTAGCAGGGAAGCTGGTGGCTTGAACAAGCAAGAGGCCAGCAGACTCAAATTTCGAAATGTTTAAACCCTTCCACGAGCCCGTCACCTATCTTTGTCGGGACCGCCCACAAGGGTAAGTAATGACGGACCTCATCAAATGCAGGGATGCCACCACCGTTGGCATCCGACCAAAGACAAACAATCTTTCCAGAAAGTTTCGAAGCGTAATCGACATTCCAGGTCACGCTAACATTCCAAGGCTGAGACCACTCCCGGTGCCAGAGACGTACCTCGTGCGACCCAGTTTCGCCCGTCGGGCTAAAACGAGGATCTGAAACGCCACCAGTGACCGCCAGATCAAAAATTGGCGTGTCAAAAAGAATGCGACATGCTCGTGTATTCTGACCAATGACGCTGATTGTGGCTTTGTTCGTTGTGTTGCTTTTGGAAATGGAATAATCAAGCCAACTATCGCTGTAAGTCCTGTTGCTGAACGGTGTTACTTTAGGTACTACTTTGGCTGGAAGACCTTCCCAGGCGCATTTTCTTAGTTCTTTACGCGTTGCGACGTCAGGCGCTGTGCAGTTGATATGCTGGCCCTGGGCGCTGGGAAGATCCCCGATGACGCGCTGGACGTAGCCATCTAATCCAGTCAGGGATACCGTGTTGACTCCGGATTCGCAGTCGACTTGTTGCAGGAAATACACTTTCAGGCGGTGTTCCCTGCTAAAGGGAAACGCCACGAGATTGTAAATGACAGTCGCGACGCAGACCAAAAACAAAAACGTAGGCACGTGATAGGTGAATCGGTGGATGAAGGGGCCTGTAGGAGCAAGGAGTAGCGTGGCAAGAATCGCGAAAGCAATATAGATATACAGAGTCGAGTTACCGTCTGCGGGCGTCTGGTATAATGCAGATGTCAACAGCAGCGCGATTTGTCCCACGATGACGATAATGATGGGGGCCAAGAGAAGAAACTGGATGAACCAAAGCCAACTGGGGATCTTCCCGCTCCATTTTTGCTCTCCAGGATAAGGATGTCCAAGGTCTAGCTGGCGAGGTCCCTCTTCGTGATTGGCATCTGCTTCGCTCGTTGATCCTCGCCTCCCACTATGTCTTGCGAAGCTCTGACGATCCCCTCGTAGAAGCGAGGTTGTCTCAGTAGCGTCGTCGTCCAATACTGGGCGGTCTTCCGAGCGTGCAGCGGTCGTGGTCCCAGTAAGTGGTCGACTTGCTGAGCCATCTGTTTGATCGAAGTGGGCGACGTAAGTGGATTTCTTTGGAGCGAAGAACAGTTCGAGATATGATAGCACGAGCGCGACAAAAACGGCGGTGAAGTAAAACATGACGGGATATCCTGCAGCAACTTGGAAATTTTGAGCCAGCACGGTGACGAAAGCGAGCAAGGCAAACGATGCAACGAAGAGCCAGATTAGCGCATACATGCGTTGAAGGGCGGATGGTCGCATGGCGCTTGCACCTCGCGAGAAGAACCACGCGATGGAGAACCAAGCAGAGAGCATCATACTATCGAACAATCAATCAGTAGCACTCACAAGAAGATAGGTATAACGTACCTCCAGACTGCGAAGGGACTACTGTATACGATGAATGGATTGAGCCGAACAACGAGGTAGGCCAGTCCAACAACGGCCGCAGTCGCGATCGCAAAAACGATTGGGAAGCGAAAGAATCCGCGCCATCCGTTAAGTTCTACAGCCTGGTCATCGTCTGCGGAATGGATGTAAGACTTGCGAGCGAGCAAGTAGTTTTTGTCTGCCTTTGATAGACCGACGGTGAGGCAGATTAGAGTGAGAGGCGCAACAACAAGTAGCGTTACACACAACGCAAACATAGTATGCAACTGGAACACGATGAATAGTTTGCCGAATACGTCAAACCACACAGCATCACTGCCGACGCCGGTATCGACTTTACCATTATGTAGTTTGCGTCCCTCAGGATTGCCGTTGAATCTATTGCCGGTGTCGGCAGCCAGTCCAGACGTAGAAGCGACTGCCGCAGAGAGCATGTGCCAAAGAGAGTTCATCGAAGTTTCGCGGGTCGAATCCTCAACTGTGTGATAGCGGGCACGAGGCTCCATGAAGGCGATATCGAGGCCGCGAAGTCCCAGCTCATAGTGAAAGACTCGGTAATCTGTCTCGCTACGAATAAGACCTTTCTTGAAACCGTCCCCACTGACGACTGTGCCAAACGGATGGCTCGATGCCCTGTAGAAGCGTGTCACTTCGGTATCAGTACTTCTAAATAGTGTAGCTCTTCCACCTGCACCAGCACCCTCGAGGTTCACGAAGGTGTGTGGAACTTGTGAGATGTTGTGACGCATGAAGGCTTTGGCTCCATTTAAGAAGTCTTCTTCGCCGTTGTTCAAAAGAAGCACAACTGTCTGTTTGGGCCAGTGCTTGGGTTCGGTGAAGTACGAAAGTAGCTGCAGTATAGTGACGACTCCCACCCCGTCGTCAGTTGCGCCATAGCCACTGCTGACAGAATCATAGTGAGCATTCACCAAAACTCCGCCGTTTTCTGGGTTACGGCTCTGGTCGAGTGGCTCGTCATCTCTCGAGCCGCGAATGGCGACAATGATATTGGTCCCTTCGAAGTAGACGCTTGTGCTACCAGACGAAAAGGTGGCGTTGGAAACGTTGTCATCTATGACTTGAACCTGGTGGCTACTGAGATTCTTGGCGGCTACGATGTCCTGGACGCGTGACAGCAAGTACTTGCGAACATGGTCGTTGGCGTGACTGTTGTAAGGGTGGAACTGTCGCGTGATGTTTTCGAGGTCAGTCCAGGCTTGGGTGAGATCTATTCCTGCCGGCGTCTTGGAGGGATGGCTAGGTACTCCGAGGTGGACGGAAAGCAGGGCTGTAAACAGAGCTATGTACGTGATTGTTGTGAAGAAGATGACAGGCGCAGGCGTGAAGGAAAATGGGTTGTAGCGAGCCATGCTGAGCTCGAGTGCCCAAAAAGGCTCAGAGTGGAGGTCTGCAAACTCCTGTTCGCGTCAAGTAAATGGCTGGGAGTGGTGCGCGATGGTTGGAGAAGAGTGGGTGACCTGCGGGGTGATGTAAGTATGGATCCCGTGGCCATAGCTCCTTCTTAGCTCCATGCGCGTCTTGGACTTGGAAGAAGCAAAGCCGGCGAGACACTTCGCTCGAAACTTTTTCACGAATTCGCGTTCAAGTCGCTTGGATTGCTTGAAAAGATTTGCTCAGAGTCGTTTTGTCTCGAGCTTCGACTGTTCCACAACTGGTGCTTACATGATCGCTTACTACTGGTAACAGACTCGTAGCCGGCCCACCATGACGGTTTTCGACGGCCCCGATCCAGAATACGATGCGGAGGACCCGGCGCTTGCGCAAGAACCACCCCCACTCCCTCTCCCAGCGCTCTCACAGAGACCTACCCTCTACTCTGGATGTTGCCTTGCCCTCAGCGCGCCTCTTCTCGACCGCCTTCGAACGCTCCTTCCTTCTCCGCCAGACTTGACGCTTTCAATTGGGAGCGGCTATGGTTTGCTTGAAGCATGCCTCATCGCCGAGCCTCATTTTCTACGTGTTGTTGGCGTAGAAGTCGCGCCAAGTTCGAACATACACTTGCCCGCGGCGAATCACCGCAGCGTCTATGGGACGCGTAGCCTCGAGCCTCTCGCTACGGAAGCCGTGGCGTGGCTGTTTGTATACCCACGACGCGTTGGCTTGATAAACGAATACATTGCAGAACACGGCAAAGGGAAACTAGAAACGATTGTCTGGATGGGGCCGAACGCTGACTGGGGTGACTATAAGGGCTGTTTTGCGGGATGGCATGTGCATGTGCAGAGTGCCGCTGAGATTGGCGGAAGAGCATGGGAACTTGTCGCTGTCGCAAAAAGACGCGAATGATTCGAAGGGTCGTGGCCTGTACCACTCTTTCCACAGTTCGGTGAGCCTGTATTCCGAAGAACGCACGCAATGCGCCAACAATTGCTCTCACGCAAAACTCTTGTATTGCTGCATGCTTACTAGTCCAACCGGAGCGACTTTGTTCAGAGTGGGTTGAGACGTTGAGACCTCGCATTTTGGTCTGACGCTAGTAGACACAGTACGCTCTTTTGCTCATCATGGATGACCAGCTCGCCTACTCTCGAACTAACCAAGGTCATTGTCTTTAACTTGGAGAACAGATCACAAGTGTTCCTTTGTTGCTAACTTAAACAACGACGTTGTGCTCCTCGACCATCAATCATGGATTGTCCTTTGACTCTTGTATCTTTTGCTTGTCCAACAACGTCTTGCGACAAACCAGGCTATGAGTTTCTTATAAATCGCATTCATATTCACCTCGCAGACTTCTTCTATTCTATTCTTCCACAACACACTGATCTCACTTGGCTTTTAGTCATATCATTCCACACAGTTTTGGACTTCAACTGGCACAGGTGTTGATTCTTTCTCATTCTTCACCACTCTCACAAGCTCCGCAGGTAAACATATCATCTCGTCGTATGTCATGGCACACATAATAGAAGGATTGGCGTTCTTTGCGGTGGCACAGCTCGGCGGTAACCATCCTGATGCTGTGGTTGGTCTACTTGCTGCAGTTGTGGGCAGTGTCATTGTAAATTTACCATATCAAGCCAATCAGCCAGATTACAGTAAGCAGCACTCTATCGGATCGACAGGTAAAATCAGTCCGCAGGCCACGCCGATAGACCCGATCGACATAGCATCATTTTCAAACAAGATAATCAACGAGCTTCTGTTTATGGAAAACGTAATTGAGACGACTCTGACAGCCTCTCCTGATCATACCATTGTTGGTTCGGATAAAATATCAGACGGTTCTACGGTTACATCCAGTGTCGAGGCTGAAGAAGGCGCTGAGGGAAACGCTGCTTCCACAGGCACTCTTCGAGGCATATATACTTACCTGACCGACAAGGTGCCTCACGCTTCCAACATCTTCACAAAACCGGCTAGTATGTCCATATGCGAGTATGCTTCGACTTCTAGCTACAGTCCCGACGTTGTCCCCTTGCCTTCAGTAGCATCAGACCCTACTGGAATCGCGTCCACCGACTCCAAGAGCACCTCATCCGATGATATTCAACCAATTGGTGAAGCCATCGACAAAGTCACCAGTACTCACCAGCTGCTACTAATGTGGGAACGTGTGGAAAGGCACTTCGGTCCCCTTGTGAACTCGCGCCAAAAGTCCATCGCCGCTGGCCTCGTCACTATGAGCGTAATCCTGCTTTTTACTGCTTATTGGACATGGTCATACGCTCCCACGGAAATCTACTGTTGCGCGCTTGCGGCTTCGCACGGAGTCCTGGGCATCCGAAAGTACGTCTTTGGCGGAAAGCTCCGTGTTATACTCACAACGCTCTGTCAAAGAATCTGGACCAAACCAGTTTGGCTGATCTGGGTTGGCGAACAGCCAATGGTCAACGCTTTGAAAACACTCATGGTCGTTTTGGCTACTCTTTTCGTACTTGGGTATCTGACCATGATATGGTTCTACTTCCTAGTTGATGGGATCAAACCTGCCGTCAGGCCGATACTTTTCGACCTTTCGCATGTTGTGCGAAAAGCCGTCGCACATGATCAGACCACGGATACACTACCTGTCGTAGTATTGAAGGGGATCATCCCCGAATGGGGCTCTATATCCTCTCCTATAGGCAGCGGCTGGAGACTTACCGCTACCTTGCTTAGCGAACGTTGGGTATCTCTTACTGTCCGGATGAACTCCGTCATACAACTTCCTATTCGGGCCATCGATTCTCTCACTAAAACCCACGTGTCTCCCTTCTGCATGTCGAAGCCATTGAATGACGCTCGTCAACTTTTCTGGCGCGGTTTCGAGCCCATCAAGGAATCTTTAGACTATCATGTCTTTGAGCATGTCATCGAGTTCATGGTTAGCGCAGATAAAGTGATGATCGAAAATTTCAACGAATATCCCTTTCTTCTATCCTGTTACCGGTCTATCTGCTACTTCATTTTGTATCCGTCATGGTGTGTCCCTATCGTCGTTGCTCTCGTCGCTTTCCCCACGCAGGCCTTCCTTCAAGGACTGAGATCCTGGCCGCGAAAAAAATTTCGATCTGTCGTCTCTGTGTTTGCCAGCCTTGCAGCCTCATATGGGTTGACGTGCATCCCGTTCGTCGATGGCTTCAAGTGTAAGCTAGACTATGCGACCGCTGTCTTCACGATTATCTCCTTGCTGTTGTGGTATCTTTCGCACAGAAGCACAGCGGTAGCTACCCCAATGGCAGACGGCGGCGACGATGACATTGAGCATGGCCACCCTGTGTCAACAGATCATAGGCTCGCTACTAAAGGTGTCTCACGTTTGTTCCTTCGACGGATGCGAGAGCGAGTGGCTCAAGGACTGGCTTCCTTGGTGCACACGTTTCTTACACGTGGATCCTTTGGACGGCTACCGAATCTTGGACTTTTAAACTGGGTTCACACCATTTGGGCACACGCAAATCACATTTACAGATCGTTGCTTCTCTGGCTGCTTGCGATCTTGAGAACTGGCTATGATCTCGCGAACCAGTTCGACATTTTAGCGTGTGAGTTTTGGGTTAAAGTTTGTACTGCAATTGGCAATCGCGTGCGTCCGATAGCAGGTAAGACTGATGCTGATGAGAAAAAAGGTATGTAGCTCCAATTATACAATACACGATCCTTGATCTATATTAACTTTTGGTAAGAATACCTTGGCTGATTGATCTTAGTAGAAAACGATGACCCCGCTGAGGCTGGGGCCAGATCACCTATGAGCTCGACTATAAAACCTACAGAGGATGCAGAAAATGACGTGAACGAGACGGAAGATAATGCCAACGATACTCAGCTAGAGCAAGAGCTTGATAACGACGAGGTGAGTATCGATTACGACGAGGTCGCAGTGCCTCCCAATCCACTCACCAACGACTACTCAATTGAAGGAAGTGATGATGAGGAACCCCGCACAGATCTTCCCACTTTGAGCGAGAAACAAGCTAAATTTGGTCTGTTCAATTCAGCTCTATCGTCCAAACGGAATTTGGGGAAGTACGATCGTCCGGCAAACCGACCACGCTTCAATCGATTACGTCGCGCCATCGCGCTTACGAGTACGTCAGAACAGACAAGTCAAACCTCTGCTGACCAAGAGATTGATTCTCAGGATGGAGATACGCAGGGTATGAAGTTTGAGGATCAAGAAATGGCCGGAGACACTGAAATCGACCAAGCTCGAAATACTAGGGACGGCGACGCCAATGAATATGACGGAGTCTTGAAGGAACAAGCCACTGCTGACACAGCCATGTTTACAACTAGCCCCGGTCTTGGTGGTATTCCTGTGGCTTCCTCTTCCTCTTACCCGAATACCTTACAAGCAGAAGAGGTTGGTTATAGTGCTAGCGAAGCGCAAGGTTTGCAAGATAATGAGCTTATCGCAGATCTAACAACTCTGCGTTTAACGTCTAAAGCAGATCTGAAGAGGTCCAAGAAGAACAACCTGAAGATACCCATCAGGCTGAAGGTAAAATCCGAACTGGAAGGAATTACTTCATTGCCTTTGACACCAACCAAGTCAGTCTTACTTGTATCTAGCAGCCCACGCTCATCACCACTTTCAGTCATCGAAGACCAATGGGCGAAGCAGGATGAGGTACGGGAAGCGGCAGCTCGAAAGCGTGCAAAGGAGTACACTGCGGCAATTGAGGAGAGCGTCAAAGACAGAGAAGAAGTACTGAACAAGGCCCAACAGGGTCTGGAGATCTTGAAGCTGGAAGAAGACATCGCGTCTCTGAAAGAACAAAGCAATGCTTTGGCGAAGCAACATAGAGCGCCAGATCCTCTCACATTCCCTGAACTGAACCTGCTGGGAGGACCCCGTGTTCGCCCGGCTACAGGCACGGATTCCAAACGAGAGATGCGTAACAGACTTCTTGGGGGCCCTAGTGTGTTGACGGAATTGCGACTCAAGAGGGAAGCTGCTGAGAGGGCGGCTGCTCTTGACTCAGCCCGTAAGCATTCTTTTGGCTCCGATACAAGTTCTGACGAGAACAACGACGACAAGCCCTCCGGTCAAGGCGGTGCAGTAGACAAGAGAGACATAAAGAAACTCAAATCGTCGACGAGCCCACCTATACAGTCTGACGACGATGGAAAGCGCTTACTTGCATCGCTGAACGACATCATAAATGGAGCAACCGTTTCAGGTGGGACGACCTCAAAACGCAAACGTAGTGCAGATAGCGGCGACGAAGAGAACATGGCGGATACTGAGGCATACTTGGACGAGAAAAATGTGAAGACCGCAAAGGAATCTGGTGGCGAGGTCATCGACGACGGGAACGTGGAACCGCGTTCCAGACAAGCATCATGGCCAGAGTCATCCGTCGAGAATGGAAATATCGAAATGAAGGACGTGGAAGACGATACACCGCTGATCCTACCATCCCACAGTACGCAGGCGGTGCAAAGCAACGCCGTTCCTCCTACCGGCACAATGAATGATGACAACAACAATAGTGGAGATGAGGAGATGGAAGACGCAACCGATTACACTCAAACCCAACCTCAACAGGCGTTTGTTCCCATAATTCAACCACCGTCTGCTCCTATGCCCCAGCCGTCATCTACCCCAACGACCAGTTCTTGGTTCCGACCACCACAGCCGAGCTATTCAGGAACCTCACAACCGTCCACCCCATCAGTCTTGGCCCCCGCGACGCTCCCCATGCCAGGGATCTCGCAGCCACCCACACCCGCCGACCCAGAGCCCGAAACAACCCCCCAAGTCTCTCCCATCCCCTCGCCCCCGTCTCCGGAAAGCCTCGGATCCCCGCTATCATCGCTTCCATCTGACTCCGACTCTGACGACAATGACGACTCCAGCGACGACGCTGACCAGGACACGACACAAGCGTCCACGCAGGCAGCTCCCGCAAACGACGACGAGCGTGAAAGTGTGGCCATGGATTTGGACAGTAACCCGCGCAGCCCGGCGCCCTCCACAAAGTCACAAGCTAGCTCCGAGCAGGCCAGTGACGCCTCCAACGATGATTTGTCGGCGGAGCAAACCGCTTTCCTGGAGGCGGAACTCGGTCTCGATCAAGCAGATGACGCTGCCAAGACCGCGGTGGGCGCTGATGCAGCGCAAACGGCGTCTGCGACTACGGCGCCGCAGCAATCGTCGAGGCCGGGCGGTGTGACGAGTATTTGGGCTTTGAGGAGGGCGAGGGAGACGCGGGGTAAGGGGGAAGATAAGAAGGAAGAGACAGGGTTGAAGGGAACGGTGGAGTATGAGGAGGACGTGGAATGGTGAAGAAAGGTAGGGGCAAGGGAGAGAAATGAGTCTTGCGTGATGCTTAGTCTAGTGTTTTCGTGTGTTGATCTGCAAAGTTTTAGCGTCTACAAAACGACTCGAGGGACAGACACTATGAGGCTGAAGTGGATTGAGTTGAAGTGTTGTCTTGGTGATAAGTACTGGTAAATGCATCTTCTATACCAATCATATCTCATACCAAGCCTGAACCCCCACGTCTGCGACTCTACCATCTATTTACATTCCTCTCTCCTCCCACTGTCACGATGTGGGCCCAACCTTCTTCCCTCCTCCAATCCCCGGCAACTTCACCCGCTGCACCTGCGCTACAGCATCCCCAAGCAAAACTCTAACCGCGCCCTCCAACCTCCGATCCTTCCTCCGCCTCATCCACAAGAGCACGATGCCCAGTATGAATACATCCACAGCGACATGTTTCAGCCCCGCCCACGCAAACCGCCATATCGCGCGGAACAACCTGTAGTGCGGCGAGTGTGTGAACAGGCGGCGGGCCTCGAGTTGCTCACGCAGGGCGGCGACTTCGGCTGTCATCTTCATGAGGGCGGATTCGACGCGCTTGCGCCATTTCGGGTCGCCGGGGGCGTTGTCGTGGGGTATTGGAGATGGTGGGGGGTTTGCGGCGGGTGTGAGTATTGGTTGGGGGATAACGGAACGCATTCGGGGCGCTGGGGTGGGTGTATATGGCACGAGGGTTTGCCGTGTGGGCTTCATCTTGGTTTGCACAAACGCGTCGGAGAAGGGATTGTGTTGCGAGTCCGGGGCGTCGACGAATTCTTGGCGGTCGAGCTCGGCTTCGGAGGCTTCAAGGTCTTCTTCGCTTTGCGATACGGGGGATTTAATTTGTAATGGCGGTTCATCCTCATCGTCTTCATATTCTTCCTCCTCTTCTTCTTCTTCCTCTTCTTCCTCCTCTTCTTCTTCTTCCTCTTCTTCCTCTTCCTCCTCCTCGTCTTCTTCCTCTTCGTCGTCGTCTCTTCTCTGGCTTTGGCTTAGTTGTGAGTAGGGTGGTGGATATTGGAGGCCCATTTGGCTCATTGTCTGCATGGGCGAGGAGGACGATGAGGAAGGCACGTTGGATTTGACCTGGTCCCAGACAAATTCCAGTTCGGCGACGAGTTCGCGGGAGTCGGCAGAGGACGAGGCGTATTTGTGCATGGTGTCGATGAGGGTAGTGATATAGCGGCGTTTGGCTTCTGTGCGCGAGAGTCTGTTTTGCTGTTTCCAAGCATCCCTATTCCTATCAGATATCGTATCATGGCAGGGTCTAACTTCCCAAAACGTACCATTTCTCCCGTGCCCGTTGGTCCTGCTCAGTGGTGCCTAAGGGGCGGTCCATGATACCGTCGACATCACCCTCTACTGCTGTCAGACGGAGTATAGTGGGGGGTGGGTGTTGCATACCCATCGCTTGCTTGTAAAGGCCATACAATCGTAATCGTGTCGCTGAAGGCGGTTTTGTTGATCCAGTACGGATCTTGTTGACTGTGTTGAGCGCATGGCTAAAGACTCTATCTACGAACATCCCACGTGTCAGCTCATATCTTGGTGTATTCAGTTTCTTCTTTGGTGTACTACTGACCCACAGAATCAGACATGGTGAGCGTCGTCTACGCGTTCCTAATTACAGCAGCACTTGATGCACCAGGATCGCGGATATGAGAGGGTCAACGAGCAAAAAAGTGTATGAAAAACAACAGCAGTAGGGCGCTGGGGTATTGCGAGAGAATGTCGACGTTGTGCATGATGCTGTCAGATGCGGGATCGTGGTGAGGCTTTGGCGTGCCATCGCGCGGGAGAGCTGCATTAGGCCTCGGCAGAGTTGATGACGCGAAGGTGATCGACAATGCGAGGCGAGTCGTCTTCACGTGCGAGCCGGGATTTAATTGATTCGATCTATCATCTTGACATCAAGCTGCTCTTTTCAAATCTCAACGCGTTTTGGAATTCTTCACAGCGTTGCTATCATCTTGTTGTTCATGCGGTGTGTGAGGGAACAGAGCTTGGTGCACAGAGTGTCCTAGGAACGGCCAACAAAGCACTTGACAGTGCTTCAGAACAGCGATGCAGGGCGAGTGCATGTCTCCACTCCAATCCACTCCCGCACGCCACACATGCTGGCTTCTGCGTTGTCTTGTCTTCGCCTCGAATGCTTGTCCGTTTCACCGCAACCACGATACACATCATGTGGACACGCTCTCGACCACCCACCTCTGCTGTTGTCTTGCATCGTCACAGTTCTGTTACATGCCCTTGTACTTCCATGCTAGGCCAAGCCTTGAATATCTTCTGCACATTGCCATCAAAGTCACCATCTATCTTTATGGCGTCAGATTCACGTTAACGGATACTGCAAAGATCAAATAGCATAGTAGGTGGATTGAGTGCCCACTACTCGCGATGCTACTAGATTTATGGTTATCATTCTGCCAATGCTCCAGGACGGTCTTGCAAGTCAGTGCTGTTGTGTAAACATGGGGTTTTACGCAATCATGTTCCAGCGTTTAGACCAAGACAGAGCAGTAGGTCCGATAGCTATAAGGTAAGGGGACAACCAAGATGGATGGCGCAAACGTCCTTGACAGTTCTCCTTGTAGACTCTCATCCTGGATGGATTCGCCATGTATGGCGGTGCAATGTCGTGTGGGAGGTGGGGTGCGAGCCTCGGTTCAAGATCGCGACTGCCTCACTCCAGCGAAACTTCCCCTTCTACTCCACGTTCTGCACCTGCGGTTTGGCTGCCAGAAGGGAGCAAGAGACGGCGTAAGGAGCAAGAGACGGCGCGAGCGAGGTTGCAACGGAAAGAATGGTCGGCAGAATGAAGGACCGACCCCGCTGAAGATGGGGTACTTTTGTTGTGTGTGTGTTGCATCACACGTCAACACCATAACTTCTACCACTCGACTCATCACGACAGACACCAGTTGCTGAGCGCAGTGCCACGACCACCAGACAATGCAATGAGCCTCCCAACTCCCCTCACCGGGCGCCTCGTCTCCCTGCAGACAAAGGACGAAGTGCGGGCCAGCCTCGAAGTCCACAGCGTCTACGTTGTCGAGGTCCCAGCCAAGTTTGCCAACGTTGTCAAGGAGTGAGCTGCTCGCTCCTGGAACAAGCCACATGACCCTGAACTAACCGTGCAGTGCCGTCCAAGCTGAAATCCCCGACTTCAAGACGTCCGAGATCTCGCACTTGCGCCGCGTCGTGCAGTTCAAGTACCTGCCGCCTTCACTGCAGAAGCAATTCTATCCGCCTGCGAGGCTCCCGAGAGGTGATGAAGATAATCCTGCCACCACAGCATCATTATCTACATCTCCTGCATCCCTGCCTCAATCTCCTTCTTCCACTCCTCCATCTCCTCCGCCGCCGCCGGTTGACGATGGCAGTGAGCCCGCTGCTGGTGAAGACGTTGCTGAAGATTTGGATCTAGTGCGCTACTTCCTGCTGTGTCCCACACGACACATCCAGCATGCAGACCTCTTCGCCATCCTGCGCCGCTGCCCGCCCTTCGACGGCAAGACCGCTCCCCCACGGATCATGTACGTGACCGTCCCAGCCTTTGCGCCTATATCTGCCGAGCAGGCTGCCGAGTGGAGCGACTCGTACTGGCCCATCTCGTACAAGAACACCAATCCGTACGGCCCACATCCCAGTCTTGTCGCGCGCAATACAGCAGAAATCGAGGGCGAAGCGGGAACCTGGCTTGCGCTTGCAAATACAGCCGCCAAGCAGATCTCGGACAAGTGTCTCGGCGAGCGACTCGGCGTCGTTGTCGTTGATCGCCAGAAAGACCCTCCAGAAGTTATCGCTGTCGCGGGTGACTGCCGCTGGCGATCACCAATTGGTGCAGTGGAACCCCACAAAGGTCAAGGCAATGTCATGGCTCACGCCGTCCAACGCGCCATCGCCATGGTCGCCAAGAAGCGTCTTCGTCTTGCGGGCACTGACCCTGCATTGCTGGACCGTTCACTCTTCTGTGATAGTCCCCTTACGGACGTCGAGAAAACATACTACGAAAAGGACAATATTTCATCAAGCGGCTACTTGTGCGTCGACTTGGACATTTACCTCACCAACGAGCCCTGTGTCATGTGCTCAATGGCGATTCTGCATTCAAGGTTCAGGCGCTGCATCTTCGCGAAGCGCATGCCATACACCGGCGGTATGACGGCTGACAGCGCGCATGGTGGTCTGGTTACGGGAGGCGGCTTGAGGCACGGCCTGTTCTGGCGTCCGAGCGAGCTGAACTGGAAGTTCCTGGCTTGGGAATATCACGAGGATGGCAAGGATGCGAAGACCGTCGCGAACGTCAAGGAGAGACTGCATGTGTAGATTTGGGGCCGGCGGAACAGATTCCACATTGGATAAATGGTATTATCACGGCGCATTGGATTAGATGTTGACTTCACTACGTGGGTGTGGTAACATGGATTGTAGAATAGCTCTCAATGATGGCAGATTTATCATGCGTCAGTTGCTAATTACTGTCGTGAAATAAGCTCTTGCTTCCTGAACTGAAAGATAGCATGGTCATCTGTGCAGCGTCGACTTGAACTGTATCTGGCTCATCCCAGTATCTCATGCTTTCTGAAGTCACCATACAAGATCATGGAAACACACATTCGTCTTTTCCGCCTCGAAAAGCCAGCACATCTGAGACACAAATGAAAAGCCAAGCGAAGTCCTCGTAACCACACTTGGATATTGTCAGACAGCACAGTGACCGACAGATCCCTTTTGTCGGATCCTTGAAGATACTTGAGAACTTGTGAGCATGTAGAAGGAACTTCTCCTTAGACTCACGATGTGCGCTTATAAAGACGCCAAGTGAGAGATAGGTGACACATATTTCAGCTATTCTAGTCTCCATATCCGGATATCAGAGATCTCGGGATCTTTCGAAGTATCCTTGCGTTGTGTAATGAACTAGTCGAATAACGTCGTTGCCTTCATCTATCGCGACTAATCCAGCGCATACCGATACCGTCTCTTCAATATCGGGACAGTCGTCCTCGTCAAATTCAGACTCACTGAATCTCACGCCGAGTGCCAGAGCCAGTCGCTAGCTTGTTGAATGCACTCTTGATCGCGTTTGGCGAGATCTTCCCGATCAAGGACTCCAAGCGAAGTTGAGCAAGAAGAATCCTGATGGTGTTCAAGAAGAGGTTGCTCAGCAAAGGTGTTGTGGAGAGAAGAGACTTATGGAAGAATGGCTTGCTGGGAGAAGGGGATTTATAGAGAAGGCACATGTGGAACAAACCAGACGGTGAGAAAAGCTCTATGGATCTTGACTCAAGGACATATCTGTCGTAGTCTTTCGGTATTTAGCATATTCGAAGACATGTCTCAACAGTGACGAGTGGAAGCATAGCGTCTAGAAGTTGAGAGTAAAGTAGTTGGAACTCCAAATAGTAACCACGGTGCCCGGAGAAGTGAGAAACATGATGCTTTTCACGCATCATCTTCGGCTCCGATCGGTCGAAGTTGATTACGCGCGGGTGAATGGTTCGCGTCGTCTGTTTCGCGTTTTGGCACGTGCATCCGCGAATGGTGCTAAATTAGCGCGTTCTCTGTGAGCTCTCGAGAGGGCTTCATGATCAACACCACAAACACGACCAAGATCGCAACAATGCTTCCCGACGAAATCATCGTACAGCTCAGCAATGAATACCAGTGTCGCGAACAGCAAATCCAGCACCTTGCAGCCCTTTACAATGTAAGTTTCCCGTCTGCAACAACGACCACTGCTAACAAGTGCCAAGTCACATCTTCCCTCTCCATCACTCCTCAACATCTATGGGTTGGCTGCGACAGGGAAATCCACAATTCTAGCCTCGTATTTCCCTCTTGCTGGCATAACACATGCCGTCATCAATGTACGCGAATGCATCACCGCGCGACATCTCCTTGAGCGCATTGTCTCTTCGTGTCTTGATGCGCTCGACAGTTCCCACGACGAGAAGACGGATAGAAGACCTTATGCGAGAACAGAGAATCTGGGCGCTCTGTGTGTGAATATGGGAAAGATACTGCAGGGCAGAGACAAATTCGCGCTCGTGCTTGATGGCGTAGACAAGCTTAGAGAACCTGGCGGGACGCTGATTGCTGCGCTGGGAAGGTTAGGAGAGACGGTATGTCTTCACACTATCCACTACACACATATCAAGCCAATATGGCTGACAAACACCGCAGATTCCAAACCTTGCGCTCATCCTGACAACAACCCTTGCGCTCACGCCCTCGACCCTCCACTCCTCTTCAACACCATTTCTACACTTCCCGTCGTACTCGCGCGCCCAGCTCCTCACCATCCTCGGCAAAACTCCATCGAGAATCTTCCTTACTCCTCCGTCAGAAGAAAAGTTCCCAGACTACACACCCGATCTCGCTGCCGAAGACGATGCATGGCTCTGGAACCGCTTCCTCGGCGCCGTATATGACTCTCTCGCGAAACACACAGGAAGAGACCTGGTCAGTTTTCGCAGCTGCGCTATGCGCCTCTGGCGCCCGTTTGTCGAGCCCGTCGTCTCCGGCCAATTCGGAACGCGCGATTTCTCCCGCCTCATGGTGAACAGACGCCACCTCTTCCAGCTCGAAGACTCCGTCCTAGACAGCATCATCACTTCCAATGACTCCCATACAGCCGTTCTACCTACAAGCGCAATACCACCAACGCCCAGCAAACCCAAAGTAAAGCGCATAACCACCCACGACCTCCCCTTCTACACAACCCACCTCCTCATTGCGGCCTACCTCGCCTCCTACAACCCCTCCCGCACAGACGTAACATACTTCATGAAGCACACGGACAAGCGCAAAAACCGGCGGCGCGGCACCTCGTCCACCAACCTCGCGCTCCCCAAGGGCCCGAACTCCAAATCCAAACACCGCAAGATCTCTAGGCACTTGCTTACTCCTAGTCCGTTCACACTTGACCGCCTGTTTGCTATTTTCAGGGCCCTGCTCGATGGAAGTGTGCCCCAAGTCGCGGATTTGTACACGCAGATTGCGACGCTGACGAGTATGAGGCTACTTGTTAGAGCGGGGGCGGGGGGGAGCGATGTGTTGGAGGTCGGGGGCAGGTGGAGAGTGGCTTTTGGGTGGGAGTTTGCGCGGGCGTTGGGACGGTCTGTGAATTTGGAAGTTGGAGAGTATTTGGTCGGTGGTGTAGATTGAGTCATACGTAGTTCGTCATTGTCGTCATTTCATCCAAGTTTTTACAACCTGTACATGTGCAGACAGACTATGAGCTACAACTGCACTGCATCATGCCCTTGTACTTGGGCACATCCCCGCAGAACCGCTCCTCCTCATCCGCATCCCAGTCCCAGCTTTCCTGGAACGGATTGAGATTCAGCTTCATGATTTGCGGCAGGATATCGCGCTGATGTTTCTTCTCCACGCGGTCGATGAGCTCGTCGAGGATCCATGAGCGAGGCACGAACTAGATCAAGTCAATAATGTCCTCATAGCAACAGCAACAACAGTGGAGCAAGTGTTTAAGACATACCTTGGGATTCACAGCCAACATAGCAGCCTGACGCTCAGCCTCCGACTCACTGCCCCAGTCCTCCTTGGCGCGCGCAGCCCATTTCCCAAGCCACGCGCCGATGCGCTCGCGCTCCTTGCCCTCCTGACGTGGCGCATTATCCGCGCGGAAGAAGCGGCCTGCTACATCTTTGCGCGCATCGTCCGTGTCCAGCTCGTTCAACTTGACGGCAGACAACCTGCGGAACGCGTGGTGGAAGTCCAGCTCGAACTGCTCGAGACAGTCGAGCAACTCGGACATGAGCTCATCGAAATCGGTATCTTTTTGCGTCTTCAGCCCCAAGCGACTCATCATGAGGCGTTTGTATTCAGCAAGGAACACGGCTTTGTACTCGTCGCCGCACTTCTCGATGATGTTCTCTGCGCGATTTACGAGCTCGGGGGCGTGCGCTTCGCTGACGCCTTTTTCGACAAATACGGCGTCATCGACGTGGTCGCCTGCGCCCATGAGCTCGCCGAATGCCTCGCCCAGGCGCACGAGGTTCCACCAGATGATTGTGGGCTGGTTGCGGTAGCTGTAGCGCAGCATGTGGTCGTCGTGGTTGGGCGTGTAGGCTGGATCGAATGTGTCGAGGAAGGCGAAGGGGCCAAAGTCTATGCTTAGGCCGAGGATAGATGTGTTGTCTGTGTTGAGCACGCCGTTCATGAAGCCGTATGCTTGCCACTTTGCGACGGTTTGGGCGTTGCGGCGGAGGATGGCGCGGTAGAGGCGTGTGTAGCGATTTTCCTGGTCGAGTGCGTCGCCTTCGATGGTTTCTTTTGCTATGCCTGTCTGGACCTGGTCGTGGGTCTCTGTTGCGGTTCCTGAGGGCAGTTTGGAGGGGAGCGTGTCCCAGCCGCCGTAGACGTGCTCGGCTGTGTAGTCGGCGAGGGTGCGCAGGGTGTTGCGGTCGCCGCGATTGCGCTGGAGGTCGAAGGTTCCAAAGCGGATCCAGCTCTGTGCGAAGCGTGTGACGATGGCGCCGGGCTCAACGCGCTCGCGTATGATTTTGGTGCCTTTATTCAGGGTGAGGGCTAGCGCGCGGGTGGTGGGTATGTTGATGGCGTTCAGGTACTCGGAGACGACGAACTCGCGGATCGACGAGCGTAGCACTGCCCGGCCGTCTGCAAAGCGCGAGTAGGGTGTTCGCCCGGCTCCTTTCAGCTGTACCTCATACCGGGTGCCAGACGACGGGTTGGTGGCCTCAAACAGCGAGATGGCGCGTCCGTCCCCGAGCTGGCCGGCCCACTGTCCAAACTGGTAGCCGCCATAGCACTGTGCCCATGGATACACGCCCTCGTCTGGCTTCTCCGCGTCCCATGTCAAGATCTTGCTGCCCGAGACGACTTCCTTGAACTCTTCACTCTGCGCTTCCTCTTCGTTGAGTCCAAGGGCTTGTAGTGCGCGCTGACTGACGCCTAGCAGCTCGGCCTCTCCAATGGGGTCTGGCCGGACGTATGTGTAGAGCGCCTCCTTGACCATGCGCGGACCGAGAGTTTGCCGTGGCGCATTGTGCGAGTCTTTTGGTGTGGGGAAGGCGGCGTCGGCGGGGAGGTTCTGCGTGAAGACATTCGACTTGGGCAGAGATTTGAGGGAATGTTTCTCACCAGTCGAGCTGGTTGTTTGGGGAATGTCGAGGTGCGCCATGACTTGGTTGAGGCGCATAGAACTGCAGATGGTCCTTGATGTGTCCTTCGATAGTGCAGGATTGGGTGTCGCAGTACGTCGCAGAAGGCAAGAGAGACGCAGCATGAGATTTGGGGACCAGAGTGGCAATATGGAATGGAGAAGAGAAGAAAGAGGGGGACGCGGCGGCGAATTGATCTATGGCCTCACACATCTGTCAGAGTGATGAGCCTCGACCGTGGCGTCATACCTCGGAGAGGCCGCCATGACTCGCTCATACGCTAAAGTTTTATAATTTGACTCGCGCATTCTTCGACTCTTGCATCGTCGCTGCTGAAACCTTCACTTGGCCAATCACCATCTTTCACGACAGCAATCTCGAACCCGTTGAAGCATTACATCTTAATGTTCACTTCAGATGCGAGCGTAGAGCCCACTGCGTTGTGTTTTGACAGATATAGCTATGAACGGCCAACCCATTCCAGGCTTCTACTTTGATCCTGACAAAAAGAAGTACTTCCGAATACAGACGTCCACCGCAGCACGAGATCTGGACATCAAGCATTCGGCAGAGAACATCCGCAAAGAGGAGAGGCGGAGTCGATTGAACAGAGCTGCGGCTGTCCAATCCAACAAAACACGAAGAGAACGGGTTGTACGGCGAAATGCCACTAACTTCACGCAAACGTGTTTGGAAAGAGAAATCGGATTCAGAAGGAGATCATTCTATGTGCAGAGCATGTGGCCAGATGCATGCATGTCCGGCGTTGCTACCAGGCTAAAGAAGGTGGTCGATGCACCTGATGCTTCTATCCGGTTGTTCGACAGAGACCCAATCTCCAAAACCATCTACGCTGTGATCGGAGAAAACAGGATCAAGCGAAGGCGAGTACATACCACAAGCGACCTTCCGCTTCCTGATCAAGATCTCGAAACTGGCGAGTACTTCAACTCCATGTCTCTTAACGCATATGCCTTCGAACCGTGGGATGAGCTTGTGCGAACGACATCGACAGTCTCATCTCTATGCTATTTGCCGGTAACGGGTGCGTTGGCAACAACTACACTAGGCGCTGATAGACCACCCACCGTACATTTGAGCGACCCAGAAAGAGACGGACCATATGTGGGGCAACTGTTTACACCCAAAAGCTGTACAGCAATACGAGGAGCTGCAGCGAGACCGACGAGCTTCGCGCCTTCGCCAGGTTTAGAGAACACAGTGGCGGCAACACATACAGAGCATCTTGCTGTTGCTGCTTCACAATCACTTCTACTCTTCACCCGGTCGCCGACTGGATCCTGGGATTCGGCCACTGCCTTGGACGATCTCAAGTCAGACATCCTCTCTCTTGACTGGATTTCCTACACTACCATTGCTTTGGGCTGTCGTAACGGAAACGTTCGCCTCTATGATACACGTTCGGGTGGCTCGAGCCGTGTCTTGACGCACTCCCAACCTATAGCTAAAATCAAGCGGGCCGACGACCCAACACGCCTCGTTGTATCTGGTCTCGAAGACACACTTTTTCTGTACGACATCCGCTCACCACGCTTTTGTGGTCCCTCTGAGTCATCTTTCAAACATAGTAGTCAGCACTATAACAAAGATTACTTCAACACTCGGTTCCCTGAAGGGCGTGACCGCAAAAAGCGCCGCAAGATGGAACACACAGCCTTCAAGAAGTGGTCACAGCCAGTGCTAAGCTTCCCCCATGCTAACCTTGATGATCTGGATCTCGACGTGGATGTCCATCCCAGACTTGGTCTGGTCGCTGCAGCTCAAGATTTGGCCACGAGCAGTGCGGCTATAAGAGTCAGTAATCTCTGGACCGGCAAAACAGTGAAGGAGTTCACTCCCAACAAGACAGGTCCCGTTAGAAACAAGACGCAAGAAAGGATTCGAACGCTAAAGTTCATGGACGACGAGGAAGGCGGCGGCGTGAATCTGTGGGCGACTATGAATGGAGGGATTGTACAGTTCGGGTGGTGAGACGCGGCTTTCCGAACACTATGACTGCATGTGTAATGACATCTGCGGAGGACAACCGGTTCAGTACTACCCTGCAAAATTGCGCTTGAGCGGGAAGGGAAGCAATAGGACGAACACAAACACAAGCGTGCTCGTAGTGCGCACATAACCTTCAGTCACAGCACTTTGCAAAAACTTCGCGTGTTCAAAACATAGCGCACATCAGGTTCTCATAGTCTCTTTTTGTTTGTTATTCCCACGGTTCCCGCTGTCATGTATCAGCTAAAGCACTTATCATTTGAACGTTACAAACAGTTTATCATCGAGGTATTTGTCTTCCTGTGCCTGCGAGGCGATTGTGCATGCGTTCAACTACATGAACACTCTTTGTTTACTCCCAAGATTTGAGTCTTGACACAGTTCACACATCCAAAGCATTCGCTTTTACCAGAAGGCATCATTCACGTCGCTCCATCACTTCGATATTGTTCCCCTCACAGTCTGTGCGCAACCGTTCGCAGTAACTCACTTTCACCCTGAAGGCCACAATCGATACAAATTCTGATCGTGTACTCCTCAATTTTCTCACCACCTACGTCCGCTAGCTCATCCATAAGCTCAACACCACCACATAGTCACATCGCCACTCGAATTTTTCGACCTGCGAAGGAAGCCATGGCGTTGCATAAAGCCTGGCAAGACCTTCACAACGTCCGCCAGCAGATTCAACCTAAGCTCGGCGCCGAGCTCAACGCCGTTCCAGAAGGCGCCAAGGATGGTGTCACTGTTGTAGTAGACAAAACACACAAACCAAGTGACAACGCCAATCTCGACAATGTGAAGGAAATCATCAAGGATATGCAACGTCGCGCTGGTCTACCGCTCGAGGTATCGACCCATGGCCGGTTTTCCCAGATCGAGCTGCACGAGGAGGTCATCATACCCTTCTTGATCGCACTTCTCGTCTTGGCCTTCTCACTCTGGCAGGTCCCTCTCCAGGCCGCTCGATCTACAGATGATCGTCACCTTGCCTGTCTGATTCCAATCTTCATGGTCCTAGGCGGCTCTCTCGTCCACAAAGCACTCGCCATTACTACCGCATCTCCTCGTCAGGACTCTCCGCACTTCGGTTGTGGATGGCTAGCCTACTCCTTTTCCACGCTCTTGCCGGCTATTTCTGGCACACACGAACTTCTCCCCATGCCAGATATGCATTGCAAGGTCTTAAACTTAAAGTCGGGCTATGCTCTCGACAACAACTCCTGGCTCCTCTCCCGGGTTCTGCGCGACTTAGAATCATTGAGTGTCCGCCGGACCTCAAATGAGGGTATCTCGATTGAGATTCTCGACCTTGTGGCGCCCATAAAGCCGCTCTCCTGGTACGCCACGGTCTGCGCGAACACTGCGAGCATGGTGATCATGTTTTCGCAGCTCGCAATCGCAATTTTCACCATCTATGCTCGTCGGGACACCTCAGTTTTCCTCCTGTTCTCGCTTTGCGTCATGCTCATGCAGACAGTTGTCAGTCTTCCAGCATGGCGCGAGCAGAAGTTCTGCGCCAGAAAGGACGGCAGCAAAGACGCAGCATGTGCGCTGATGCGGGGTAACGGACATCGATATGTGTCCATCATCCGCAATGCAGACCCAGATGCGTGGAACATTGAGGATCTTGCTGGCGCATGCCAGACGCATTACGATTACTCCCGCACCCTCGAAGGGCCTATCTTGATCCTCACTTTCCTCGTGTTTCTCGCATTCACCTGCCTGTCTACGTACCTCGACAACACAAATGTTGTGTATATGCTCCTTATACTCGCTCTTGGAACTGTCGGCAACGTTGTCACTGTCGCATTACCTCGTGAATCGTGGGCACACGGTCTGAACCTCGAATCTGTGGGCGTCATCTCGGATGATCGAGGGGTCATGAAGGCACTCCAGAGGTTGGAGGAGGGCTACGAAGGTCTGGGTGAACCGCTGGTTAATGAATTCTTTCCTGGTGGGTTGAGGCTGAATGAGGAACTTTGGTGGGCGGATATCAAGGGGAAGAGGATGGAGAGGAAGGCGCATGAGGAGGAGGGCATGGGGAGCATGCACAGAAAGGTGGGGACAGAGAAAGGGAGAAATGATGGGATGGACGATTGGCTGTTCATGCCGGTGAACGTACCTGACATTCAGGACATTGAGATGTAGATATGAATGGCCTAGCGCAAACGATGTTGCGGACTCGATCTTGTTGTATGTGGAGTTGTAGGTTCAAGCGACTTTGCTATATTTCATGTGCTCTACGATTGGATAGCCACAAATCACTTTTATGGGGGATCCAATAACCACTTCGCATACTAGACAACTTCGTACTTACACACAAAGTGACGCAGCCAAATGTGGCTAGCGCGATGGCTATCCGACTCCAATTCCGATCGCAACAATCCACCAGCACCTTGACAACACTCACCATCATTCGCTTCAACATCGTTTCTGAACTGCATACGATTTGTGTATGCTATTTGTTTCAAAGATTCAACATATAGGTACAAATTGATACTCCGTGGCACCATTGGGAGCCCCTCAATTGTGCGACAAGCCTCGTCTTGAATGATTCCACGTCTGCGAAGACTTTCGAAAAGAGTTCTAGGATACTCATTTGTACTGATACCCATAATCCTGATATATCGTTGCTGGGAACCGTCGGCAGCTCCAATGCCTACTTCAAGCTCCCCGACCGAAGTTGCTACCGCGTTGCTGGCGGAGAAAGGCTGGCAACTACAGTCCTTAAAAGTCATACAGTCTCTCTGGGCTGGCTACGGCCAGATCTGTCGGATCACTGCGACGAGCTTACTATCTGCGGACACCGAGTCGCAATCTTTCATCTTGAAGCTGATAACGCCTCCAACGCACGCGAATCAGATCAAGGATGAGGGCCATATGAGGAAGATACTCAGCTACCAAGTGGAACAGTACTTTTACAGCCAGCTCGCTCCACAATTACCATCTTCCGTTCCCGTAGCTGAATGTTTGGCCAGCGTGAACGAACACCACGCAGACGGTACTTCAACAACAGCCATGCTCATGAGCGATCTCCGCCTAGAATATCCCGTTGCAGGAGAGAAGCGCGAAGCCCTTTCCCCAACCCAAGTCAACGCCTCGCTCGACTGGCTCGCCAGCTTTCATGGCTTCTGGTGGCCTCGCGTCGGGACCATGGATCGATCTGCGCTCGTCCAACCTCCGCTCGAGGAACTAACAAAAGACGGACAAAGGGATGCGTCGAAGACTGTATGGACGAACGGCGGGTACACTTACCTTGCCACACGACGCACGGAATACAACACCCTCGCCAAGGACTACCACTCAGACTGGAACCTGCTCCTCACCGAACCAGTAGACTTTGAGAAATCCTCGATCTCGGAAATCGTCGCATTATTCCTCGCGCCCCGGATCACAGGTCGATCCCCCTTCACGGCGTACGAAACGCTTATCCACGGCGACGTCAAGAGCGAGAATCTATTCACCAGCACGGCCGGCGACAAAGTAGCCTTCTACGACTTCCAATACGTCGGTCTAGGCCTCGGCGTCTGCGACCTAGCGAAACTGTTCACATGCTCCGTGCCTTTGCACATGCTCGTCTCAGAGCAAGTCATTCCCCGCGAGTTGGCTATGCAAGACGGCGAGAAGCGACTACTGCAGCGCTACTGGCAGAAATTGAGGGAGGTTGGGGAGCAGGAGTATGAGTGGACGGTATTCGTGCGGCATTGGGAGACTGCGCTTGTGGATTGGCTGAGGTTCCAGGCCAGCTGGGGTTTTTGGGGCAATACGGAGTGGCTTGAAGCGAGGGTTCGAAATATCTTGAAGGACGAGGAATGGTCAGTTGCGCTGATTGCAAATGTGCGAATGGCGGGACTTTTGGACTCGTGAAGTTGTAGGTCGTTGATGCTAGGAATTAAGGTAGATCTTGACCCCACTTACTATTACCCCTCATCCATTAGTCTCACCGCTCGCTTTGCTTGGCCTTCCAACTGGATTATGGTTGATAAACACTGCTTAGAACCTTGCTCTTGCAACGTTTGAGAGCTTTATAAAAGTCAAAACTGAGCTTTTCGGCATAACATCGGAAATCGCCCGTTTGGCTTAGTGGTACAGCGTCTCACTCGTACGTCCTGCGACATGAGAAGATCCTCGGTTCGATTCCGAGAATGGGCACTTCCTTTTTGCGTTTCCTGTGTGTTCATTCTTTTGCCTTCCTCCAATCTATAGATGTGCAGGATGAAGGTGGCCATATGTCTACATGACCTTGTCAGGCATGCAAACCTGATTTTTAGCTGAGTAGATAGACATACCTCCATACTTTAAGCTAAACACCAGAGGTTGTTTTTAGGCAACACTCAGCATTTACGTTCGGAATATCCTTTTGACAATCAATCCACGAGCTGGAGCCTGAACCGGAGCACCTTGGGAGCGCTGACCAGAAGTTGGTAATATAACAAAAGCGGACGACTTCACTACTTCTTCAAAGGCAAAATACTGTCATTGCCAAACAAATAGCATCCCAAACATAGTGATAGACCAAGCCATCGCGATAACCTCCGAGGAGAATATCGAGCTGCTTTACCACTGGGCTGGCAGGACCGCAACTAGAAGCAACTTGATAAAGATTCTGAACCATCTCGCTAAACAGTGATTGCGTTTGAAGACCTTGATGCCTTTGGACGTCTTAGGCGACCGGAATATATCAAATTCCACCCTTGTGTTCCTCCGTGCTCATGGATGAGAAACCAATATGCGGGTTACAGATGAATATTACTCGCCCCTCATTTTGTGTAACATAACAGTCACCACTATTGGTGTAAACACTGCCCCCCTAAACACGTCATGGTTACAAAAGACGCTGCTTTTAGCGTAAAATAGGGTGGCGATGAGTATGTGTTCACTAGTGCAGTATGTTCTCATCGTTTTTAAACTCAGCTGAAACGCGTTGCGTTGCAGTCCTACACTATAGACTTCTCAACACAATAGTTACCTTGGGTTTGTTCTGGAAATAAGATATTGAACATAGGTACTGCTACCATACAATTTCTACAAGGATATATGCAACGAATAACATATTACGTTTTCAGCCAAGGGTGATGTTGGTAATTCTGCACAGGATTCCTAATTGGGCCAACTCTCGTTATTGTTATAGTACTTTGCATGGCATTGCGAATGTTTATAGATACACGTACATCACGATGGTGTTTATACTGACTATAGATTTCTGCTTTTCTTATACAGCTCTGAGTGTCTAGATGCTTCCGAAAATTGCTCAAAAGTTGAACTTATTCACACCGCCGTACTCAACGTCAGGATTCCGTGTCTTATCTCTTCTTATATCTCAACAGCTGAACATGAAGCCCAAATGTGACTAGACATCTGTGTAACATATGTCCAGTGATAAATCACAGACGATCGGCAAACGAAGTGACTCACGGTCAGCAGATGGGCTACGATACTATGATCCCGCCAACGCCGATCGTAAAAGTCAAGACACCGAAAATGCGAAAGCAGATCCAGTACCACCCTGCAAAGCAGATTGTTCCACGAGATCTGCAATACACCATACCAGGGAGGCGGAAATATCCGCGCAATGTAAGGGACTGAGATAAAATGCAGAGGGATAAATGTAGAGGGATAAATGTAGAGGAACATTTAATTGATTGAAGCGTGATAAGTCAAGGTAAGATGTCAATTTACAATATTGGCTGGCCAACATGCAGATCGGAGGCTGTGCACAATAGTTGGTAGAATCTTGGGTACAAAGATCGTCCCTTACCCCGCCTTTTGCATGAGTCTCCTGTGTTTCTTCACTTCACTATGGCAAGAGTACAATACCAGTTTTTGAGAAGTCTCTTTGCTACAGGTAGCAACAGTCCTGTATACCCCAATACAACACCGTTAAATCGATCATGGCTTCCAGGGTACCCCCACATCGCCTTGAATGATTCCCTCGCCCTTTCAAATTTCCTTATAGGAGAGTTGGAGTGCTCAGACCTTGATGAAATGACAAGCTTTCTCTGGATGATGACATCCCAATCTAGCGCAAATATACCCGCGCTTCATTGGCAACACGTGAAGGGCCGAGACATTGTCCTTACGGAAGACCCCAAACTACATCTTATCTGGTCATACGACAAAATATATATCAAGCCTGTACCAACATATCTCCTGTCCCGCAGCTTCTGGGAGTCATATATCTTGGATCGTTCCACACAATTCAGCACTCACCAAACTCACGAAAAGATTCGTACCAGTGCGCTGGGATTTCTTCGATCCTACGCCTATCTGATACGCCACGAGTCTGACCTGCGCATCGCAAAGGATCCAAACTTGACTCTTGTTCCGCCATCTCTGACATGGAACAAATGGTGTCTTCTACGAGCTGCGCTTCTCCAGATTCAAGACAATGAGGTATCAGGCAGATATGGCTTTGGTGAGATTCGGCTTACAAGGTTGAATTCTTGGACCAAACTCCTGTGCAGGCCAACCTACCATCGCACACACCCACAGTACGGAGAGTATTTCGCAAGATTCTACGCTCCACTCCTTTTCTTCTTTGGCGTTGTCTCTGTGATGCTAAGCTCTATGCAACTGGTGGCAGCCGTTGAACAGATTGAAGAACAGTGGAATTTTCTACTGGGACTGTACCGAACTTTCAGTGTGGTTGTATTCCTGGTCACTTCTTTACTAGCATGTGTCTTCGTGTTGGTACTTCTAGTGAAAATTATAAAGGAATGGAAGTTTGCAGTGAGCGTTCGGCACGCACAGAGAGGCAGGAGATATCCTAAGAACGCTGTGGATAGCTCGATAGTCTAGTACAGCGGATTGCAGAATGCGACAAGAAAACAAAACGACATACAACCTTGAGATGAAGACAAAGCATGAAATTTCAGGTGTGAAAAGCTTAATGTGCGTAATATCATGGAAGTACTGCTAATTCTTGAATGAAACAACTGATAGATATACTTGATGGAAAGTGTTGCTATATGTTGGTTATTGTGCCAGCTATCCTATTGATCCTGAGACATATAGCCGGTCACAAGCCCCTGGATTATTGATTATACTACTCACAACACTTCTTTGGTGCTCTGTTCGATACAAATATAGCTCCACAACGAACTAGCCCGCCAGAAGTCAAAATTCAACAATCTTCGTGCTTCCTGTGTGCGAGGCCGGGAACGCACCAGGGCACTGCACTTATCTTTTGGACACCAGTGTTAGCGCCGAGCCTGTTTGAAGTTCAAACGCAGGTGCGGAGAGATTTCTTGTGCGGCCAGGACTGGGCACCTTGGTGATCATAGTCGAACTACCGCTTCTGAGTAGTGGTGAAGCAGCGAGACCGAGGGATTGACTGGTACTTACAGACACGACATCTGCTTGCAGAATGCGAATTGGCTTGCCTTCGAACTCAATAGGATGGAGCGGTGCTAAAGGATTTTTGTTGAGAGACTCACAACAGAGCTTCGTTGCTGCGTGATTTCAGGAGGGTCGATGTTGTCTGGCTTTCGGTTTCTACGTTGTCCACCGGCTTGGCGTTTTCTATCTTTGTCTTGAACGACGCAGTATGTTTCCTTGTAAAGTCACCGTCGGCATTATCTGCGTATGAACTAGCTGCGAAATTACCGTGTATATGCGACGCCCCACCGCTCGGTCTTCCAAATTCGACTCATGTCTACGCCTTTTGCTCTTCTCAACCCCGATGAGCTTCAGCCCAACAAGACTCCCAGTCGTTACTCTCCACCTATATCTTGCCCGCATTTATAATGGATTTCCAGGAACTCTTACGCAACATCTTGCTTTCTACCTCCAATATTCTCTTTCGTACTTCTGCCGGTAATTTCTTTATCGTGTAGCAGTCTTCTAAGCATCCATGGATATAATACTCGCACCCTGTTCTTAGTGCAGTGTTCTCGGCACTGAGGAGACGTTGCAATGCAGTCCCAAGGGCCAGACTAATAAACGACGGTGAGCGATTGCTCATATCCTGCCACATGAAGCCATCCCCTCCGGCATCCACCCACCGATCTATGACAAACCCCTTCAATATCTCCGACACACCACCCCTCTCACTAGCAAACAAATCCGCGATGGTGTCCCCATCCGCACACACATCCTTCTCCACTTTCTCCTCAAGCATATCCATAGCCTGATCCGCAAACCCTACTATCCCCAACCACACAACCCAATAGATGCGCATTCATGAGCGGCAAGAATGCTCGCCAGGTATGGTGGGACTCGAAATCGATGTAAAAACAGTATGGCTTGTTGCAGTGGATGGAAACTGTACCAGTACACGTGTAGATACTATAGAGCTCAAAGGCGGGTGGGTCGAGATCAGGTAAAAGAAGCTGACTTTCTACCTTCGGGATGGAAAATGAAGCAGACGACTCGTAAGTGCGAAAGCAGTAGCGTATAAAGTAGATGAAATTGGGATCTTGCTGGCCGAGGAGGAGGCGAAGTGTTGGGTCACGCGGATGCTTTGGGATTGCTGTTGTTGGGTGGTAAGTCACTATTCATTATGTTGGGGGGTATATGCTTCTGCATGAAGAACTCGGCTAGTGTTACTATCTTTCCTCGTTCTGTGCGAGACTTATCATTGTTGTCTACTCTCCCTTTATTGACGAGAGTGTCTGTAGGTCCTTCCTTTTTGATAGTTCTTCCATTGGACTTGTGGAGTTTCTTGAATCTCGATAACATTTTCATGAGTGTTGTGTTGACGAAAATTGCTCTGCTTGCAAATAAAGCAAGAGATGCCGAGAGATGCATATTACAATACAAAGCCCTAGAACTACATGGATAGTGAAGATCACGCTGCGTTTGTAACCAACAAGTTGTGATGCTGTATAGACGTGACGCGAAGAGTTAGGTCACTGTAGCTTTTTATAACGTATCCTTGGTACGTATTATTCGTATGCCCCAGATCAAACGCGAATTTAATATGTGAACAGAAACGGATGCAGAAGTACGACACCTAATTGTATGTGATCTCTATGCAGGCTTTCTAAGTTTTACACAGATATTTCTTTACCATGGCAAGGCGACTGGAAATATTGAGGTCTTCTGGAGAGGTGGTTGAGAAGGTCAGGGACATAAGGTTTCTATTGAACTTTATCACGACGTCCGAAAACGTATATCAACAGTCCTTCTACGTACCACACTGGATCGCAAAGCGCTCTCCGTATCTCTGCAGCCTCATTCCATATACATCGGCTGGACTTGAAGGCCTTTGCATCGAACTCCATAATATTTGTCCAATGGCATTCGGGGTCTACGTTGAGTGGCTGCACCTCAACCAAATCACCCCGATATGCGCTGACGCTGTAGCCTTTCGCTCCCCAGTCCCGCAAATTTCTACTCTGCTTTTCGGAGACTGTATGACGCTCATACGCGCTCATATGTTAGGGTCAAAGTTCCAGCACGCCCATTTCCAGGACCATATCATCGACCAAATGACGCGGATCTTGGACCCGAGCCAAACACCAAACGTTGAGATTTTGACAGTTGTGTTTGGCGAGGAAATTGTAAGCAAGGAGTTGAGGTCTTTTGTTATCGACAATATGTTCGCCGCAGAAAGGAGAATGCTAGCAATGTTGCGAGGAAATGCAGAAGACATGCGGAGAGGTAGCAGTGCCAACCCCAGCTGCGACTATCATATTCATGAAGGAGGAAGATGCTACAGAGATGTACCATGGCCCCAGGTCTATCAAGATGAGAACATGCGTCACGTATCATTGTATTCAAACACGCTGTCTAGCCGCAAAGCTGCTTTCTCGCAAAATCTGGGCCATGAAGACACAACGATACTTGAGAACATTCCTTCGTCTCCGATGGATAATACCTCGTTTTATTTGATGCCAAAACCTAATTCGAACCCCTCTGGAGATATGAGGTGGCCTCGAATAGCTCATAGGCCAGGACAACGAGAGAAAGTACCACCTGAATTAGTTAACAAACCTCTTCCTCCACTTCCCGACCAGCCGATCAAGCCAACACACCTTTTATTTGCCCCATATTTTCAAAGTATCACTTACCACCATACCCCGGAAACCATCACTACGCAGGATATCGTACATGAATGTCTCAATCGACTACCAACCAAATCTTCTGATACTCCACCGCCCGTTGTGGACCATGAAGAAGACTATGAATTTCCCATATTTTCGGAATCAATTTGTAGCCTTCAGACGCCAGAGCCTTCCAACCTTTCACACGAGCCACCCAAAATGATATCCTCCACAGGCTCAACCAAACGGAAGCCTGTGCCACCTCGTGGTGAAGACTGGATTGAGCAGTACAACTGTGTAAATGAACTCAACATGACATTAAGTTCAGATTCGACAAGAAAATAGACGAGGGAAGGTAAGTTGACATTGTGACTTCCGGTGTAGGCGGAACGTATTGGCAGGAGGCATGTCAATTGAGCACGGATTGGTAATGGATCAGTTTGATTGGGGCATCTAGTCCGGGAAATTTGTCAACGTAATTAGGAGCCTTTCAATGTCAATGAACTAGGCTGTTCTTATCTTCCATTCGTTTGCAGATTGTTAGGCTGATAATATTGCCTCACGTTGTTGGATCTATTTGCCAAGGAGGAATTGTGGCTGGTCATCGGGTAGGTAATGGACCAATCAACCCTCAAAACCATTGAGGCGGACGCAGGGAAAGTAACTTGCAAGTGCAGTTGTCGGTGCTAGCAGTTTTGGTAAGGCTCTAGTTCTTGTGTCGGAAGCGGTTGCAATCTACGCCACGCAGATTTTCGAAGAACATGCTACCAATGAACCTGTATCATGAAAACCATTTGTTGGGTTCTCTCGCGGCTGGTGTTAACGGGCTTGAGACATTGATCCGTCGCATGTTCTTAACGCTCTCACTAAACATTGCGCGTTGTGCTGGAGCTAGGGAGTGCGAACGGTGTCCGAGCGTTCATTCCCCAGACGCACGGTGCTGCCCCACCTTCGCCGCCGTCTAAACTCACCATCGAGTGACCGCGCGGTTGTGCGCCTGATGATCTTTTACTGCTCAATTTATGCACCACTCACAACAGGCCAAGACGCCTTAGCAACGCTTCTTGAATCTTAGCGGTGGAAGCTTGATTGGTGGCGCTCTTGTCCTAACCCTAATCCATGATGGTGATGCTAACATGACCCTTCTAGACATGTCAGAGACCCATCACCACACGCAGAACAACATACCCGTTCCTTGGCGCTGGATCTTAAGATCTACATGGTTTCGAAAGGCCTGCAGATGTTCGCGACATTGGTCTACGATTCTGAACTTCGATACCACTCTACGAATGTTTGCCGGGTATGTCAGTTAGAGTCCTCATCTCTCATGGCGCCGCGTTGGTATCGTAGAAGTCAATTTCCACTCCTACAAACACCCAAGGGATGAGCCTTATAATTCGTGGATTTCAGTAATTCCGAGAAAGCGGCTGGGGCTAACCGCAGGGGCTGTGGTAACTCCGCGGATGGCCTGCGCGCCCCAAAAAACATCCCATGTGTCCATAGCCATCCAGTCGGATACAGCCGGTCCGATATTAGCTCTCCCCCAGCTCACCTACCCCAGACTCATATATTACCCCGGACAACTCCTCTTCTCCATTTTCTTGAACCATCGACAACTACCCAGCAGCATGGCCTCGACAGTGGAGAAACCGACCGCCACTGGAGTGGAGAACCTAGCCAACAATTCTTCTGGCAATCTTGCTATTGCTTTTGAGGAAGGCAAGGACCTCGGCCTGAGCGATGCTCATCTCTGCACCGACGCGGACAACAAACGTATCCTTCGCAAGACGGACCTCTACATGCTCTCACTTCTTTGCATGGTTTATTTTCTTCAGTCAGCAGACAAAGGAATCATCGGCTTAACGGCAGTCTACGGTTTAAAAACCGATGCGAAACTCAAGGGCAACAACTATTCCAATATTGGTAACATCGGTTACTATGCCCAACTTGGTGTCCAGCCTTTGGCTGCATATATCCTTGTCAAGGCGCGATACCGCCAAGTCCTTCCCATCATCATCACCTGCTGGGGAATTTCGGTTGCTGGTGGCCTTGGTGGATCCAGAAGTTACGCTGGGCTCCTTGTGTCTCGGTTTTTCCTCGGTGCCTTCGAGGCTGCCGTCATTCCACTTTTCTCCATCATTACCATCGCCTTCTACAGACGTTCAGAACAGCCTTTCCGGGTCGCATGCTGGTACAGCTGCTATGGTCTTAGCACTTTGATAAGTGCTCCCATCGTTTACGGCTTTGGTCGTATACACTCGCACACGCTCTTCCGGTACCAGGTCGTTTACCTCTTCTTCGGCCTCTTGACTATTTTCATTGGTCTTATCACCTACTGGTGGGCCCATGACAGCCCCGGAGAGGCGCGGTATCTGTCGCCCGAGGACCGTCTCAAGGCTGTCGATCGATTGAAGGCCAACCAGCAGGGTATCGTCTCGCACAACTTCAATTGGAAGCACGTTATCGAGGCTTGGACGGAACCTAAATATTGGCTATACATGAGTACGTACCTCCAATATGCAGATTGTATATAAGAATTATACTGACTTTATACTCCCACTTTTAGTTATGGTCATCGCCGTCAACGCTGGAGCATCTGTCTCATCGGTTTTCGGTTCCATTATTCTCCAAAGTTTGGCTGGCTTTACGGCTGATCAAGCTGTGCTTCTCAACATGCCATTCGGCGCGCTCCAATTCCTGTCGATCATCTCCGCGTCATGGTTGGCATACCGTTTTAAACGCAAGTCGCCCTTCTTGCTCGGACTTGTTACCATCGTTATCATTGGAGTTACCTTGCTGGTTGCTCTCCCAAAGACCAAGGCGAACAAGGGTGGTCTCCTCGCCGGCTACTATCTGATCGCTTTCGTTTACGCCATTAACCCTTTGCTCATCTCCTGGATGGGCGGTAACTGTGCCGGACAGACCAAAAAGGCCATATACTACACGTCTTTCAATGCTGGCAATTCCATCGGTAACATTATCACTCCTTACATCTTCGACGCCAAATTTGCCCCACAATACGTACGTACACCCCAGCTTTCCGTATTCCTACTGTTCGGAACCATAGCTGACTTGAAGTTATTTAGATCAACGCCCTTAAAGGCATTCTGGCTATTTGGTGCATCCTTTGGGGTGTTGTAGTTGCTCAGATCTTGCTCATCACCTGGATGCAAAAGAAGAAGGGAGACCAGCGTGAAGCAGCCGGTCTTCCAAGGAACTTCGTCGACTACTCTATGAGTGGAGAATTCCACGAGGCTGGTTCCGAGGTTCACGGCGAGAACGGTCTTCAAGACATGACAGACAAGGAGAACATTTACTTCCAGTACCTTTTGTAATTAAAGTCATAGCCAGGTCATGCTTTCGAAGCATCTTTTTACTACATAATTTTCCCAATGTTGATGCCAAGCTGAACATCGAAGTGACCAGCAAGCAATGTATTTCTCCCCTGCCACACAGGTCGATTTGATGATTGCGTGCCTAGTATGTGACGTAACTAAATACTAATGTTTTACATCAATTTACCTTCTACTTCTTTATACAACATCATGTATGAACCATCCTCTTCTGTTATCGCCTCAAGGTAGAGTAGATATGGCTTAAAACGATGATGTGTCAGCAAGGCAACAACAACACTAACTGGATCTGTTAATAGTATCTTGCTGCTAGGTTGTAGTCTCCTGCAAATAATCAGCGCAAGCAAGTCTCTATTAACATATGATGCTCTACGCTGAGTGAGAGTTTCCAGTGCATCGCGAAATTCTCTTTTTGATGCGTCCAGAATTCCTGAACTGCATATATTCTCATCAAGCTGACACACTCGCCGTCGTCAATGGGTACCCGTACTCTCCTAGTTGATCTTTCATGCTGTTGCGTCACCAAATAGAGTCACTTTAGCAACAAGGCTGATTGTATGAGCAGCACAGCGAATACGATGTAAATTGGTGACTCACAACTTGTATGTATTGTCTGGGACAGTGATGAGGTTGCTGTCGTTATTTGTAGCGTAGTCACCTCGACATCGTGTTACGCTGACCTGAGCTACATCACGTGTCGTGATAGGTTTTGGTGAGCTTGTGATAGTAAACGACTTGATCGAGTGGACGATTGAACTGTGGTTTACGTTGAAAGTAGACATATCTTAATATCACAATACACGTAGGCGCGGTAGATTGATGTACTAGATCGGTGTTTTCACTACGTATGGCTTGACAGGACGCAGCTCAAAGAACTCTGGATGGAAGCGATTCTTGGAGCGAACATATCAAGTGGGCAGTCTGTACTCCAACCAACCAGTTCTAGATCGTCGTCGTGACACTTAAACGCAGAACCTAGCTCAACCTGAAGGAGTTCCACTGGGCTCTAGTAATGCACGATCCACCTGAAACTCCTAGAGTGCCTCCGTTGCAACCAGATCCAGAATAAACTATATAATGACAATGGTTAGTAACTGTGCCGTACTCGACGACTGTAAGCCGAATTGAGCCTAACTTACGTTTGCTGGCCAAAAATCCTCCAGTGTTGATGAAGAAAGCACCGGTCTGGCCATCGATATTATAGCATGTTCCTGAGACTGGAGCCGCGTGATAAAGAATGTTCCGATCATTTCGGCTATACCAACTCGTTAGGGAATATCGTCCAAAATTCAAAATACCATCTTACCAATCGTCCATTGTACGATACTGGTTCAATTTGACGGCATCTCTAGTAGCCAAAGAGAGACCTCCTGAAACTGGCTCTGGCATGGCCAGGGCTGGGATAGTAAAAGCTGCAGCAAGCGCAAGGAACTTCATGTTGCTTTAGTTCGAAGGTTGAGGAGTGATGGTAGTATGTTGAAGAAGATGATGTTGTGAATTTCTAGACCTATGCTGCTCCGTCCTTTATATCAATCTGCAGGACAGCCAAGCACGCTACCAAGCACAAGCCCATCTCGAGATTTACATGTCCGAAATTAGCGGTGAGCATATTATCAAGTGTGAAGAGATGTGGAAGCCACTAAGGAGCCAAAGAAGAGGCAGACAAGGCGTTCACCGGTGAAGACACAGATTAGTGGGTGGCCTGAGAGAAGGAAAAGTACGCTGATCATTACGAAGTTGGGGGATCTTTTGGGGTGTTAATATTAGTGGCACTACCATAGAAGTGCCTTCGGATGTATAGTGTACAGTAGAGACAGTGTTGCAGTAGCTGATAGGGTAGAGAGCACAGGCTAAGGCAGATAATTGAGCCAACTACATTCTACGCAGGTCTCTTCCCGCGTTATTAACCAGCTCGGTAGTACCTAGAGATGCTTTGACCATGTACACTCCTTATGCTGGATACCACAGTAGCTCTCCATTCCCACCCTTACTAATCTTTTATAGTATAGCGCTCGTATAACCAAGACCCGAAAGACTGGGCTATAGGAAGTACGGTCGGGCGGAGGGAAAAGAGCGTTGTAATCGCCTGCATTGGCCTCAGTGAGCAAGAATTTGTCTCCCAGTTAGAATAAGTTATCAAGTTAAGGTTTAGACGCCGAGAAAGCAATGAGGTCCAACATCCACAACGTGATACTCGCAGTAGCAAACATTCAGCAACGAGCACTTTATGACATAAAGCATTATATGAGAGGCAAAAAGTGTCACTGGTGCATTGACCCACCTCCTAATTTTAGGATGCTAGTCAAAGCGCGACCTCAAAGGGAAGGTAGTAGGGATAGATAGAAGTGTGCAGATCGCGGTGCAGAGCCTAATAAGCAGTATTGAAAGTAGTCAGTTCTGGAGCGTAGTCATAGTAAGGCAGTTCCTAGGACTAAGATTCTTCATGTAGAGCCTGTTGCCTCCCTTCTGTACGATAGTTGCAGGCGGGATGTTCCGTAGTTACACACATACGCTATAACCCCACATGCAATTGGAATTAGGCGTCCATAGGAACCAACGCACGGTATCACCAAATAGTTTTCGCTTTTCGCTTTTCGCTTTTGGCTTTGAGGTTCGTCTTCTGCTGATCGAGCCAATTCACCACCCAAACTATGCAGCCAAGAGCTCGGACAAACCCAAGGCAATTAACCCACTTCACCCGATATTTACCAAAACCCAATTTAGATGTAGCATAGTCAATAATAACACTCACAATCTGCAATATAAAAGCTCAGCTTATCGTCAACGTGCTGTTGGGGCGAAGTGCTGCACCTCACACTTAGACTGCTTGCATAAGCAAGTCAGTAATCTCCTAACCGTATTGCGTGTTGTAGTATTCAAGACCTGACATCGTCTTTTTGATCAAGTACAGTACGCTCAATCGTCTCTAACACTGCCGATTGTTGATGTATAAACGCGAAACAAATGCGACTGGTGGAAGTTAGCAGTCGAGTGAGCGATTTTGATAAACTGTGCTCGAATTCTGTTTTAGGAAGTTCGTGCTTTTGTAGTGTTCGTTGAATAGACGTTTGTCTTGGTGTTGATGCTATATTTGATATTAAAGTGACGATCAGACGATCACTTGATGTCGACAGCGGCACGGTTCATGGCTTGGGGCCGCTGGAAAAGTCGTCGTATATAGCCAGCCATTGACCCTAGATTTGACCTCTGCTTCTCACTTCGCAGTTCAACATCATGTATCAGTCTCCATTTGAGACTTCCGACTATCCTTTTCTGCATATTTTCAACACTCATGACTTTTCTTCGTCTCCCTCATGCATGGCATTAAGCGTTTGGTCACCGCACAATGAACGATTCCAGATTGCGCTTGTAGCTTTTTCAACCGCTCTTCCCACAACGACCACTTCTTCCAACTCATCACTTCATCCAGATGCGCGTAAATCTTCTTGCCCGTTTCCGTGCCCGGTCGAAACCACTGACCGTAAACTCCAAACCACTCTGCCGCAGCTGGAACCTCAAGATCTAGTAGCGCCCCGTCACTCTCTGAAGCGTCCTCGATGACATCGTATACCTAATTAATTGAACAACTTGCAAGACCCACCTCAACTAGCCGCGCCTCGGTCTCTGCCCTCCTCACGTGCTTGTATAGTAGGGCGTTACTCTCTGGGGCGGCGGTTGCCTCGGCATCCCTTTTCCAGCTTCCGGATCGATAGCCGACGTCAGACCAGAGATTACCAAAGTGTGGGAGCCCTTTCAAAGCCTGTCAGAGGGCTGCTTGTTTTTCTGGAGAGCAGTGAAGTCCGGCTATGGAAGAGTCTGTAGCAGTACCAGTAATGGCTCGATGTGTTCCGATGGTAGTTCTACAAGAGCGTCCAGCAGGAGAATATATGGGCGAGAAAGCTCATCTCTAGGGTTTTCTGAAACCACAACAGGGCGAGTCACAGCCTGAGGGGCTTCTTTTGCAATCATCTTTAGGTGCAGGTAGTTTTTGAGGGCATCCGCTTGTTCATGATGACATCCATCTTCGAAGTCGCCGTCTGGGGCGAGCTTGCAAGACAACCAATCGTCCGACATAACTTTGTGCGATAGCGTTGTTTATGAAGGGAAAGACGTGTAGCAGATGGAGCGCAAGAAAAAATTCCTGAGATTGCAGGATGAGTTTTGTGCGAGATATCGTAGGGAAGCTGATCGAGGTGAGTTCCATAGGCCTTCAATGGTCTATCACGTGTTGATGTCTTCCATCGAAGAACAGAGATACAATTTCGCAAACTATTATCGAGGGCAAGTAATAGTGCTCAGAGAGTATACCGTCAAAAGCAGACAGACGAAAACAAGGCGTGTTCTGAGCTGCGGTCGTACGTTGTGATAACCACAAGGGTGGATTCAATAAGTCAAACGATCTTCAACTTTCGAATTGCGAATGTGGGAGACATGAATTGGATCAATGGTAAACATAACTCAACCGTGCAACTGTACTCAATGACGTCGTTACTTTTCATTGTTGATATCGAAGTAGTTCACTCAGCATATCGACTTAGAGCAGATAGAACGCATACGGCACGTGTAGACTGTTATTATAACAAACCATACTCTGATATGGAATTGACAAGCGATTGTCGTATTAATAACACAGCTAGAAACACTGATGAGATCTCCTGCGCTAGTTTAGACATTTCAATGCATGCCAAGAGCACAAAATCAGTGAACATAGATTTTGCGCCAAGAATCGCCTTCATCAAAAGCATCGGTGGTTTAGTGGTAAAATTAGCCGTTGCCAAGCGCCTCTCAGCGCCGCAACTTCGGCTAGCCCCGGGTTCGATTCCCGGCCGATGCAATATCCTTTTTTGCCTTTTTGTGGTCTTTCTGGCGGTTGACAGCTTTCCAGCCGCTTTGAGCAACATCGGGTGGATCAGGCCGCTAGTGACGATGCTGATTTGCGAGTGGATCCGCTTGGTCAGACCATGATAGGTGTTCGAACACAATATGCCGGCGATGTAAGCTCTAGGTGTCAGCTACAAGTCAACGTGTATGATGAAGCCTCACATTATCACCAGCCTGTAATACTCAACATCCCTTTCACACGTTATCTTTTGTCGACAGGTTCCTCCTTCATCTCCTCCTGCTCTTGAGTACAAATTCGAAATGGAAAACAACGCCGCCGAGGTTCTCCTGGCCGACCGCCGTCAAACTCAAGAGCGCTCTTCTGCGCCTGATCTTCGCCAGTATCGTGGATTCCATTGGACGCGCTTAGTACTGCGTGTTCTCTCACTGTCGACGTGTGCTGCTATAAGCGTCGTGTTGATTGACGCTATCTACACCTACAACAAGACGAAGCATGTTAGGAATCCGTATCGCGGCGGCAGCGGCACATTTCCCGTCTGGCCGAAGGATCTGAAGTTGTATCCAACCTACATTCTGCTCGGTGCAGCAGCTTTTGCGGGAGTTTTTAGCTTGCTACTTGTCGTTGCGAGCTTCACGAAAAAAGTACGTTCAGCTAGTGAAGACGGGAGAGATATTGCTAATCGACGGGTGGATAGGTGAGGAGGATGACACAGACCGGTAACGTTGCTACGGTCGTCATCTCGTCGGTTTGCTTGGTCGTGTGGGTCGTGGTTACCGCATATTATGGGACTTGGGATACCAGTGAGACGAACTGGGACTTGCTGTGAGTCGATCGTTCCCATCGCACGCGATTCAACAGCTGACATGTGAACAGCTCGTGGACTTGTCAGCATCGAAATCCTGAGTACCGTTACCAGGATATCAATTTCGGCGAGATATGTACTGAGATGGTAAGCAAACAACCCCAAAACTGTATGCACAATTTCTCATGCATCGTCTAGCGTTTCGCGTTTTGGGCTGGTGTTGGTCTAGCCGTAATGGAGGCTTTCAATTTGGCCATCTTTATCTTGTGGTTCATCAAGACACGACATTCTCGTGGTTACGAGCAGATGCAGAGCGGTAACGGCGAGCGAGGATTCCACTTGACGCCTACATCAAATGGTTCGAGGTTGCTGAGCGAGGAGAGAGGACCTTAGATAGGAAGCCAGCTAGCGGTAATGCACGCAGTACAAAACCTCGTGTTCATACTGACGGGGTTTCGCTTTCGGTTGTCAGCACTTGTTGTTTCCAGATGGTATCAGATTGATGAACGATATTTCAGGAGCAGATCTAATTGACTATGACGTCATGGTGATAGGCTGTCTACGGCAGTATGTATCTTGAATCATTCCAGCCTCATTTTGCGGCCACGCAAATCTAGGTATTGGATGATGCTGGGAATAACGCACGCTGCGCGAGTCACCTCACGATAGTCGGTATGATGTGGCAACACTATGGCCAGCTCCACAATGCCTCGGCGCAATGACCGACAAGAGGTTCGAGACGAGGAAGCGGGGCGCCCATCGCGGGGTCGATCTTTATGCAGGTCTAATAGCCGGGCTGCTCTCCATTTCATTGCCAATATCCTCTCAGATTAAACATTGGTTTGATCTGAAACCGAACACGCAACTACAATGGCTGCTGACCTAAAGAGTAATGCTAGTCTGCGCTTGACGCAAATCAAAGACTTCCTGACCCTAAACAAGACCGCGACGGCGATTCCTTGGGATCCCGATTGTACAATATTTCCAACCAGGAAGGAGCTTCCCGTTATTCCTGGAGCGCCCGCAGAAGCCGCTTGGGTCTGGGGTGAGCACGATTATGTTTGTGGAGCCATGCTGATCTTATGTGTGTTTTGCTGAATGGGGTGTAGATTGGCCGCCTTAATCTCCTTACCCCAACGCGTGTGGCAGCTGCTGCAAGAGAAATCAGGACTGGCGAGATTGTGCCTGTCAAGTGAGGTTCACTTTTAACTTGTATCGGGTTCAAGACTGACTCTATCTTAGCCTCCCACTAGATGTTCCCAACCAGCCTGCGTTCGACCGCGAGGTATTCACGCATGAGATCAAGACCGTTGTTGAGGGTATTGCATATGATGACATCTACCATCTGAATACCCAGAGCGGAACGCAATGGGACGGATTCAGGCACTTTGCCCACATAGCAACCGGGTCGTTCTACAATGGCGTAAGTCTTGCAAAACTAGTGTAAGATCTTCTGCTGACATCCATTTCAGACAAAAAGCAGCGATATAACCGGCCCATCGGCAAATCATAAATGCTCCATTCACCATTGGGCTGAACATGGCATCGCCGGCCGGGGTATCCTTCTTGACTATCGTGGCTACGCGCACAAGAAAGGTATCAACTATGATCCATTTGACTACTACCCAATCTCATGGGAAGAGCTCTATCAATGTGGCAAAGACCAAGGCGTCGACATTCGGCCAGCTGCTCAGGGTGGCGATATCAGACACGGAGACATGCTGTTCATCCGAAGCGGCTGGAAGGAAGCTTACGACAGTAAAAGTGACGACGACCGGACAAAAGCTGCACTGAGGCATGGAAGTGGGAAAGACGGAGAAGATGGGCAGCGGTACGCGGGTCTGAGCCAGGAGCCAAAGATTCTGGACTGGCTGCATGATTGTTACTTTGCTACAGTTGCAGGGGATGCTCCCGCTTTTGAGGCATGGCCTACGCATGAAGGTATGCACTCGAGCTTGACTGTGTTTGTGACTGTTGTTGATACGCTCAGATTATTACTTGCATGAATATCTTCTCGCGCTTTGGGGCGTGCCGATCGGGGAGATGCTCGATCTCGAGAAGCTCGCTCGAATGTGTCGGGAGAGGAACAGGTGGTTCTTCTTCTTCACTTCTGCACCGGCCAATTGCCCAGGTATGTTCGCAATTCCGAAGTGAACTTCGTCTCGCTAATGATATGGTCTCCAGCTGGTGTGAGCTCGCACGTCAATGGAACAGCAATATTCTAAGCGTAGAGCACAAATTTTGAAACATAAGTAGCCAGTAGAAGAGCCAAGAAAGGACACTGGCGCCTGTATATGGGAAATCTCGAGACACTATAGAACTTTGACTCAAGGCTCAACTAGATCAACGATGTGCACGTATGGCAGAAATCCAAATCCAGCTTCAAGTCTCTTCGTTGACCGCATACGCGAGTATCGCATGAGTGAGCCCTTCTATGCGTTGAAATAACTTGACATGACATGAAGCGCTCAACTTAGACGTATAAGGCGATCTATGTTCACTCTTCACTCGACAGAGACATAGGGGTTTAACATAAGTTTCTCAGCCCTCCCTTTCTCTGAGCAAATGTCAGATGAGGCACCTTTTTTTGTGCTAGATTGATAGTCCTACTGTTTCATCCTGGTCGTCGGTTTATTTCCGCATTCGGCAGAGTTTTTGTTTTTTTTACATTTTATGCCTCAAATGTTCCGCGCAATCGCATTCGTAACCCGTACCTCAGCTCTTCACACACAGCCTGCAGGAAAGAGTGCGTCATGCAATACGCAGGTGCTACTCTACCATGATTCGTGTGTTGGCCGTTCGACTGATCTAATGGGCTTGGTCTAAATGATGATGGACACAACGATGTTTTACAGTTACCAATATCGACTGAGCGAAGACACGTTCAAGACGATCGCCCTGTATAACAACTCAAGCGTTTCTAACAACTCGCATGTCGTCCCCAACAACCACGATAGCCCTGTGGTTTGTGGTTTCCGCAAGCTCACTAGGATCAAAAAAGCCTCAAAGATGCATGGCCATGTTCATCACTTCGAACACGTATATGACTGGTAATTCTGGACCTGGGTTGACTGGGTTGAGGCTTATGTCTTGGCTGAGAGGGCGGTTTCGGCTCTGTTGGTGAGACGTATTTTTTAGATCGAGGCGACGGCAGATGTTTGGGAACATGGATAGCAAAAACCGGAGTGACTTTTGATCGTGACGGCGTTTCCATGGCAATTGGTATTTGCTGTTCCGGGTGGTCGACTTGAGCTGTTGCTGGGATGTCCAGGCTAGTGGGTTTATCGCGTTTCGTCGTCCAGGACATCGGACTCATAGACGATGTATCCTGAAGAGCATCATAGAGCTCTCTACCGCGATGAATCTCCTCCGCCATGACAAGATCAGGAAACCTTTCAACCCTGAAATAACGCAGGACAGCCAGATCCTCGCTCAGGTCGTATAAATCCAAGGTAGTCGCCACAAGCCCAGCCCTCAAGGGGAAGCAGCGAATGTTGAAAACTTTTCTGAATTGCATCTCCCTTTCAGACATCGAGTCGTCCACTCGCAGCCTTCCCCACGTCGACAGCTCAAAAGCCCGTGATTTCGCCCGTGCAAGTAGCGTGAGCATTTGCGAGTAAAAGCCCTGCACGACCCACGAGCTGGGCCACGTATCAAAGTACTCCCGCATGGCCGTTGTTTCCATAACGCGGCCGTGACCGGGATTTTCCATCAAAGATTTAACACTCTCCCAGTCGAGCTGTGTCTTGGCTTGCTGTCTCTCCATTTTCATGCGCGAACGTGCAGCCAATCGCGATATTTGCCTGGGTTTCTTACAAAGAGACCTCTGAACCTGGGCCTGGAAGTACAACGGGCAGTGTTTGGCGGCTACCTTGTTTCGCTCAATGTTGGCCAATGCTTTGTAATACTGGCTAAGCACGAAATCGTTGATTTCCAGTTGTGTGAGCGTTTGCATGGCATTTTCACGTGCCCAAAGCGGAGCTGTCTTCATGAGGAAAGTGGTGATAGTGAGATCTGTAAGCAGCCGCGCAAATAGTTCCAAACGGCGGCAAGCATCGAGTTGACCGCTGTAATATGCTACTAAGAACCGGACAAGCTCAAAAGGATGCTCGTTGTCATTCAACTTTTTCCTGGTTGCCAACAAAATTGGTCGCATCCGGTTGGCTTGGTGTGTACTCCCTTGGAAGGTGTAATAGACAGTTTCTTCGGCAACCCACGGTTTTCCATCCCAGCGATCCCAGTTGAATAGCCCATGGCGGTTTGTTTTGAGTTGTATGTTTTCCGACTTGCGCCTCTCTAGACCCAGTCGCAGTTCGATTTGAGTGTTCCTCTTTGCCGTGAACGCGGGCCGACGTAATATGTGGTTGGATTCAACTCTTCCCCGTGATATCGACTGAGCGCCACTGTTGCCGACGGCATGGACAATAGCGCCAGGACGAATAACAGAGCGATTCATCACGTCAGCCCTCCAGACGTCGCATCCTAATGGCGGATGACGCTGCTGATCATGGCGACATGCCATGAAGAAAAGACCGGGGTTACCGAGGCTAGTAACAGAAGCGGTTAGCTTTGGCGCGTCGCGTCACCTCCTTGCGTGGAGAACGTCTTTGCAGTCGAAAGGATAGCATACTCCAGTTTTGTAATGAGTCGATGTATCATGGTCACAGTGGCTCAATAATCGTATCGTATCCAGCACAAGATCTCATCGAGTGCCACCTTCTGAGTTTCCAAAGATAGAAAAACCCACTAGAGTATTGTGACATTAATCGAGTACAGATTGAACATCTCTCTGAGTAGGCAACGCTAAAATAAATACAAGGGCCATCACAAAGACAGCATTCCGTGACCCAACCGATACATACCAAGACGATCACCCATTCGCTCACTGAACAGCCCACACACCAGCATTCGGCAACCCTCCAAACCCCCACCACAACCACACCCAATCCACCTTCTCCCTGCCTAGAAACTCCTCCTCCGCCTCCCCTCCAGCGCAGCCACAATCTCTCCATCTGTGCGCTCCTGCTCCTGCACCGCTCGGTTCGCCTCCCCAAGCGGTTGCTCCGCCTCATCAACCCTCCGTTGCGCCTCGCCCACCACCCGTGTCAACTCCTCAATCTCAGCTCTAATCCTGTTCACCGTACGTCTCGTGAGCCACCATTTGCAACCCCTCCAAGCGACGAGTCCGGCCCAGAAACCGATCGCGGCTGGGAAACGATGGCAGAAGGCGATGATCTCGCCGATAGTGACGACCAGGAAGGCGAGGGATGTCCACAGGAAGATGTAGCAGTTGAGGTAGGATAGGGAGGTGAACAGGAGCGTGCGCAGGCGTGCGGTTGTTGTAGGGTTGTTTGGGGTAAGTTTGTAGGCGGATTGAGCTTGGAGGGGGGCGGTTGCGTGGGGCATCTTGGTGGAGGTGATGGATTGCGTGGAGGATGGTGGACCAGGTAGGTTTTGTAGAGATTACGTCGCATTAGACTTGGGGTGCTGCGCAAACAGGAGGTGCCGAGATCGACTACAAATACTTGCGTGGCTGATGGTGAACGGTGAAAGTGAAAGGCAGATTCGGCAACCTGTAAGCAAACATAATAGGTGAAAGTACTAACAGCACAGACCAAACCATCCACCACACTCCTGGGTCACATGTCTCGAAGGCTCATACAGCCTCAAGTACTAACACAATCCACAGAACGAGGTAGCGCGGAATGGGAGAGCAATCTAAGCGTGCAAGTAAGGGGCAAAGATGATGGCAATGAATATTGTGAAATTATTCAGTATCAAGTAGCTTATGGTTATGGATGAGTTCCTGGCGAACAGTAGCGTTAGTGAGGAGAATGGCAACGACAGAGGAGTCTTTTACATGTGCGAGAAGACGCCAGAAAAGCATGCTTAAGTATAGTAAAGGGTATCTTATAGTATACTAAGTAGTCTGACAAACAGGTGCAGTAAGTTATCTTGCCGTAGCAGCAGCAGATCGGTTATGAATTAATATCCGTAAAATCATGGGCACTCAAACCTTCGGTTTACAATGTTCATCTCAGCGATGTAGAGTCTGGAAGAGGAATCCCGCCGGGCTATCGACAAAGTCGAGGTCCGTTTCATCATTACCCTTTTGTTGTCCACCTGTAGCGCCATTCGTTTGTGTAGTCTCTTTCCGATCATTCTTGGTGGCTGCCTGCGAAGGCAGTTCGAATGGATTCATCGATTGGTCAGTTTCATACAAGTCGAATAACTCATCATTTGCGGCTTCGTCCTCCACCACCTTTCGTTCCTTATCCGTTGACTTTCGCGACCCTGTTGGCGTTCTCAGCGTGACGGAGAACTCTTCCGCACTTCTAAGATACGAAGTACTGTTCCTTGATCCAGTCACAGCCAATCGATCTGCGGCAACATTGCCTGGGTGATTAGCATGGCCCTTTACCCATTGAAATTGGGTCTTTGCTTTGCTCATTTCCCGCTCCCGTATCCTGGCAAGGATGGGTTCGACCAGGTCTTTGTTATCGACATCTTTGCCATTCGCGCTCTTCCAGCCGTTGGTCTCCCACTTTACGAACCACTCTGTGAGGCAAGATATGGAGTAGCGTGAATCAGTGTGGATCAGGACGTCGCGGTCAATGGGAACATGGTCTAATGCTCTAGCGACGGCGACCAGTTCGGCGCGTTGATTTGTTTGTTTTGTCCCGCGTAGAGCTTCGGATACATTTCTGATAACGTTAGATGAGAAGATATTTCGATTTCTGCGTCTGCTGACCTCGAATCGTTTGGACCAAAGTATACCCCCACTCCAGCCACAGCGCCAGCTTTGCCGTTTCCAATGGAGCTACCATCGGTGAATACCTTGATTGGACCCGTAAAGTCACCGGTCGGTTGTGTCTTGGTAGCAATCGATTCCGCCTCTGTCTTCAGTCTGATGGCACCACTGTCAAGATCGAGCTTGAGCGTTGTATCGAATCCATCCTCGGCATCTGCAGGCAGCGGACCGTACCCAGGGTCAAAGTTGATATGGCCATTCGTAAGAGTAGGGGCAGCTGATCCGTTGTTCTTTTTCTGCTTCTTAGGCGAAAGCTCGACTGTCTCCCTCCCTTTGCCAGTCGCTAATGAGGAAGTCTCGGAGAGGTCGCCTCGCATACTGATAGGAACACTCCAATCCCTCTTGTTGGCGTCGAACCAGGTTTGCGCCTCTTGCCGTGTCGCAAAGGACTTATATTTCGCGCCTCTGGTCTCAACCTGAGCCTGTGCCGTAGGCCAGTCTGTGTAAATGCCCGGTACTACCCCAGAAGCTACCGCATAAAACTTTCCCGGCTTTCCGTTCTGTGCTTTTGAACTTGATGTGGCAGAGGGGTTGCCGTTTATGAACGCGTTTGCTTCAGCGAGTGTACTGAAACTCTTGTCTGGATTTCTATCAGCGGAGCGTTGCCAAACATATTTTGCTAGACTTACAGACTGAACGCGTACCCTCGACCTGCCGCTTGCAATCTTCCCAGCTGTGGTATATGCCCGGGATGCGACCAGCCTTGACGGCATAGAATTTGGTCGAGCCTCTCTTCCGCTTTGCGCTTGATGTGTCTGACGGGGTCGACATGATGCGTTGTAGCAAGTGAACAGCGTTGTATAAAAAACGTGGTTCTTTGAGACGGACTCGGTATGTTGGCTTGATGTGTGTGTGAGATTTGCTATACTGGAAGCGTTAACCATGTTCTGTAGGTCTTGTCACAGCCAACATACCGATTGGAAGTAAGCGACACGGAACGAGCAAGCAAGGCAGTGGTTCCTCTCATGTAGCCTGGAAAAGGTCGTGGCAGGAAGGTCGTCGCACGTGATAGACGTGAGACGTGGAGGTACGTATGATGGTTTAGTGAATTCAATGGGCGAGTCTGGTGTTGAGGGACGAGTGTGGTTGCGGAGCGGCTTGTCGGAGGGGCGGGAGTGCTTGGACCATGGTGAGCTTGTGGTCGTGAGACAAGCGCGATCATGATTTTGGAAACATTTCAGACAAACATTCGAATTACCGAACGCGACATCTAATTCTACTCGACACGCACCAAAAATGTTCGAGGTACAGTTTACTTTCCTCCTCACTCTCACACCAACTCACATTCCCAGGGACGCCACGCTGCCGACCAGTACCATCTGCGTCTCCACCGCGCGAGCTCTGTAGTCCTCACCTCGAGCGAGCTCGTCGAGATCCGCGCCGCACAGCGCACGTTCGAAGGCGCCTATATCCGCACCGCCATTGGGCAATTCAGCTTTGCGCTCATAGTGCTGAAGATCTTCACTGCAGAATTCTACTCCATCGGTGCGCTGTTTGCAGTGTATGGGGCGGGAATCTTGGGCATCAGCCTGTGGAGGAGAACAGCGGGGAACAGGCAGTTCTTCTCGGAGATGGGCGAGGATGGGCTGCACAGGAAGAGGTTTCGCACAAGTGGGAATGTGGTTGGGGTGTTGACGGCGTTGAGTGTGTGCGCGTATGTGTGTTTGATAGTGCTGACGCTGAGGCTGGAGACGTGAGGGGGTGCAGCGTGGCTTGTGGTGGCATGTTGGACAGCAGGTTTCGGGGGTGTGATGGTTCAGTGTGATATCATGAGGCTCGCCGTTCGGGCCGTCTGTGCAGCCTCGTGCATCTCACAGGGGTGATGCGATGAGAGTGTGATGAATTGGAGCCGTGTACTGCTGTGTACTGCATACATAGCTAAAGTCTTTTGCAGCTGCTTGATGGGGTCGGGCAGAAGGTGAGCGGAGGACTGGTTCATGGTTGCAGGGTTTCTGGCACTGGTAACGAGGAGCCGCAAGGGCGTGGCTGATGGATTGGATCTCTGGGCGTCGGAGTCGGGACGTGGGGGTGCCGTTGAAGCATCACGTCAACGGCACCATGTCATGCAGATACCTACTTGGCAATGGGAACAGATATAATGACATGTCCCATTGCACCCTCTCCAGGGTCCGACGTAGACGACTTGCGGCCTAGTTCTGACCGTTGACTGCGGGCCTGCCTAGCAATCTGTGGTTCACGGTCCACAGGGCCTGATAACTCGACCAGCACAGTCACAGCGACACGGGCTGTCCCTACACATCTACCCGTACAGTACATAAGAGGCGCGTCGCCGTATGCCCTTTCCAACCACCCACTCGCAAAAACAGCCAGCCCGACAATCATCCCGTGACAGTCGCTCCTAGTGACGGCGAAGCAGTGTGTGCGGGCTTAGCGGAGATTACGCCTGGATCCACTTGGCGCTGTTGAGAATGGCCGTGGCAGCTTCGACGCCGAGTGCGACCGCGACGGAGGCAGAGGCGCACGTCTGCCACACGCACCGCCGCTCCCCGCCTCCGTCTGCTGCCTCGACGCCCGCCCACCGCCGCACCAGCACGCACTCCATTTACGCGCGAAACGTTCTCATGAGCAAACTCGCCCTGCCCGGCCCCGAACACGCCCAGCTGCCCCCCCGCGACGGCGAGCCCACGCCAGCGCCGCCCAAGAGCGTGCTGGCCATCAAGGACTTCGACGCCCGACACGGCGAGCTGAGGCCCCCGCCCGCCGCGCTCGGCCCGCAACACCACCACGGCCATGCCTCGTCCACCAAGGGCGTGGGCGTCGCGCTGAGTGACACGCCCGTGCCCTCGCAGCCAGGCAGCCCGCGACAGTATGCCGCGCCCGCACCGCCCCCCTCGCTTCTGCCCGCTGACAGCCTCAGGAACGTGACGCGCAACTCGTCGGCCGCCTCGACGCCGCGCCTGCGGCCCACGACGCTCGACATCCCCGGCCTGACAAAGTCCAAGGTGTCGCCCGACGGCAAGATTGCCCAGCGCGATGTCGGCTCCAAGCTGGTCATCGTCATGGTCGGCCTGCCTGCGCGCGGCAAGTCGTACATCACCAAGAAGATGGCCCGCTATCTGAACTGGCTGCAGCACGACACGACCATTTTCAACGTCGGAGAGAAGCGCCGTGTGGCCGCGAGCGGCCACGGCTTCCGCCTGTCGCAGGCGAGCCTCGAGAGGGTCCCGTCCGGCGTCAGGGCCGCGCTAGAGCAGCACAGGGACTCCCTCCCACAGCTCGCTGCCAAAATTCTCATCAACGGACACAACGGAGCCCAAGACCCACATGACCTGCCAGACCCACTCCGCGATCCACAAAACGCCGAAGCTGTCGAAGATGAAGACACGCCGAGGGTCGAGGTCACGTCGCCGGGCCCCCAGGCCCTCACACCAGACAACAGAGAAGACGACGACGACAATGGAGAGGACGAGGCCATGGACCAGTCGGCGAGTTTCTTCGATCCGTCCAATCAGAGGGCTGCCCAGATCCGTGAGCAATGCGCCATGGACACGTTGGATGACCTCCTGGATTACATCCTGAACGGCAGCGGCTCCATTGGAATCTTCGACGCGACCAACAGCACCCTCTTGCGGAGAAAGCAGATCATGGAGAAGATCCGCGAGCGGGCCGGCCCCGAGCTGAACGTCCTGTTTCTCGAGAGTGTGTGCCAAGATCAGAACCTCCTCGAGTCGAACATGCGCCTCAAGCTCTCGGGACCCGACTATCAAGACAAAGATCCTGTCGCCGCTCTGGCAGACTTCAAGAAGCGTGTAGCCATTTACGAGAAGAACTACGTCCCCATCGGCGACTACGAAGAAGACAACAACATGCCCTACGTCAAGATGGTCGACGTCGGTCGCAAGCTGATTTCTCACCAGGTCAGAGGCTTTCTCGCAGGTCAGGCTGTGTACTATCTTCTCAACTTTAACCTCGCGCCTCGCATGATCTGGATCACACGGCACGGCGAGTCCATGGACAACGTAGCCGGCAAGATAGGTGGTGACTCTGAGCTGAGCGACAACGGCCGCAAGTACGCCAAAGCCATGACACGCTTCATCGAAATGCAGCGCAAAGACTGGGCTGTCCGCCAAGCTGACAAAATTGCCAACACACATTTCCCGCCAGTGCCCGGTGACCACACCCCGCCCAATCCATACTACGGGACCGATCTCGAACAACACAACTTCTGCGTCTGGTCCAGCATGCTCAAAAGGGGCGTGCAGACCGCCCAGTATTTCTGCGACGAGGACTTTGACATCAAACAAATGCGCATGCTTGACGAACTCAACGCAGGCCTCATGGAAGGCCTCACCTACAACGAGATCCAGACCAAGTACGCAGAAGAATACCTCCGTCGACGCCGCGACAAACTCTCATATCGTTACCCTGGCCCTGGCGGCGAAGGCTACCTCGACGTCATCAACCGCATCCGGCCCGTCATTGTCGAGCTGGAGCGCATGACAGACCACTGTCTGCTGATCACGCATCGCAGCGTGGCGCGCGTCTTGTTGGCGTACTTCCAGGGCTTGAATAGGGAGGACGTGGCTGACCTCGACTGTCCGCTTGGCATGCTGTATCAGCTCGAGCCCAAGCCGTATGGCGTCGAGTTCAAGGCGTGGAGGTACAATTCCGATACGGACGACTTTGATCATCTGCCCGCGTATAAGCTCAGGCGAGCGACGATGCCGCAGCTGAACTAGAAACCGTGACCGCGGTGGAGATGTAGGTGTGCGTGGCTTCCGAGCGGTGAGATTATGCTCCAAGTAGCGGTGTGGGTGTGGTTGCGGTTGTATCATTATGTTTTCACGTGTTCTTGAAGTAGCCACTCCGTTCATCAGAATCGGCTCATGAGTATGGGTATGGGTATGGGTACGGGCATGAGCAGGGTTATGAGTTTCTGACATGGCTTTGACGCTGTTCTGCTTAGAATCCTCGTAATGCCTCTCTTTCCTGCTTGTTGTAGTTTTTCGTGTTTTCATTGCTGCATTTCCTGGCGCATGGGTTGGTCTTGGTCTTCTCAGTTGCAGAACTCTAGATCTTATAGGCGGTTGGTCCTGGCAATACGTTGCAATAGAATACAATATAGTAGACATCAAGGTTTCTTTCGTTCCTGCTTATGTCGCAGCAAGTGTTGACAAACGGGCTGACGCGACGCGCGCCTCCTCTCGTCATGCAATCAAAGTTCAAAGATAGCTGACCCATACGCGCCCGTGTGCGCCAAAAAAACGAATACATGCGATCTCATGTGCCGAGACTGTCTATCTGTTTCTGCTTCAAAACTCCCATCCATCCTCGCTTCTCTATCTTTCTGCCGAGTGGCAAGGTAGAAAGATGTGTGTGCCGGGAAAAAAGCCTGAAATGGAGGGAAATGGAGTGTGGCTGCTTGTGGGGACTGAAACTCGATTAGAAGGATTTTCATGGGTGTTGTGTCTTTTCTGGAAGGACGTTTTCGCTTTCAATAGAAATACAGGGGCCGGGATGTCATATCATCTTGCTCTGCAGAGTGTTGGAGAAAAGGTCAGATATCTCTATGGTCGTTTTTGTCTGCACGTTGTGTGGGAGTTGGAAGGTGTTTACTGTTTACTGTTTACATGTCATGTAACAACATCAAGATCTGCGGCTTCGGTGTTACCCATGCAAACCTAACTTTCTACAATCTTTTCGTTGGCAGGATATAAACTCCGTCTCCCCTCAAGTCCTTGGACCGCTATGAAATACAAGCGAACGAAAACGGCACTGAACAAGCACATGTGTTGTTGTTCCCTCGAAAAAAAACTTACAGGATGGGGCATGGGTCTTCCGGGTCTGGTGCAAGATCACACTCTGCGACTTCGATCTCCCTCTACGCAAAACGGCAGGGCGTGTGTTATGTCCGGTGCTTCTACAGCGATGTGTGTTGTGCGAGACATGGAGCTTGGTGTGTTTCTATGCGGTGATCAAGTTGGCGAGAGATGCTATGGGCATGTTTCCATGTTGGAATTTCTGCTGTCAATGGGATGTTAAGTGATTGGACAAGGGATTGGATAGGGAAAGGTCGTGTGTAGGCTATGTGATTACGGTGGTGCATATATGTTTACTACGTTTATTCGCACTTGCTGGGAACGCTCCCCATGCGAACGAGGGTGATGTAAATCAGTGAATGGCACAACTAAAAGAGACTAGGTATAAAGACGCGTTTCTTATTCTACTACCTTTCTAAACCAAGTCTCATGCTAGGAAACAAAAGTGGCACGGATTTGAGCATGTGATCTGTGATTGAAAATGTGAACAAATTGAGAGCATGTCTTGCATTTAACATCTCCTGAAGAATATATTCTAAAATTTCAATATACTGGGTACATACAGAGATCCTATGGGTTCCTTGTGTTTGTGAATCTCGGATGGAATTATATGAAATTTTGTATGAGATATCTTCGTTTGTGCTATCTTGTTTCTTACTATGTATCGGTTCTGCAACGGAAAAAAAAAACAGAAAATGTTAATGTAGACCTTGGATATTGTTGATTAACAACATGGAAGGTTTTATGTGATCTTTGCGAACCAAAACAAGTCTCTCTGTTGAACTCCATGCGTTCGTGCTTATGGAGTGTGGTCAAGAGCGGTTGTTGAATGGGTGTTCAAAAGACCCGTCATGAGCTTCTCTGCAACTCCGCGCTAGCAAAGAGATAAGACAGTGATTTGTATTATCCTCTTTTTCTCTACAAAAACATACCTTCGCTCCTACAACCCTTTCTACCTGCCTTCTCATGTCTAAAGCAAAAAGTGGTATAATTCATGTGTCGACGGGCGTCGAACCAAAAACTAGGAAAACAAATTAGCATTACCGCCCAATAAATCTTGCGACTAATGTATTCTTTCTGATCAACTGGAGTTGCTGTTCTCGAACACTCCCCAGATTTATAGTGCCATCTCGAACGAGCTACCAAAAAAGGCCATGTTTTCTGTCCTACTGCGATATTCAAACAGAAGGGGTAGCCCAACACAAGTCTACATTTACACCTCGCCTTCTTTGTGAGTTCCAAAAACGGATTGAGCACTTTTTATGGGTTGAATTCGCATGGCGATTGTATTGTACGCGAGTTGCCACGATCCGAACATCATTCATATTAATGTTTCCCATACACGTTGGATGACTTCCTTCCTACCTTGAAACAAGGCTGAATATACTATAGAGATGAAAGAATATAACCGACATGTTTTATTCTGAGAGCGAAACTCTGAAAACATATGATCCCTTGTGGTCTCCGCTCTCTAGTATGGCTTTGGTGGTCTCTAAGCTCGAAAACATGCGCCTCAGAAGAAACACAGCGAAAGGACTTCCGTCTGTTGTAAATATCAAAGGACATCGATATCTGGGACTATGTCGTTTGCTGTTGAGCACTCGCAAGCGTTGCAGTTTGGAGTAGTACTGCGGTCGAATCTGCTACATCATGGTGTTGAGACTCAATAAGATCTAGTAAACTACCTGTGAGAATGGTCGGTCTCGCATCTCGCACGACATCTTGTAACAGGGATTTTCAGCCTTCCCTCTCTTTCAAGCCATTACTTTAAGCCAACGCTAAACACGGTTGTCTTCTTCTTCATGGTCCCTGGGCCTGCATTTAGCCGAAGAGGTGCAAAGATAGAGATAACTTTGTGCAGATTGAGGATTACTATATCATCATAACCCTTTGCGCTCCTACCCTACAGCATTGATATCGTTAAACCCCTTGGAAAGAGGTTATCACGCTGTCATGCTTCGCTTGGTTACCGTACTCCGCACTCCGCAAACACTATTAATGTATGGATCATCAAAGTTATAGCCTTTGAATCGTTTTGACTCGATTTCAAATGACACATTGCCCCTAGAATATTTGACCACCACAATTTAACTTGCAAAATCCACGCTACTATCCTACTCGACTTAATTGTCATCAGATTATCTATCGCCTCTTCTAAAAAATGGCTATATCATCGACGACTTGAAACGCCTCAGAAGCAGAACAAGCGACGAGATCGGGCTGTTCATGCAACAAGAAGAATATCAAAGTAACCTTCTGGCTTGGGTTCGCTCCAAAAACTGTCATAAAATCATACTCGCGAGAATACTACAAGTCTTTTTTGGTGTATTCCACAGGTCCAACGTATACCTTGCGGCCCTTGACGAGGAAAAAGACCAAAGCGAAAGCGACAACAACGCCATAGATAAGAATGTTCCAGTTCATAAGGTCAGGTGTGGGATGAGGAAAGGTAGGAAAGAACGCGAAGATAAGTGCCCAAATGAGATACATGACCGAGATGCCGTTGATCCAAATGCCAGCCCTTCCTAAGCTGAACTTGCATGGTAAAAGTGGCTCGTTCCGCCAGCGCTTGACGAACATACAGCCTACAGAGATGATGTAGGACGATAGGAGGGCGCAACTGCCAAGCGAGGCAATCGAGTTGAATGCCACAGTGCTGCCGATATTGATGAGGGAGAGCAGAACAGAGACTGTGAATGACACGACGATAGAGTTGATCGGGAGATCCCAACGAACGTGAGATAGAAAGCCACTGAAAGGTACCCCGTTGTCGCGTGCGAAAGCGAAAAGTTGGCGTGAGCTGGTAGCCACGTTGTTGACGCAGCCGAAGACTGCCATGATGAGTGTTATAGATGCAAGTGCACTCGCGGCAACAGTCGATTTTGTGACATTGTAGAGGACCTGAATGTGCGGCTGTCCTGTTGGAGTCATGATAACACTTTCAATGTCACCTAGACAGAAGCAAAAGGTGACCAGCATGAGAATTCCCAGGATGCTGTTTGAGCAGGCCGTCCAGATCATAGTTCGTGGAAGAGTGTATGCAGCATCCTTGAGTTCTTCACTCAAATGGCACGCGGCGTCCGCACCAAGAAGGGAGAAGATAGGCGCCAGTTGTCCTACCAGGACTGAGAGACCAGTGTTTCCCCAACCCGCGTTGTCCTGGAAGCCGCTGAACACATCGCTAGCTTTGCTGCGCGGTGCAAGGACCCACATAGTAACAAAGAACACGATGAATCCAAGAACGTGAAGTATAAGTACCAACTCTTCGATCAGAGGGAGCTTACGCGCTAAGAGAGTATTAAAGATGATTGCGGACGTGGCCACAGCGATAACGAGTAGCGTGCCGTGCCATCGTTCGGGCATATACGATGCGGCGTTATTCAGAACCATAAGGCCCTGGATTTGACCAGAGACTAAAAAGGCAATAGAAACAGTACCAGTTTGCCAACCAAGAACACAAAGCCAGCCTGTTGTGCATCAGTGATAATTCTGGTATGACGTTACATCCTCGGATCTGACTCCAGGGAGCACGAACCCACAACGTAGCTGAGAAACTTTTGTTGAGCTTTGGGAGCAAATTCTGAAACCCAGTGGTATTGGCCACCTTCTGTAGGAGCCCTGTCGACACATATCAGATGTGTACACTCGTTGTGACGTTGACCACTTACATGGATGCCATTTCAGCCATGGACACAACGACGAAGCCCATCCCGATTGATGTACCAAGGAACATGGTAATAGCACCTCCAGTTCCACCATTTGTCAATGGGATAATCAGAGTTCTACCAAAATATCAGTAAATTTCATTTGAGGAACCAGAGATATCCAATCACGTTAAAACGGTTTCCCATGTAGCCATCAAAGTCATGGAGTACGCCAGAATTGAAACGAATCCGAAGTTCCTTCGAAGCTCTTGCGTCTTGCCCATGCGATACATGTCTTTTTGGTCACTAGGAGTGCCTTTCTTTTCTGAAACCACAGGGTCCTCCTGCGACTCAGTGTTGTAGAGTTCAACATCTGCTTGGGTCTTCAGATTAGACATCATGTCGAATGTGTGAGTTTCAGGAACAGAACAAAACTGAAGGACAGAAACTAAGATCCCAGATATAAGGTCCAATAATGTGTCAGACTGGTGATATGACCGGAGAAATCACGAGGCGAATACGAAATGATAAGCTTTTGCTTGGCGGTAGGAGAACAAGAGTTTGTAGAGGTGTTCAGCTCTTCTCGGAGCTTTGACCAGATTCGTGATATGCCGCGTAGACAGGTGAGAAGTGTTCTCCGTAATCCTTGTCGTCAGCCTTGAGGGAACGAGGTAACCAACATTAACGACGCGGCAGCCATGCTCTTGTTGTGCTGTTACTTTGAGCCAGAGACCCAATTGAGTGAACAAGTTTCCTAATATTGTGAGTTTTATAGAGATACTCAGCGTACAGACGATGGATACGAAGGGCAGTTGATGCTCAGATCATTGCCAAAAAGAGTGTCCGGGGGTGATGCAGTGTGCTGCCCTGTGGAACCATCAGATTGGTGGGATATAGATAGCATGGGGGCGTCGAACGAAAAGCGGGAGAAAGCGAAGTTAAGAACGGGAAGCGAGAAGTCGAAAGTCAATAACCCAATCCCCGACAGTTCATTTTGTCAGCCGCATGACAAAGCGACGAACCGCGCTTGTAGCCAAGTCGTTTTGCGCCGTGGAAGAGTATTTGACTGGAACTACAAGCCACTGACTTTTTTCTCGTATGCACTTTTCCCCTAAGGTAGCGGGGTCTGAGTGCAGCTTGCAAACTGGATGACTCCTTGTAAATTGAGTCGTCGAGGTAGTGCAGTGAATTGAATAAGCGCTAATGCGGGGTTTCGTGCAGATCTATGTTGTAGGACTGTTTTGTTTAGCGCGGAAGCAACTACCCTGGTCGAACTGGCAAACCTTCTGCATCGAGCACTCAAACGCAGTAATAGGGTAGATCATCACATGTTGAGTATTCTGAGAACACATGCCTGCTCCTCCAGTAGTACCCTGCCGCAGCTCCGACAGCTAAACAAATTATGGGTTTCATTCAGAACAGACGAAAGACCAGCTTGTTCTCCTCAGCACTTTGGTCAGGTTTATGCAGGTCGAAATCGCGGAAGACGGATATGTCCCAAGCACAGGTCCCTAAGGAAAAACTGTTGGGCCCGTATGCACGACGTGGCTAACTTTTCCAAGCTTTTACGTTCTCTGATTTCACATTGGAAGTACGATAGAATTCACCTCTTGACGGGGTAACCCTCAGTATTACAAACCAACTTGCCAACTTGCCAACTACTGATAGCCTAGCTCCTCTCGTCATTTCTGTGTCAACAAATCTTTCCTTCCTTTGCTTCTCCACATTGCCAAACTCTAGTAATATCATCTGGAAAGTTAACTCACTCGCTACAAATTTTCACTCAACACGACCAAAACTCTTCAGACATAGGGACGTTGAGCAGGAAGCTATTCAAGCACAGCATACACATCTTCATCTCTTGTTGTTCCCCTGCACCTCCACGCCTTAGAACTTGAGGTCCTCTCGAAAACAAAAGCGCAATTGAAAACTGCAATGGTCTTCCTCTTACGCAAAAAACCATTTTCCTCATGTCTCGGACGGAGGCGTGTAGCCTCTGGGAAAACATGAACTTCTGAGTTACTTTGCCTTTTCTATACTCCCTCAAACTCTCCAGTTTCAAGTCTTTCACAACCATCACTATGTGTTCGTGCTTGACATGGATAATTCAGGCCCGGCGTGTAAAATATTCCTCAAACAATTCCCCGTTGAGTCTAACCAAAGCTCCAGCTATCCAGATCCAAAACCCGTGGCCAGAGTATCATTTCTCTTTAGAAAAGGCCCCGGCGCCAGGACATAGATTGTTCAAACAAAATCCACATTTCCCTAATCCATGCCCTGATCTACAAATCAAACTTTCCACAAAAAGCACTACGTAACTTGCCACTTCTCTGCTTTCTCGTCAAACCCTAGTAACTTACTTTCTTCATGATAAGTGTGTTCTACGAAAAGAATGTTCAAAATTTTCATGTGGTTTCGCTACATGGTAGTAGCAAACCCTCACATCTTAGGATACTGTGACATTTGTTCAAAAACGTTATCTGCGTTAGCGTGTGTGCTGTGTCCAGGATCTACATAATCACTCATGTATATTTTGAACCGGTTTCACAAATCGCAGTCCAACCTGGCATAGTGAAGCTGGGCGCGAGGATTAAAATACCACTCATCTGATGCATGGAGTGAGTTATGCTGTGTTGTGAATGGAAGACGGATGGATTATGAGGACGATGTTCTTCTTGTATGTCTCAATATGTGTGCGGCAGATCAAAACGAATGCATGTTGCACATGTGTTTGGAGAGCAACTGAAAGTATGTTGGCAACATTGTAATGATCCGCGGTGGAAGGTGATGAACGAAGCTCAAAGCTGAAATGGAGGCCTTGATGAAGGGGCAAGCAACGCAGGTAAACATTATACTATGCTCGAGCGTGGTCATCTATGCCTGGGTATCACATCGTGCTAGACTCTACTCCTTTGTAATATCATCCATCTCAACAACCTCGGAATTCCTCACGCTAGCCCTAGTCCCTTCCACACCCCGCAATCTCTCCTCAGCGATCGGCCTTTCGCCCCTCTCAGCTTCATCGCTATCCTCCAATACATCATCACCACTCCCCACGTCTTGGCCATGGTTGCCCCCAACACTCTCCATCGTGAATGGACTCGCCGTTGGCGCATCAAGGATCCCCAATTCATGCTGTGTGAATATTCTCGGCATGAGAAATGTTCGCAATGGAATGTACAAGAAGATAAATACAGGAAACCCAATCGCAGCAATTGTCTGCGTAATGGCAAAAGTCGCCCCAAAGCCGATTAGTTCAAGGCCCACGAAAGCCCAAAGCACCCAGCGACGTTCCAGACGCATCAACGGGTCAGACTGGGGTGTGAGATGTTTGTCTTTGAGTAAGAAAAGGAGTTTGAGGGTGATGCCGTTCGCTTCGAGGGCTTGAATGCCCATTACGAAGAAGAGGCCTGCGAGGACAGCTTGAGGGATGAGGTTGAGAACGATGAGCAAAGGGCCGCTCATGGTTCCGAGGGTTAAAAGGCCTTGCGCTAGATTCGAGACGCGCTGTTCGACTACGTGGTCTACGACACGGCTTGTGTGACCTTTGTTCGCTTCATCGTCAGAGTCGGAAATTGTGCGGACAACGCAGAGGGATGTGGTGTGGAATGGTGCTTGAGGTATCAGGCCGTTAGGGAACGGGATGCCGAGAAGGCCTGCTACGCCTGTAGTGAGGCCGAGGAGGAAGATGTCCCAATGGAAGCCCGCCGGCTTCCTCAACGGGAACTCCGTACCTTGCGCGATCAGACTAGACACGTTGTGATCGAACCAAAACAGGATGGTGAGCAAGATCGCGAATGGAATAGCAAGAAACACGTCGCCGACACTGATATCCCAGAAGTGAATAAACCATCCCCTGTCAGTCGTAGGAAAAAACGCTCGCGACGTTGGAAGCTTCGAAAGTTCGATACCGGCCATCTTGCCAATATGAATGAAGCCAGTGAAGAAGATAACCGTGAGAGGCGTGCCGTAATCCTCGACAAACTTTCTGACATGACGCTGGAGAAGCGTGGACTGCCCGATGATGCCGCAAATGTATGCCACTACAGTAACTAACAGTGAGATGACAATCGATAAGTACGCGGACGCATCGCTGACTTCCCACTGTCGTGTCAGCACTTGAATGCCTTTCTGCAGATAGATGAAAGCGACGTAGAAGCCGAAGATATCACACGAAAACCGTGTGACGTATCGTAGTCCATTGCAAGAGTTTGTGATGGCAAGAATCCAATGGAAAATCAACGACCATCTGCAGGAGGTCAGGCGGGCATGAATGAAGGGAGAGCATCAAGATCATACATGCCGATCCAACACATGAAAGCAAAGTAGTTCGTGCCGCGTGGGGTGATGATGTCGTAGACTGTATAATTGAACACGGTGATAGGTCCTGACATATAGTCAGCGTTCTTGCTCGTCGATTACGAGATGTATGTCCATACCCGTGACTCCAACAATGACTAGCGGTTGCGCAGCTGCGAGTGAGAAGACCACGGAGCCCAAAACACTCGCTAACAACACCTCATTAACGCCAAAGCTCATATTTGTTTTTTCAAACATGTCGAGTGAAAAAGCGAGTGCTGGAAGGATACTGCTGACGCGTCAGAACCTCCGCTTTCCAAGACCACGGCAAACCCCTGCAACAAGAACATGAGAGGAATGTAATCAGAGCGTCAAGTACAAGGTTAGGTATGATATTCGCATTGAGTATACATACTTCGCAAAATACATATACACTGTCGCAGGCACAACGCGATAGTCCCACGCGTCCACCCAATCACTCCAATAGAATGGCGCCCTCCTTCGTATGTCGTTCAACATGCCGCTTAACAGGCGGGTCTGCCACCACGCGCTTTTCTTTCCTGTCCTTCTCGTCCCTGGTGTCTCTTCACGCCTCAGGCCTTGGCCGTCCATCGTAGGGTCGCGGTTCAATGAGGGAGGTACGCGCGACTCGCCCGAGGGAACTGGCGTGGCATTATGGCGCATCGAGAGGCCGTGGCGCTCAGTGGGGGCGAGGACGGTTTCTGCGGACGGCGACATTGGAAGGATATAATGCGTAGTCTAATGCCCAAAAGGTTGGCGGAATGGAGGAAAATTAACTCAGCAGACACAGCGGACCGCCATAACGCGTAATGGAGGCTTCTCTCCCATCGCTATAAGTAGCTATCACGGACCTGAGCTCCGCGGCGTCGAGGAAATGCTCGGGCAGACGGCGGTGAAAAGGCGATATGACGCGCAAGCAGGGATCATTGTGGGGATGGAGAAATGGCGGCTTGGCAATGGAACTCGTCAACGATCGTGTAGACTTTGTCATCACCACGTCCAAAGCGAGCACGACTTCCTACCCTTCTTGACAACTTACTGCGACATTACCCATAGCGAGATGTGTTACACCAACAGCCTCAAGACTATACACAGATGCGGGACTCTTCAGTCAGTGGAGACTTGACCGGAGATTACATGGACATAAGAGCTTTTTTTCGATAGAAACTACCAAAGATCGTCCTCGCAACTGGCGTAATAGACAGCTGCCGCCGATGTTGCGATAGCTCCTGCCAATTTCTACGTTAGCCTGTGTTTACTGCGCATATCATGCCAGATACTCTACACGAAAGACTGTGACATTTTCATGTGCACGGCATCCTAGCAGATCAAACTTGCCGAACTCCATCTCTGATTCTGTCGATCGCGTAGACGCTATGCTCATTCAAATCTCTCGTATTCATTACAGACTGTTAGATACTCCAAGACCGAAGAAACACGGCATGTCAACCCAGCAGAATCCATGAGTATATCTATCGTTATTGCCGTAGAACCAGCACTACCCTCATGCCAACAAACGCTTTCGCCCATAGAGTGGGGAAAATGACATGATAATTTCGAGCTGAATGTTACAAGAATAGCAGATCAGATTTACAAGCAATTTCACTGGCGTCTACGCCTTGACAGTTTGCGTCATGAACACAACTCATGCGTCCTCCCCCGCCCTCCAAAACCATGTAGTGGTTCATGTGCATGCGCTTCAACAACCGTTGATCCCAGGAATAAGTGCTCGGTGTAACGAGTTTGATTCCATAGTGTCCATGCGCATCGTCGCGTTACTTGTCGCGATGGCAAGCTGAGAGGAGGAATACAGAACCAGTGCCAGGACAGTATCAACTAGCTTGTGTAGTCATGGTTCCATACGAAGTAATACTCAATCCAGTAATATTTCTCTGAAGGGCAGAAATTATCAAGGTCTTTAAGTCATCAGCCTTCCAGAAAATGGATATAAAAAGTATGAGCCGCCGCCAAGACAATGGAGAAGCGTACGTCGTCGTCAGCCTCGGGCCTACCTCGGTCTCGACATAACGCAGCTTGACTAGCAAGAGTCATATCATTCTACACCCGATGTCTGACGAACTCCACACATCCCGCCGCCCGAAATCCGATTCGCTCTGCCCAGCGTCGCTCCAAATAGCAGAAGGCATACCCAGCCTTCGTTCTCTTTGCTCACGATCGATCTGTCTCTGCTCGTAGATCGAATTATACCCGTCTGTGCTGGGGGACACAGAAGAAATGCTGTTCATATCTGTCTGGGTCGAAGGGGTAAAACCATGGCTATGCAAGGTTTGGTTCATGGCAGAGGTTGAACTGAGTAGGGTGTGTTGGGATGGTGCGAGGCGCTGCATGGAAGCAAAGCTGGGCGGCGGCGGTCGCCTTGTCGTGTAACTGACGATGGTCTCGGTCCTAGACGATCGCAGTGGCGGATGTACTTGGGAGGTGAAGTTTTCAATTGATGATATTACTGGACTTGTCATACTATTCACTCGTTGTGGGCCTACGTTTATCTCGTTTCCGTATCTGTCGAGCGTGATAGGTCCAGATGCAGTGGATCCTCTTACTTCTCGTCGTGATTCTCTGCGACGTAACACGTTTTGTGCTGTGACGTTGTCCAACGTTTCGAGTCGCGAGTTTATCTGGTACCACAGATCTTTATCTGCATCTCTCGGAAGCGGCGCTTGGCGCGTATAGCTGCGGCAATCCTGGTGATTATTTGGGTTGGAAGCGACGCTATCAGCCTGTGTTGAAGACTTTCGCACAGATATTTTCTTAGCAAACTCCGTTTTGACGTGAGATGGTCGTGGACTATCTTGTTGCCTTTTCCTGACTTCTCCGACCAGAGGCGCAGTGCCTGACGTATTCTGGGGGTTTTGGTTGGATGTTGACGAAATATTTCCAGGTGATAATATTGGCACTGTAGACTTTCCATTTGGATGGTTGGATCCAGTTCTGTCTCTCTTAGCAGTATTATGACTTGCGGGAATGGTTCCGCCGGATCTCGAAAGCGTTTCCAACGGAAAAGGATTCAGGTTCAAATCCTGTGATACAGTTGGCGGTAATGAAGCAATGGTTGTTCGTCTTAGCTTACTCGATTCTGGATTGTTATATTTGCTCATTGCTGGTCGTGATGAGGGATCGGACACGCTGCGATTTGAAACTGCAGGCCGAGCTCTTTTCCCATCTGAATCCACATTGATGCTTGAGGAAGGAAGCTTACTTTGCCGCTTTGAAATTTTTTGACTGACATCTGGGGCCGAATGAGTCTCTTTGACGGGATCTAAATTCTGTTAACCACTCGTCACAAGCAGAGCATACCACCTCAAATACTCACGTTTTATTTGAATGTCCTGCATAATTGCCCTCGGAAAGCCACTGATAGGGTATTTGGAGCATTTCAAGTGTGGGCTACAAAGGTACAACGAGATTGTGATGTCCGCGTCCTTCCTTCGCGCTGAGATGTCAGGTACTTCCACGCTGAATTGCGCAAGATCACACATGTCCGATACTTCGGCGCGAGATATCGGAACCTCACAGATCAGCGATTGATTGTATATCAATATGGATGAATCCGACTTACTTTGACAGCATCCAATGCCCTGTCACTCTCAATCTCGAAATACGGGCGGAAAAAGGGGCCAGTTTGTTGTTTCCGGAAATATTCACCGAGTTCACGAAGATAGTCTGAGCCATCTTCAAATCTACAACAAAGCTGGCCTACATCGGTCAGCGCGTGATTGGCATTTAATGTTAGCGGAAGAAAGTTACCAGTGCATGAGAATGTATTGTCGGCCTCGAACTTCGGCATCCCTATCCTTTCATAGTAGAAGGAACTTGCGACCAATATGTGTGCTACCCTCTCGATGTTGTAGAGAGCATCTGGAAGCTTCAAGGCATGTTTCGTATTACGTCGTAGCTCCTCCAACTCATTTACTTTATCCAAACTTGGCGGGTTACGTTTGATGTCCGGGTTGATGCGTATGTGACGCAACTCATCGTCCGCACTTCCGTCAAGGTCAACAACATCCGAACAAAAGTCTCTCCACATAAGTTCGGCGTTTAGGATACTGTCTATGCGATTATGCTAGGGTCGACGATGATCAGCAAAAGCTCGTTCGATGTTTTTGAGCCCAAAGGATGGGCGAAGTGAACACACCATAGCTGTAATCATCTGACGCATCTTGGGAAACATGAAGTTTCTTCTCTTTTGAGATTCTTCGTGGTTAGCAGCAGTTTTCCTACCAGTCCATTGTCAAACAGGTCAATATATAATTATGAGGAATGGAATACCAACCGTCTTGAAGTACGAGATAAAGTGGGATTGGTAGGAAGGCTGCTCCTCACTTCGGCTTTATTTTGGCTGGTACCGATTGACAGGAAGATATCCGGACCTTTGTGTGCAACGTCCGGCCACAACAGTTTCCGTTCCCGGTGTACCAGTAGAACAGGGTTATTGTGATATACAGCACCATCGAGATAGGTTCGCTTGCTAGGCGCGTGCTCAAAGGGCTTGAAGTAAGGTGGAGCAGCCGAGGTAGCCGCTGCAGCCTCCCAAACTCTTAGTTCTAGATCTGGATCATCCGGGCGTGGAAAGTCGTAATGACCTCTGCGTCGACCGACGCCTTTGTTTTTTCGGTTGTAGTTTGCGATGACGATGGCCCGTTTTCCTGCTCCGTCTGTGGCGGTTACTGCGACCTTAGCTCGAATGTCTTTCTTGTTGTTCCCAAAAAGACGTTCTTCTGACCCGAAAGCTGCTTTCAACGCATTTCTCAAGGGTGTTGTTTCGTACTTTGCTGCATGTTTGAAAGCAATTATGTGCTTCAAGATTGGAACGCTTTGCCCTTTCCGAGGTGTGAATGCACTGGAGCAGAGGCTCTTGAACTGGTAAGTGCAATGTTCAAGACTCCAGTTCTTAACACCCAACGCGAGAGCAATGATTCCACCTGTGCTACACTGTGTCAGTTCCTGCATCATTGAGTTTACTCTAATCACGCACCTGGTCCCGACGATAAGATCGAAGAAAGCCTGGATAGGAATCTGAATCCCAAGCTGATTCCGAATGGCACGGAGTACCTCGAGCTCAACAATTCCGCGCATACCACCTCTGTCTACACGTTAGATGATACAAATAACGGACTCGAAAACATCGAAAAGAGAGGTTATGTACTAAAAGTGATAAGAAGGGCTCGTTTGAACGGCGGGGAGCAATAGACGATTCTAGGCAAAGCCAAAGTAGCAATCATGAATCAACGAGAAGTGAATGATGTCAAACGCAGGAGGCACTTACCCATCCAGACACAATAAGCGGACGCCCGCATGATCAGGCTTAAACCGGATGATGCATGGAGTCGGCCATTGCGTCGAGGCCGGATGTAACGGGCAACATTCCAAACTGAGTACATGCTTGTTGCTTGGTGCTGAACGAAGTCTCTTCCCATATGACCGCACACACTGGCTGCACAACGCATGACTACATGGAAGTGTGTGCTGTGGTGCCTGCATGAGACAGCAAAAGCAAGTGGTATGACTTAGAAAATCTTCTGCAGACCCTATCGTGTCGTAAAGCAAATTCATGTTCTTACTATGGATTCCGAGAAGACACGCTTCCTCGGAACGATCGGGCTTCGCACGGAACTCACTCTGTAGGTCTCGATGCATCCAGCTGATGGCCTCTTTGATCAGTTCCCGCCATGTTGGGAAGTATCGATCGGGGTGGAAGTTCGATTGAAATTGGCCAACTGCAATGATCTTCCCCCTAGCATTCTGATGCCCTTTAGGGTTGTGCTTCGAAGCTACGTTGACGCATCGGTCTATCTCCGTCCGAAAACTGCAGGGAGAGTAACGGTCGCAGAACTGTTTGAGAGCATACCAACAGTAGTCTTCGTACTCCACAAATAGTTCTTCTGGAAGCCCTGGACAAAATTAGAGAATGGTAATCTAGTTAGGATGCTTCGTACCCTTTCGATGTCGAATACAATCAAGCATGACACTAGAAGCAACAAGTTCACTGAGGTTCTCAAATATCCAGGCACTCTTGTTATGACGTCCATTTGATTGTATCGCAATTGCAAGCTGGAGTATATGACCGCCGAAATCGTCTGGAATTGGGTTGTTCTGCAAGGAAACCGTCATAAAGTTGAATGGCCTGTCAAGGGTATTCGAGAAGTGTTCAAAAGCAGCCCGAAGATACACGTTGAGTTCGTCTGAGTTGGAAAGCATATTCGCGGATCGCTTGGTTTGAGATGATCGATCGCACGCTTTGGCAATCATCTTGTGAAGAAGTCGAATTTGGGCATCGAGGAGTGTGTAACGTCCCTTGTATGGAATTCGTACGACCTTGAAAGTGGAATAGTAGCAGGAGATCAGATCGAGGATACTGCCGATGTGCCTTCCTCGTGTTTCCCATTGCTCTGCTAGGTCAAGGAAAAATGGATGACCATTGCGTCGATCTAAGCAGTCTTTGTTAGCGTCCAAGAGGTTCTCTGTCGCCCTCCGGCTGTCCCACTCATCGGTGTACACTCCCACTTCTGTGCTGTTCAGTGCAATGATTGCATGGGGAAGAGTAGGCTGATTTATCGACATTTCCAGAGAAGCTATACCCCACTCCAGCAAAGGTAGAAGAGTAGTGGCTTCAAACGTCCTGTGATAAAGTTAACAAAAGTGTAAAGCCATGATATGGCCGCCATACTTTGAGTCGCGTAGAACAAATACAACAACATCTGAAAAGGTGTACAATATCCGTGGGTAAAGCTCTTTGACGATGTAGGCTCTAGTGTTCTTCGTCTTCGTGTCGGCCCAACTCAGTATTCTAGTACGGCCTGGCGTCAGTCGCGAAAGTGATGTGGAGCCGTCGACAGGAGACGTGCGGTTCTCAACAGCTCCAAACGGCAACTTCTCCCCCGCATTGAATCCCTCGCAATCTGCATATAATAACGGTTTTGACGTCCCGAACCGCTCAGGATCTGCATACAAATGCACATCGGCGGAAGTGGGTGTGTGAGTGTGGATGGTTGAACCAACAATCGGCGAAGGGAAGGTAGGTACGTCGTTTACGTTCTCGCTCGGCTCATGTAGTTGAGTGAGCATTTTGATTAACGTGCTTTTGCCGGCATCTGGATAGTAATCGGCGTCAACGCAGAACCTCAATCTGGGGGTATAGCTCTCACTTGTTTGACCTATGAATGATGCTAACTGTGGGAATTTCTCTTTGTCGTCATCCAGCGGCTCGCCAGTCAGATTGGAGTATACGTCGAAATCAGCGAATAGTGAACGACTATAGCCATCTTTCCTAATGCCTATCTCAATACAACTTAGTCGCGTGTTTGATTTAATATTCGAAAGGGTAACATATTGACACGTACCAAACCATGTCGTATCTAGATCGCGATTGTGAATTTCTTCAAGCTGTGCTGCGTTATGATTTGGGTTCAAGATATCTTTCAATCGTGAATATACGTGATGCAACGTCTTCTCGTGCTCCAGCCCATCTCGTCCCTTCTTATTACCAGTATGTGGTGGATAGAGTATCCAACAAGACTCGCACAGACAACTATCACAATCGACGCAATACCAGATATTGGTGTCATGGTTGTCGTAATTGAGCTCGCACTCGTCGTATCGTCGCGAAGACATTGCCTGAGGCCGAGGCTGCCTTCGGATAGTGGACTCGCAAAGTAGGTTGCGACGGCAAGGCTGAGAGGAAGATGCTAGCAGTCGAACATTGATGTGGACAAACGACAGTTTATAAACTCCACGCCTCAATACTCAGCCTCTCATAGCAGTGCTTCGACATGCATGCATCAGGTTGGGAGCGAATGAGGGTTGCTGTGCGACGCCTCCATGACGAGTGGCCACAAGGCTACGCATACACACAATCAATTATAATCATGATCTTTGTCAATTGAATAGTGTGTTTCAATTCTTAACAAACTGAGCCTCCGTATTGGTGTACGTTAATGCAATGTTGCTTGAAGTGCATAGAAAGGACGTGACGTAGTGTGGAGGTGGAGACGAGATCGACGCGCGATCCGTTGCCGAATGCACTGACCACCAAACAAGGGCGACCACGGCGATCGAAAATCTAACGTTGCAAAGATTTACACAAGTTCGGAGCAGATTCTCGGCAACGCATTAAATATACAACCCGTTCTTCAGTCTGATAGCCAACATTCGAACGAGTGAAGAACATGAACTCAAGGTCAATAGCTACGTCAAAACATAAGCGGTAGACACTACTACAAACGGTAGGTATAAGTCTCGAGCCCAAAACATTCGCCGAACCAGGGAAGAATTGAAGTTAGATTCTTGAAACCACCCCATCTCCACGCCCCTCAACCCCAACTAAGAACAACAATCAGAGCGAAGCCATATATCTGAAACCTCCACCTCGTTCACACTCTGATTGTTACGCCGAGGAGTTGTTGGACTGAATTACCATACGGCGTGGGTTGATTGCACGGCAAGGGGGGTGGTCGTCACAATGCATGCCGGTTAGAGGACTTGAGTTGCGAATCAAGCGATACAAAAGCATGTCAGTTCACAAAAACTGGATGGACATGAGGAGTAGAGTGTATGATTCAGCCTGCCCAATGCCAAGCCGCCATCTTTACCAGCACTATGGAGTCCCAACTGCACCGATGTGCAAGGGGAGCAAGAAGAGCATGGTAACTTCACGTACCTACAGGAAGTCATCCAGCCGTGATGTGTAAGTGCAAGAAACCCATAATGACCCCGCTTTTGGTATTCTGATCTGCATTGTTGCTGATAGGCTGCCTCTTTCATGTGTTTGTGAACCACGTCGCTCACCAGTGATACCTCGCCTGTCAATCATCGTCAGAAGCCTGTCATTACCGTATCAAGGTAAAGAAATCCGCCTTTGAGAAACTTTTGTCATCGGAAACATAGGGATGACCTGCAGGTATATAATGACCAGCCTGTGGGCTTCCAATATACCCACACATGTCAAAAAAGAAAACATGTTCTTGAGAAGAAGAAAGAAGACTGCTCCGAGAAGCTAGTAGAGGTCGTAGAGACGTACCTGAGGCGCAGAGGTACCGGTATTGTAATCTGAACTGTAGTTGGGATCGAAATTTCCACGACCACGACCGCGGCCGCGACCAGTTCCATAGCCTCCGCCATGCTGGTAGTCTCCGTGAGATGGGCCTCGGCCACGATATCCACCACGATCAAGACCGCCGTTGTAGTTGTCGGAATGATAGTCACGTCCTCCGCGAAGCCTGTAGTCTGATCCGCGAAAGGCCTCTGCTAGACCTCCGCGTCCGCGACCTCCTCCACGATTTCCACCGCGGCCACCACCGCGACTACCTTCAGTGTAGTGTGAATGGCCAGAGTTCGTCGTGTCGTTGTGACTTTTAGTGTCTTTCGGCGCACTCTGCATGGGCACAGGCGGTCCACCGTCGCCGTCGGCCTCGTAGTCGCTCCAGCCCTCTGCCTCATCTCTGAGCCTCTGCTGAGCGTCCTCCAAGGCGGCTGCCACTTTGAGTGCCGCCTCCTCGTTGCGCAGCTTCTCCAGCTCCGGCCCCCTTAGTGTGGCTTCACGTACGCAAACACCTAACATGGCTTGCACCGTAAACACGGCATCATTACCAGCATTGTGCAAGTTGAAACCGGCAATGTCGAAATCATGCAGTATTCTCCCCAGACTGGTCGGTTGTTGATCACGTTTCCAAACGCGATACATAGTGGCAGTATCCAGGGGTTCGACCATGTTCTTCAAGCCCATTGCATCGAAGCCGAGTTGTTGAAGGTAGCGGACATCGGCTGTAGTGTCGTGGCCAAGGAAAATGATGTTGCGGTTTTCGTCGAGATTGATTCCACTCATGAGATCAACCATATCATCGTTACCTGTGGACGAGGCTCCAAAAGGCGGTCGAAAACAAGCGGCAACCGCGCCTGCGGCGTCATTGAGGGGAACGAATGTCGATTGGCCAAAGTCGAAAGATTCAGGATGGCCAGCGACGTACTGGTAGTTGACCAGATGGGCATGCTCTTTGATGCGAAAATGCCGAGCTCGAATCAGTTTTCTCCACGCAGCGCCATCCTCGCCGGGTGGAACGCCGACAAGATCTCGAGTGTCTAGTGTAGCGATGCCCACCTCTGTGATCTTGTCATGAGCTCTTTCGTAGGACTCGACGTCGACGCAGACGAATACGACCCACTTCTCAAAAGGCGAAGTCACAGGCTTGGAATAGTCGATAGCTTCTGGGGGGCCGGATTGAACGACTCCTGCCGCTACACCGGGACGTAGACCGAGGTACCGCTGTGCGCGCTTGAATTGATCGGCCGCTGACTTTTGCTTGAGAAGCCGATCTTGTTGTCTCTTTGCCTTGACAGCTTTGCTCTTGGCCTTTTGGACATCCCACAATTCCTCCATTAGCTGTTTGAAGCGCTCCAAAGAACGGTCCTCGAGCGGTGGATGGACGGGCTCATTGGGTGCGCGGAAGTCCTTGCTCGGAGCGTTGTCGACCATGTTGTCGTACTGCTCACGGGAGTGAGAGCGTCCTAGGTAACGAGGTAGATAGCGGGGATGATCAGGAAATTGGGTGACAAGACTCTCCTCACGTTGCTCGTCGGTGATTGCAAGACCAAGTTTGAGCTGTTGATTGATTTCTACTAGCAGGTCCTGAAATTGGCTCTCAAGGACGAGAATAATAGGTTTGCTGTCGTTCTCGATATCCCATATGTAATAACTGCAGAGGTGAGATGAAGGTGACACGGCGGTGAGGTGAGAGGCTTACAGGTCCCACTCGCGCTCCCAGAACTTTCCTTGGTCGAAGAAAGCCGAGGAGATGGGTTGCATGTGACTCTTGTTACAGAATTTGTACGGATATTTCGCCAGTGCCTGGATGGGAGTGAAGTGGTGACGAGCGGATGCAAGATGACCGCGAACGAGGGTAGTGACGGGGAGCTTGGAGATGGCGGGCTTTGCAGGAGGAGATGAGTGAGACATCAAGCTTGGGTTGTATGAGCTCTCGGCGCCTTGTACCCAGACGAATCGGCGGTCAACGTTGGCGTCAGGAGCAGTCGTTTGATTTGTAGCTTTGGCGGCGCTAGGCAATGCTGTCTGTTTGCTCGTCATGTCAGCGAGTTGCGGCTCGAGTAGTACACCGCCAGGCGCGTCGTCGTCGCTGAATGCTTCGGCTGGGGATGGGGACCGATCTGGCAGGGCGCCCAGGTCCGACTGCACAAGCTGACGGAGGCGGTCGAGGCGCGACGAGGAAGCCATTGCGCGAACACGGCCAGCTGGGTGGCTCCAGGTGCTTTCACATGTATCGTGTAGTGAAGTCGTCCAGGCTACACTCAACGTTGGAGGTGGATGGGGTCTGTTTGTGCAGATGTGGTGACAAGTACGAGTGAGGCAAGGGCAAACACGGTGACGGCAGCAGCAGCACGTGCCAGCAGCTCCAGATGCTCACTGTAGATACAGCCTGACTCTGCGTGAAGTGACTTTGCACTGTTCAGCCATGCATTTGTGCTGAGGTGAAGACACGGATGTACAGAGCATCATGGACACTGTGCAGGCAGACAGAGTGAAACACGCCACCGAGCAGAGCAACAGAGTGAGGGTGGGATCACGAGCACACGTTCAGTCAGAAGTGCTTGCACAGTCATGGCGTGTGTTGAGGCCACGCAGGGCACCTCTAGAGACGGAAAGAGACACGGGCTGTAGAGGCTGTGCATGAGATGGGCTGTGGACGTGTGCTGACATGGGAAATGCACCAAGCGTACCTTTGAGCCTGGAATTGCGCGAGCTTTCACGGGGGGAGGCCATGTGCGCGCGGCATCGACGGGGTGCAGGGCGTGGCGTTGGGCGACTCTGCGGACGGCAAACGCACGGCTGCTTATGTGTCGACGAGAGACATGGCGAGGGCTTCTTGGGAACATGGGGTGGCCAGGCCAAGTCACAGAAGGGGAGCCCAAGTCGACGAAGGGTAGCCCAAGTCACAGAAGGGGTATGCACGAGGGGTGTGCGAGAGGGGCGTGCAAGACGACGTGGGAGAGAGACGGCAAGCGAGCACTAGTGCGGCCGACGCGACTCCAACGACTCCCGCGAGCCAGCACCAGCACCGCGTCACGACCGCCGCCCGCCCTCGCTGGACTCGCACCTCGACGCCGCCCGCGCGCCTCAACGCTGGACTCCACGACGCGCCCCGCTGACGCCCCGATTCTCCCCCTCCACCCCGTCGACGCGTGGCTGCAGAGCCTGACGCGGTCGTCGCAGGCCGCTCCCCTGCCATGCGCCATGGCTGAAGGCGACGATGCGCTCGACGAGCCCCAGCCCGCGCCGAACCCGGACGCCCTGACGACGGTCAACGACTTCCTCGACTACACCGAGTACTTCCCCTCGGACCTGGTGCGCTCGCTGACGCTGATCGGCGACTGCGACCAAGCCTACCGCGACGCCGCCCAGCACGTGCACGACCTGGCCGCCCTGTACGGCCGCCTGCCCGCCCTGCCCGACGACGAGCGCCCCGACCCCGCCGCCCTGCGCCGCCAGATGGCCCGCCGCCTGCAGCACGCCATCAGCCAGCGCCACTTTGCCTGCACCGAGGCCGCGCGCCTGTACGAGCTCTCGCTGCGCCACTGCCACCGCTCCGCCGTCATCAGGCGCAAGCTGCACGCCCAGCCCCAGCCGCCGTCGCGCGACCCCACGCCCGCCGCCGTCTCGCCGCCGCCTGCCCGCCCGCTGCACCGCCCCGCCGACCGCCCCGCCCACCTGCGCCTGACCTTCGACGCCGCCCGCCACCGCAACACGGCCGTGCCCCTGCCCTCGCGCCGCGCCCGCGCACACAGCCCAGACTCCGACTCGGGCTCGGACCGCGACGCCGACGTCGACGCCCGCAAGCCCAAGCGCCCCGCCGACAGGCCGCCCAAGCCGGCGCGGGCGCGCGCGGCGGGCGGCGTGCTGGGCACAAACGTCCACAGCACCATCGCCGGCATCTCGACCAGCAACGCCCTCGCCCAGCTGCACCCGCCGCCGCCCGACGCCCGGCCCGGCAGCCGCTGGGCGCCGTGGCGCAAGCTGACCGAGTACGAGATGGCGGTGCTGCGCAAGTCGATGAAGAAGAACGCCGTGTGGACGCCCAGCCTCACCATGGTCAACCGCGAGCTCGAGCGCAAGCACCGCACAAAGGGCGACTTCGAGCGCGAGCGGGCGCGCTGCGAGGCCGCCGGCGACGTCTTCCTCGACGAGCAGCCCGAGACGCTGCAGCAGATCATGGCCGCGCAGGGCATGGGCGACCAGATCGTGAACGTCCCGGCCGCAGAAGCCCCCGCCCGCTCCAGCGAGCCCGTCGACGACGACGCCGGCGAAGACGTCACCGTCGCCATCCGCACGGGCCCCGTCGAGGCAAAGGACGGCAGGAACCTCGACCGGAGCACGCGGCGCCAGAAAGCCCTGCGCGACACCCAGGTGCTCGAGGACGCCACCAAGAACCTCACCATGGCCGCCGACGGCCTCAAGGAGCTCACCTTCGTCTCGGCGGCCGTCGCAGCGTCCAGCGCACAGAAGAGGAAGACGCCGGCCCGGTCGTCGAACAAGCGAAAACGCGATGCATCGCCACCCCCCGCGCTGGAAACGGCCACCGAGGCCACCAACGACGCATCGCCAGCACACGCCGACAGCGCCGCCGAGGAGCCCGACGCAAAACGCCAGCGTGTAGAGCTCACTGCGCCATCGCCATCGCCCGACGCCCCCGCATCACCCCTTGGCTCCGTCCACTCGACGCCCGACATGGAGGAGCCGCTCCCCGAAGACCCCGGTGCTCTGGCTGTGGACGCCATCGACCCAGCACTAGAGAGTGCCACGCCAGCATCAGAGGCCATGGACACGGCTGCCGATGCCGATTCAGCCAGTGCGGTGCCTGTTGCGAGTGCACCGCAGACGCCCGTCGTCTCCCACGTCGAGGAATCGGTGCCTGCCCAAACCTCCCCGTCTGCAGCCCCGTCTCCAACCGCACACCCTCCTGTGCCATCTCCAGAGAAGCCAAAGACGGCATCATCCACGACCACCCTGCAAGTCCCGCTCGCGCCTGCTGGCCCGAGCACGCCTGAAGTGAACAAGAAACAAGAAACAAAGCCATCACACGAGCAGCCCACCGTCGCTTCGCAGCCACCAAACGAACCAGCAGATCAACCAGTCGCTCTGGCAACAACTCCCAACTCAGTTGTCCCGATATCTGACACGCCTCCTGCTTCCCCGAGTCCTGCAACACCCACCACCGTTCCAGTCGTTCCAGCACCTTCGACCAGCCCGACATCCCCTACCGAGATAGCTCCACTGCCCGAATCTGGCTCTGCGGTTGACATCTCTGCCGGCATTGCTGCGACTGCGCCTGCTTCCCCGTCAGATCAGGGTCCTTTGGCAGATGATCCTCCCGCTGAATCGGCATCTGTATCGCCTCTATCCGGACCAGTCACTTCAACACATGCAGCTGAGTCGGCTCACTCGTCGGCGGCCACTCCGCTAGCTCCTCCCGCTCCTCCACGCTCAACAAGCACAGCAGCGTCTTCACGACCAAAACGCGAGTCCACCGCGCCCAAAGCTTCAAGCCCAAACCCCATACCCGCCCACCCAAAGAAACCTTCAAGCACCTCTTCTCCAGCCCCAACCCCTGCTCTCGAGCCCACCCAAATGGTCATGCGCTCACACTCTCGAAGCCACGTCCCCACCCCCAAAGCGCTAAGCGAAGAGCCAAAAGCCCTCGAGGCCGGCCGCACCACACGCGGCACCCGCCGCCACAGCATCTTCAGCCAGTCAGCTCTAACAGCCCCGGTGGCCATACGTGTAAGCAGACGCAAGAAGCCCCCACCAAAAGGCGAAATTACATCCGCCGAGGGAGGCCCCAAGACGATCACAAACACGAAGCGCCAGGGCCGCACGCGCGACCGGAGAAGAAAACCCGCCGAGGAAGAAGAGGAGATGGAGGAAGATACGGATTCGATCCACCCCGACGAGACGAGGTACTGCATCTGCAACAACGTTAGTGACGGTGATATGATCTCGTGCGATAACAACGTAAGACCCCGTACTACCTTATTTTCCTTGACGTTGGTGCTAATACACAACAGTGCGAGAACGAGTGGTTCCACTTCGCGTGCGTGGGCCTCGAGGACACGCCGCCCAAACGCGCCAAGTGGTATTGTCCCGACTGCCGCGTCTTGCTCGGCACGGATGCGTATGGTAATCCGCTGGTGCCGCCGCCGCTGCCGGGAAGGAGGGGAAATCGGTAGGTTTTTTCCCTGTTGGTTTGGTGGGTGCGTGCTGAGTTTTCGAGGGTGAATAGGTCGATGTAATGATGTTATTGATTGGACGGGGTGGGGTTGGGGCGTGAAGGCGTTCTGTTCTGGTATCGGGTGGGCGTTGGCGGGTTCATGTGGCATTGTCGATGCATGGATGTATGGGTCCAAGGGTTTGGGCTTTTGGCGTTGACTTCTTTCGATGGGGTCGCTTCTTCGAGAGCATTGGGCTTTGGGTGTGTTTCCGTGTGCGTACTATATTACATACTCTATTTCCATCCCTTCCATCGCCAATGTACTACACAACACAATACTGTGCGATCTTTCTGCTTTCTCTCGTCACATATCATGGAATGTAACAGCTTCATGTTAGTATGGCAAAGTATCGCGAAAGCGCTCTATCTCACGACAAGACAAGACAGCACGCATGACTAAGAACCCAACACTGCCAAATGACCAGATGTTCGGTGTAAGCTAGGACGTGGGCGAGGAGAGAGATGTAGCGTCCGCATCAAGACTTCACATTCATGTGGCCTTGGCAGGGCTTTTTGACGGTGCACAGCATCTCTCAAACCTCAGCTCACATCAGGAACAATCCCATGCGCACGCTGGATTATCATTTTCAGTCTTCAGTTTTGCGGGCTCTCGCATGACTTGTTCCAGGGGGGTTTTTTTTTGGACGCGCGAAGCAGGACACATGATGAAGGAGAGAGAAACACTGAGGTACCGCGGCGTGGTAATTTACACCGGCATCGGGTATTTTACACCGCAGAATTGGGTAAATTTACACTTTACACCGCGTATAGGTAAATTTACACCGCGTATATATGTACTTAGAGATTTTCTTAAATTTCTTATTACCGGCACTACTATTAATCGCAACAACGTTGCTCCGGCCTACCCCACATAAGCTGAAAACTCAACTATTAACACTATCTCATCTACACGCTCACAATGGAGCCCACCTACGAGCTCACCCACGATTGAGCCTACCCACGAGCCTACCCACGATGGAGCTCATGATTGAGCCCACCCACGATGGAGCTCACGATTAAGCCCACCCACAAGCCTACCCACGATGGAGCCCACCCACGAGCCCACCCACGAGCCCACCCACGAGCCCACTCATAATCAAGCTTGAATTTAAGCTTACAATTAAGCTGGATTTCAACTCACAATCGAGCTTGGATTTAAGCTCACAATCGAGCTAGATTTCAACTCACAATCGAGCTGGATTTCAACTCACAATCGAGCTTGGATTTGAGCTCACAATTAAGCTGGTAAGTAACTTAGATAGATCTACATAGAATGAATAAATTGTATATATAAATTATCTGTAAATCTACAAAAAATTGTGTAATATGTATAATACTATATGTAAATTTACCTCACGTTTTACACCGCAATGCGGTGTAAAACACGGTCTTTCTTCTGTGTTTTTTACACCCCAAAGCTGCGGGGTAATTTACCCGATTTTGTACCTCAGTGAAAGGTCTGGAGCTGGCAGGGTCCCGGTTCTGAAAACTCCATGGTTCGCTCTAGAAGGCTTTTTACGGTTTCCAGAAAGGAAAGAGCATAACTTGACATGGCTTTCTTGTTGGACGATTTTGAGTTGATGAGGATGGAGAGAGAGAGATTCGAGCAAGAGGATGATGGTTGATGTATGGAGAAAGTGGGGGTCGGCGTTTCGGCATCAGGGTGCAGGGATCTGGTAGTCGCGTCGCGCCTTGGACGCCAGAAAAGCTTCCAACTCTTGCATCTTTTACTGCACAATGTCGCGCACCACCCGCCTCGCAAGCGTCGAATTCCGACCCCTCCTCCAGGCCCCGATTCGAGTCCCGCTTCGTGCCCTACAGTCGTTGAATCGCCCGCAATGCCGTCCCTCGCTCCCGCACGCCACTTCTCCACAGTGCCTCGCACAACGACGCTTCCTCAACCTCTATCTGACAGCCAAGGCAAAGACGGTTCTGGGCATGCACAAAGTGCTCAACTTCGACATCTACGACATGCCAGAACTGAGCGCCTCGGAACACAGAGTCAATGTCGTCAAGAGCGAGAAGGACTCTACAGTAATTGCTGCCGACATATCGATGCAAGAGCTTTACGACAACCATGTCAAACCAGGGCACATGCTGTACCTCACGAATGAGCTGAGCAAGAAGACTGCGGAGAATTTCCAGAAGCTCAAAGACGAGAACATACCAAGTGTGGCCAGGGACTACGCACTTGTTGAGGCAAAAACACAACGGGTCATCATCAAAAACCCTCAATCGGGTGCACAACTCGGTGAACTGAAACGCATACACATGACTCTCTCCAGCCCGACGTCGTATTACAAACTCTGCCTCGACCGCGCCTACCAATTTATCGAGAGTGGATCGCCCATTGAGGTTCACATCCGTGTGAAAGGCTCGTACATTGGCAAAGACAGGTTCAATCCAGGCCCTGCCGACGTGTGGCCGTGGATGCACTCCCACTTTCCGCATCTGCGTCCAGACATCATCCATAAGGCTATGCCGAGCGGCACGATATTTCTCGTCGAGCCAGTGTGTGATGGGAAGCAGATTGAGTTTGTCCTGTCGAAACGGGCGGGTGTGATGCCCAAGATGGACCTCACACAGAGGCTGTTCAAGGTGAAGAGCGCCGTCATACAGGCGATACAGGGGAACGCAAATATACAAGTGCCGCCTGAGGTGCGCGTGCAGGTGCAAGCTATGCCGCGCGATGACAGTGTGGGGCTTGCAGCCGCGGATAGCGGTAGGCGGTGGGCTAAGAAGGATGGTATCGACACAAGGCAAGGGGAGCGTAGGGTTGTGAAGGAATCTGTGTACAAGGACAAGAAGGCAGCTGGACGTGGAAAAGTAAAAAAATATGGGCGGAAGAGCGGAGATGGAAACAGAGACCAAAGCAAGCAGTGGACCATGGGCGACCGTGGCCAAGAAAGGAGTCCTCTCTGGTTGCGGAGGTCGGATGCCGAGAGTCTGTGAACCATTAGCATTGAGAGGTCTTGTTCAATGAGATGCAGTTTGGCATGTGTTGGTGCAGCCTGCTTTTGACAAGCGCGAACACATGCTATGCATACAAGCCTGGCTAAGATGCAGTGCATGTGTGCAGCGCATATGTGCAGCCCATGGTGAGCGGTTGACAAACGTTTCCATGTTCGTCGTCATGGGGCTTGGCGCGACGGGAACACATGCATAAACCTTGGGCAGCACGGCAGTGACCACATCGCTCCGGATCTTCGTCCGAGCAAATATCTTACCTTGACTGTGCTCTGCCCTGCCACCGTTCGTTTTCTGCCTTCGCCCGTCGAGTACCCTCCCGCCCCGCCGCCTGATGATGCTGCCGCCCTAGATTCCACACGCAATCCCGTCACGATTCACACAATAAGCGCAGCCTGACTCGGTCGCGACTGCCTCTTGCGTTCCGCTTACCCGTCGCCGCCTAATCCCCATTCCGCGACACAACCCCCAACACGTGCACACAAGCCTCGATGAACGCAGCGCGGCAGGCCTGTCGCCCCAAGCACCAGGTCCTGGTCCTCAAGTGCTACCCCAAGGTGCAGAAGAACGATGTCGAGGTCAAGGCCAACTCGAGTGAGTTGAGCTATCTGCTGTACTATGCGAGCACGCGACGGAGCAAGCTGCAGAAGGTCGGCGACTTCCTGGACAAGCGGGCGACCAAGGATGTGTGGAAGGGCAGTATTGGCAGCGTCCAGGTCACGCTGCAGATAGTAAGGGCCCTCGTCGAGAAATGCCCGCGCGACCTGCCCCTCTACGCCGGCGCCGTGCTGCGCATCCTGCGGACCATCCTCAACTCCAACGACGTGACCATGGTCGAGGAGTCTGTGCCGGCCTTCGAGGCGCTGTGCGCACACCAGGAACCCGCCGCCCTCGCCGCAGACCAGGACTACATCAAGCAGTACGAGGAGATTGTGCAGCTGTACGCCCAGTTCGCCTCCAAGAGCCCCCCGCAGACTGCCAAGGCCCCCACCAGCTGGCCCGTCGCAATCCGCTACCGCAAAGCTGGGCTGCAGGCGTTGAAGGCAGTCGCCTCGTCGGAATCGCTTGGATCCGAGACAGGCCGTCAGTTGGCTGTCCTGATACCCGTCATCCTCACCAACATATACTCGGAAAACGGGACATACTTGAAGCGCCTGGAGAACCGCGACGCCGACAACGACGAGCACGAGAAGGAGCTGGCATTGCGGCGGCGACAGAGCGCCTCGACGGCGCGCACAGACGACGAGGACGGTGGGGATCCAATCGCTGCATCAGGGACGACCGAAGATGCAGACAAGCTCGCAGAAGAAAAGGTTGGCGTTGTTGCCCTCCAGGCGCTGCGTAACATCTTCCAGGGCGGCAACAGAGGACAGCTCCGACTCGGGACATCTATTGTTCTCAACTTCATCGGTACTCATGTGAAGTCCCCCCCGCCATCTACGGAACACGGCAGCGCAAACTGGGCGACCAGGCTCATGGCTATGATCTGCGCATGGGCGCCAGTGCAAGACCGCTATGCTATCATGGTCGGCGCAGTCGAAGCTCTCGTCAAAAGCCCAATCGTCGAGGACGACATGGAACGGCAGTTGGGTCTCGCAACCATTATTGATTACCTTCTCAGCTCCACTATCAACTTCATCGGACTCAGTGTTATGGACGTGCTGGTTGGTCTTATTTCTCACACATTGTTGCTTCTACAGCTTGGTGGACCTGGGTCGACGATACAGCCGCATACTCAACAGACCACCTCGGTCTCGGAGAAGGGCTTGAATGGTGCAGGAGCTGCGAACAGTCTGTCGGGTGTCGTCATGGAGGTTGTCAAGGAAGTGTCGCATGTGCGAGTGCAGCTCCTAAGTACGGTACAAAAGTGTATGGCTGATCTGGCAACACATGTATACTACACCGATCAGATCTCCGACATGGTGGACGCGATTCTCAGCCGTCTGAAACCTTCTCGGCTGTCTAGCGTCTCTTCAACGGCGGATGCAATTGAGAACCCAGCAGAAACGGTTGATGCGGTTGCAGCTTCAGGTAGCTTGCAAGAGAAGAATTCTGTTGATCGTTTCTTTTCCTTTGAAACGGCTCGCATCGCAGCTCTCGAGGCCGTCAAGGCCATCATCACCACTGCAAACGCACGGAGACCGGATGGATCAAAGGCAACTGTCTCGCGCAGCAAAGTTGGCGTAAGCGTATGGGAAGGCACGCAATGGCTTCTGCGTGACCCTAGCGGGCAGGTCAGGAAAGCATACGTCGATGCGCTTGTTACCTGGCTCAACCTCGAGAAGGAGCAGGAAGATTTGAAGATTGTGGACAACTACAGGAGAAAAGAGAAGGAGAATGAAAAGGGGGGATTGGCGAAACGAGCTGCGTCCAACGCGTCGCAGCGCGAAAGGCCACACCGGAAGACGGGGAAAGACACGTTCTTGCCGCTCCTTCATCTGGCCGTGTATGAGAACGCGCTTCACTACGTTGATTCCGAGTCTGATCTTCTGCTACTACACCTCCTCCTCACGACCTTGACGGATAGACTCGGTGTCAACACTGTACGAACTGGCCTACCGATGATCATGCGGTTGCAGGAGGACATTGCAGGCGTTCAAGATCCAGGTTCCAAAGTACGGATAGGCAGTCTTGTGCACGGCTATCTGTGGGCTCTGAGCATGACTTTTGACTTTGAGACGTCTTCAGTGGGTCGCTCCATACACAATGAAATCACGCGAAGAAGCAACAGAGGTCTATGGGTAAAGACTATCCGAGTCCCAGCTATGCATGTTGGTCTCATTGAAACACCACACCCGTCTCAGATGCAACTTCCTACCAACGCCGTGCAGAGCGAGGCTATCGTTCCCTTTGACAACCGCGAAGCTCTTGTCGATAAGATCTCAGAAGGTTATTCGTCTTCTTTGTACTCGCCACCTTCTTCACCACCCGGGTCCCCGGACCGTTCTGCATCAGCAGTCTCGTCGATCCCTGTGATCCATCAGCCTGCAAACCTCAATTCCGCTCCTCAACTCTCCTACAAAGTCAGAGACGACCTTCTCGCTGACTGGACTCGAGATATCTGTCTCGTGGCCAACACCAAAGATTCCTCGTCAGCGTCGATGACGGGCTCAAAATCGGGGACGCAATACACACGAAACAACTTTCTCGGCGTAAACATCCCGAATGGCAACATGGAAAGTGGAACCAACTCACCCGCGCTGGGAAGCCCCCGACGTTCACAAAGCAAGCCGCCATCCATTGCATACGGACTTGTAGGTCCTTCGTATCGCCAGCGCAGTCCCTCCAATACAGCACGGAGCACCTCATCCGCTCGCAGCACGGTACGCGTGGATGACCTTAAACGCGCACTTTCTGGCGCCGGCAATGCCCCGCGCACCTCGTACTCTCGTCGCGCGCCCTCACAACGACAGCGCGAGGACTCCTCTGCAAGCGAGTCTATGGTCAGCGTGCACTCGCTATCCGACTCATCATTCGTTACAACAGATCCAAACTCACGTCACGGCTTCGCACCTGAGAGCCCGTCCACGCCTGCAGCAACACTCACGCCGCGCCCACAGACTGCAACGAGCATGAACTTTCCAACGAATTACACAGGCGATGTGCCGCCTGTGCCGCCTATTCCCGAGGCGCTGAGGGACCAGAGTGCGAGTCCATCGGGCGTGAGCGAGAAGGATTTCGCGAGGCCGAGGGCGGGTACCAACGGGACTATGGGCACCATGGGTGTTGGTTTTGCATCTAGCAACGCGGCACAGACGAGGAGGAGTCGCAGTGTTAAGAGTGGGGTTAGTCGGAGTCGGGGCAGGAGTGAGCATAGGGGAAGCGAGGGGCAGGAGAGGAAGCCGGATTTCTCGGGGTTCTTGGATAGTCTGGGCATTGATGACGATGGTGATGATGAGGATGGGAATGAGGGTGAAACGGGGCATGGCGTAGGGAGAGCGCCGTACTAGGAGTGTCTGTCTGGAGTGTGATCGTTTGTAGATGCTTGAGATGAGTTGATATCTATCGCCTTTGGGCAATTTTTCGTTATTCATAGCAATTAAATTCACCTTCTTGTTCATGTATTTGTCCTTTTCAAGATGAGACTGTACGTCAATCTATCAAGTTACCATCTAACTTGCCTCATGCAATCTATCTCCAACCCGCTTTGTGATCCGTATCAATCAAATTGCAACCGTCCCGATTCCGATCGTCTTATGAGGTCTGAAGCTCTCCATCTCGCTATCATATTCTCTACCTCAACTCATTCATAAGAACAAACGATCATTTCGAGATGACATCGTCGCTTTCTGTTCAAGCGGGAGAGGAACAATAGGCTTGAGTGACCCTTTGACACTTTCCGTCGGAGCTTGTTCGTCAACATCTGCGCTACGCTTGATGCAATAATGATATAGGGTACCGTTCTCTGCAGCTATAGCGGTGCCTTGGGAACGAAGCCCTCTTTTTCTGCGGACGCATGACTACTTCCGTACCATACTTTATCAAGACGCGAACAACGTCCCTGCCGGCCTCTCGTGATTGCAAGCTCGAGAAGGTTCCAGCTCTCTGGTAGACTAGCCTCAGCGTTGGGGTTTGCGCCACGATGCAGTAGCATTTGCACCGTCTTATCGTTGCCGCCTCCAATGGCTTGTAGAAGTAGTGACCACCGGTTGGTCAGCCCACTTGTCGTTTGCGCCCGATCCTGCTTGTTCAATGAGCCATGGTCGAGAGGCCAAGCGACAACATCGACCCGCTGGGCGACTGCGGCTTAGGACTTCTCGCGCAAGTTCCCCACTATGTAGTTCCTCGAGCTCAATGAGGTATTGAGGGCTTCTGTATGATGCGAAAAGAGTGAATAGTCGGGATGAGAAATCCGCGTGAGGACTGCTCGAGACACCCAATAACAAGTTGTCATTCATACAATGCGCGCTCATGATGAAGTCTATTGGACCCTCAGCGTCGGTCCATGATGAATTCCACAACGTGTAGATGGCCGCTTCCTATAGCAGGGCCGAGTGCCATCCACCTCATCTCGTCTCGACTTGTGAATCGCCTGGTGGAAAGGAGCAGTCCGAGAGCCCCCAGATTTCCCACCAAAGCAAGCCAGTCCAACAGGATCCTGCCAAAAGTGTAGCCCTTCAGACATCTTGTAGTCCAAGATGGTGGTTGAGGTATCATGATTATCCAAGATACAACTGATGACTTCTCGACAGTTACAGATAATGCCTACCCGAAGTAGACAGCGGGACATGGCTTGATCCTAATCTAGGATCGGCGTGGGGCATTGGTAACGCTGCGTGAGACTGCAAGGTTCGAAACACAGCGCCTGAACACATTGTCACAGCGAATTTGAGACCTTATGTCCTGTCTCCTTTGAGTAGCCGTTCGGCCACCCGTCGGATGATACTGAATCCACTGAGTACTTCCGATCTCGACATGACCGCATGCGTGAAGTAAAGCTGCCAGAATTCGGCATGTTCGGGTCCTTTTCCAGCCTCAAGGCGTGATTTCAAGAGGTAGCCCCTCAGCATTTGCGACTCGTAAAGTGCCTGGAGGATCTCTTGAGCAAAGAGTCTAGGGGATTGTTAACTGGATATTGCTACGCCATAACAAATTACTGTACTATTGTTGACATCGTTGTAAATTGAACACAGCTGACTGCACATGGAATGAAGAGTAAAAAACGTCTTTCTTGTAGACGAATGGAAGCCTCAGGATGTAAAGCCTCACCTTCAGGCTTCGCTTGAGCCTACCGATACTGACACGGCAAAGTAGTATTTCACAGCTGATCTCTGCAGAGAGATCCAGCTGCTCCGTCATCCTGTGATCGACAGTGACACTGTTGTAGTGTTGAGAGAGGTTACGATTGACGACTACACACAAGGCAGCATTGTCGATTGGCCTAGTTGATTTGGGCTAGACCCAAAGTGCACCACCATGTGCAAGGTTGAGGCACAGTCACATGAACTCACCAGTGAGCATTCGATATGAACACATAGTAGACGCATGACAATGAAAGTCTCATGTACCGACACGGAGGACTAATAGTGTCGAGTCATCTTTGGTGATGACCTCGACGTCGATTCTGACGCAATCTTGAAAGGGTTTATCAGTTTAACATTACGCTCAGAATACAAACACAAGTGCTCTCATTGCTGTGAGAAAGAGGTGGCAGACTCGTACAAAGCGATGGGATATGTAGCAATATCACGTCTCTACGTCACAACATCATGACAAGCATGGTGTGAGGGTTTGCGCGTCGACAGCACTCTTTGTGTACAATTTGATAAATTGGATTTCACCATCCCATTCGAGCGAGCCTATTGCAAGAACATCGCCCTTCAGCCACGACCAGCAACATCATATCCGACACCTACCGTATCAAGCGCAAGCCGATGTACCAAGGTGCAACTTCATGCTAGGCCATGTTACCCAAGGCTAGTAGACGTAAGGGGACCCTTCTAGAACCTAGGTACGCACATCAAGAGTCTAATACCTGCATTGCACATAACTATGTCAACCGAAGTCCAAACATCTGAACTGAGTTATTCTCAGGCTCTCTGACATCCACTGGTCCCCACTTTCACAATGTGAATAGGGTTGTATGTGATGGCTGTGCAATCGTGACGCATGAGTCAGCATTTATTATGTCCACGTACTCAACTCGTCTAACGCTAGATATAATTCGCCACAACATGGTCCGCAGCGCGTAGTGCAAATCGCTATTTCGCAACGGCAACCATACGCTAATTTGCACATGCTTTCCCTTCCAGACCCTCATCTCATCTCTTTTTTCTCCGCCTCTTCTCCCATTATGACATACACCTCATATAATTCCCGTCTCGACCCACGGCCGTTTACATTCTAAAATCACATGTCATCTCCCCAGGAAAATCGATAAATCCCAAAGCTCCTTAGCCCCCTTTGAGATTAATCCCGTTCAGCCGCTAAATCGCGGATGTTTCAAACCCTTCGTCTGGCCCAAGCACCCATCGTTTCGCAATCCCCAACCAGGCCATCCTGGCAGCCGATCTCGTGTTGCGCATTGGTATCAGCGCAGATGCGAATCCGGTCCAGTCGTGTCCATCTTCTAGGGTCAAGAATATTGAAAAAGAAATGCTTACACCTGTGGCGTATGGCAACATCATAACCCTTGGGGAGATCAATGTAGACATAGAATTAGAACAAATGAGCTTATTGATTTTTTTCGCAGCTGATTAAAGGGCGCATGTGATCGCCGATAATTGCGTGTTGCGATGGTTTGGCATCCCCTGCCTTGCCCAAACACCAATGTCTCAGCCGTCGTCATCCTACTGTTCCGCCTGACCCCGAATATTCCTTCCCATTCCCAAAGGTGTCAAACCCTCCACTGAATGCCAAACAAACAAAAGAAACTTGAAACGCCCCCTAGAGCACCACAAGTTGCACACATAGGCACAGCTTGTGGCGGAAGAAAGTATGCACAACCATGAGACAGGGTGTGTTTCATAGTATTCGAAGACCAATGAAGTCCAAACAACGTCTCAACGTAAACCAGTGCGTAAAACCTGTCCCACACACATATCGTCCAACGAAGACGAAGAATAGAAACTTGGAGATGGAAAAACATGTAGAAAAACGAGTGTAAGAGATGATCTCAAGAGGGTATAATCCAGCGTGCCTTATTGGACAGCCAACGCTCTGCGCAGTGTGGAACAACGTAGGAAAAGAGCTGAGCGCTGGCTGAGAAATTCGAACAAATAAGAAAAGGTAACAATAGACGTGGCATTGAGATGCTGGCCGAGATGATGGAGGCTAGACGAAGTTGTTATAACCACGAGTTGATAGAGGGATATTTGCCAGCAGATTGATTGTCGAAAGAGGTCGAGGCCGGGTATCACGAATGGAACAAATCCCAAGCTCTGGCACAGAGTCCGATAAACTCTTCTTTCTTCCTCAGTTGTGTGTCAGGCGAGTCGCGGCCCGCTCCAAAAGGACCGATGCGTGGTTGTTGGCGACCAAGAGGGGGCGTTCCATTGTCTCGTTCGTATTCTTCGCGACCACGTCTTCTTGAGCCGCCGCTTCGGTCGATGTCAACGTGGGGGGGATATGCTGACAAGCCGGTTTTGGGCATTGGCGACGGTGGCGTTGGGGGCTGGTGTCCGCCGTAATGGACAAGGCGGGGTAGGAGGTCCTCACGACCACCGGACAACGACTGGACCGCTTCTTCGGCAGACTTGTATTCGCGGGGTCGTGCAGTCAGCGGCGTTGGCTGATGGTGATGGGATGGGAAGCCAGGCGAGGGAAGCGGGGGCTGCTGGTTCGAATGTGAGGAATGACCTGGACTACTGTGTTGGTATGGATGACGAGCAGTTCCTAGGGGTTCTGGGAACACATCCGAGATGGGTGGTAGCCGGTTGTTTGTTTGTAGGGCTGGCACGTGATGGATATGTGACGTATGCGACAAGTTGGACGGACCATTGGCCAGCTGTCGGGATGGTGGCGCGTTGCTGCGTAGGCCGGTGAATGATTGGTTGATGGGCGCTGATTGAATGACACGCTCGCTGGCAAACTGCTGGTGAGATGGGGGTGCAATGGTGAGACCTGGTGGTGGACCCTTTCTGCGTGACGTCTGGGGGGTCTTGATGGTGCGTCCAAAAGCTCCCACTTCAGTGTTGCGTGGGAGGTCTTCGTCGGAAGGAGCTCCCTTGCCGCCATGCTTCTGCCGTGCCTCGATGATCTGCCGCTGCCTTTCTCTTACGTCCAGACTTCGCTGGAGCTGCGAACGCATGGTAGGGTCCTGGGTGTGGAAGCCCGGTGACAGACAGGCCAGGCCTACATCTTGGAACTGGGCGCTGCCATGGCCGGACGGCCTGGCGGTGAGTGCGCCCGAGGAGTGCACGATGTTGTGGTTGGATAGGTCCAGTCGGCGCGGACGGTGCCGGGTGCTGCTGGTGGAGGTCGTGTTCATGTCAGGCGAGGCAGGCTCCTTCTTGACCACTATCCTGGGCGGCGGACCGCGTGACCTGCTCGACGAAGGGCGGTTAGACATGGCATCTCGACTGGGTGGAGACAGGGAGAGGGAGGACGAGGACGAGGTGGTGGTGGGTGAAGCAGAGGGAGGACGGCAAGCAGAAGAAGTAGAAGGACGCGACGAGAGGCTAAAAGACGTACGAAAGAGGTGAGCGCTTCCCCTCCGCTCTCTGCTGCTGCGCGGCATCACTGCTGGCGGCGGTAGGTGAAGCATGGTCGGCAGGCAGTTGAGAGGGCTTGAAGGTGGGCGTCACGGCGTGAGGCGACGAGACAGAGGGCGCAATGGCTGCATATGTCCTCAGCGACCCGACTCCCCCGTCGGCAGACAGCGGTGCCGCGTGCTGGACCAGGGCCGGGGAATTGGCGACGGCGGTGGTCATGGCTGTGTCGTGCTTTCCTGAAGCGGCTGGCTAGGAGGGGCAGATAGATTGTAGGAGTGTCGCAGGATGGGCGAGGGCAGTCCGCGACGCCAGATGTTGCAAGAGCGGCCGCAGCGTCGAGAGGCAGAGCGTGGTGCGGGTGGTGCAACAACAGGTGCAGGCAGACAGCGAGGCGTGCAAGGCAGTGCGGTGCAGTGCAGTGCAGTGCGGCGCAAGCAGAGACACAGTGCTGCACAGGAAAAGGGAACGAACGCTGCGCGCCTTGCTGAGGGCGGGACCGAGGGATAAAAATGGCAGGCACGGACGCGACGCTGGACGCAGGAAGCATGCGAGCGACCAGAACGACTGGCATGCCATCCCAGACGACGACATGGGGCGGCCGGGCGAGCAGATGCGCGGCGCTGCTGTCTGGAGCGCTCAGACGCCACCGACTGACCATTGTTTCGAATGCACGGCCTGGAGTCCGTCTTTGCACTCTACCGCCCGTGGCTCCATGCGCTTCAGCCCTCTGCAAACCCCGTCGAGCCTCGTCAAACCCCGTCAAGCCTCGTCAAACCTCGTCAAACCTCTCCAGCAGCCGTGTCTGGAGTCTTGCTCCAGTCCCACCCCGCCAGCACAGCACCGCCGACACCACCAGCAACACCGCTCCCTGCGAGCCATCGTCTGGCCAAGGCTGCCCGCACTGCTCGCCGTGACTGGACGCCGCCGTGCACGCTGTGTGTTGCACCTCCATTGCCAATACTTGCCGCCATCCAATCAGCCCAAGGCCTGCTGTCGCGCTTCCGACGACCACTAGACGAGCCTTCCAGCGTTTCAAGTCGGCAGCTCAGGTTTGATCACGCCTGCCTGACTGACATGCCATGCAAACATCTCACAACGTGAACCCCAACCACTCATTGGCAGAACCGCCGTCCATGGCCTGCTGCTTCAGCCCTCGCCCACAAGGTCGACTCAGCTGAGATGACTCACGATGGATTCACTCCTCGTTCCTCCCTCCCCTTCTTCTTTCTCCAGAACCGCCAGGATCATTGCCGCTGGCACCTACCCGCCATTCGAATGAGCTGACGCGGGTAGCAACGTTCGCTTGGTCCTGGCCAATAGCGCCTCTCTCTGCTCTCATGATCTTCAGCGCTATCACCAATTCATCCGCAGAACGGCCCCAAGTTGGATCGTTTTTCCGCCACGTTATCATGCTGTGTTGAGTGAGTGTTGAGTGTTGAGTATTGGGACGATGAGTCAGCTTACGCGTCTACTACGAACCTCCAACTACCGAACCCACGTCGACTTCCTGCCACATATTCTGATAACCATGTACCTAGGTTGCTGTGAGCATGTTCGTAACAGGCCGTGCATGATTCTTCCTTACCTTTTCTCCCTCAAATCGACAACTCGTCGACAAGCCAAGATTTGTTTTTCTCGTCTCAGCCCTGTCGCACGCCAAGGAATCATGTCCTCCATGTTTCGTTCTGCGCTGCGATTCATCTACCCACTTCTCTGAATTTCCAGATCCGAATTATTTGACTGTATCCATGTGTGTATCGGGCTTCGTTCTCCAAGACATCTTGGGCTCGAAGCTCAAAGCCCTGACTCACGGCTACCAAAAGACCGGCCATTCGCTCTTTTGTTCAGGCGCAAGGGTTCAACACCTTGTCAATATTTGACCGAGTTTTCTACCTCGCCGAGGAGCCCTTCCACCACGTTCTGTCTGGCTTGCTTTTGTCTCCGACTCCCTGTCAACACGCAGATCAATGACGTCCCGTAACGAATCCGTATGATCAGCACCATGGGTCACGCTTTCGGACAGACACGAACGCCAATACGGAAATACAACTTCTCGATAAGGAGGATGTGGGGTCATAGCAGTTGCCTACGTTTGAAACGGCTGGGGTGGCCAAGTTCGCACAATGCTACCTGAGGCAGGGACAGTCGTGCATGCGTTCTATTCAAATACCCTGCTTGCACGATAGCGCATCTCCAAATCGGCGGCAGGGGCATGTTGATCAGAGAAGCACTTCACGAGAACTGGCTCTCAGGGGGGAATCTTGGCATGTTGTGTTGTACCGTATAAATTTGTTCAATTAAGCTTTAGCTAGTAGGGGGCTAATTAGTCTAATTTTAAACAACCTAATAGTAACGTATACACCTATATAGATAATATTAAAGCTTAGCTAAATAAAATTATATTACAGCTAGTATAAACTCTTCCTTATAGTACTTACCTATCTTTTAACGTTATATTACCTAATATAATAAAAGTTATTATAATACCTAGTTACCCTTATATACTATTTACTAAACTTAACCTAAATACTATTAATAGTTACTCTTCTAAGCGCCTAAAGCTAGAAAGGGTAGTAAAGTTATTAGAGAGTAAAAAAAAAGCCTTTAAGCCTTATAAACTTATACCTTCTAAGATTTAAAACTATAATAAAGTATTATTAAAGAAGAAGCTATAGCTAATCTAGTATTTCTTATATTATTAAATATAGGATAAAGTAGTCTATTATAGTACTGCGTAGAAGCGTTAGACCCTTAATAGCCTTAAATAGAATAGCGCATAAAGACCTTTAAAGGCTACTAAGGCTACTAAGTACTTTAAGATACCTCTTAGTACTACTAAATATATATAAGTAAAGAGGTACTAAGTAGTAATATTAGCTTATAGGTAACTATAGTATATATTAGATAGAAGAGATAAAAAGTAGGTAGATATAGAGCTTAAACTATTTTAATAGTTTATAGAGTAAAGAAAGATAAGATAAAAAGTTTTATAATTTTAGTTTTAGTAGAGAGTAAAGATCCTATTTAATACACTTTATAATAATAAGCTTAGGCCTAATAGAAAGGTTAGTACTACTTTACTTTATTAGTTAAAATATATATATAAAAAGTAAAGCTGTTAGGTAAGTATAGAGTAATAGGTAGTTTATATACTATTATACTAGCTCTAGCCTCTTAGCTTATATATATAGATAAAAGTACCTTATAAAGGGATATAGGTCCCTTAGTAATTTATCTTATTATATATTAAATACTATTATTTTATCTTTACTATACTATATTACTACTATAACTAAGTATTATATTTAAATTACTTCTAATATATAGTAGCCTAGAATAGTAAGAATATCTAGTAAATTATCTACTTATAGGTCTAGATGTAATATAAGAACTTCTATATCTTAAGTAAAACAGAATACGCTACTATAATCCCTAATAGGTAGTAATAACTTATAATAATAAGGTACTCTCCCTATTAAAGGTTAAGAAGACCTAATTAGGCTAATTATAGATAACTTAATTCTACTACCTATAATTAAAGAATAAATATAATAGAAGCTATAGGCCCTACTTATATAGAAGAGAACCTAGGCAGATAAGCTATAAATTAGGCAGCTATAGAACCTTAAGGCTAGATATAAGGCTAGAGATTCTATAGTAGTATTAAAGCTACTTTTTAATATAGGTATAGTACTATGTACTATAGTAGTACTAAGAGTAAACCTACTAAGGCCTAAACTACTATATATATTTAATAAGAATAATAGGCAGAGCTATAATAAATAAAAGAGAGACTATAAAAGCTATTATTTCTATAACCCTACTAAGTTTATTATAAAGGTAAGGAAGGTAGACTTTAGAGTAATATATATATTAAAGATATATAAAATAATCTAGAAATTCTATATAAAGGAATAGAAGTATAGTTATCCTTTATAAAAGCTAACTTAGGCTAATTTAAAGCTTAAGATACTTAATACCCTTAAAACGCCTAATAAATACTATTAAAATACCTATAATATAGTAAAGAACTATAGGTAATACTATAAATAGAGCTTTACAGAACTTTTAAACTACCTATATTTATTATAAATAGAATTAGCTACTTTACTTTTAATATAGATATTAGAGTTTACTATATCTTTAAAGAAATAGATCTAGTGTAACCTACTACTCTTACCTATAAATAGGCGTAATAACTTAGTACTAGTTAAAGAATATACTAATACTATCTACTAGCGCCTAGGACTAGATAAGAAGACCTATAAATTAAAAAAGAGTAGAAGTAAAAGACTTCTATTAGAAAGTAATTAAGGAGACTTACTCTCTCTAAAGAAGAGTAATATAACTTCCTCTTTCTATAAAAAGAGAAAGAAACCTTCTAATAAAGTAAAGGTAGAAAAATTCTCTAATAAAAAGAAGATTACTTATTACTATTATAATAAGCTAGGCTACTATATAAATAAATACTAGAAGAAGGCTAATAATAAGTTTAAGGAGATTATTAAGGAAAATTTAAAAAAAGAAAAAAGTTAATAAAAGTAAGCTCTCTTCTAGTAGTCTATATATAAGCTCTTAGGAATTATAAGGAGCTAAAGATACTAAGGTCCTACCTCTTCTTTAAACTAGCTTAACTCCTTACTATATAAGCTAAATTAGGCTAATTAGAGGCTATAAAAGCTTTTTTAAATAAAGGTATATAACTTAACCTTATTAATATAAAGTTAGCTAAGAAATAGGACCTAAAAGTTATTCTACTTCTAAGTTTAATTATAGAAGCTATAAATAGTAGTAAAATTACTTTATATAGTATAATAACTATAGGTATTACTATAATAGACTTAAAGGGAAAAGAATAATACTATAATATACTATTTATTATAGCTAACCTAAAGAGGTACCTAATCTACCTTAGTTTTCTTTAGATTAATATATATAATTTAAAGCTAAGGTATCTTAGTAGGCGTATATATTTTTATAGTATAAAGGCTAAGTATATAATACTATATACTTATATTACGCTTAAGGAGGTAGATAAGTTTAATTATACTATAAAGAGTCTAAAGATAGATATTTATATATATATAGTAAATTTTATAGAAGAGGTAGTCCTTATTATAGTCTAAGATACCTTACTACCTCTATAATATATAGATTTAGCTAATACTATATTAGAATTAGTAGTAGATATTTTACTAGACTATAGCCCCTAAGATCTTACTATAAACTTAAAAGAAGGGGCTATAGTACCTTTAAGGCTGTTATATAACCTTTTAGTATATAAACTAGAAGTATTAAGAAAGTATATTACAAATTACTTTAGGAAGGGCTAGATAAAAAGGTCTAAGTTACTAGTAGGTATACCTATTCTTTTTATAAAGAAAAAGAATAGGACCTTATAGCTCTATATAGACTATAGAGGCTTTAATAAAGTTACTATTAAGAATAAATACCTTTTACTTTTTATTTTAGAATTATTAAATAAATTAGCTAAAGCTAAGTTTTATATAAAACTAGATATTAGAAATACCTACTATAAAATTAGAATAAAAAAAGGAGATAAGTAAAAGACTATATTTTAAATAAGATATAGTTATTTTAAGTATACTATTATACTCTTTAGCCTTATAAATGCGCCTACGTAGTTCTAGGCCTATATTAACTAAGCTCTTAGAGAGCTAGTAGATATATTATATATAGTATATCTTAATAATATTCTAATCTTCTTAGATACTAAAGAGGAATATAAAGCCTATATTTATAAGGTATTAAAGAGATTATATAAAGCTAAGCTATTTATAAAGCTAAGTAAGTATAAATAGTATAAAAAAGAGACTAAATTCCTAAGGTATATAGTATACCTATAAAGAGTAAAAGTTAATATTAGTAAAGTATAAACTATCTAAGAATAGCTACTTTTATAAATAGTATATAATATTTATATTTTTATTAGCTTTATAAATTACTATTTAAAATTTATTAAAGGATTCTTATAAGTAGCGCTCTCTTTAATAAAATTAACTTAAAAAGGCCTAAATACAGCTAAGAGAGGCTATATATAATAAAAAAAAGAGAGTTAAGGCCTAGATATTAGAGATAATAGTTAAAGAGCCTTTTAAGAGCTTAAGGATACTTTTCTAAAGGTACTAATTCTAACCTACTTTAAGTAAGACTAACTTATATATATAGAAATTAATATATCTAGTAAAGTAGTATCTAGGATACTAAGCTAGTTATCTATCTAGAAGAGGGGTAACTTAGTCTAAAGACTAGTAGACTTTTTCTTAAAAAAATTAAACTAAACTAAGTTTAGATATAATACTTATAATAAGGAACTACTAGTAATAGTAGTAAGTTTAGACTACTAAAGATATTACTTACAGAGTATATCCTTTAAACTTTTAATAGACTACTATAACCTTAAATAGTTTATAGATATAAAGGTTTTAAACTAAAGACAGGTTTACTCCTACTAAAAGCTAATAAAATATAACTTTATTATTAAATATTAACTAGGAGTAATAAACCTAGCTAATAAACTATTAAAAAGGCTAAACTATATAGCAGTAACCTAAGATCTAGACTAGAAATATAACAAAGCCTTTATAGATCTAATAAGAAACTTATTAACTAAAGTAGAAATTAATAGACCTCTATTAATTTACTCTATTACTATATAAAGCTAATGTATTAAAAAGAACTATTAAGAACTCTAATATATAAATAGGTTAGTAAGATAGAATAGTAGGCCTAGAATAAAGCCCTAATTAATAAAATCTAATCTAGAAGGTTTAAATTTAGAATCTTCTAACTTATCTAATAATTTAAACGCTAAAGTAGCCTAAATTAGTATATAAAAGCTAGAATTAAAACTAGAAAAAGTTATAATTTTTATAATACTAGAATTAAAGTTATTAGTACTAAAAGAATATTATAATAATCTAATAGTAGGCTATTTTAGCTAGAAGAAGATACTAAAGAAACTTTAGCGTAAGTACTAGTAGATAAATATATTAAAAGATATAGTAGACTACTATATAGACTATAACTACTATAGAAGGTTAGTTATACTAAAATACTAACTATATAGGCTTCTTTAACCTCTAAAACTACTCTTAAAACTATAGAAAGACGTAATAATAAACTTTATTACAAAACTACCTGCTAGTAAATATCTAGGGTAGGTATATAACTTAATTCTAGTAGTTATATATAGACTTACTAAGATATCCTACTATATTTTAGTAAGAGTAGACTAGACTAAAGTAAACCTAGCCTATATATAGGTAAAGAAAATTATCTAACTTTATAGAGTACCTAAGACTATAATTTCTAACTAAAGTTCTTTAATAAATTTAAAGTTATAAAATATATTTAACTACTACTTAAACTCTAAAAGAATCTTAACCTCTACTTATTACTTATAGATAAATAGTTAGATAGAAAGGTAGAACTAAATACTAAAGCAGTACCTTTAGTACTTCTATTATCTAAAATAGAATAATTAGGTACTATAGATTCTAATTATAGAATTTGCCTATAATAATAGTATATATATAATAATTAGGGTTACTCTATTTTAAGCCTACTATAGGGTATACCTAAGAGCTTCTAATTAGCTTAATTAACTCCTTAGAGAAGGTAAAGCCTTCCTAGGGAATAGATTAGCAGTAAGGGTAATAATACTATAAGTAGAGTATAAGAGGAAAATTCTAGTTTTAAATAAATACTAGAAGAAATATACTAATAAGAAAAGACTCTACTATAAATTTAAGGTAAAGAATAAAGTTTTTATATCTAATTAGTATATAAGGTCTACTAGACTAAAGAAGAAGCTTAATTAGAAGATATTAGAACCTAGAAAGATTATAGGCTAAATTAGCCTTACTATATTTAAAGTTAATCTTCTAGAAGTAAATAATACCTATTTAGTATACTACGTATCCCTATTAGAACTCTATATAAGAAGAGAAATAATTCTATATAATAAACTCTTACTTATAGATACGCTCTACAAAATAAAAGATAATATTTATAATATAAAGAAAGTAGTTAATAGGAGATAAAATAGCGTAGGTATATAAAAATATCTAGTAAAGTAGAATAGCTACTTAGAAGATAAGAACTCTTAGAAACCTAGAATAAATCTAAGTAAAGAAATACTTATAGTATTTTAGAATAAGGTTAAAGCAGTCCTAAAATATATTAAAAGAAAGAATAGGCTATTATAAGTATAATTTTAAGATAAACTTTTTAAAAGGAGAAGAATAAAACTATAAAAAAATAACTATATAGCTACCTTTCTCTATTTTTACCTACTTAGTAGAATTTTTATAAGGTTTAATAGCGCTATACCTAGTAGTTAGGATTCTTAAAGAAGAGTCTAAGAAAATAACTTTAAAAGTAAATATAAAAAATTACTAAGTTAATTAAAATACTTTAAGTTACTATATAATATTAGAATATAGGTAAGGAATTAGGATAAATTAGTATAAGTTAACTATAATTATTATTTATAAAGCTTATATAAGGCTAGGAAGTAACTTCCTTAGTATATAATATTAGAAATATATATATAGCTATATTTTAGCCTTACTACTACTAATCTAAGCTAATCTATACTAATTAGTACCTAGGTATACTTATTCTTATTCTTATTCTTTTTATAGGTCTTAGTAGCCCTCTTAGTAGATATAAAGTACTTATTAGTAGTAGTAAAATCTACCTTAGTAGTCTAGAAAGTAATAGTAGTTATAGTAGCCTTTTTTTTCTCTTTAGTAGCTACTTTAGCTAGAGTCTTACTAGAACTATATATACTAAACTAATTCTAAATAGTTAGTACTAATTTATACTAATAAAGCCTATAAGTAGCTACTTACCTTCTTATAAGAAGTAAGATCTAGGTCTTTATTATTAAAGGCTTTAAGAGCCTACTTCTTAGCTATAGCCTTTTTCTAGAAGCTAGCTTTAGACTAATTATAACTCTTAATATAGATACTAGACTTAGTAAACTTATTAATTTTAGTTACGCCTATATAAACTATAAGAGACTTATAATAAAGAGAGTACTTACTATTATAAATAATTAGATACTATTAGAGCTAATTACTACTAATTCTAACTACTTACTTATAGATTAAGCTAATAATCTTATTAGTAGTATTAATAACTCTTACCTTAATTATAATATAAAGAGAGAGCGTATATAAGATATAATTATACTATATAGGCTTACCTTTTTCTATAGCTTCTATAACTATATTCTTACTAAATAAGTAGTAAGTAAGTTACTTTTTAAGCTTAATAAAGTACTTATAGTAGGTATTAAGGAACTAAAAAAGTTAATTAGCTATAACTTATACTAATTAGAGCTAATAGATATACTCTAAAATAGTCTTAGCTAAGTTAAGTATAATAATAGTACTATATACCTTAATAATTACTATTATAAAACTTACTTTATAAATTAATATTAGTACTAAAAAAGTAAATTAAATTATTTATAATAAAGTTACTATTAGCTAAAAGGTCTAGGCAGTATATATAGAGAACCTTAGTATAGTAACTAGTGTTCTTATAGTTTTTAAGGCACTTAGCTTTTATTAAAGTAACTATCTTAATTACGTTAGGAGTAGGGTAGGTTAGGTAATTATTAAAAGGGTTCTACTAAGATAGTTAGCTAATATCTAATACCTACTAAGCCTATTAGACCTAAATTCTACTAATTAGTACTAATTAGAGCTAATTAATACTCTTTACCTTTCTACTAAAAATATACCTAAAGCTTAGAAACTTCTAAAAATTAGAGGTAGAAAGGAGGTAGAGTATAAAAGACTAGAAGAAAGCCTTTATTATATACTTAGGTAGGGCCCTTAGAGCTTAGGCTACCTCCTAGGTAGGTAAATAGTAAAAGAAGTAAAAATAGGTACTTATTTCTTTTACTCTAAACTAAGATTTTAGTTATAATATACTCTAAAAGTATCTTAATTAGGCTAAATTAGCTTAATCTAGTAATCTACCTAAATAGTTACTCTAATACGCCTATAATACGCTTAATATTACTAAATATAGGTAATAGAAGATATAGTCTACTAGATTAGAATAATTATATCTAAAAAGGGGAATATTATTAGGTAAGTATAAAGTAATAGGTAGTTTACGTACTATTATACTAGCCCTAGCCTCTTAGCTTATATATACAGATAAAAGTACCTTATAAAGAGATATAGGTCCTTTAGTAATTTATCTTATTATATATTAAATACTATTATTCTATCTTTACTATACTACGTTACTACTATAACTAAGTATTATAAAAGCTTACCTTAAATAAGAGTAGTATTATAAGTTCTTAAATAGGTAGTTTAAAAACTTCTACTAAAGATAAGATATAACTTAAAGATACCTTACCTACTAGTCTTAAAAACTTTCTTTAGAGTACGTTAAGCTAATAAACTAGTTCCTATAATTTATTAGAAGAAACTTTAGTAACTTATTTACTAATATATTAATAAAAGAAAGCCCTCTACTAAAAATAAACCTAATAGGTATCTAGATAACTAGTAGAGGAGGTAGTAACTAATTTATAAGTTTTAATATCTTAAATATAAATAAAGTACTAATTTCTTTTAAGTTCTTTAATAGGTATACTTACTATCTTAAAAGTAAAAGAATAATTACTAGCTTAGTAAGTAACAGCAGCTAGTTTAAGTAGTAAGTAACCTTAGTATTATATATATTTATTAATAAAGAACCCTAATTAAAGCCTAAGTTAATCTTTTATAAGACTCTAGGTAGGCTAATTAATATAGTAGAATATTCCTAGTAGAATCCTTAAGTAACTATTAAAGTAAATAAGTTAGTATATAATAATAAGACCTTATTTTAAAAATAGCTAGATTTAGAGCTTATACTAGTATTAGAGAAAAGAAAGAGCTTACTTATAATAAACTACGCTTTCTTCTATAAAACTAATTAGGTTTTAACCTAGTATAAGGAACTAGTATATAAGATTATACTAGCGTTAATTTTACCTAGATATATAAAGATACTTTAGCTACTAGATATTATAGTTAATAAACCTTTTAAGGTATACCTAAGAGAAGAGATAGAACTTATTTTAAATTAAGATAAACCTGCCTTAAGTTAAATAGTAATTTTAAAATAAAGAATAGCTATTACTAAAGCTATTAGTAATACCTAAGATTAACTCTACTATAACTTATAAAAGATTATAGTTAACTTCTTTATTTATACTAGAATAGCTATAAGTCTAAGTAGATTATAAGATAGGTTAATTAAGATTAAAGATATACTAAGTAATCTTATTAACTTTAATAGATAGTAGACTACAAAGCCTATTATTAAGCCTAAGATTAAAGAGAACCTATAAAATAGCTTTAAATAGGCTCTACTAACTAACAGCCTTTATAATAAAGGTAAATAGTTAGTAGAGTATATAGCTATATATAACCTACCTAGTATTAATATTAATATACTTAAACTTATATATAAAGTAAAAAGACTTACTAGTAATACTTAATTAAGAAGATTAGAGCTTATTTAATAATTATATATAGCTAATACTAAAGGCTTAATAGCTATTAAGGTAATTATAGTAAAGAAACTTAAAGCTCTATTAGACTTATCTACTATACTAAAATTAGTAGAGTTTTTTAGTTAAATAAAGTAAATAGCTTTCTATTAAGTATATACAGTAGTAAAGCTTAAGTAGGAGAATAAGATTACTAAGCTACTTAAGCTAAGTAAGAGGGCTTTAAGTATAATAGCTTATTAAAGTTATAGTATTATTTAGATAATTTAATAAGTCTAAAAGTTTAAAGTTTTATAAAGTTTCTAGTACTACGCTAGTAACTTAGTACTGCCTAATTTAGTAAAGTATTAGCTTTTTTAAGTACTTTCTAGTATTATAGTAAAGAATTAAGAAGGTTTAGAGTAACTACTTTATAGTATATTACTAGTCTCTAAGTTTATTAATAGACTTTATAAAAATATATATATAAGTAGTAATTTTATAAAGCTTAGCGCTTTAAGTTAGATATAGAAACTACTTTAAAATATTACTATAGTTACTAAATTAACTTTATATATTTAAACGCTTTATATTTTACTATAATAGCTTAAATCTTAAGTGTATATACCTAACACTAAGTCTAATTATAATGTAAGCTACTTAAAAATTGTAATACTAAAATCCTATTATAACTTTTAAATTTAGATAATTTTTAAGCTTTATATAGACGTTTTTAGGTATATAGAACAAATATAGATGTATACTCTAAGATAACAATTTGTATGTAAGGTCTATTAGCTTAAATATTGTATTAGATTGCTTATAAATTAGACTAAATAACCCCTGCTAGCTAAAGCTTGATTAAACAAATTTATACGGTAGTCAGACTATGATCTTGATCTATCCGTCGTGACAGGACGCCCCAAAACATTCATAGACAGGAGTTCTTGTCCAGACGTTGTCGAATATTCGCTCGCCTGATCGACCATCTCGATGCTCTATACTATGGGTTTGGCAGCACTCCACTTTCCTCGTGCATGTACAATGAGGTTTTCTCTAAATCAATCAATATCCTGGGTTGTTCTCCTGCTGTCAATAACACTAATCAGTTCTTGCACAACCTCGTCTCACGCTGCTGTCGTGCAACTAGAGTTCGAACTGCTGTCCCACTTCTCAGCATTGCACCGTTTCATGCTGCGTATGCCCGTTACGTCCAACCTCATGGAATCTTCTGTTGCATTGATTTTCAATATCTTCCGTCATTACACTGCCATGTATTGGGACATGCACGCGAACGGTTTAGGCGCAACATGCGGACGCACCACCGAAAAAGGTATTGACTAGATTTGAGGGACCCCAATCCGGAAGCCAGTACAAACCCACATCCTTTTTTCCCTGGAGACATATATACCAGAGCTCTCAGCCGCAGGAAAAGATCTCCACTTGCGGATTGCTATAGGTCATTCACACGCGCTATCCACGTTGACGAACAGCGAGCCACATTGCGGTACACAGCATCGGAGTTTTCCCCCAAACGGCCAACGATATGACTATGACATGTAACCTGGTATTGTTATTGAGTAACACTGTTCTAGACACAGCAGCTCGCTTGCATAATCGTCCCAGGGAATAGTTTCGAGTCTCACGTCTTTGGCGCCAGGCACAACATGTCAGACCGTAGCACAGCAATGAGGGCGAAAGCATTTCCCCGTGAGTATTACACCGCGGGATTTCAAGTTCCAGGAGACTAACCAAAGAGCATCAGCGCTGTTGTAGTCACGACATGTAGTGCTCACTCTCAACGCACTCACGGCCTTGCGTGAACCTTAGCTAAGGCATAATCCTCCGTATGCAACGCTACCACTCATCTCAAACCGTACAACGCACCACTCCCCCTCCGGTCTAAACATCCCCTCGTACATGTACGTTGACCGCAGCGCCACGCCCTCGGAGAAAACACCCAGTACTCTCATACCCCCGTGTAGGAGCGTGAACACAGAATACCAGATATCCATGAGTACAACCCGTCATTGCTCTCAAAACACCCGTGACGATACGATATGGAATCTCGCACATTCGAAACCATGTCCAGATGAACAAGCTTCCGCAGTAAGACAACTAAGCAGAAAGAGTTGAGGCTTTCACACATGGCAAAGAGTGCGGGTAGACTACCTATAGTTGCAGTAGTTGTAAACTGCCCTAAGGGGTGCATTGGGTCAGATGGAGACTGAGTTATGATGAGAACAGGCTTGTGTGCGAACTAATACAATGTTTACTTGGCGTGGTGGGGATGCTTGGGAAACGGTTTTCTTGTATTCGATTAATCAGTACGCGAGTACGTACTTGGGCCGCGTTCATGCCCCAACGAGCTACCCGTCAAGACCTTGATATTAAACAAAACCTGGACAAAGCCACTACCCAAGTCTTCATGTCATGGAACCCACCTACTTCTCCATCCCCATCTGTCGTGGTATCATGGAAAGCGAAAGAAAAACCCAGGCCCACCCAACAAGTCCAGCCATGCATCGTAACCAAACACCGATGAAGTCGGTCCCTTTCGTGACATGCATTCCCAATCCAATCCAGTACTCAATGAAACAAAAGAAAGACAACGCAAGGTTTGGCTGGAACCCGCGATATGGCAGAGAGAAGAAAAGACCATGACTTACATTAAGGCTTCAAAGCTGAACACTCGGCATCGTATGCGGCCATGGAGGTGTTGATGAATCGTGCACATCAGGAGTCGCAGACGAGATGCTGATTGTCGACTCGCCAACATCAACTTAAGCAGTATGGAGCGATACCTGGCTCTCCAGCTTGCCCCCCTCGGCATCGGTAGTCTCGCACGGCCAGGCGTACTGCCAGCGACCGTCGAACTTGAAAGGGTCTTTGCTGATGAACTTTGACACATCTGCTTGCGTCCTCAAAAACTCGAGGTAGCCAGCAACCTCGCGCAGCACATCTTGCTTCACGTCTTGGAGATCAGCCTTGAATTCGGGAACCTCGAGCAGGTTGTGTGGCTGAGCATTTGCTTTGAGAGACGAGTCGTCAATGAGAACGGTGTTGTGTTGTCCAAAGCGCTGCCCGACGGCATAGTAAGGGTGTTTCTGCTGGATGATGCTGTTCCACACCAGATCGAGGTTCTTGTAGACTTGGACGTTCATGTTGTAGTGGTGCTCTGACAGGCTGAATGAATCACGAGCCCAGATAGCTACGAGCATCGAACGCAGCTCCGTGTCGAGACACTGCGTGACGAGCGAATCGACGTTGTGGGGGCGAGCACTGGACCACACCATGACGTGGAAGTTACTGAACAGATAGCGCAGGAACGGCTTCAGGAAGGGGCGCGCAATCATGCTCTTCGCGTTCCTATTGGGTCGGTAGATGAGGGTGCCGTTTAGGTCGAGGATGACGAGCATCTGGCCTGGGGTGTCGAGGGTCGAGGGTTCTTCGGCGGCTTGGCTCAGATACAGCGGCGTAGGTGGAGGTGCAGGAAGAGCAATCTTGGGGTCCCTGCGCCTCTCCTTTGCCGTCATGCCTCGCGGTTCACTGGGCGCCCTGTATGGCTTGTTAACACGAACACTGGCACACTCCCGAGTGTCAAGCCGGTGGAGGAGATGGTACCTGTCCTTCCTCTCCCTCGTCTTCTTCTTCTGCTTGGCGGGGCCATGTCCGTCTATCTTCTGGATGAAGTCGTCAAGCTCTTGGTCAGACGCCCTGGCAAGAGGGTTAGCAGTGCGATGGGTGGGTCTCGGGCGGTGGATCAGGGAGTCGAACGTATCGTGCAGCTCCTCGTCTGTGGGCCCCTGCGCAGGGCTGGCGTGCGACTGCATGTGGGCGTAGTGGTATGCGGTGGCGGGGTTGGGGTAGTTGGCCTGGCCGTGCTGGACAAAGGCCGACGGCGCGCCGTAGTATGGCGGGTTCTGGGGCGGGTAGCCAATGTAGCCGTAGTACTGAGCCCACTGCAGATAGTGGGCGTGCGCCTGTGCCTGGGCTGCATAGTCGGGGTAGGCGTGCTGGTGGGTTGTGCCGTGCTGGTCGCTGCCGTCGGGCGGGCCAGCGCTGGGCCAGAAGGGGGGCGCGTGCGGGTTCATGTCGTCGTAGGGGCGCTGGCCGAAGAAGTTGGCGGCGGGCGCACTGTCTGGCTGGCGGGCCGTCTTGTCAGGGTTAGTGGGGGACATTGCGAGTGCAGAGTCGTGGGGAGGAGGGTACCCAACGCGCGCGGCGACGACCGTCATGCTGCTGCTTGGCGACGAGGAAGAAGCGGCCGAGGCGGTCGGTGAAGTGAGCAAGTCGAGGTGAAGGTGGCATTACAGTCGGGCGTGGCTGTTGCGGCTGCCTGCCTCTTGCACGTGCTGTTGCTAGTCGGCCAAAGGCAGCCCATGCTCCGAGGCGTGGGGAAAAAAGTGCCCATCACGGCACTGGGCCACTTTCTACGCAGAACAGCCCGCCCGCCCGCACTCGTCACTCGATGCCTCTTTCCTCGACGCTCGCCCGCAAGCTGCGCGCTGCCGACGACAGCTCCGACGGCGAAGACTACTACGACGTCACGGATCGCTCGTCGTCGGCCTCGATCCTCGAGACGGGCGCCGGCGGAGACGTCATCAGCTCAGATGGCGAGGGCGTGGGCGACGACGACATGGTGAGCATAAGCAACGTCTCGTTCGGCGCCCTCGCCAAAGCACAAGCCGCCCTGGACAAAGACCACACCCCGTCACACGCCTCCGAAGACAAGCTGGAGGCGCTGAGGGAGAGGCTGCGGCAGATCAAGGCGGACAAGTCAAAGTCGACGGCGAACAAAAAGACCAAGCCAACGCCCCGCGACGAGGGCAACGGCGGCCGTGGCGATTCCGACTCGGATGCGGCACCAAAGGCACGACCAAGCAAGCACGCGCCCGCTGTACAGTCAAGCAAGCGCATGGTTTCGCGCAAACGCCAGGTCGTCGACGTCAAGAAGCCAGTCTCTCGAGACCCTCGCTTCGAGAACATCAACGGCCCGCTGCCTGACGACAACACGATTGGGAACAGATATGGATTTCTCGACGACTACCGCAAATCCGAGATTGCCGACCTGCGCAGCACAATCCGAAAAAGCAAGAACGAGGGCGAAAAAGAGAGGCTGAAGAGGCAGCTGCTCCCCATGGAGTCGCAGCAAAAGACGCGCGAGAACAAGGAGGCGCAGCAGCATGTCATACGAAACCACAAGCAAAAGGAAAAGGAGCTGGTCAAGCAGGGAAAACAACCCTTCTACCTGAAAAAGTGTACGTTCCCCAACCCCGTTGCACACTGCAGCGCGTCATTGCAACTAGCGTGCTAACTTCGCGTCGCAGCCGAGCAAAAGAAGATTGCCTTGATCGACCGCTTCCAGAACATGAAGTCCAAGCAGCGCGACCATGTCATCGAACGCCGTCGCAAGAAGGTCACGGCCAAGGAGCGGAGAAACATGCCCGCGGAACGACGCGCAGCCTGATCTCATGGTGCCAAGTCGGCCGCACGCAGGCGAGAAAGGCATGGGCATCTTTGACCATTTACAAGCACAGATACCCGTTTCAGACAAACCTTGACAGGATTTTACCCTTTTGGTCCCTCACCACGGCACAGCCTTCCCGGTCTCCTGACATTGCCGTCGTTCGATCGTGTGTTCGTGCAGTGCGGCTTCCAAGTTTTGGTATCCACAATTCATCGCGTCCGATTCCCCACTTCACCACCGCCTGTCATCGATCCGTTCGCGTCAGAATCGCATTGCACACGCGAAATCGCGTCCACATTGGCCATCCTGATCCTCCACATCCCTGAAGGTGGCCTGGACTAAGCGGGGGTTGTGTAACATGGCAGGGGTATCATCCAAGAAAAACATGCATCGTGCCGCTGCTCATGTCCACTTCGTCAATGTCTACGTCATCCCCGTGTTGCTTTGTCCCCAGCCTCCTGCCTGCTTTTTAGGCCGGCACGGCCACATTTCATCTTCTTCCATCTCGCACTTCTTTCAATTCAATACCTTTTCATCGTTTTTATATCTTCGTTTTAGTACACCGTTGATCGTCTTCGCTTAGTGCTCCTGTAGTCGATCTTATTTTCAACGGCCAAGGCTATCCAATCACATCACCTCACATCACCAACACCATCATCATCATCATGTCCGGCGCCCAAGAGAGACCGCTCAATGAGTATGTGACTATGAATATCCCACCGCATCAGATGCACCAACCGCACAAATCGCAAATCTCACTACACCGATTCTAATACAATCTTCAGGCTCCTTTCTCGCTCCATGGTCGACATCTACGTGGGCCCTGAAAACACACACTGGATCCTCCACGAGAAACTGCTCTGCCACCACTCTCCCTTCTTCCGCAAAATCTTCTACTCCAAAACCTCGCGCACATCCTCGTTCGGGCTCCCCGACGAAGAAGATGCCCCCTTCAAGACCTTTGTCGGCTGGCTCTACTCATCCTCGCTTCCTGTCCCCCGCGAAGAAGCCGACTTGGGTCTGCAATATGACCTCTACCTCATGGCGGAGAAATTTCAGATCCCTAATCTTATCGCCGACGTGTTGCAGGTTGTGCGCGAGTGGTACAAGTTCAGCGACTCGTACCCCAGCCTGAGGCGCATACAGTATGTCTATGCCAATACCGAGGAGGGCAGCCCAATGCGCCACATGCTCGTCCACAGCGTCGCACGTATGGTGGTTTTGGAGAAGGGCATCCCAGCGCACTGGGACAAGGCGCTGCGGAAGAACGGCCAGTTGGCCGTTGACATCATCCGTGCGATCCAAGACTGGAGACTTGACGAGGAGATTGTGCCCGACGCGCGCGACGATCCCGCCGAGGGCGAGGAGCTCATCGACGTTGAGGAGGAGACAGAGAAATTGGACCGCGAGGTCGAGCAAGAAATTGAGGGCGCCGACTCTCATGAGAACGAAGCTGAGGCTGATAACTCGGGCGAAGACCATGAGCACTCCGCTTCCAACTCGGACAACGACTCTGAGAAAGAGGAGGACGACAGCGAAGCAACCGTTGTCGACAGTCCCACGAGCAAAAAGTTCTCGGACCCTACATCGAACGAGAAAGTGTCGGCCAAGAGTAAATCCGACGACGCTGACGAGAAGGTCCAACAGACTAAGAAGCTGAACAGTGGGAAGAAGTCCCCTGTAAGCAACAAGAACAAGTCCGATGATGCGTTCAAGAAATTCTCGCTCAGTAAGGCGGACTACGGGACGCTGCAGAAGGCTTGAATGCTATTGGGGCACGCGTTGCGTATGCTGAAATTGAGGGTTGGGTAATTTTTTTGTGTTGCGGTTTGATTTATGAACCTGCCGATATACCGCTTCGGTTTGCTAGGTTTCCTTTACGGTGGATGACGGGTCAACAGGCCGGTTTAATGTTTTCTTCTCTCTTCTCATTTCCCGGCTTCCGGTCTCGCTTTTAAGCTGTCCAGCAGGCAAAATCTGTTTCCTGATGTTGTATTTCTAAAGTTATCTGATATCCTGCTTGTTATAAGTAATGAAACGCTCTATATCAATATTATACCGACTTTGCTCTCGAGATAATGTGACTTTGGTGGAAACTCCACTCTCCCCCTTTCACTAACGCGGCCCTCGCTCCAGTGTGAAAAGCGGGAAGTAAGCTGTGTTTCTCGTGGCTCTCATAAGTTACAATAGTATAGCAATAAAATTTACAACTTTGAGCAAGAGGCGTGCACCGCTAGGAAATTAGACACATAACTTCTGCACTAGTCTTGGATGTTGTTGTCTAGCTATCGTAAGACTTTGATCCAGCTTAGTTGCGGATACCTTGTTAACTGCGAGACAGGCTCCAAATCGGTTCAGCCAGGAAAGCAAAAAAGCATCTCGTGGGAAAGATATGAAATTTGAGATCTTGATTGACACCGGATCGAGATGGATGCAAAAACATGGTCATTACGAGGGTCGAACTCGCGACCTTGGCGTTATTAGCACCACGCTCTAACCAACTGAGCTAAACGACCGGTCTTGTGTTTTTCGATGGAGAGTTTTGAAACTAGGATTCTCGTTTTTTTTTCTGAAAAAAACACCGACTTGTATTCGGACAAGATTGTGACAATACAGCATGCCATTCTCACCAAATCTAATCAGTAACATACGGGTTTCTTTCAAACTCGTGATCTAGACACACGACGCTTAAGATTCATTGCGTAGCAGACTATATGAGATTCCTTCCTTCATAGTCGTGAACAATCCCCCATACAAAAAGCTCTTTGCAAATGCATAAACCCCATGTGATAGCATCCTTAGTGATTTCAGCATGTGATCAATTGAATCATATATTCTTGATGTTGATGTGGCCACAAAGTTTAGAAGAATTTGGGAGGAGCGTTGCTAAGTATCTACGATATCTGGGAACAGACTTGGTGGGAGATTGTGGTTGCTGGCAGAGGAATCCATCTTGATGAGAGGCTCAAGTGATTAATGTGTTCTGTGCGGGGCAAGAGGCAGTATTGGATGGTTGCTAAATACCGAAAGTGATTGAGACGTGTTTTGAAATACAGTGTTCAGGAATCTATTGACACATTGCGTCGTGACAGCTATTGGATAACATACAACCGTTTAATACATACAAGACATGTTTTACTTTCTTTTGTCCAGGTGGAAGCATCTCAAAAGTACATCCCGCCTCTGCTCTACAATTATCTGTCTCTAAACCTTAGATCCTTAAATCTGAGCAACGACCTGCCCGACACTCCCCATATCCAGCTCCAACCCGTCCCTGCACGACCCACCTTCACAAACCATGACACCCTCCCGTCCGGCATCCATGCTCCTCACCAACGGATTCCTCTGCTTTAGCCACCCACCCTCACCTTTGCCGACTCTACTAATTGTCCCCAAACCCGCCGGCCTCTCCCGATACCTCCTCAGCCACTCCTCCACCTTCTTTCCTTCCCCAGTAAGAACAACATGTCTCATCCCGAGTCTCCCAACAACAACAGCATCCATCATACTCGGGAACAGAAACGGGTGCTGCATGATCTCCGCTTCAAACGCACTGGCCGTTTCCCTGGCTTTCTTCACATACTCTTCATCCTCCAATAGTGCACCCAGGCGATCTAGATTCCGTGCTGAAACGCCATTTGTACCAGGTTCCGCATTGTCCATGCCATCTTTCAACCGCATAATGAGATCTTTCTGGTCTTCAGGTGTGGAGAAGAAGCCGAGGTGCTCTTTGTCCCAGAAGAGCTTAATCTGTGTTTGTTGCAGGTCGTCGGCCCATTGGAGAAAGGACTCGTTGAAGGTGGCTCCGTATATGTCGATAAGACCGGAAATCAGGTAAGCGTAGTCGTCAGCAAAACCAGGCGCGTCGCCAGGACCTTCGCGGTAGACGCGTGTCAGTGTTTTTGTCTGCGAGTTGTACAGTTCTTTGTTGATAAAAGAAGCAGCTTGTTCAGCTGCGGTGAGGTATGCTTTCGACTGTGTTGGGTCTTGTAATGAGAGAGAAGCGGCTGTCCGAGCCAAAGCGCCAATGGCAAGGCCGTTCCATGATACGACTATCTTGTCGTCCAAAGCTGGCCGTGGTCGCTCCTTGTTCCTGTGCTCGAGCAGCTTGCGCCGGCCTCCAGAGAGGATCGTTCCGACTTCCTGTTCAGAAAGGGCAAATTGTTTCGCCAAATCCGGTATGGTAGTGGTAACTGCTAATACATTCTGGTCGATCAGTTCATCGTGTGCATCGTGTGCAGGGGCCACATTGCCTTCATCGAAAACATTGTAATATCGCGCAAGGATTTCAGCGTCTCGATCCCCTAGTATGTCGTGGAACTCTCTCAATGTCCACACATAGAAGGCGCCCTCTCGTTTCTCCTTATCTGTGGGTCGATACAGCGAGTCTGCATCTTCCGACGAATAGAACCCACCATTTTCGGCATGCATTGGCGGGCTGATAAGGTATGTCGCGATGTCGTGGATAGCGGAGAGAAACTCGGGGTTTTTTGTTGTGAGGTAGGCATCAAGGTATACAGGCAAAAGTTGTGTCTGGTCGTAGAGCATCTTTTCGAAGTGGGGAAGGCTCCAGTCCTGGGTGACCGAGTACCGGGAAAACCCTCTGCCTATCTGATCATGTATGCCGCCCTTGTGCATCGCGTCCAACGTTGCCAGAACCATGTCTTTCGCGTGTGTGCAGTCTTTCGCGCCAATGACATCGGCAACTGCACTTGGGTATTGGGACAGCTTGAGGAGGAAGGCGAGGTTGGAAGGTGTGGGAAACTTGGGCGCGCCACCAAAGCCTGCGTATTTGGTGTCGTACTTGTTCTTGAAGTGCTATGTTTGGTTAGGTCAAGTACTTTGAGAACACTGAACTTCTCACCTCAAAAGCCTCGTCCAGCAGTTCTAGCTCGAGGCCGTCGTGGTCTGCGCCGTCCTTTCTGCTAATATTGCCGTCCTCTGCGAAGTCTCGGAGTTGCGCAGTGATCTCCTTTGCCGATTCAAGACACCTCTGTCGCTCATTCTTCCATACATCTCGCAGCTTCTCCAGTATCCCAACAAACCCAATATGGTCCCCCATAGCCATGGTCGATCCTGGACCTGGCCAGTACGTGCCTCCAAATATTGGCTCCAAATCTGGTGTGATGAACGCGTTCAACGGCCATCCACCCGACCCTGTTGTTGCTTGAACATAGTTCATGTAAATGCGATCTATGTCTGGACGCTCTTCGCGATCAATCTTGATCGGTATGAAGTTCTCGTTGAGCAGATTCGCGACCTCTTGATTCTCAAACGATTCGCGCTCCATGACGTGACACCAGTGGCAGGCCGCATAACCTATGCTGATGAAAATCAACTTGTTCGATTTCTTCGCCAGCTCGAGAGCTTCTGGTCCCCAGATCTGCCATGCGACCGGGTTGTTCATGTGTCCGCGCACATACGGACTGCGGCTCTCGTTTAATCTGTTCACAAGCTTTAACCTGTCGCCTGAAGGAGCAGAGGCGCTCGATACATTTTGCGCATTCATTGTGAGTATGTGAGTATGAAACTTGCGTAATCGCCCTTTCGAAAGGGTTCGCAGTGGGGCAACTTGGAGAGGGAGCAGGTGGGCGGGCGCAGCTGTTATCGTAGTTTTTGCAGTGGCGCAGAGTCCCGTATATTAAATCGCACCAGAGGCATGCAGGGTTGCAGACGATCTTAGAATAATAAGAGAGAATCTAGTGCGATGGCGGCGCATTGTCGCTATGGTGGGGCGCGGTGCTACAATTCCGAGGTCCTTGCCGGAGCGGAATTTACCCCACATCCGCCATGGCTACGTAATCCCTTTGATGTGGGGTCTGACTGGTCATCTGCTATTACTACATTTTGCTTCGATACAAACTGCTTCCTTGCCGTCATAACAACAAAACAGAGACGACTGTGAGATGTAGACTATCTCCGACTATATCTGGCCAGCTGGCTGAGGAAAGATTGGCATAGCCTGTTTCGATGTACGAGGGTACAAGTTCATCAAGCCTTCCAGATGAGGTCGAGGATAAGCAAGCAAGAGATTTCTCCACTTGCAGTTGATGACAGACCTGTGTAATCAATGCAGACCATGAATGACTTGGAAGTATTAGTCTCACTGATTATGACAATTGATCTCCGTGCAGTCTGATGAAAGAGCCTACACACTGACCAAGCTATTTCGTAGCTGTTAGTAGAGTACCACAGGCACACTCTGGTGCGACCAGCCTGAACTCATCTCAGCTTGACGGAGCTGACCTACATGTTTATGTTTGTTGTGGTAGTGACGGATCAAGTCGAACATGTGGCACCGATGAACGAGGCAATTCAGAGGCACGGAGTGAAAGGCGTACAGGCGTGACATAATGAAAAGCGCGCAATGTTTTGTGTTCGCGAAGTCGCAAATTCTGGCTCGAGCATTGGATAAAATGCAGTGTGATGCGACGTGGCCAAGATGAAGGACTGATGCCACGCTCGGTCTTGCCTGCATTGTTCCTGCGTCGTGTACCTGCGGCAGGCACGCCGCCCCACTTGCAAACAACGACCCTTCATTATACGCCTATCAAGTGCGACACGCACGAAAGCCCTACTATTGCGCTCCGACACAAACATTGATAACGATTTGATGTAGAGCTGTAAATGCCATTCATCCAAAGGAACAGGGTGTGGGATAAGGCGTGCCTGCCGTGACGACGGATCAACGTGATGCTATTCACCCAAGTCGATGTAGCGTTTAAACGATGTTTTCTCAACGCAAGCCCTATGCGTCTTGGTGCCATACTCTGGTGATTGTCTGTACCCTGGACTCATGTTTTAGGCCCAGATTGGCACTTTTCTGTTGGTGAATGTAGTTGATTGTGTCACTGGGCAGGCGCGCTTTGCTCCCTCATCTTACGTGCTGTGTCGCTTAGTCTTGGCCTTCTCTCCATAAAACCACTCACTCGACCTCTCCCTCGCCGCTCTCTAATCTCTTAGATCACTCAACCCCGACATTCGCTTCAGCCACTGCCGCTCCTTGTGCAGGTTATCTAAACAGGACGCTCTTTACCTGCTCCTTCCAACTACTCACGCTCTTTTGTCCCAAGCGTACCGGGTCGCAATCGACCGGTTCATAGCGCTTCAAGAAGTCAGTGGTCATGTACGTTTCCCAACTTCCACACTCACCTCCATGTAGCTTGCGAAACGATACCACATCACTCGATCGTAATTCCTCACTGACCATACTGCAGCTGCTTGCAATTTCATCTCACAGAGACTCAAGGTTACACACGAGCACGATCTCCAAGCTTTCTGGACAACGCTCGCTCAATTCAATTCACCATGCGTTCTTCTATTCTCCTCGCTTCCACGCTTGCGATGGGCGTTGTCCTAGCGCACCCTCGCGTTGGCAAGCTCCACCCCCATCTTAGGAAGCGCCACCTTGTCACCGAGACTGAGGTGCTTGTTGAGACTGTCATCATTTACGTCACCGCCTACGAAAATATCGAGGCAGTGTCCATGTCTCCATGTTCCTCAGTCACTGCCATGTCAGAGCCAGAGCCAACCTCTACCGAAGTGTTTACGCCAACGGCGGAAGTGCCTTCCTCTACTCCGATTCCCGCTCCTACTCCTACCATTACGCCAGCTCCGGAACCGGAGCTACCTTCTTCGACTCCAACCCCTACCCCAACTCCGGAGCCTGAGCCGTCTTCGGAGCCCGTCTATGCTCCCACCCCCGAGCCGGAGCCGGAGCCGGAGCTTAGTCCAACCTACGTGCCTCCTACCTCGACTTCTGCACCTAGCTCGACCTATGTAGCGCCGCCATCCAGCATGACGCAGGCCCCCGAGCCCAATGCTGGCGAGCATGTTGTCGGCGACGACCAGGCGTACCTTTCCGCTGGGCCGGATTACGAGGCTGCCATGCTCTACCACCACAACATCGCTCGTGCTAATCACGATGCTGAGCCTCTTGTCTGGGATGCTGATTGTGAGGCCGCAGCTCTCGAAGCTGCCCAGACATGCACCTTTAAGCATTATATCCCCGAAGGCGCAGGTCAGGGACAGAACCTCTTCACTGTCTCTGGTGATACCTTCAATGCCACTGCAGGTGTGACCGAGAGCTGGTACAAGGGCGAACTCGAACACATGGAGCATTATTGGGGCCAAAGTGATATCCCGGACGACGTCTTCCACAGCGTTGGGCATCTAACTCAGATGGTCTGGAAGGGCACCGCCAAGGTCGGTTGCGTTTCCATTGACTGCGGCGACAAGATGGTCGTTGGTGGTACAATGTCAACGATGAACAAGTACACGGTCTGCAACTATTCCCCTCCTGGTAATGTCGGCGGCGCCTATGCTAAGAATGTCGCTACCCCCTTCTCCATGACCAACTTGGGTAGCTGGGCTGATTAGGCGTCTTTCAAGCTGTTTTTTGGTAGAAACATCTCTTTCTACGTAGCATGGCCTATTACCATATGCTTTTGCACGTATGTTGCAACACAAGTCAGCGAAACTGCTTGTATAAGGAAGGGCTCTTTTTTCTTTACTGTTAGAAGATCTGTGAATGGCAACAACTTCGACCAAGGTTTGGTCAGCCAGGGATGGAATGGTTTCATGACTACAATTCGTTGTACATACTTACGCCGGAGAAGTCTTCACGAGTATCTCAATGCCCAAACGTTCATAATCATACGTGTTCCATGCCCTAGGTTGGCCGTGCTGGGTGCAACAAGCGATTTGTTGGACGTGACTGGTGAAAACAGCGTCTTAACGACTGGACTTCAGCTGCTTCGAAAATGACGTGGTGCTTATTCTTGTAATGTTGGAGTAAAAATGACGTTGAGATCCTTATCAAGTTGGTATCCTTTGTTCGCGCTACACAAGAATGAATGGTTGTGCGGAAGGATCTCCGATGCACGAAGATCAGACGCGTCGCGTAGCGACTTCAACGTGAGTACTCTCCCACTTCACTCCACACGTTTGCAATACTACTGCCAACGATTCACGTGCATTGTGATGGTCTTCATGATTATCCAATACTTGACCAACACTGTATGCCGCCGTCTCAATGGATACGAGTTCGATTTTGACGCGTCGCCGCGTTTGCTTGAGTGACGCGTGTGATGTCATGAGGCGTTTTGCGCGTTCTCGTGAGGCATATGGTGGAACCTCAGGCACTTGGAAGTTACTGCTAACAATATATCTAAGTTCGGTGCATCTGTGGCCTGATCATCCCATACACTGCTCTCATAATGTACCAAGAAGGCTGCGTTGACAAGTTCACTGCCGTGATGCTGCTGCTGACCCAAGAATTCGTGCGAAAGACGGAATTTACGGGCAGGTGTGAGAAACGATGGTGAAGGTAAAATTGCCTAGGCCGTATCGATCATGAATGAGAGTCGACTCGAGGCTAAGGCAAGCCAAGATCGCCGTCGCACCCCGGTTAATTGCATCAATCTCTACCATGTCACCTCACAAACCCTTCGACCACACTCGGCCATAAACCCAGAGTTCAAGCACCTCATATTTGCTGGCAACACGTACAGACTATGGCCTCTCAAGCGGATACGCGAGATCACGCGGCGAAGCTGCCACCAGAGCTGAAGCGCATGGTGTGCAACTTGGTGAGTTCCTGTGCTTCTGGTGTTCTTCGATGATCGATGATCGCTGACAGCGAAGCCTAATAGTGTGACCGGCGTAAGGGGTCGAAAGTGAGTCTAGGGTAGCACGGTTGTAATTAAAACGTGGGAATCAGGTTTTATGCAGGGGTTGGTGTTCGTTTGATTTCGGCATTTCCCAGCTCACTCAAGTATAACTTAACGTACAGTATCCATTGAAGTATCGCCTCCCAACTCTTTGACCTGTCTCGACCCCAAATGGCTCGTATCCGACGCTCTGCCGGCGGGCACCCCTCAATGAACAGGCGACTGTCTAAGTGGTCTCACAATTCACTGCAAAAATGTGCGGGTGCCCTCAACAGAGACCCCTCAAAAACAGCAGTTTCAACCCCAGAATCCTCACATTTTACTGGGACTGGTGGTGAGTTGTAGCTGGGTTTGGTTCTACTTTGAAGCTAACATATTGGCAAGACACTGAGCTCCAGTCTTCAAGGAATCCTCAGTTGCCTGTGGAGGAATCCACTGGCATGATCTTTAATCGCATGCGATCTGGAGAGGTTGTCAACACTTTCACTCAGCGGGAGCTGTTCACGAAACGTGAAAGCGACCACACCAACGTTCTTGATCTAGACCATCTGGCGGCAAAGTATTCCGATGAACTTTTGCCCTGGGACAACCGCGAATCCGCACCAGCATTGGAAAGGCGACTGATAAAGGAGTCACCACCGAAGAAGCGAAAGCAGGGAAAGGAGGGACAAAAGCAGCAGGAAAAGATGGCAGCTGCTGAACAAGAGCGTCAAGATTTGTTGAATGATTTACAGAGCAAGTGGCTGGATGAGCTTGAGAAACTAAGAGTTGCGCGGCTAGACGGCGGTTCAACAGCTCGCAGCGACTCTGCAAGACCAGTGCTCAAAAGGGATCAAGCGCTCAAGCAGATCGAAAAGTGGTCAAAGTCTTATTTGACTACTGACAACGGCTGCTGGCTAATGAAGTCAAAAAGCCCAACACTGCGGGATAAAGATTGGCGTCCAAAGACAAAAGTTCAACGCGTTAGTCACTATCATGCACATATTGCTCTTGCTTCTACTAATTGCCACGGTAAGTACCATGAACTAGTTTCAATATCTAGTCCTGTACTCTACCAACTGTGGCAAAGTATCTACCCTGCTGCTAGCAGCCGCCCAGCTTTTACCCTTTCTAAGAGTACCCGCCTTGAGGTTTCTCACCTTTGCCATAAAAAGCGTTGTGTTAATCCTAATCACCTAAAGATTGAGACCAATACTGTTAACAGAGCAAGGGAGGATTGTCGTGGCACAGTTTTTGGCCCAGATGGATCAGTTTACCACCTCTGTACCCATGCTGTTCTGCCTGGGTCAAGTGGATTCAACTGTGTTATTCCTGCTATCAATCTTTCTGCAGGAGACAGCCCTGGCGTCTTCCAGGCAAAGCTTCTTGCTGATCCAGCTGCTGGCCCTTCTGTCGCTCTATGCCGGATGGGTGAGGGAGAGTTGGCAACAGAACAAGTAGAGCTATAGATTCTTTTGCCATGGTGTGCTTCTTATGTTGTTTGTATGGAATGTACTCAAATACTTTTAGTAATGTTTAATATACAGTGGGGTGACACAAATAAAAAGTCACTTTAAAAGTCTACTATTTTAAGAGCGTATATCTTAGTAAGTAATAGAGCTATAAATATAAAAAAAGAAGTTTTTAAAAGAGAAATACTAGCTTAAAATTTCTGTAATTAAAGGTAAATATACTTACTATCTAGTAAAATTAATATATAAGCTAGAAGTAGACCCTAAAGTTTTACTTTATTTTAACTAGCTAGAACTTTTTTTTAGACGTATAAAGTTAAGTTTTTTTTAGGTATATATAAAATAGGCTTAATAAGCATTACGTTACCTAATTTATAGTATAAATTTATTAACTAAAAGATTTTTAAATCTAACTTTAAATCTAGTAATAGTAAATTAGTAAGCTAAAATTACGTAATTATACGCTAAAATAGTAGTATATAATAGATATCTTCTAGAAAAAAAATCCTAGACTTCTATTCCCTTAGTAATATTTTTAAAATAGAGCTAAAATTCTTAAAATTTAAATCTTAAGTTAAGCTTCTTTTAAAAGCTAAAACTTCTACTTTTACTATAGCTATAACGCTAGAAAAGCCTCTAAAGTTTATTAAAAACGCTATTAATAGAATAAATAAAAAAACTCTTAATATAACGCCTCTAAAATCTATTAAATAAGGACGTATTTCTAAGCTATCTAAAAGAGAAGAAAGAGTTATTAATAGAGCTATAATAAATAACCCTAAGGTTAAAAATAAGAGTGTATTAGTTAAAAATAACCTTCCTATATATAAAAGAAGCTTATAAAGATTTTTTAAAAGAGAAGGATATTCTATTAATATAGCTTCTAAAAAGGCTTTATTAGATAGATATAAAGCTAAAAGGAGGCTTTTACTAGCTAAAAAGTAGAATAAAAACATTAGAAATATAAATCTTAATAAGATAGTATTTTCTAATAAGTTAGTAATCTAGCGTAGGTATAGTGCTAGAAAGGAATATTACAGAAAGAAGGGAAATAACAGAGTTAGTAACTAAATAGTTAATATAACTAATATAAGTAAGTTTAAAATTTTTTTTAGTAAGCTAAGTTTTAGAGCTTTTTTCTTTCTTTATTTTTATTTAACTATTTTTTTTATAGCTTTAAAACCAACTTTTTTACAGCTTAGGATATTTCTATCTAAGTTTAGGGAGTAATTTAGATAGGTAGACGCTCTAAATTAAAGGTTATTAAAATACCTTTTACAACTAAGTCTTATATAAATAAAGACTACCTAAAAAAGGTTTTAATACGCTACGTTAAACTAGCTATTAAAAAAGGTAAGTTTATTATTCTTTATTTCTAACTCTTTTATTTTTTTTAACCTCTATTTTTACTCCTTTAATTTTTTCTAAATTCTTAAAAAGTTCTTTATACTTATATCTATTTAGGCTAGAAGTTTTAGCAAGATAACGCTAAAACTTATAAAATACTAAATATAATAGCTTAGTTTAAGAGAAATAAAATTTCTCTTTATTAGTATCTGCTCTATAGCCTAGATCTAGTACCTATTAAAAATATCTAGAGTCTATTAAAAGATAGACTAGATAATAGAATAAGTACTAGTTTAGGAGTAGGAGCTAGTAAGGCTAGTGTAGAGGCCTTTAAGAGGGCTATATATAAGGAGTAGGATTTAATCCTGTAATAGAGTATAGATAACTATATTTTATCTATACCTAGGCGTTATAAGGCAGTTATAGATGCTAAAGGGTAGTATACTAAGTACTAGTTAGCTATTACTTATTATATTATTCTATTTTAACTACTTTTACTACTTTATTAAATTCTATCTTTTTTACTTAAGTAACTATACCTAAAAAACTTAGAATCTAATATTAATAGATAGATAAGAAAGTTTATACTATTTTAAGTTAATTTTATACCTATAAAAAATACTTATTACTACTTTTATTAGACTCTTTTTTACTCCTCTTAAACACTGCTAAAGAACTATCCTCTAGAGATTACTAAGCAGAAGTTTTATATAAGTAAGTTATAAATTAGTATTTTCTCTTTCTAAATCTCTTTTTTTTATATTTATAGCTCTACTACTAACTAAGATATACGCTCTTGAAATAGTAGACTTTTAAAGTGACTTTTTATTTGTGTCACCCCACTGTACTTTCCCATAAACAGCTCCTTGGTATTTAGCAGCTGGTGGTTCCAGCGGTCGGCTTGGGATATAGTTTGGGTTTCGTCGAAAGGCTGTAGCATTGCAAGATATAGCCTACACAGCAGGAGCCTGCGGCTTCGTTCAACTCGACATAGAGATTTTCACAAAGAATACGGTGCTGCTATTGCTGTGCAGATTCTACCACTCACAGGAGGACTCGCTTCGGCTCATCCCCTGTCTAGCATTCGATGGATTGAACAAGTTTATACAGTAATCAAATCGAGGTTGGAGGATGAGACGGATGAGAGAAAAATACTTGGATTATGATATCTACCAAGACACATACTTTCTCTTTGACGCATACAGTTGATTGATGTGAATCTACACTTTTGCCTAGAAATTGAAAGCCATAACCAAGTCAACAGATCATCCCATTATCAAAGTCCCCCATATGTCCATCACATCATCTACGCCGAACACATAAACGCCCGTGACAATATACTGGCTCAAAACCGATTACCTATGAAACATTCCTTTTGCCCCAAACTCCACATGGGGATATCATGCCAAAATACAACTCCACTAAATGGTTTCTGGATCCGCTCTACGATCCGCTTTTTTAGTTTGCCAACCCAATACCAAATGCTTTTGCAACAAGACCTAGGGAAGAGAAGTAAATATGTTGTAAGAAGAATACGTGTAAGAAGAACTTGTGAGCGCATCAGTCGTGTTTACATCAAATCGACTGGAAACAACTGTGATAACTGTAGTGATGGAGTGACGGATGTGTGTAGGCAAGTAGGTGGACACTCTAAGAGGCGTTTTCTTCGGTGCTGCAACTGGTAAGGACAATGAAGTCATCCTTTCTATCCGATAGCGACATGTTTATGGGTCCGTCGACAGTAGAGACGTTGGTGCTCGGGAGAGAACTGGTTTGCGGGGACTGTGCAGAGCTGGAGAGTGGAGGTGTGGGCGGCACATCAGTTGGCTCGCGTGGCATTGTGGGTGAGTCAATGCGATCGTAGCGATACATCTTCTTCTCGACCTGGGCGTGTTAGAATCCCCATTCGGTAAATACACTACAGAGCGTGATCTTACTGAAATGATCTGCTTGCCGGAAATCATGTTCTTTGCCTTCTCCAACTCAGGTTTGAGCGCGACAACAAATCTGTCGTAGTCGTTGCGGCTGAGGGTTTCGAGTAACTTTTCTACGATGGCGTCAGTAAAGACCGTTTTGGACAGTGCGACTACTTACGAATGACATAGTTGCCAAACCCATCTTTGAGCAGGTTCAAGATGTTAGACTCGCCGCGGCCATTCTTTGCAGTGACTGTCGATACGAGTTCGGCGCGTTGCCCATCGGAGCCGCACACTAAGCAACGCTCCACCACGTTGCTCGCAAACTTATGCTTAGAGAACATGAGAAACTGCGCCTTGATCAGAGAGACCAGTTTCGCCCGATCCTCCTCCAAGCCGTGTTCGATGACATGCTGTACAACGTAGTTACCGTAATTGTCCGTGATGAGTTTAGGTCCTTCTACGTGTAACTCCGTCATGATGAACCTTCGTTGGGGCTCAGGGACCTTTTCCAAAAGTCGCTGGACAACGCGACAGCCGTAGGCATTCATAGACAATACGCCAATGTTGCCCCGGAATGCCTTGATGACGTTTTGAATGTGCTCGTGCGGTACTCTATCAATGGCTTTTTGAATGACGTGGTTGCCATTTTGATCCTTGACAGTCTTCAGAACATCCTTCTCCAGCTCCTTCACTATGGCTGCCTGCTGATCGACCAAGACGTGTTCGAGAGCCTAGCACAGTCAGCGAATGTATAGAATCAAACAAATCAAGATTGCATACCTTTTGGACTACGCGACAAGCATACATTTGATTTGCCAGCGCCAAAACATGTCCCTTCATCTTTCCAGCTAGAATCTTTTTCTGTGTTTGGTCGCCGTGTTCGAAAAACTTTTGGATGACATAGTTCCCAAACACATCCTGCATAAGCGGTAAAGCATTTGCTTCCAATTCTTTGAAGACATGGTCTTTGACGTCGCTATTGGCTGTTTCGAGCTTTTGTTGGATGAAGCGAGAGCCGTGTTGATCTCCAGCAAATTCCACTACATTAGTGTAGATATCCATTAGCTCCCATCTCTTGTTCTGCTTGCTCTCTGATTTGAACCTTGCCAACAGTGCACTCATCGTACCCACACCGTCACCGAATTGATGTTCTCGAGGACCCCGGAGCGGTGCTGTCAAAGCCATCAAGGGTGGCCCCGGAGCCATAGTCATATGCGGAGGTAGCGCGGTCATAGGCATCCCATTCTGGACGGCGAACTGGTAGGCGTAGGGATTTCGCATATGGTTCGCTGACATAATTTGTTGGAATTGTTGCTGGTGGAACTGATTCGGAGGTATGAAATTGAGTCCTTCTTGCTGAACCTGGTAGCCAGCGAGCTTGTTCTGTACAAGCGCGAGGTTGTTTGGATGAGCAAGAGTTTGCTCGGTAAGATAAGCAGGATTGAGGTGGTCGTAGACTGGAGGAGTGTTGATATGTGAAAAGAACGGACTTTGGCGAGCACCAGTGCCGTTTGGCGCACTGCGGCTATCCAATTGGAATGGGCGGAAGTAGATGTTAGGATCGCTGGCCTGACCGTTGATGTAGCTGTCGGGTGTGTAGGTACCTGCACTTTTATGGCCAGTCGCCTCGATACCCATAGAAAGTTGTGTAGTGGCGTAGTGCTCGCGAGGCACCTCATGGTGTTCCTCAGCACCCTCGAAGCCAGGAGGAGGATCGTTGGTACTGAGCGAAGACCTGTGCGTTGTTACACGCGCTCCCTGTCCTTGAGCCAGAGTGAAGCGACCGAAGTCGCTTTGTATCGAGCCGCTACGTTCTTGAAAGGGGCGACCGTTGGGATGGGAGAAGGACGACGTTTGCCGCGCGCCCAATTGGGTGGGTCGTGAAAACGTGTCGATCTGAGAGGTGTAATGTGGTGGCTCCACCCCATGCCTGGAAGGCGGTAGACTGCCGTTTCGCGATGGTGTACCACTGGAAGGGCCAAAGTACTCGGAGCCTGCTGTGCTTCCTCGGCCATCGCTTGGGGACCGTATTGGCGTTGCGTCTGGCCATGGGTTTGCAGCAGAGTCAGAGCGCTGCTGGTGAGCGTCGGCTTGTCCGAACCTGAAACCTGCGAAGCCACTGTTCAAGGAATCCATCTGGCGAGAAGAGGTGAAGTTTGTAGACGTAGGGTCAAGTAGTGGTTTCGACGAAGTCTGGCCCATTTGTGACGATCTCGGTGCTGAGAAGAAAGACGTTGTCGAGCTCTCTGTGTAATGTTGCAACGGTTGCGCTTGTGCGACGGATCGCTTCCGTGCAGGCGACACGCCAGAACTCCTGACATGGGACATGTTGGCTGTGGAATTGTCGCCCCACGAAGAACGACTGGGTCTCCATTCTGTGTCGGAGGAAGGTACGAGAGAGCCGGATCCAGTCTTGCCCTTTGTGAGATCAGAGGTGGCGCTCATGTAGGTCTTGCTGTCTAAGTACGTGTCAGTCCCCGCTGCAGCCTGCCCCGTGTCTCTCCCCAGCATCTGCTTACCTCGAGATTGCGAGTTGTCTCTGGTTGCCGAGCCAAGTCCAATGCGCAGCGGCTTCTTGTTCCATATGCTGTTTGCCCAGGGCGCTGCTGGGGAAGAGCTGTCAGAGTCTGTGCTGTGCAGCGAGAAGCCGATTGGATCGTCGCGTGTTCGACTCTACAAACACTCGTCAGTCACTGTGCGATGGTGCGGTGGATTTGGGACCTACACGGCCAGCCATGGTTGCCATATTACGACCCTGAGCACCGGGCGTAGCGTTCATTTATACGGGCGCGACGTGGGTTCCGGTGAAGAACAGCGCGGGGCAGCTTATGCGTGCTTGGAAGCTGGACTAGGCTCAGGCGTCAGCGCAAGGCATCCGCCGTGCATCCTGCAACAGTGGGCATGGCTAACTTACCGTCGCGGAGATGCACAGAGGCGCGGCGAAGGATCTGTATGCGAGTGGTATATGCAAGGGACCCAAGAGCCTGTGAGGGTGGGTGCGCCTGGATTTCGTGTGACGTGCAAAACTCTCCTAACCGCTGTGCAGGTGGAATAGGAAGCGATGGTATTGCGCGCCGGGCGGGGGACGCATCAGAGTAGCCCGACGGACGCCAGCGGGGATGCAAGGGCGTGAGGCTGATACAGTGCGGAATGCTGCCGTGGGGATTGTGTGCCGGTTGTGTGCGGGCGCTGCGCAAGCCGCGGGCAATGCAGAGATGCAGCGTGTTAGTGATGCAGCGGCCACAGTCGACCCGATGATGCGTCTGGGAGCGTCCACGGTTCGAAGCGTATGGGCAGCGGAGCGCAGAACGATGGATGATGTCTGAGGCCCTCGCGAAGAAGCGATCGGCAGCTAAACCCCAAATCCCGCTGGGGAAGGCACGCGCTAGTGTACCTAGAACGCGACACACCTTGCACCTGAAACCGTCGTAGCTCCTTGCTGCTGCTTACCGCCGATTGGCACTTCTTGGGCCTTGCAGGTTGGCAAAGGCAAGCTTTCCAAAGAAGATAGGCAGCGCGCCCAAAGCTGGCTGATGTTGGCTTGTCGCCTGTGTTGTGATCGCTCGCATGGGTCAAGGGCGAGTCGGGATTTCCTGGCGATCAGTGGCTCTTGGTTGTGAAAAAACCCGGAACCAGCATCTACACTTCACCGAGAACACATGAACATGGCCTCTCGCAAGGACAGCCAAGGACATCCAAGCACAGGCAAGCACAGGCGAGCACAGGCAGAGACAGGAGAGAGAGCACACACTTGTGCGAGCGGCGAGTTCCACAACGGCATGCTGGGCGGTCACTCGTGATTGCTTTCTGACCCCGACATGGTGCTGTACAGAAACAACAACGTCTGTATAGCCTCTACCAGTCGCAAGACGTGCGACTTCCTAAAAGACCAAAGTCGAGCATGGCTTGCACTCAAAAAGGGGTACCTACAATACCATGTCGAGAATCATCAAGGTGGTTAATATGTTGCATACCCCTGCCTTTGCTGTTGTCACAGCGTCGTGTTGCCGTGGCACGTTTCACATGTCACCAAGCACGATCCTGTGGTGCTTTTCTTTTCGCGAACAAACGAGCTTCGTCTCGGCGTGTGTGTGTCGTCAGGCTTGACGCGTTCCTTCTGCCGCTGTCAGAGTAGCTGTAGCGTGTGCCGGAGAAAAGGCTTGGTGAGGTCGTATTGACCGCGATACGAGATTCCAGGGCCTGAGTGCATCGTCGCGTGTCCCTTCCATGCCCATGTCCATTTGCATCACAACAAACACGGTCGCCGGGAGTGGGCGATTGCAACCATCAATTTCCTTTGTGTTGTTTATGGGTCTCGGAGGCATCGCTATGATAAGGCTATTTGTGTTGTCTATGTGGTTTGTATCTCTTTGTTTCTGCCACGTCCATGCTGACGATCCCATGAATTCTCCTGTCTCGACGCTACACAGCATCAGGATGCACCGCGCGTAAGGTCTCGAACGATTTGCTGGCCATGGGATGCGCGTGCCGTCATGGCTAATTTCAATCACCAGTCTAAGGCGCACTATTGTGGGAACCGTTCAGGTACACGCCCGTCTCATTGGCCAGCACAGACCGAATAGCGAGGCTCGTCTCAAGGCGGCTATTTGCTCAAAACCTCACCCTCGCTGGACCTCGACCTCCTTGCTCTCGCTCTCACTCCTCTCACGACATTCTTGCCCTACGGTTTATCGCTTCACTCTTTCAGCGGTATCCGTGTTCGTTCGTTCCGAAAAAGTGTCTTTGCGACTGCTGGACCCGACGACTAGCTGCTGTACAAGGTGCGTGACCAAAGCCAGGAGTGTGCTGTTGAGTGACTGTGATGCACACCAGGACATGCTGCAGAAGACTAACCAAAGAGCAGCCATAACTCTCTTTAATCACCATTCGCTGCATCCGAGCCATCAAACCTTACGCCATCCCAACGCCGTAACGACATAATCAGCGATCCAACATGATGAACAACATCAAGAACATGCTTGCTCGCCGCGACGAAGAGGACGACGGCCTCACCAGGACCCACCTCGCACTCTTGATCACCCTCGTCGTCCTTTTCGTCCTCAGCTCCATGCTCATCGGCACACTCTATTTCCTGCGCAGCACGCGCCGCGCCCGCAAAGCCTCCGAGCTCCCTACGTACGAAAAGCGCCAATCCAACCCCCGTCGCCTCACAATCACCACCAACAAGGGCCTCACTTCTGTCATGTACTCGGAGAAGGAGATTCTGATGAGCCCTTCTACGCCCACTAGCCCCGTCCCCGAGATCCGCATCACGTTCCCCGACGAGGTCGACGAGAGCGGCAAGAAACACCAAGGTCGCGTTGTAGTCGTCAGGGTCGGAGATCACAGTGTCGGGCTGGAGCCCGTGCAGGCCGCCCCGCCCTACTCGCCTGAAGGGGACGATCGGTTTGATTCGCTCGACTTGGACCGCATGGGTGGGTTGAAGGAGAAGGACGACAAGTACTATTCCTAGAGACGAGTACAGGACAACGCTCGACGGGATGGATTCCAAGTGTCGGGTCTGCGCGGGATACCACCACACGAGCCGTTCGGCTATGAACTTTTTGAAATAATGACGGGGACACCGCGCTCGGTGTTGTAGGTTTTCTAGCCCGCCGTCTGGAGGAGTGGCTCTGGCTGTGGCGGGAGCTTCGAACGAGGGTGGAATGGCAGTGGCATTTACTTTCGGTCTAGCAGCTCTTCGGCGGCGGGCCTGGTGTTGTGCCATTTTGTATATTTCTCGGAGGTGACCGGCCTTATTAGCATACCCTTGACGATCGGCCACGTCTACTCATGCTGGGTTATGTGCTCTTACATAGCTACTTATTTGATAATGTATCATCTGTCAATGCCGGCCATGTCTAGACGAGCCGTGGTGCTGATGTTCCATGAAAAAAGTCGTCGGTTGTTGGATGCGTCTCTGCTTGCTTCCCCAAGTTGAATAAGCAAAAAGCACTTGTCGGATGTGGAGCACCCCCATGGCTCCACAAAGATCGGTAGCCCCGGCGAAAGCTCCGATGTTTGCAACTAGACTCCTGGCGACTTCCCCCATTCTTTGAACACCATCTGCTTCTTCATGGGTCCTTCCACTCCTTAAGGCTCCTCACACACCACCTTGCCATGGAGAAGGAAGAGATCTTCACGTCGCTCGCCGACATGACGGCGGGCGGACCATTAAAGGACGAGGATGCAAAGCCTCGTCCAGCCCCCAGAGCAGTAGACGCCAAGACAATCGCAAAAGCCAAGAAGATTGGAGAAGTGCATTTCAAAGCTGCCCATGGCCTTGTCATTGCTTTCTTCACCTTGATTGCGTTGGTTTACCCGCCCTGACTGCTACACATTGCACTGACCTTGTCCAGTATTCTCCACGTGCTCGGTATCTACCTCTTCACGAGCGGCTTCCTGCTCACGCGATTGGTCCTGGACCACAAGTCGGAATGCGCGGTCCCTCCGGTGGCAGCGGCGAGGGGATACACGGGCGGAGACGGTGTCGGGGGGGAGGGCAAGGGATGTTGGCATCCCAAGAGCTTCGACAAGGCCATTGTCATTGTCGTCGATGCGCTGAGATATGACTTCACGGTGCCGTTTGAGAGGCAGGCTGGAGCTGTCGACGTCGCAGCAGACTCCCCCGACTACATGTCCCCACGCCATTTCCACAACGCCGTGCCCGTCTTGTACGAGACGGCGCAGCAACAGCCCAACAACGCATTCCTCCTGCCCTTCATCGCCGACCCTCCGACAACGACGCTACAGCGCCTGAAGGGGCTGACGACGGGGACGCTGCCGACATTCATCGATGCAGGGAGCAATTTCGCGGGCACGGCCATTGATGAGGACAATCTTGTTGGGCAGTTGCGCAACGCGAGCAAGAAGATGGTGCACCTGGGCGACGACACCTGGCACGCGCTGTTCCCAGGCTACTTTGAGGCGGACCTGACCCACGCCTACGACTCGTTCAACGTCTGGGATCTGCACACGGTCGACAGCGGCGTCACCGACCACCTCTTCCCGCTCATGAAGCCCGAGAATGCGACCAAGTGGGACGTCATCTTTGGACATTACCTGGGCGTCGACCACGCTGGACACCGGTACGGGCCGGATCACCCGGCCATGACGGCCAAGCTGAACCAGATGGACGGCGTGTTTCGCCGCATGATGCACGACCTCGACGACAATACGCTGTTGGTCATCATGGGCGATCACGGCATGGACGCAAAGGGCGACCACGGCGGCGAGTCCGACGACGAGATCCAGGCGGCCTTGTGGATGTACTCCAAGAAGGGCGTGTTCGGCCGCAGCAACCCCAACCACGTCACGCCCCCTGCCACGGCAAAGGACAGGGCAGTTGCGCAGATCGACCTGGTCCCGACACTGTCACTGCTCCTGGGCATGCCGATTCCCTTCAACAACCTGGGCAAGCCCATCGAGGAAGCCTTCATCGGAGCAAAGGGGAACGACTATGAAAACCTAGCCATCGCCAATCGCCTTGCCGCCGGGCAGATACATCGTTACCAACACGAATATGCCAAAGCCAGGGGGCTGGACGAGAACACTAGGGCCAAGTCGCTGTCCCTTTGGACTGCTGCGGATGATGCTTGGAATCTAGTTGGAGGGCGTAAGAGGAACAGCGAGCAGATGCGGCGCGTCTATGAGGCTTATTCTGCTTACCAACAAGAGACCCTTGGCGTCTGTCGCGCGCTGTGGGCCAGGTTCGACATCCCAAGGATGATCAACGGCGTTGTGATCCTAGCATTCAGCCTGTTGTCTCTCGCAGTTTACGCAAGAGGAATGCAAGGCGATCGGTCGGAGCTGGCGCCCGTCTTGTTCGCGCGAGGTGCTATTGGCATGGTCGGTGGAGGTGTGCTCGGTCTTGGAGCCATGTTCGCTCTTCCACATGTACCAAAGGAGCATGTCTTCGTCTTCTCAGCTTCCATGTCGGGCATTGTCGGTCTATTCTCCACCTTCTTCACTCTCCGACATCGTCTCACATCTCCTCTGCCGAATAGTATCTGGGGTTGGACGAGCGTTATCTTCACCCTTGCGCTCTCAGCAGGCTTTGCGGCCAACTCGTTCACCATTTGGGAGGATGAGATCCTCTTGCACTTCCTTACGACATTTGGTGTGCTCGCTGTCATATCCTCGTTCCGGCAAAAGCAGATGGCTGATCGCACATTGGGAATTTACCACTCCATTCTGTTCACCGTCCTTCTACGAGTCGCGAGCTTCTCACGCCTCTGCAGAGATGAGCAAATGCCTTACTGCAAATCTACATACTACGCCTCTGCTCTCTCCACCACATCGGCACCCTGGCAACTCATCATCCCCGCCCTTGCCGCCCTCCTGATCCCAACGTTCATCAAGAGTTACTACGAGGGCACCAAGAGCTACCAACACAACGCAATTCTCTGGATTGGTTTCGCGCTTCGCTTCGGTCTCGTTCTCTCCGCGGTGTATTGGATCCTCGACGCCGCGGACGACGGCGATTGGTACCCGAACTACACCTACGTGCTGAAGTTCATAAAACAAGTCCTCGCACAAGGTGTCCTGGGAATCGCACTCGCCTTCGGCTATTCGGTCTTCAACTGGAGCAAGCCACTCTTGAGCATCATAACAATCAACCCCGACGGCTCGCGAAAAGAACAAATCACCATCCTCGGCTTCGCCAATGTCCACGGCTCGCGATATGCTTTGCTAGTCACAATGTGGTATCTCGCTATAGCTCTGTTGCAGAAACCAATGGGCGCAGGCGCGATCGCCATCCTCGTCTGGCAACTCTTCTCCCTGTTCGAAATCATCGACACGAACAACCTGCGCAACAGTGCCATCGGCCCCGTCGTCCTTGGTTTGCTCGGCTCCTTCCACTTCTTCAAGACAGGCCACCAGGCTACCCTTGCAAGCATCCAGTGGGAATCCGCCTTCATCCCTCTCAAGACTATTCGCTACCCGTGGAGTCCTATCGTTGTCGTACTCAACACGTTTGGTGCGCAGATTCTGTGCGCAATCGCCGTCCCCGCTGCTGTGCTGTGGAAGGTCAAACCTCAGAAAAAGGGCATGTTGGGCGCGGTGAGCAAGGCGGTCGCTACACATTTGCTGTTCTACGGCGTTGTTAATCTTGCCACGACGCTGTGGGCGTGCCATTTGAGGAGGCATTTGATGCTGTATAGAGTGTTTATGCCGCGCTTCTTGCTTGGTGCTGTTGTGTTGGTCGTTGTCGACGTTGTGGCTGTTGTGGTGGGACTTTGGGGCGTGAGGATGAGTATGTTGAGTGTTGCGGAGGTGTTTGGGTTCGCGTAAGATATCTTTTAGAGAGGGCTCATTCTCTTCTTTTGATAAACATTGCATAGCATTGCAGAGCATTGAATTACGTGTGTTGACGTTGGTTCCATCGCTTTATGTCTGTTTGTCTATCTGTTCCATAGCATGACACACCATTGCGTCTTGTCTGTTCCACCTGTATATATCGTACCGTCTGTTGGAAAGGTTGATCTGTACATGTCCCTTTTCCTTGAACCTTTTGATCGTCTCCGCTGGAATGCGTATCGTCATCTCTTCCGCTTTCCCTCTCTCACTTACCACCAACCTCACCACTAATTTCCATCGCCACGTCACGCACATGCAAAGGTAAAGGCATGCCTGGTCGCCCCCGTGGTATATAAGAATGTCTTCCCCTCTGTACCTTCCTTCTTTCTCCCATCACACTTCCAGTCCACTCCTGTACTCCTTCTGATATCTAGCACCTGGTGTTCTTATCTTTTCGGAAAGCAATATCTGGCATCTTGTCTCTGGTGCGTTGAGGACTGTGGACGCCCTCGACCTGCGATACTCGAGACACGATTGTTCTTATCGAACACGGAGACACCCTTCAGTTAACGGCTTTGTGTTTGGGGACGGAGATATCATCCAACTGCAACCTTTACACGAATTGTGGCAGAACAGACCGTGGGCGAGTGATACACTACAGTAGACGAGACGCGAAACGCGCACGGTGCTTGCGTCTTTTCTCCCTTCTTCATCACCACCATCGTCGAATTGTGAGTTACGGCGCGATTAAAACTGTACAACTAAGTTCCGCGTTGTAGTATTACTGGTTTATTTCAAACGAGCTAACCATAACAACAGAAAGTCAAGAAGTTCCAGACGTCGAAACTCAATCAGCTGAACATACGGTTGATAACCTGCAACTGAGTCGTACGATATCCTATTCCGATTGGCACCTTGCGCGAAGAATAACCCAACTTCAATACCGAAGAAGAGCCTAAGACGACTACCCGGAGAGTAGCAGAGGTACCGCGGATTCAGATATCGCTTAGTCGCAAAACCACATCATTTACTTTCCTCTCGACTCCAAACATGCCAAGCCATTGCTACACTGCGGAGGTCCCCTTAAGTGTTTTCGATGAAGATGACCTCATTGATGACTCCTACGGTATCACCCCGATGGCTGGACTCGGAAAGCCATTGAGTCTACGTAACCGGTTTCTCCGGCGTTTGTCAAAAATGATAGGCGCGGATGTGACCATGCAGGAGGATGAGCCCGACGTTAGACTCGATATTTATCTAACTTGGAAGCCCAACCAACTAGAACAAAGCCCAGCCGTTGATAAAGAGCTGCGAGAGTACTTAAGTGGCTTAAAAGATGCTTGGGCTATAATTGCAATGCACCAATGTGGTATGTGTTCTAGAACAATCCACGACTATTACTAATCTTCACAGGACTACGCTACGATCGTGCGCGGGAAGACCTGTGGGACACTGTACTCATATATGTGTACTGTCACATCGACTACACTATTATCAGGCTGCAACAATGCTTCAGCCTAAACCAGCCCATATTGGATGACTTTATCACCACGATGTTTGGCGTCCATGAGAACACGGGCTCGGAACGGGACTGTGAATTAGGAGATCAGCTCATTGCAATCCAAGAAATGGTACAAGGCTACGACAGTTCGGTAAAACAACTCAATACGCTTATTCAATTCGCGTCTAGGATGACTCGGACACTCTCACATCTTCAGAATCGACTCAAATATCTGCTTGGGAAACCTGTGTTTGCGAAGGAGATCTTCCAGCTAATCTGTGCAGTTGGATTTCCTGAACGCGCCTACAGCACTTTCGTTCGCGCAGCAAAGGCATCTACAGTATTCACAGAAACGAACTTCCATATTAGATTAAGGCAAACATCCCCTACTCAGCCCTTACCTCAACAGACCATATCAACTGCTATGTTGTTGCCGCGACCGCCTCTACAAGGGAAGTCGCAGGCAACTAGGCAAGCTCTAGCTACACCGCTGCCTCTTCTTATCCAAACAGACTATGCAGATTACGAAACCTCTTTAGGCGCAGCCAGACCCTTCCTACAAAAAGAAGATCGTGTAATAGGATTTGTCCGTCTCCCAGCTGCTAAGCGCGACACAGTTCAACTTATAAGATCTGTACTTCCTGGCAAACTCGTCCCTATCTCTTCCTCTGCATTCTACATCTTCGGTTTCGTAACCTGCGACACTGAGGACCAAGAGCGACACCTAGCAGGCTTTTACGCCTGGTTCCTTGAGCAAGCCCGCCACCGGCGCTCTACATTTCAGTCTCTTACAACCGCCGTTGAGACAAACACTCTAGCCGATCTACTTAACATCAAAAACCTTGCGTCCTTTAACGACTACTTTCCTAGACTAGAAACCTTCCTCAGCGCCGTGCCAACACCTACAGTCTGGCGACTAAAGCAGTTCATTCAGGATGAGACTACCGACGAGCCGCCACCGTGTCTCAAGCGCGATTACGGATTTTACTTCTGCACGCAGCGCGAGGACGTCGCAAAACTAAAGACTATCTACACTGCTATCCTAGATAGAGTAGCGCCATTGGAGCTTCACGCTGCGGCCATTAACGGCCAGCTCCTCGCGTTTGCGATACAGGAGCTCGGCGTTGTGGATCCTAACATGCGCCGCTTCCTGCAGAACGACTTTGGGGTGTTGCGCATTGGATTTGATGACATGGAGGGGCTTGAGCGGCACCGGAAGCCGCTGTTCAAAAAAGTACAAAGGGAAGTCTAGATAACGTAATGTGGTGTGAAGCATTGGTAGCGGTGGAGCGAGATTTTGGAAAATATCTAATTTCTTGGGAAGTTTGCAAAAGTTTGGGCTCGGTGTGTTTTGTCATCTTTCGTTTCGGCACGTGGCTCGTCATGGACCTGCTGGCTTCTTTTTGCTCTTCAAATAATTTCCTGGTTAGGACTCGATTTTGACTGACGATCTCAGTTTGGGGCGTTGGTTGCCGGCCTTGCTGTCGGGTCAGGACGTGTGGGCTACACATACGGGCATGGCTTTGCCGTCCCTTGTTTTCTTGCTTTCAGCGGACATCTGCGAGATTGGTTTCACACGTAATAGTCCTGTATCTAGTCCATCCGAAAATTACATCTCCCCATGTACATCTTTCCACTTACCTCACCATACCTACACCTCATGGTCTGACACCGCCCTTCCCCATTGTTCATCTACTTCTTCAACGTCAGTGAGTTCAAACTTGCTCACCTCTTTTCATCCACTACAAGCCTGTCTTTCCTACCCACCTATCCGTCGACCCATCTCCTCACTACTACACTCTCCTGACAACCTCATTAGCGTCCGTATACATGTCTCCCTGCGCCACTGCTATACAACAACTATCCGAACTTACAGGCTTCTCTGGGGTCTCGGGTGGCACTGTATTGCACGGAACGATGATAGTTTTCTCACCCCGCGCCCAGGAATTCCGTCTTCATCCGTCGTGAAACAAAGCGGGGAACACAACTTTCGGTCACAGTGCCAGATTCGGGAATTGTCTTCAAGCGCATGTCTTGAGCTATCTCACACAGTAATTGCCCGCTTCAGATATGAGAGAGTCCTCTAGCTCATCCAGTACCAGAGTTAGGGGTCTGCAAGAACGTGTTCTTTCATGAGGGGAAGTGTATGGCCGAGCTCGCAAAGTGTTACGGCTATGCGCAAAACGTCTTCTCGCCGGGTTCTGATAATGTCTCTACTGATACTGGGGGATAAGACCTGCATAGCCTTTATGCGGCTTACGTGGGCACATTGCTTTGGAGACGGTGTTGATCTGAGAAGGAAAGGATTTTTGAGAGATTGATCGGAATGATAAGGACAACAGTGTAGAGTACCAGGAGGCCCAAAAACTTTCTAGTCATATTGGCTGTACCGTGCCTTCGGAGGTTGTCGCGTTAGCGCTTCGCGAAGTCCACACGTTTGAATTGCAGCTTCCCGCAACACCCCACTATGGGCATAGTGGAATACATAAGGGCATATGTAAAGATGCAAAGGCAAGGTGATACCGGTCCCGAGGAGGAGCCGCAAGCCGATCAGAAGACTGTGATGACGACCTAAGAGAAGGCGACAATTGGAGGAATTCTCGGCTATCATGAGAGATAGTAATGCCGAGTGACTTCAAAGGTTTTGAGACATGGCGAAAACTCACAACAAAAGAGAGTTCAGACGTCATCAAACACATACCACGGCTAGAGTTGTTCATCCTCGAGCCGAATCGGCAGTGGGGATCGGAAGGTGGCTGGTGAGGTCCTAGACGAGAAAGGGAGCAAGGTCACGCTACGACACGTCAAAGACAAAACCACGTGCAGGTTTGTGAGTCGTCTCGAGTACGAGACTATGCGCCCACGACCAACGAACTCTCCCGTTTCGACTTCATCCAACGTCTCTCGTTATCCACTCGGAGCAAGGTGCGTACTCACTAGTAGAAAGGATGGCGCAAGCAACGCCTATTGCAACATACTCGATCGCGTATACTCCGCGGGTATATGTGTACTACATTCAACCGGACCATAGGTGAGTTCGTATCGCGCACGCAACGTGCGTGGCTTACAACGCTAACGGCTGAGGCGATTTGGGTAGCGAAGAGCAAACCAACCATGAATATCCTCGAAGTCGGTACAAATGACGAGGTGGAACATGGTTTCTTTGTTGGATGTGTTGTCAATCAGCATCAAAGGGCCGCAGTCAATATCGACGGCTGGAAAACAAGTCACACAAGGGACTTGTGCTTACACCTGAACAGCACTGGACTCCATCACGTCGGTAAAGAAAGTCGATGGAAAGCGCAAGAGCCGTGGCGAGTATGAGTTGCTGACCAGACGTTGTGAGAGTTTTTGGGGTGAAGATTTCAAGGCCACGCGTTCACGATTCTTCGATTGCGGGCATAATAATTGCTTTTCTCGCAAGCTTTGGCAAAGATCGCCGTCATTATGGCCAGGTTAGTCGTTCCTATGAATGAATTTTGACGCTAAGAGGTACTACTATAGACAATTCCTGGGATTACAAAGAGTGTAAACTCGAGGAACCCATACACGAGCGTTTTGCCATCGTCCGTTTAACCAATCGCGCGTCTTGAATCCATTATCTAGCCAATTAATGAATTCATAGGTTCGTACCATATTCTGCTGTTGTGGTCTACAACTTTGGTACAAGCTGTCAGGCTCCATATCCATGAACAAGCAAGGATAGCATTAGCTTAGAGACGTCTGTCTCAACTAGTGTCTTGCTATGCACGTCGTCTATATGTCACGCAAAAATAGTAGGAGTAGGCACATCTCCAATCCTCACTACTGCCTATATAAGACCTTAGGACTCCGTCTCAATATCACAACTACAGCTCTTCTTATCTTTCATCACTTACTTACAACCTTTTCCTCTCAACTCCTCTCAACTCCTCTCAAACTTCAACCATGCGTTTCGCCTCATTCCTCCTTGCTATCTGCTCCGGCGCAGCCCTCACTTCGGCTCAAGCTACCACTGAGTACGTCGACGACGCTGCTTTCCAGAATGCGATGCTGGGAACCACAAACTCGTTCCGCGCAATGCACAACGCTTCAGCTCTTCAGTGGCACCCCGATCTGGTGAACTACGCATACCAATATAGCCAGAGATGCAACTTTGCGCACAGTGTAAGTTGGACCGTAACCTTTTGTCTTGGAGAACTATCATCAGACCCATGAAACTATACCTTGACATTGAAAATGCTCGGCTTACTGACCTACAATAGGGCGCTATCTATGGCGAAAACCTTGCCGCCGGATACCAAAGTCCAACAGCTGCAGTCAATGCATGGGGTGCGGAACAATCAAGCTATGACTACAACGCAGGCCAGTTTAGGTAAGACATCCTTTCGTTACCAGCCTTTGCTTTTTTGAGTCCCAATCTAAGATACTAACAACCTCAAAGTGCAGCAGCAGGTCACTTCACGCAACTCGTCTGGAAGTCTTCGACCTATGTTGGTTGCGGTCGCACCTACTGCAACGCTGGCGGAGCTGGAGGAAAGGGAAATGCACCCGGATGGTACATTGTGTGCGAGTACTACCCTCCGGGCAATGTTCAGGGCCAGTTCAAGACGAATGTGTATGCGACCTCGTAGGCTAGGGATGGCCTAGAACTCATAGCCAGCCCGACCGATGGTAACGCGTAATTATGGGGTAGAGGACGACTAGGATTCTGTACGCATTATAGTTACATATGACCGGCGATCCCTTTGGATTGAATACGCTCGTTTGATAATATAGCTTTGATTAATCAATCTTGACATTCAACATCAAAATTTATTCTTTGTCATTTTTGTGTAGGATCATAAGAAGCCTATAACTTGCAGGTAGTGCAGTACCAGTATACTACTAGCACTGGGGTATAGAATCGTGTAATTTACCCCGCAGCTTTGTTGGGTAAAAAGCAGGCACGCGTGGAAATTCAGTTGCGTAGTTAGACTCGCTAGAATAACTCAGCCGTAGTTTCTTCACTTAACTGGATTTTCACGCGTGCCCCGGTGGTATGTAACTAGGTAACGAGGAAGACAACACTTACGGAAGTTATTATATAAAGTCTTCGTGAATCTGACATTTCAACCTCTGTAAGGAAACTAACCTTAATAAAGAAGAACTACACCGGAGTGGAGTAACAATAATACACGAGTAATATACGGATAAGCCCTAAATATGTTCTTTTAGCAGATAAAGACATCTAGAATTTAGACATTAACGTTTTTGTTTGGACATTAAACACTAAGTTATAATAGTGAGTTTGGGCTGGTTTATCCTAGTACGTCGTAGAATTATCGTTCGTCCTGAAATTCACTTATTGGGAGTAGGGACAACATAACAAGGTGTCTCGATAGGTAAGTAAGGCTTAGGATGAGGAAACAGGCACCCCATAGGCTGCTTAAGCAGTTAAGTAGTCTACAATTGAGTCCTACCTGGATACTTCAAGGCACTGTAACAAAATAACGGGATAGTAGGATCTATGGGACAATAGATTATGTCAATGGTATTATTGATAAGTGTCCGTCCCATAAGGGGACGGATCACCCGTATATCTACTGGATCATGTGATGCTGGGTTACGTGACGCAACAGGAACTCGCCCTTAAGTTTTACTATCACTACTTAAAAAAGAATATGTAATGGAATCAAGTAAGTTGCGCAGATCGAGTGGCAGCTAGAGCGGAAAAATAGAGTAGAGGATCGTTATTACAAACCACAAGCATGTATAGTATGCATCTAGATTAATTATGCACCAGCCTGAATCGAAGAATCAAGGGAACGGGTAGTACAAGTCTTAAGGTTTTAAACAAGGTTCGCCGAGATTATCTGTACATTAGTAAAGTAAGTAGTGTCTTGACTGCGATGGCAAACTGTCGCCACGCTCATTCTAGTTGACTATTAAGCTTGAAATTACATCGCTATGGGCAAATAGTTAACAGATTCCTTTCTTCAACTAAGTCTATAGTTCTATCAAGGTGTATCCTGTTGCTATCAAATGGACACAGGTAACGGTTTAGGGACCTCGTGTATGGGTAACGTGTAAACCGAGGCAGCTTCCGATGCATGCGTCTTCGCTACCAAGGGAAACCCGGCATAACACTGCACATCAATCGGCCAAGTTAGTCATGTCACGCTACTCGCATGCGTTACGGAATCTTCAAGGGCAGGGATTGTTTATCAACCTTACGTGACAACACTCTATCTAGCAAGTTGAACGGGTACCTTTTTCCAAACCTGTACCTTGCGTTGGCTACAAGCCTTACGCGCTAAAGTGATTGTAATACACACATCGTTTCGTGATAACCATATGACGTTTTTTCGAGTCCTTGGTGGTTGAATTCGGGACAAGCATAACAAGACGAAATCGGCAGCGCGGTTGAGCAGATAAACTCCTACGCAGTGTAGCACATGATTGGGACCACAGCTACTTGGTCATAATGTAATAAGGAGGTCGGGCAATCTAAATGCTACTACGGGCTGCAGGATAGTAAGGGTTGCAGGATGGTGAGGAGGTCCGGTGCCTACCTTAGTATCTTGACCAATGCGTTTACGTCCTATAGGCAGTGCCAGCCAATTGTGTGCACGAGCGGTTGGCGAACACACAGTCAAAAAAGTGATCTAGAGGGGAATGCCTGGAACAACTGGAACATGCGCCCATTGTAAGAGGGAGGCGGGGCTCGGACCGCGGGCCGCGTGACTACAAGCCAGACTGTGATTGCCAGGGAAAACAGGCCGAGTCGATCAGTCCAGGATTGGGGCCCAACGTGAATGTCTAGACGTACGGAGCAAGCCGTCTGGTTCCTCCAAGTGGCGCTGCATTGTGATGTAGGTAACATAGGGTAACATACTCGAGTATATGTGGAGTCTTGTACAGGTGCAGTGCGCTAATCAAGGATTTCCGGTAGCGAGATCAAATGCAGGAAACCGCTTTCGTTGATCGGTAATAGTTGGGCTCTTACAGGGCTGAAGGGTCTAGGAAAAAGCAACTATAACAACTGCCTACACTTACTAACGCTTCAGCGAGAAGACTTGTTAAAGATGATGTAATTCATTCATAGTATAGCGCAACTAACTGCATGTTCATCCAACATTTTTTGCTTGGTTGTGCGACAGAAAAAGAGCAGTAAACACTAGCTCTTATTTCCGACAGTTTCAGCCACGATAGAGAGTCATGAAATTCACCTCGGCAGTAAAAATAAAGTTTAGCATAGCCGCTACAAACCTTAATTGACGACATAGTCAGAAGTGGCCACGCTCCGATAAACTAGCCAAGGTCTCGGTGTTTCGAACACTTGGCGGATTTTGCATAAGGGGATAGTAATTACTATGCTAATTGAGTCAGGAAAGCCGACTACACAGCTCATATGTCTATATAATGTGAGAACTCGCACCTAAGATCAAGCAGCTCATCATCTTCAGTTCTTTCACCTTCAACACTCATTATCCATCATCCGTTTTCCATTTTCAACCATCAACATTCATCATGGCTGTTACATCGCTTGCTGTCTGGCTTACTCTGGCCTTATCCGCTTCTTCACTCTCAATTGAGAAGCGTGCTGCGTGCACTAGCTACAGTAAGCTGCCGCAGCAATCACTTGTGAAATGTCTCATTTTCTAACCTGAGGCCAGCTATCATCAACACCCGTGGCACTGGTGAGGCCCAAGGCCCGTCCAGTGCTTTTCGTACCATGAACTCGAACATTCAGAGCCAAGTCTCGGGCGGAAAGATTGTAAGGAGCTCGATGATCTACGACGAATACCAGCTGATTTCTTTCAGTACAACACAGTGTATGCTGCAGGATTTGATCAGAACTCCGCAGCCGCCACTACGGATGTAAGTTTGCGGTGTTTGATGACATGCTTTGATGAAGCCTTACTAACACCGGTCCACAGATCGTCAACAAGATCACGTCTACGCTCCGTACGAGCCCCAGTGAATGCTTCCTCCTGGAGGGATACTCTCAGGGTGCCGCTGCTACCGTGAATGCTATGTCAAAGATCACTGGCGCCAACTTCGACGCCGTCAAGGGTGTGTACTTAGTCGGTGACCCGAACCACAAGTCCGGACTCTCGTGCAACGTCGACAACAACGGAGGGACCACCACTCGCAATGTCAATGGTCTCTCAGCAGCTGCCTCCGCTGGAATCCCCAGCACTTGGCAGGCGAAGACGCTTGATGTCTGCATCTACGTAAGTTTCCCATTCTTCGCAAGTGACAATTTGCGATAGACTAATTCTAGAATAGGGTGATGGTGTCTGCGACACTACCCATGGTCAGGGAATCAACGCCCAGCACCTTCAATACCCCAACGACACACCCACTCAAAACATGGGTACCACATTCGGTGTTGGAAAGCTCCGTGGAACTGCTTAGAGCGGCAGCGCTGGACGACGGTAGATGTTACAGCAAATGTGGCCACCTTCATTAGTCGAATGTTATCAATGTCAACAGTTTCTTAGTTTCATATCGAGGTAGCATAAACCAACGTTTTTTCCCTATCATCCTTGGCACAAAACATCAAAATGTGCATAAAGTCTTTTAGTGATCAACTATGAACCTTGAAAGATTCGTTCAGCGTCTATGTTTGCAGGTGTTGACAACGTCTAAAAGATTGCTTGATGCTTACTCCCCATTCTAGCCTCGGCTCACATTCATTCTAATCCTGCCCTCGGGTGCGAGGGAAATTATCTTGACGAATTAAGCAATATTGGTTGATATCTTATTGATTACCTCGATCACTCAATTAACAATGACTCGTTACTACCCAACAGACACACTGTCATCATTCCTATACTCGTGATGCCGAGCTTGACCGACAACGCAGCACATGGAGGCAGGGAGAGGAATGAACGTGGACATGCCAAGCCTGGCCAGATGTAAGGATGCGAATGCGAATGGCAGCAATGCAGCGTGAGAGAATACCAGGTAGCAGATATGCCCGCGGGACATGGGGAAGCGAATTGCAATGATGGTCTGCACCATGTCAGCCAAGCTGGGGGGTGATCCTACGATGACGTCTCGTGACAAGCCATGAAGGAAAGTCTATTTCAAGCAAATATAGGATAGGTTCTGGAACATTACAAGATTATACGAGCCACTGAACTGCCTGGTGAACTCTAAGCCTACTTCCACTTACTCACCTAGCCCGGTCTATTTATTCCACGTCTACGATACCAAACTTGAAGAAGAAAAACATCCCTGTCATGTACAAAACACACCGTTCTGCGCCACATCATAACAAATCACACCATCCCATCACAAGATCTCTACATACCGTCCACCCTTCTTTTTCTTCGCGCCAGGACCCTTCCTCGGCTGCGGCGCACCCAGCAAGTCGTCGATGCTGCTTGCATTGCTCATGCCTGTGCCGGGACGACTGGGCGGTCCACCAGACAACATGGGTGGCATAAGCGTCGGGGGCCTGGGGCCCTCAGTATCGGATGGGATACCGGGGGTGCTCGCGCGGGATGGTGGTCCTCCCATGGGCGGCGGCATGCTGGTGCTGCGTGGCGGCATAGCGCTCGGAGCCAGTGTCCTCGCGCCCGGAGGACCCATGCCGGATGCGCTTCTAGCAGCACCAGGGGGGCCGCTTCGTGGGGGTGGAGGTGTGGCGCTAGGTTTTCCCGTGTCTGCTGCCCCGCCCTTCTTGTTGATCCATTTCTTGAGGTCCGGGTCGTAATAGAAGCTGTTCTCGTCACCGAGTTTGGCTTTGATGGGCCCAGGTGCGGCATTGGGGTCTTTCTTGAACCATCCGCCAAACCAACCCTTTTTACCTGCACCGGCACCGGCATCTTTGTCCCGCTTGGCGTCTTCTTCTGCGGCTTTGCGGAATGCTTCGTCGGATTTGCGATCGGCGTCTGATTTTGATGTCGTAGAGGATATTTTGAGAGCTGAGGCACGGGTGGCAAGGTCGTCATCATCGTCTTCATCCATGAATTGCTTTCGCCGGGGTTGCTCTTCCTCTTGATTATCGTCGTCTGGGTTGTACGGTTGGTAGGATGGGGAGTCGAATGAGCTTGTGGGTGGTTCGTAGCTGCCGAAGGATTGGCCTTCTTCCCTTGAAGGTTGAACGTTATCGAGACTGGATTGAAGTGGTTGATACACACCGAAAGGTGGTGCTGAAGCTGACTCTACAGGCGGACTGGGCATGTATGGGCTACCGTAAGATGGCACAGGCGCATTATGCTCTGCTCGGAGCGGAGAATACGATTGAGTCTTGGCTTGCGTTCGTGCACTCTGTGGGCTCAGCAGCGGAGGGCTCATCAACGACGGAGTGTACGGTCCTGGGGTTGATGGCACATAGGTGTCGGATAAGGCACGAGAATTGTCAACTGATTCCATCGAAGGCCGTCCTCCAGGTTCATAGCGTGACCGTTGTTGGTCAGAAGAAGTTCTTGGGGTATACACGTTATTTGACGGAGCGTATTTCGAATTTCCAGGTGCTATTGGAGGGCCAGTTGGGGCTCCGTAGCCAAAAGACCCGTACAGATCTGCACTTGATTGCGACGGAGTGATGGACGGGCTGTTGCCAGGGATCTTTGCAAAAGGTCCAACTTCAGCTCCTGCTGATTTATTGGCAGCGGAATCGTCGTCGTCTCCCGCGATGAAGCTGTTGAACTTGGACAGCAAAGAACTACTGACCTTGTCCATACTTGGCTTTGAGATCCAAGAAGAGGAGCCATCCTTGGGCGATTGTGACAAGCGTTTGCTGAGCTCGTCCAAACTGGCAATGAAGCTTGCGTTGTAGTATGGCGAGACCCTTATGGTAGATTTCAAAGCGGCGGCGATGGCGTCACAGTAGGCTTGCGCTTCGGCTCGGTAACCATACTCGGCCAATTGATGAGCGTGGGCGAGCTTGTAGACTTGCAAATGAGGAATGGCGGGGGAACTCCCATGAGCAGATAGTGATAGAGCGAATTCATACACTTCGGTGAGCAAGACGGCGTCTAGGTCAACTCCAAGCTCTAATGGGTTTTGATGGTGGTTGGCACCAACGAGCACAATATGTGATTGAGCGTCGTCGACTCCGCTGATGTGTACCACAGAGCGGGCAAAGATGAAACAGAGATGGGCAGCCTCGACTCTGCCATACTGTTCCAGTAGCTTTCCAAGCGAGAGTAGAGCCGATGCATCTCCTTCGCTACGGTTATTCAGAACCAGGGCAACCGTCTCACGCCATTTGTTCAGACCTTGTTGAGTGTTCTGTGCAGCACCTGCGCCATCTGTGCTCACCATCTGGAAACCAGCGCGAGCTGAGGCGGGGACAAGCTCATCAATGCAATCCTCATGGTTGCCTGCGAACACTTCGTATAGCACCGCCAGGGCTTGACTGTTGCGGCCCACCTTCTTGACCTCCTTACGAACGAATTCCTGTACAACCTGCTTCCAGATGTCCTTGTTCAAGGTGGAAGAAAGAAGCATGGCATGTCCCCATAGCCTTTGGTCAACCGCATGCCAGACAGCCTTCTCGCGGTCGCCCTTGGTGAGCATCTTTTGTATATCCTCGATGGCCCGAGGATCGAGCGGCTCCGCTTGAAGAGTCAACGTGTTGGTTCTGGATCGCCCGACGATATCCGCCGGGGTAGAGAAAGAAGCATCAGCATCTGATGAGTCTGCCTCCTCAGGCGAAAGAATCTTTTTGACAGCAGTCACTGCAGCGGGTCCTTCCAACTGGCCGTCATTGTCCACCAAGACCTGCATGATCTTCCAGAGAAGAGATTTGTCTTCGAGCCGCTTCAAGTCTTCCTCTTCCATCGAATGCTCCAACCCAGGGGATTTGAGCTCGTTCTCCATAGCGTCAATTCTGCTGCTCAGCCAAGCTGAGACATCCTTCTTCTTGCCCTTGGATTTGAGTGGACCAGGAAATTTGACGACATTTTCAGAAAGAGGAAACAAGTCTTTGACATTTTGGATTTTGATCTCACCGGGGCTACACTTGACCATTGGAGCGGATGTGCCACCGCCATATCGTGGAATCTGTTTTGGGAAGCTGGTAACAATGGCACCGCCTAAGCCCCAAACAAACACCGGGTACCCCTTCCATCTTTGGAGGGGATCAGCAACAGTCTCATCGGTAGGCAAAATGCAATCGTACTCCAATGACACTTGTCGGCGATGGGGAATGAAGTTGACCGTGGTCGAGGCTATAAGCTGTGCGTCGTACGCCAAAGGCTGTGGCACATAGCCATAACCAGATCCTGGCTGATCCAAACCGGGCAAACTGCGAGGAGGCTGCTTCATGGACGTGGTCGGAGACTGCGAACGTGGCGCAGCCAGTGCACTTGATGGCTGATATTGCGGCGTATAGTTCGTCCTCTTCCTTGGAGATCCCATGGCCGAGGACGCAGTACTGTGCGAAGGCGGCGTTTCCGGGCCACCTGATGTAGGCGGTCTTGAACTCAGGATGGATTCTGGCTCGTCAGTCTCACGTACTTCTGATAACGGACTCCTGAAAGAACCGTGTGGTCCACCATCGGCCGACTGCGAGACGTGGTGTCCTGAAGGCTGCTGATGACTGGACTGCGATGAAAGCGCGTGGTGGTCTTTGTGCTGAGGGACGCTATGGAACGCCAAAGGGCTGGATGTACGAGGTGCATAAGGTTGCGAAGCGGGACGAGGTGGTGCAGTGTGTGGCTCAGACACGTAGCGAGCATGAGCCGAACCTTGAGCACCCGGCGCGGGTGAATATCTCGAATTTGCTGCCTGGGCAGATGGTGGCGCGGGTGAATATCGCGCGTTCGCGACTGGTGCCAACGCTGGAGGCGCAGGGGAGTAGCGCGATGAGGGCGGAGGGGCAGGTTGGGGTATGGGAAGCGTATTGGCTCGCACGAGTGTTGGAACTGACGGTTGACTCGGGAACATTGGCAGTTGTTCTGGTGGTTGCAGCGGATGACTGACATTATCGGCGTCGGGAAGAATTTCATTCCTTAGGGATGACCAGGAAGGGGCGCGCTCTTTCAAAGGCACTGGCGGGGGCGCATGGTTGACTGGAGGAGGCGCTTGGTGGACTGGAGGGGGTGTGTGATGTAGTGGCGGATGAGAGGGCAGGTTTGGTTGAGCAGTGTAGCGAGTCGAGAGCTTAGGCCTAGTGGTCACCGGTAACTCAGCGAAGAAGTCACTCGACGACGATCTGACGGGTGGCGCAGGTTTTGGTGGAGCTAGTGGTGTCAAGCCTGGCGTTGGCGGCTGCATCGGATGGCTCGAGGGGGGTGGAGGTGAGCCGGCGGCAGGCTTGGCGGATGGTAGCAGAGGACGCGGTGGTCCAGTGCTGGAAACAACGCTACTGCTTCGCGGCGGCGGGGGAGGGTTCGCCTGCAGGTTCGGCATTGAGGGTCGGGGTGCGGGTCGTCTTCGAGTAGTGACAATGTCGTCGGGCAGGTCGTAGGGTGAGGCATAACCTCCCCTGGACTTCTCGACGAAACTTTGAGTAGGGTTGCCCAGGGTAGGTCGGGCGGGCAGCTGCTGGGCTGGGACGGGTTGGCCAAGACGGTCATGCACCGGCGTGGCTCCAGACGTGGCTTGCAGAGCTTGGGGAGCGTACTGGCTGACGGGTGCCATGACTGCGGGGGCTGTCGCAGTTTGGGGTGCATATCGACTTGCGGTACTCGACGTGGATGGCGCCAGGTGTGCCGGCTGCTCGGCCGGCACAGCGGGCTCGTCTTCAAGAAAGCCCTCGTCGTCGTCCAAGTCGAAGAGGGGAGCATGGTCCGTGTCGGGCAGGAACTCGTCGTCCAGGTCAAGATCCAGATCCAGGCCCCACTCTGGCTTCGTCTGCGAGTCTTCCATGACATGGGCGCCGGGACTCTGCACTGCGGCGTCTGCGGGCTGGATGGTCTGGCTTGCGGCGGCACCAAAGAAGTCGTCCTCTGCAGCAGCGGCGCCCCAGTCGATGTCGTCGCCTGCGTTGCCGCCGACTGTCGTGTTGCCAATGATGCTGTCTCCGACCGTGGTTCCCATGGCTTCGGCGTGGGGCGTCTCCAGCGGCGTCTCGGCAGGCTGTTGCCCCAGACTGAAGGCATCCGGCGGGGCGTCCCAGTCGTCGGTGGGCGCGGCGTCGGCGACCAGGGGCACGCGCTCGCTCTCGGCCATGGCGTCTTCCAGCGCAGTCGTCTCTCCCTGGTGCTCGTAGTTGTCCGCCAGCCGCTCTTCGGGCGCCGCGTCTTGGCCGTCTGAGCTGTCGGCGTCGGCCTCGTCGTCCGACTCTTGTGCGTCGCTGGAATCCGGCGACGAGGGGAGCGGCGTTGGGACCATGTGCGCTTCGACCGGGGCGGCGTTGGTGGTCGCCTTCTCTGCTCGGAATGCGGGATTCCAGGACGGCGGCGCGGCAGACGGAGGCGCATGGTCGAGTGCGCTGGTCGGGCCAGGCGGGTGCTGGTGGTCCATTGTGGCGATTGCAGCGCGTCGACGCTCTTTCCTCGGTGGCAGGCCGGGGCAGGAATCAGATCAGAAGCAGGGCGGCATGGCGGCTGCTGCGTGGGCCGTGGGCGAGTGGCCGTCTCGCGTGGCCGAGTGGACAGATGTGGCTCGCATGCTTGCAGGGAATCCACCATGCACTCCGGACCGACGCCACACCCAGCCGCATGCACTCGCACCTACATGGACTGCCACCTCCGTTGACTGCCACCTCCGTTGCCTGCCTTGGCTTGTTCCCGCCGTGCCTGCCTGCACACATGCCCGACACGTCGCCCGTGCTCTGCTGAACGCGCGTTGCAACCGCCTCGCCCCCAGGCCCCGAGTCCCCGCAGACCCCCGAAGCCACCCACACGCGTGAAGCTGCAACAGCCACAGTCACCGTCGTAGTCGTAGTCGTAGTCACAGTCACAGTCGTAGTCACAGGCACAGTCACAATCATAGCCGCAGTCATCATAGAGTGCTGCCATGGCCGCCCCGCATCAATACCACCAGCCCAACGCGCCAGACGACGACTCTGACCTCGACCTCGACCTCGACCTCGAAGAACTCGACCCTCTGGCCTCGCACGCCCACGCCCACGCCCACTCGCGCGCCGTCGCCTCGCCGCCTCGCCAACAGCCACCGCTCGGCGCCCGCATACCGCTGAGGAACCTGAGGGTCGGGAGGCGGCGCGCCAAGAAGCCGAGGGAAGCGCCCCAAGACGAGGACCTGCGTGGCCTGCTGGACCACGACGACTCAGCCAACAGGCACTCGGCCGGCAGCTACGGCCAGTCTGGCGACGACGATGCCCCGCTCCTTCCCTCGCAGCACCTGCCAAGCACCCACACACGCACGCAGGGCCCATTGACGCGACTAGGCTCCAGCATGCGCCTGCCCACCTTCCTGTCCAAGCCAGACACGCCCGGCATCCGCCTCGACGACGACGACGACGAAGACAACGCCACCGACCAAGAACACGACCCCACCACCCAGCGCACCATCTCCGTCGCCCAGCTGCAGCCGTCGCGATTCCCCGCCAATGCCGTCTCCAACGCAAAATACACCCCCTGGAGCTTCCTGCCGCGCACCCTGTACAACGAGTTCTCCTTCTTCATCAACATGTACTTCCTGCTCGTCGCTCTTTCCCAGATCATACCCGCCCTGCGAATCGGCTACCTCTCCACGTACATTGCACCTCTCGCGTTTGTCATCACAATCACCCTCGGCAAAGAGGCCCTGGACGACATTTCGCGCAGACGAAGAGATGCAGAGGCAAACTCCGAGGGCTACACAGTGCTGAGGTTCCAAGAGAATGCCAAGGGGAATGGCCTCGCACCCGAGAAAAACTCAAACGTCACCAAGCGTTTGAGGAGGCACAAGCGTCCAGGCCCATCAACCCATATCGAAGACGAGGAACAGCGCTTGTCGACAAAGGGACTTGCCACTTGCACCTACTTCGAATCCATAAAGCCTTCGAGGAGTTTGAAGGTGGGAGACGTTGTCAGGCTCACCAAGGACCAGCGAGTCCCGGCGGACATGGTTCTCCTGAAATGCTACTCTGCCGAAACTGTGCCTTCCCCTAGCCAAGTTAGGGACGGCAGTGGCTCAGAGGATGCGGCAACAGTCGACGGTGCTGCCGCGACAGGCGCATCGGGAGAAGCTTTCATCCGAACAGATCAATTGGATGGCGAGACGGACTGGAAACTACGTCTCACCTCACCCTTGACCCAAAACTTGAACATCGGAGAGTATACCAGGCTACGTGTTGTTGCTGGGAAGCCTGACCGGAAAGTCAACGAGTTTTACGGAACCGTCCAACTTCAGCCCAAGCGACAACGCGAGTACGACCCTGTAGAGCAGGATTCGTCTTCCCCCAGAACACAACAGTCGGCGCCTCTCAGTATCGACAACACTATCTGGGCCAACACCGTTGTCGCCTCGAGCGGTAGCTTGCTGGCTGTCGTCGTATACACTGGACCGCAGACCCGCCAAGCCCTTTCCACATCAGCCTCCCGATCCAAAACCGGCCTGCTAGAGCTAGAGATAAACTCTCTGACAAAATTCTTATGTATCTTCACATTGTCCCTCTCATTCATTCTTGTAGCGCTGGCCAAATTTCGGGAAATCGACGGCCGTCAATGGTACGTTTCTATGATGCGGTTTTTGATCTTGTTCTCCACTATTGTCCCTGTTGGTCTGCGTGTGAATCTCGACATGGGGAAGTCTGTATATGCGTGGCTCATCGAGCACGACCAGAGCATTCAAGGGACCGTGGTTCGAACGAGCACAATACCAGAAGACCTGGGCAGAATCGAGTACCTGTTGAGCGACAAAACTGGAACCTTGACACAAAACGGTACGCTTTCATCAATTTGTCAAGGTCCGTGACTGACCGACTACAGAGATGGTGATGAAGAAAATCCATGTTGGCACGGTATCTTACGCGAACGAAGCTATGGATGAGGTGTCATTATATGTTCGTCAATGCTTTACACCCCCCGCTAGCGAGACACCGGCTCTCGTCACACCATCATCTGCCTACACGGTGCCTCTAACTTCTGCCACTCGTACTCGTAGAGAAATAGGATCTCGAGTTCGAGATGTCGTACTGGCTCTCGCGCTTTGTCACAATGTCACGCCGACTACCGAGGAAGAGAATGGCGACACAATAACCACTTACCAAGCTTCTTCTCCCGACGAAATTGCCATCGTTCGATGGACAGAAGCTGTCGGACTCAAGCTACTATCGCGAGATCGGGAATCTATGACGCTTCAATCATGCGATACTGGAAACACGGTTGTACGGGTCCGCATTCTCAACGTCTTCCCATTTACCTCCGAGGGAAAAAGAATGGGCATAGTTGTGAGCTTCTACCACGGACCGGTCTCGTCGAGTTCTGACGACGATGATGAGATTTGGTTCTATCAAAAGGGTGCCGATACCGTCATGACCTCCATCGTCGCCGCCAATGATTGGCTTGACGAAGAAACAGCCAACATGGCGCGGGAAGGGTTGCGCACACTTGTTGTAGGTCGCAAGAAGCTATTCGCACAGACATATCAAAACTTTTCGTCAAAGCTTGCCCAAGCTTCGTTGACGTTGCACAATCGTGACGCTGCTGTTGCAGACGTGGTCAAAGATTATCTTGAGCATGATCTTGAACTGTTAGGTGTGACTGGTGTTGAAGACAAGCTGCAAAAGGACGTGAAGCCATCCCTTGAACTTCTCCGCAATGCTGGCATCAAGATCTGGATGTTGACAGGCGACAAAGTCGAAACAGCGCGCTGCGTAGCAGTGAGTTCTAAACTCGTCGCGCGTGGTCAATACGTGCATACCATTGCGAAACGTATGTACCGTCTCCCATTCACTTTTAACATAATCTGATGTTGCTTAGTAAAGCGCAAGGATCTTGCTCACTCTTCTCTCGACTTTCTGCGCGGCAAGACCGACGCCTGTCTGCTCATCGATGGTGAATCTCTCGCGCTCATGCTCACTCACTATCGTACAGAGTTCATCTCGATTGCTGTTCAGCTCCCCGCCGTTGTCGCCTGTCGCTGCTCGCCGACTCAAAAAGCAGATGTAGCACACCTCATACGCGAGTTCACCAAGAAGCGTGTATGCTGCATTGGCGACGGCGGGAACGACGTATCTATGATCCAGGCTGCCGATGTTGGCGTTGGTATTGTTGGAAAAGAAGGTCGCCAAGCATCTCTAGCCGCAGACTTTTCCATCGAGCAATTTTGCTATCTAACCAAGCTACTCGTCTGGCACGGCAGAAATAGCTACAAACGCAGCGCAAAGCTAAGCCAATTCGTTATTCACCGTGGTCTGATCATCTCTATCTGCCAAACCGTCTACAGCATTAGCTCATCCTTCGAGCCGCATGCGTTATACAAGGATTGGCTACTCGTAGGCTACAGCACCGTCTACACCATGGCGCCTGTCTTCTCCCTCGTTCTCGATCGTGATGTCGATGAAAGCGTCGCAAATCTATACCCCGAACTGTACGCCGAGCTGAAAACCGGCCGCAGTCTCAGCTACAAGAGCTTCTTCATCTGGGTGGCCGTCTCCGTGTACCAGGGGTCAATCATCCAAGGACTTGCGCAACTCCTTGTCGGCATCCCTCCGCCGACGGTAGGCACCGTCACTGACGCAGATACACCACTCTTCAAGCAGATGGTCGGCGTGTCTTTCTCGGCTCTCATCATCAATGAACTCGTTATGGTCGCCATGGAAGTCACAACCTGGCACTGGAGTATGATAGTCTCGATTGTCGGGACCGCAGGGATATACTTTGGCAGTATCCCCTTCTTGCACCGTTACTACGATTTAGAGTTTGTGCAAAGTCTGGAGTTCTGGTGGAAAGTCGCGGGTGTGGCGTGTGTCAGTCTCGTGCCACCCTATGCGGTCAAGCTCTTGAGACGCACGTTGAAACCGCCTAGTTATCGGAAAGTGCAGGGTCTGTAACGCGGGTTGGGGTAGTGATGGTTGGGGCTTCCTATGGATTGGGCAAAGTGCAAAATGTTGGTAGAGAAATGCAGAACCTACATATTGCGAATGTGTGTTACCCCTGTGTTAATCGCGTCATGACGTCTCGTGCGAAAGGCGACTGATTATCACTTCGCGAAGTTAGAAACTTCAGCGAAAACAGAACCGGAACGAATAATTTACGCCAGGGAGAGGAGAATCCTATCAAATATCGAGGATACTGAATCAGGGTCTTCTCTACCCGCCGGATCTACTATAGTATCCGGCGGATGTCTGAGGAGTTTGATCCGCCGGAAACTAGTTCGCTTTGGCTGAAAACGACGATACTGAAGTAGACTAGTATAACGGTAATAACCTCGAATTTGGAGTGAGTTGACGTCAGCTTGATAATCTGCAAAGATGAGGGATTATCAGCAAACTTTGTGCTGTCTAGGTCGGTAAGAATAATTATCTTGCATAGTGTTGTTAAGTCTAGTTTGCCAAGGGTGTAAGCGTATAAAGGTTGCTCCCTGCAGGATATATTTTAATAGCATGCTCAGCATCTTGTTACACGACCAACCGTCCCAAGACGATAGGTAAAATGAACTCGCATCTGAAGCAATTCTGTTAACTAACTACCCTCATCTGTATTAGAACCCTATTGCAATGTTTCCCACAATCCTTGTTATAGGTGCGACTGGCAACACAGGCAGGAGCGTCGTGCGCCATCTGCCCTTACTGCTCGAGCAAAGCAATAGCACCAGTTACCGCATTGTCGGCCTGACGCGTTCTCTCACCAGTCCCATCGCACAAGAGCTCGCTCAACTGCCACACGTCGAGATGCAAGAGAAGGACTGGACGACCATTGACGCAGTGTGGCTGCGTGACCGAGACGTCACGCGCGTCTACATCGCGCCACACAATGAGCCGGACCAGTACGTCGACGAGTCCGCGCTGCATGTTGCTCTGCTCGCCGCCGGTGTCAAGTACGTGGTCCGCGTATCCACAAACGTCAAATACATCAGTCCTACAAACCCCGTGTATTACGGGCGCGCGCATTGGGCCATCGAGACGTTACTGAGCACACCCGAGTTCAAGTCATTGATGTGGACGTCTCTGCAGCCCAATTTCTTTACTGCTAGCTACCTTGCGAGCGCCGCCGACTGGATCAAGGCCTACCGGAACACAAACAAGCAGGAAACCCTGAGCATGAATCCTGCTGCAGACGTCGCCGTGGCGATGATTGATCCCGAGGACGTCGGCACCGTGGGCGCACATCTTCTGGCGCTTGAAGATCCAACTCCGCATAACGGTACAAAATACGTCCTCAGCGGCCCCGAAGACGTTACAGGGAGGCGCATCGTGGAGCTAGTCGAGCAGTACGCCGGCGTTAAGGTCGAGAAGGTTGAGTTCGAGTCAACAAGCTGGATCGTTAAGTTGTCAAATGCTGGCGTATATCCTGGAAAGGTAATACCGTCAATATTGGCAGGGTGCGAACCACTCTCGCAGGGCAAATGTACTCTTAGTGAGACGCCAACAAGTAGAGCAGTTATAGATTTAGCAGCTCCAAAACGTACAGCAGAAGAATCACTAAGGAAAATGTTAAGTAGATAAACATAAACCTTCTATAGACGTAGGTAATATATTATATAATCTAAAGTATAAATAAAGTACTAAATAAAAAAAGCTAGTAGAGTAAAAAAATTAGAGTATTTAACTATACTTACTATTAGTAATATATATTATAGATTATCTTATTTAACTATCTATTCTTTTAGTTATAAATAGAGATTAGTTATATACTCTAATAATCTAGTAGATAAAGCTATAGATTATAAACTAAATACTACCTTAAAATATTTTCATAGTATATTAAAGTATATCCTCTTTACTAGAGCCTAAAATATATTTCTAAATTAAATATCTAATTTAAGATTTTATATACTAATATACTTCTGTCTATAAGCTAATATCTAAAAGTTTTAAGAACTATATAATATAATAAGTAAATTAAATTTTAAAAAGAATTAAGTTTTACTAAAAATTATATATTAAGCCTAGTAGAACTTTAGTAAGTAAATTTAAAGAAAAGATTAAACCTAACTATAAAAACTTATATATATTACGTTTAATAGAAGTATCTAGTAAAATATTAAAAGAACTAGAATTTTAAAAAAAGTATAGGTATATTAATTTATTAAAAACTATTTTTAATTTATACTAGTAACTACTATTAAGCTAAACTAATTATAGTTTAAATTACTTAAATCTATATATAAAAGTTTTAACTAGATAGATTATTTTTCTTTTTATTTCTTTTACTTTACTAGTTTATAATTATTATAAAATAAATAATTAAAAACCTAGGTTTATACTTTAAGAGTTATAATTATTATAGTTAATAGTAAATATTTTTAAATAGATATTATAAACAATAACGTTTTAATATTACTATAAGATAAATTAAATTAGATTCTATAGACTTTAGAAGATTTAAAATATAAGCATAGTTATAGAAATAATTTAAAGTATAATAATATAAATAAAGATTATAAAGGGAGTTCTATAGTTTTAAAGTTAAATAATTAGTATTCTATAAAACTTAAAATTAGAAAGAGTTAAATTTTAAAAAGTAAAGAGGTAGCTTAATAATATTAAGGTATAATATAGATTACTTACGTAGCAGCCTAGAATATAGTATATTACTAAATATAAATTTTAAGATAAGAAATTAATAAAAGACTAAGTAATTATTATATTTAGCTATATAAATAACGAAAAATCTTAAGTTTTAAGCTTCTTAAATATTAGAATATATAATTAAGTTATTAGTATTAGTTAATTAACTTAAAATAATAAAGTTATATAAAATAGTAAAAGTTGTTAAGATAAAATTATAAAAAATATAATAGCTAACTAGTAACTAGTATAAGAGTCTTTAATATTTATTACTACCTTTTAATATAATAGTATAAATAAAGTATTATATCTATACTTTATTATAGAATTAATTTTTACTTTTTATTATTAAACTCTTAAAGGTTTATAAACTAGCCTAACTAGACTTTACTTCTTAACTAGTAGTAACTTTATTATTAGATTAAATTTTTAATAATATTAAGATATTTATAAAGGCTACTAGGTCTAGGCTCTAGAGTAAATCCTAATAAAGATAAGTTATATTTCTCTTAAACTAGGGTTCTCTATTTAGTGTTTTTTAGGTTTTAGTTTTTAACTACTAGAATCTCTTACCTAAATAGATAGAGGTTTAAGGTTTTTTAAAAAGATAATAAAAGAATAAAAGAGTTAAAATAGAGGTAGATAATAATATAGAGAAAAAATAATAATATTAAATAACTTACCTTTTTAAATAGCTAGTATAATATAATATATTAAAACCTTTCTTAGGTTATCTCTATTTATATAAAGCCTAGTAGTAAAATGTATTTAATAATCTTAATTATTAAGTAGTTACCTTTCTAAATTCCTTCTTAATCTTAAATAGAAATATTATATACTATCTAAATATTAGTCTTATAGCTATAAAGAAGATAATTAAATAGAAATAAAGATAAAGAAAAACTCTTAAACTAAATCTACTAAAAGAAATATAAAACTTATTTATACTAGCTATTCTAGCTTTTTTATTATAAACTCTATTATCTTTTTACCTCTTTTATTATTCTATTCTTATACTATACCTACGCTAGATTATTTACTTATTAAAAGATTTAGCTTAATTAAGATTTATATTTTATATTATTCTTATTATACTTATTTGCTAGAATAAGCCTTCTATTAGTTTTATTTTAATTTAAAAAAGTTTTTTAAGAAGTAATATTAATAGAGTAATTCTTTCTTATAAGAGATTCTTTTATTAAATCTTTAATATATTAGAAAGTATTTTTTACTAATATACTCTAATTTAAAACTTTATATTAATTAATTTTATATCTATTAATAACTTATTTTTAATACTAGAGTACTTAAAAATACCTTATTATTTAAGATAGTTTAAAGTAGTATTTTAGATCTTTCTTATTAAATCTATAATATAGTATCTAAAAAAATCTAAATATACTTTTTCGAGTATTATATTTTTAGTATAAGTTAGAGTTATAGTTCTTAAAGAAGTCTTACTTAAGATTAAAATATTAAAAGGTTTTTAATATATTCTAAAAATATTACTAATAGAATAAAAGTCTAGTACTCTTTTTCTAAAAGGTATAGCTTATTATTTTCGGTTTATAGCGTATTTATACTTAAGGTATAAGCAGATAGATATAATATAGTAAGAATCTAGTATAGTAACTTAGTATAAAAGCTAATACCTAGCCCCTTTTTATATAGTAAAAATTAGTAAGAGTATATAGTAATAGTAATAGAGAGCTAATTAGCTATCTCTTAATAACTAGCTACTTAATCTACTAGTATAGATATATATTTAAGAGCCTAGGTAGTTATTAGTTAAAGTGTTGTTAAGTTATAAACTCTAGATTATTTTATAAACTATAGCTAGATTATAAGAACTCTTTAATTAACTAGTAATTCTAAATATATAACTAGGGCAGCTTTAGAGAAAGTGTAGGTAATAATAGTTTATATAGGTAAGCTAGTATATAAATTTTTTTTACACCTTAAGAGTTAAGATCTTTATTTATTTATTTATTTATTTATTTATTTATTTATTTATTTATTTATTTATCTTATCTTATCTTTCTTTATAACTAAGATTATACCTAACTAATAAAATAACTCTATTAGCGTAGCCTAGAAGTTTCTATACTACGTCTTATAGTAAACTAATAATTAAAGGATTAAAGTAAGTAATTACTAGTATTAGTATAATACTCTAGATATCTCTAGTAAGATCTCTAAGGACCTAGTTAAGTAGTAAGAAAAAATAGAGAAAATTACTTAGTATAATAGTAATATATTCTACTTAAGTAATCTAGATATTAAGTAGTGCCTTATACTTAATAAAAGGCTTAAAGTAAAGCTTTATAAAGTTAAAGTTTAGCTCCTTCTTATATAGGTCTATAAGGCTAATAGGGCTTTCTTTAATACCTAGCTCTTTTTACTTAATAGCCTTACTACTAAGTAGTATAATAATACTATTTTAACTATAAATAAGAAGTATTTTAAGTAAGCTTTTATAGACTCTAAATATACTACCTAGAAAAGTAAACTTATAGAAGTAATTTAGAAGGTATAAAACCTTACTATAGGATTATAGAATTAATATAGAATAAGGACAAAGCTAGCTAATATAATTAAGAGGTAGTAGTAAGAGTAATAGTAATAGTAATAGTAATAAAAAGTAAAGGGTTATAACTAGGTTAAACTTTAGCTACTGTAGTTAGTATAAATAATAAGAACTAATAGGTAATTAAGACGCGTACGTAACTAAAATATAATAATAACGTAATATATTAATATCTATTCTTTAGGGAAAGGTATAGCTTATATACTACTAAGAAATAGAGATTAATATTTAATCTTTTTATTTTACTTTTATATATATATTTTAAATACTTGTTAATTCTTATTACTTATACTAACTATAGTATTTTAGGTATAACCTAGTTATAGCCTATTAGCTCTCTACTTTCTATTACTATTACTAGTAATATTATTACTACTATTAATATTACTATTACTATTACTATTACTATTACTATTACTATTACTATTACTATTACTA